CTTTCCCATGCAGGACTCGAACCTACGCTTACAACCAGGTAGGCCGTAGCCTTAACCACTCGGCCATCGGAATATATATTGATAGCAGCCTTAATATGTTCGTTATTGCGGTAGCCCAGTGGTTAAGGCTACGGCCTACCAGGCTGTAATGGTAGGTTCGAATCCTGCATGGGAAAGGTTCGATTTTTCCCACCGAAATTACTATTTAATTTAAAATTCGTCGAAAGGTATTTAGTCAAATAAAGAACAATAGCTTTCGACAAATGATGTGGTGGTCTAGTGGATAAGGCGTTCATCTATCAATCCGAGGACAGACGTTTCAACTCCTCGCAATCCAAAAAAGTTAGCCAAAAAAATTTCGGTGTGATTTGGAATGTTTAAATTAGTTAAAAGACTTCTCGGCCTTTCAGGAAGACTGTAAATTAAAAAAAGTTTGAAATAAAAACCTGAAAAAAATTTCTCGCGTTCAAAAGTACTTGAAAATTGAAAGAAAAGCACAATTAAAAAAGTTTTAAAAACGTGTGTCTTCTAAAAAGACTGAAAATTAAAAAAGTCAGAAAAAAAAAATTTCCCGCTTTTAAAAAACTCAGGTTTACTTACTTTAATTTTTTTTCACGAAAATTTGACAGGGTGATTTTCTCGAGAGTGAAAAAATTTAATTTTTTTCACTTTTTTCAAATTCTCTTAGATTTTTTTTTCGACGCGGAAGTATTGTGTCTTGGGCTACCTGTGTCAAGCCAGACACAGGTTGCCCAAGACAGACACAGGTAGCCCAAGACAAAATACTTCCGCGTCGAAAAAAAAATCTAAGAGAATTTCAAAAAAGCGAAAAAAATTAAATTTTTTCACTCCCGAGAAAATCACCCTGTCAAATTTTCGTGAAAAAAATTAAGGTAAGTAAACATGAGTTTTTTAAAAGCGGGAAATTTTTTAATTTTTTTTCGACTTTTAACTTTCAGTCTTTTAGAAGACACACGTTTTTAAAATTTTTTTGCTTGTGCTTTTTTTTCAATTTTCAAGTACTTTTGAACGCGAGAAATTTTTTTCAGGTTTTTATTTCAAACTTTTTTTAATTTACAGTCTTCCTGAAAGGCCGATAAGTCTTTCAACTAACTTAAACATTCCAAATCACACCGAAATTTTTTTGGCTAATTTTTTTGCATTGCGAGGAGTTGAAACGTCTGTCCTCGGATTGATAGATGAAGCCTTAACCACTAGGCCACCACATCATTTGTCGAAAGCTATTGTTCTTTATTTGACTAAATACCTTTCGACGAATTTTAAATTAAATAGTAATTTCGGTGGGAAAAATCGAACCTTTCCCATGCAGGACTCGAACCTACGCTTACAACCAGGTAGGCCGTAGCCTTAACCACTCGGCCATCGGAATATATATTGATAGCAGCCTTAATATGTACGTTATTGCGGTAGCCCAGTGGTTAAGGCTACGGCCTACCAGGCTGTAATGGTAGGTTCGAATCCTGCATGGGAAAGGTTCGATTTTTCCCACCGAAATTACTATTTAATTTAAAATTCGTCGAAAGGTATTTAGTCAAATAAAGAACAATAGCTTTCGACAAATGATGTGGTGGTCTAGTGGTTAAGGCGTTCATCTATCAATCCGAGGACAGACGTTTCAACTCCTCGCAATCCAAAAAAGTTAGCCAAAAAAATTTCGGTGTGACTTTGGAATGTTTAAAATAGTTAAAAGACTTCTCGGCCTTTCAGGAAGACTGTAAATTAAAAAAAGTTTGAAATAAAAGCCTGAAAAAAATTTCTCGCGTTCAAAAGTACTTGAAAATTGAAAGAAAAGCACAATTAAAAAAGTTTTAAAAACGTGTGTCTTCTAAAAAGACTGAAAATTAAAAAAGTCAGAAAAAAAAATTTCCCGCTTTTAAAAAACTCAGGTTTACTTACCTTAATTTTTTTTCACGAAAATTTGACAGGGTGATTTTCTCGAGAGTGAAAAAATTTAATTTTTTTCACTTTTTTCAAATTCTCTTAGATTTTTTTTTCGACGCGGAAGTATTTTGTCTTGGGCTACCTGTGTCAAGCCAGACACAGGTTGCCCAAGACAGACACAGGTAGCCCAAGACAAAATACTTCCGCGTCGAAAAAAAAATCTAAGAGAATTTCAAAAAAGCGAAAAAAATTAAATTTTTTCACTCCCGAGAGATCACCCTGTCAAATTTTCGTGAAAAAAAATAAGGTAAGTAAACATGAGTTTTTTAAAAGCGGGAAATTTTTTAATTTTTTTTCGACTTTTAACTTTCAGTCTTTTTAGAAAACACACGTTTTTAAAATTTTTTTGCTTGTGCTTTTTTTTCAATTTTCAAGTACTTTTGCTTTTTTTCAATTTTTTTCAGGTTGTCATTTAAAACTTTTTTTAATTTACAGTCTTCCTGAAAGGCCGAGAAGTCTTTTAACTAATTTAAACATTCCAAATCACACCGAAATTTTTTTGGCTAATTTTTTTGCATTGCGAGGAGTTGAAACGTCTGTCCTCGGATTGATAGATGAAGCCTTAACCACTAGGCCACCACATCATTTGTCGAAAGCTATTGTTCTTTATTTGACTAAATACCTTTCGACGAATTTTAAATTAAATAGTAATTGCGGTGGGAAAAATCGAACCTTTCCCATGCAGGATTCGAACCTACCCTTACAGCCTGGTAGACCGTAGCCTTAACCACTGGGCTACCGCAATAACTTACATATTAAGCCTGCTATCAATATATATTCCGATGGCCGAGTGGTTAAGGCTACGGCCTACCTGGTTGTAAGCGTAGATTAGAGTCCTGCATGGGAAAGGTTCGATTTTTCCCACCGAAATTACTATTTAATTTAAAATTTATCGAAAAGAATTAGGTCAAATAAAGAACAATAGCTTTCGACAAATGATGCGGGGGTCTAGTGGTTAAAACATTCGTTTCTCACTCCGAGGACAAACGTTTCAACTCCTAGCAATGCAAAAAAATTAGCCTGAAAAATTTCGGTGTGATTTGGAAGCTTTAAAACAGTTAAAAGACTTCTCGGCCTTTGCGAAAGACTGTAAATTGAAAAAAAATTGAAATAAAAAAAAATGAAAACAAATTCTCGCGTTCAAAAGTACTTGAAAATTGAAAGAAAAGCACAATTAAAAGTTTTAAAAACGTGTGTCTTCTAAAAAGACTGAAAATTAAAAAAGTCAGAAAAAATTAAAAAATTTCCCGCTTTTAAAAAACTCATGTTTGCTTACCTTAATTTTTTTTCAGGTTGCCCAAGACAGACACAGGTAGCCCAAGACAAAATACTTCCGCGTCGAAAAAAAAATCTAAGAGAATTTCAAAAAAGCGAAAAAAATTAAATTTTTTCACCCTCGAGAAAATCACCCTGTCAAATTTTCGTGAAAAAAAATTAAGGTAAGCAAACATGAGTTTTTTAAAAGCGGGAAATTTTATATTTTTTTTTCGACTTTTAACTTTCAGTCTTTTTAGAAGACACATGTTTTTAAAATTTTTTTGCTTGTGCTTTTTTTTCAATTTTCAAGTACTTTAGAAAGGAGAAATTTTTTTCAGGTTTTTATTTTAAACCTTTTTAATTTACAGTGTTCCTGAAAGGCCGAGAAGTCTTTTAACTAATTTAAACATTCCAAATCCTACCGAAATTTTTCTGGCTAATTTTTTCATTGCCAGGAGTTGAAACGTCAGCTTCCGGATTGAGAGACGAACGCCTTAACCACTAGACCACCAACAACATTTGACGAAAGCTATTGTTCTTTATTTGACTAAATCCTTTTCGACGAATTTTAAATTAAATAGTAATTTTGGGTGGAAAAATCGAACCCTTCCCATACAGGATCCGAACCTACACTTACAACCTGGTCGGCCGTAGCCTTAACCACTTGGGCACCGGATTGTATGTTGTTACCAACCTTACTATATATATATATTATTCCTTACGTGAGCCCTCACGTACCATTCCAAAATTGACAATTTTTTCAATGTTCCAATAACAAACCAAATATGCTAAAAAACAAAGAGTAATAGTCTTCGTGAATGTTTGAAGCTATTTCAATGTTCGTGAATGTTTGAAGCCAAAAAAATTTGGCACAAGAAAAAAATTTAATTGGAAAAAAAATTTTGACACAACAAAAAACATTGACAAGAAAAAAAATTGGGACCCAAGAAAAAAATTACAGGCAAAATATTTTGAAACGAAAAACAATTTTGACTGGAAAAAAAATTGGCACAAGAAAAACAATTTGAACACAAGAAAAACATTTTGACAGGAAAAAATTTGGACACAAGAAAAAAATTTTTAAAGAACATGCAATAATCAAGACCCACTTAAGTCGGAAATTTGAACTGTTTTATGATGAATTTTCCTAATTCTCCCACTCCGTATTTACTAACAGACGGATGTTTCAAAAACTACCCATGCAAATTGGTCTAAGGGGCTGTTTGTAGCAGTGGGAACCGGAACCGAGCTGCATGGCTCTAGCCTGCATGGCAGGCGGTCCCTCCTAAACAGTCCGGTACTGACGGGAAAAGAAACGCTGAGGAGAAACGTCGCATTTTAGTCGCGTCGAATGCAATTCAAACAATAGTAAATAGATAATGAGATGATCGATCTCATTAAGCTTCATTACCATCTCATTATCTCTTGTTTGAATTGCATTCGACACGACCAAAATGCGACGTATAACCCAGGCCTGAGAAACATAAAAAATTATAAAAATTGGTTCCCCCTCAGCAACCGGCCAGCCCGTTTGAAGGGTTTATATGAAAACATTTTCATCCCGCTAAGTGAAATCTCGCCTCCCGAAGTTCAATTTTCTCACGGCTACGGTTAACCACATAACGGTGCTTAAGCAAAATCGTGAAAGCAAATCAATGGGGCGCGACTTTTCCCACCCAATCAAGTGAGTGTTTTTTGGGATCAGCCTAACAATTTAGTCCCACCATGCAAGTTCTAGGTCATTATCATTGTTCAATTCTTTGGAAATTCACATTTTTTACAGTCAACGAACACCAAAATATTAGCATAGTGGAACTAAATCGTCAGGCTTGCTGTACACTACTCTTTTGCAGTTTGATCCATCCGTATCATGCATGTAGATGTTATGAAAGCAAAGAGCCTGTTTAATGTTATTCACGGCCAATGACGTCTTTGAGTTACTCTCATAGCTATGAGACTGGTACAATATCAAGAGCACGCAATAGTCAAGACCCACTTAAGTTGGAACTGTGAAGATTGCCGGTATCCACAAATGCCGGATTCCACACCATGGCACCATTATCCTGGCCAGTCAATTCATGAAATTTCATAATTAGCTGTCTGGTCCTTCTGGCCAACCAACGCGCAGAGCGAATGTGTCCAATACTGTAGAGCAAGACAGTTGTGATATTGTTATACTTGATCGACCAGCCCTTGAATGTGTAATTGTCAGGTATAAATGACTTCAGTTATGCACCATTGGTCCATTGCCACCTTTGACCGTACCAAAATATCATATATACACATCTTCACTAAGCCAGTTACAACTCTGCATCTTTCTTGGAGGAAACATTGATCAATAATTATAGAGAGTACATTTTGATGAGCTGAGACGCAATGCAAAAGATGCATTTTCGTTTTTGGACCAACATTTTCTGCACAATTGCAGTGTTAAGTGTAAGAGAAGTAGCATGTCAAAGCCAGGAGAAACTTTTAAATGCAACCACCGATGGACGACCAAGTAAGTTATGCATGGTTTAGCATTTTGTTATCTTACAGATCTTTTTTTTCGCCCTCCCAGAATTCAACAGAATCGGGAATGAAATTAATTGTTAGAAAAAGATTTACCTTTTATGCAACTGAGAAAATAAAACAGGGAAGTCACGGAAAGTAAAGGAATTCACCGCATCTCAAGGCACTAGAGTTAGCAATTTCTTCATTTCTTCACTAACGATTTATTAAAAAGACCTTAATTGTACTGAAATTACCGATCTTGCCCTTACTTGTATGGGCCTGTATTGACCGGCACCTAGTCAACATGTTCACCCGAAATGCAAAATGGTAGAGTTTCCCCCAATGAAATACAAATCGAATATACTTTCACTGAGTAATTTTGTATTTAGATTGCTTACTTTGAAATTTGAGATCATTGTTTCGTATTTGAACTTAACTAAATTCATATCGGCGTGTGATTTTAATTGCCATATCCAAAAAATTCATTTATAATGTAGCAGCTTTTGTGATGCAAAACTGCAAATAAAGGAACAGTAAAACAATCGTTCTTCTGAATAAACACTGCTGTTTTTCAATAACTGGTAGGCGAAATTACTTTTATTTTATTAAACTGGAAGACAAATATTAATAATTACATATGTACATCCTGTAATGAAATCTAAAAGCCTTCATAGCATAACCCAATTTCATGTGCGTAGTGTGTTGTGCCGGTAAGTATGGGGCTCAGTGCTAGCATCGGCATTGCATTGTTTTTCGCTATTTTTGTTGTTGTACAATCTGAGATTTCTGACCCTGGTAAGTAATTTAATATTTCCGTAAAAATATAGAAAACATTTTATCAAGCTAGTTGCATGATTATCATGGGAATCTTCAATATTTCAAAGATTTTAGATAGAACGCGAAAATTCTAAGTATAAATAGGTATCGTGCAGGAACGATCAGTCTCCAAGAAGGCGAAATAATTTGAAGTATAATTTCAAGTCACAGACACTAGGCATACTGTGATTGCAAGGCTCTTGTCAGTCAGACATGTACACTTCATTTTACCTATAGTTTGAGAACTTTGAGTGATCCTAATGTTCACCCTGGCTGAATTCCGTCGGATATATATACCATGCAATTTTCACATTTGGCTTTATCTGTTTTAAATAGGCTATGTTCTTATGAGTGCCAAAATTAAAAGATGTTTGGTACCAGACTCGTCACAGCCCATCGAAGGGAGCAAAGTCATTCACACGTCGCAATGCAAAGATTCCTTTGCATTTTTTAAATTTCTTGATACTGGGGCTATTCAACATGTCCAAAGTGGTCTATGTATTCATTTATCAGGCAACAACTGGAGCCCAAAAAATAGAGAAAAGGCGATTCTTAAACGAGGTAAATAGTGTATATATTACCCCATATGAATACATATATATCCAGCACCCGCGAAATCTCTTAGCTACTGCGAAAGCAAAAGTAATTATAGTTGGAGTCACACCAAGGAAGCGCTAAGAAGGAATAATCTTATACAGGGCTTTTTCGAGCCCAATATTTAGCGCGCAATCGATCCCTTGGCGGCGGTCGTTTTCTCGCATAAGAATCGGTTAAAATGAGGTATTTTTCCGTGGACATGCATGTGCGGAAAATGCTCTACTGGATTTTAAGAATTTTTAGAAAAACATATCACAAACCCACCTTCGGTGTTCCCGAATCTCTGGAAAGGAGGCGAACAAATGGGCTTAGCCTTTGCCATAATTTTGCTCCACCACTATACTAAAGATTCATTAAAAATTCCCTCGATTATATAATCTAGGGTTATTATGCATGCAAACTAGACAAATCAGTGTTTTCAATCCTGCATGTTTTAAATGTAGTTCGAACTTATTGCTTTTTAGATTGTTCCAGCCCGAAATTCTTTTTTACCTATACTGGAAAAAGCTTTAGAATAAAAAACAAATGTCTTCGCCCTTCGAGATTCAGACATGCTGACAACGCTGAGCTGATAACTTACTCTGGTTGTGATACGCTTGAATCAACTTACAAATTTATTGATATTATTAAAGGTTTGTAAGACACCACTATTGCCGCCATTATCCGTCATATGTTATCACCTTTTTCACCACTATCAAGTCATTAACGTTGTCATTAAAACTATATGCATAAAATTCTACTGTCCTTTGATTAAACAGGTTAGACAAATAATATTCTGATTCTCCGTCGCCTGTCGCCTTTATGTTGCAGGTTTCGGCAGCGATAACAATAATTGAGAGATCAGTGACAACATGTTTGTAATGTGTATAAAATGTATTTACTACTAATCCACGTATTATAATATTTCAAACATTCATATTTTCAAAATAGTGGTTCAGTATTGCGAGTAATTTCACCTATTGGGTACTCCATACCAACAAATTGCTCTGTCTCATTTGCTGTGTGTAGGTTGTGATTTGTGTCATTTGCCATATATAGATTGTGATTTGATCTGCCTGAAGGATATCGTGAATGGAAAGGAAACCACAAACTCTTTCGATGAATTTTACAAAAGATCTGAAGCGGAGGTCAACTCGCTAGATTCTTTATCCTCAAAGTTTATTTCCACATTGAAACAGGAAATCCCTGAACTGTATAAAGACATCTTATCAACCTTCTTCCCAGTTGATCTAAAGGTTATTAAGAACCTCAAAATCTTGGTGAATCATTTCGGAATTGAAAAGATGAAAGCCTATCCATCATTATTTCTGGCAACTGCTTTCATCAGACGAACAATGGGCGTGGACACAAGCAATCCCGCTGTTTGTGGAGGTGACATAATATTCTGTTATTGCTAATTTTTAAATGACAAAAAAGCATTTTGTTTGTCCAGGTTGTTCGTTATACCTAATAAAAGAGGCGTGTGCATAGAACACAAATTCGGATTGGGGATTAAAGATCTACCAACAAGCCTCCAGATAATCCAATAAATATTAAATTTAGTTGAGCCATGCACTAAAAATGCTACACTTAACAACGTATAGTTAAAATTTACTGATCGTTCCGTTCAATAAACCAAACCCTATCAGTGAAATTACAGGCAGTAATATGAAAGTAATATGCAGTTTTGGTCAAATGATTAGCCAATTACGGTTTGGAGCAAATTTAACCGTGTAATTTGCAGGGGTAACATATAAAAACAGGGTCAGGTCACGAGTTGCCAAAAAATTTTCTCAGAGTGGTCAGTACCAGCAGCCCTTTGTTCAGTTTTGGAAAGTTGGGTATGAGTTAAATTCAGCAGGATGATATAATTTCTCTTATATCATTATATCTTATATCATTTTCTTAAAAATGCAATTTGCTTTAAGGTACTGTGCACACTATTGCTGGTGTACCCACAGTTGACGAGGAAGACGCAAAATATAAACTGAGTCTGAGTGAAAGCGAATTAGCTTCACTTTTAGATGAAGAAAATTATCGAGCCCAGCGAGCAATTGACATGGAAAGAGAGGAAGACGAGAGAGCTGTAAGTGTATACAATTGAAAGAAAATATGCGATAAGTAAACTCCAATCATCATGTGCGCTTCAATGTTTCTCGTCTTCATTTTGTGCCTGCGCGCAAACGTGATATCGCGGTTGATCACGCAGACCATGTGCGTATATATATATTATAAGTTGACTAAAAAAAATTGATGATAAAGTCCTTATTTTAGGGCATTAACACGACCGAGTTTCACGTAAGTGCAGTGCAGAAACTAATTGATCGTTTGGATGGTAAATATTATCATAAATTCTGGACCCCTGCAAGTTTAAAAAACGCAATGAAAGACTGTGGATTTACAGATCCCAGTGAAGTCAAATTTCCTCCTCGTGGAGATGGTATGTCGGGAATAGAATACTTGGAATACCTTTTCTCGAGAGATTCTGCGTTGCTACCTAAAAAAAATTTGAATTTTCCATGGCCACTTGCTATTGCTTTGAATATTCAGACTTCGCTAAGACAGTGCAATTGGATTTGGCGTCGTCTTGAAAATGGAGAACGAATTGTTCGATACAGCAGGTGTGTATTGATTTTTACATTAGACTATCAGTCACAGTAAGTCACAGATTCTTCACGGTCGGCGAAAAACAACAGGAAAACTCAGCATCCTACTATAAGACTATTAAAAATAAAAACGTATTTTAAATTATTTATCGTCTTCACTTGTCCATCTTCGATTCCACTCAATCGCATAATTCTCTCTTTGCTATTCAGATACACATTTGACTATAACCTTAAAAACGTAAAATGCAAGCCAAGCGATTGGAATATATGTACAATTCCACGTATAATTGAAGATGGCGGTGTCTGTGGAAGGCAGTCAACTTTAGCTCGAGTTACTAATCATTGTCTTGGAATTGCCTCTGGTGCAATAAAACAACCCGCTCATGCAGCTGGCTACACTTACACCAAGTCTGGTGAGGGTTATAGGTTTAAAATATTTCAAGGAATAACGAACATCATGAATACGTATGCTGTATGGCATTTGAGTGATGACGCAAGAGAATCTGGATGGAAAATTAACGCAGAATACCATCAGGGGCTGACACGTGCAATGAACCACGGATACAAGTCATATCGTGATGGTCGCATTGCATTGTTGATTTTCTCCCGTATTTACGACGCTAAACTACGCCGCAACTCACGAGAACTGCTTGTGGAAGCCTTGGAAGGTAATCCGCATATGATGGATGTTTGGATGAAGTTAATCCATGATGTCACCAAACGGAATGGTTTACCAGTCGAGGGCGTTAATATCTTAAAGAGAATACCATCAAAATGTCCTCAAGGTCTCGACGAATCTTTCAGAAGCAGACTGATAGTGCTTGTCGAGAAACATTTAAGCTCTTATATGCAAATGTACCTGGAGGTTTTGCTCAGATTACTTGCACCACCATCATGTTGCTCGATTGACAAGCCAATGTATTTGGATATTCTTAGATCTGCGTGGAAAAATGAAAAGCGATCACTAGTCAAAGAATATCTGTTTGATGGTTATGCTTCATGTGCTTCAAAATCGGCCAGTATACCGGAATTCGCCGGAATTGTACAACATCAGGTCTTCTCGAAAATTGAAACAAAATTGCCTGAATTAAACGCTTTCACAGGACTCCTAAACTCCCTTTCGTCATTGCTGATTATGAAAGGTGACGTTGAGGTTGAGAAGAGTAAAAGTTTATTAGTCGATTTCTTTGCGACCGTCTGTGAAGTGTTTCCAAGATTCCGAGTTACAGAATCAGCTTGGGTGGTTGCTCCTCACTACCGCGCATGCGTGAAAGCACAACTTGAGTTTTTGAAGAAATATGCCAATGACTCGTATCAAGTCGTGTTGAACAATTGGATCCTTCTACAAGATAAATCTGCTAAAAAGAAAGAGACCTGGAATGAGTACTTCATTAAAGATTGGTTGCAAGGTAGAACGGGCGATATCATTCCTCTATTGGTAGGAGTTAAAGAATCCGTGGATGGCGGATTAATACATGAAATAAAAGGTAAGATTTAGTAATATTTTCCTGATGACAATGCTGTTGTCCCTGTTCTTCCCCTTGGTTGATTAATATCAGTTGTTTTTTTCACGCTTACCTTATATTTCAAAGTTTTCGGGTTCTGATCTTTAGCATCATTGTTTTCAAATTGAACTCAAATTTAGTGAACATCGCCAAAAACAAGCCAACCAGTATGTCTTCAACTTGGAAAAGTCAAACAAGCAGTAAAAATGCTGTCGATGGGAAGACCGATCATCTTATCTCGGGTGGTTCGTGTGCCGTGACAAAGACAGAAGACAATCCTTGGTTCAAGCTAGACCTTCAAAAATCGACGGTTGTAAGTGAAAGTGATTAAGCGACTGCAGATTCTTCAAATTGCGTCACATCTTCAATAAATGCTCCTCAAATGTTGTTATCTCTATTTTTCTTTAGGTGTATGGATTGTTGCTATCGAACACTGAAGACAAACAAGGAAACAGACTCGAAAATTTTGAAATTCACATTGGTGACAGCGACGACCAGAACGGTGTGACAAATCCAAAGTAAGTTGCAGTTAGAAAAAGATGACCTCCTGGCACTTTTAAAAAGCTAAAGAAAAAATTACAAAAAAAATACAAAGATACAATAATACAGCTATTATGTTGAGCCATTATTTTCCTAGATGTGGTAAACGTCATTTCGTACGGCGAGGTGAAACAAGAGCTTTCTATTGTGATCCACCATTGGCTGGACAGTACATTACCATCAATATTTTCGGCATTAAAAAGCTCCTACCAATATGTGAGATAGCCGTCTATGATTCAGAGTTAACAAGTAAGTTCATGAACGGGAATTATACTCACATGAATGTGCATTTTTTACTGTCTACATTCTTTTAGAATTGGTCCTGTTGTATGCGTATATAGTATAAGTAGTAAATAATAACACGGAAATTTAAAAGCATGTAGCCTCTTTGTTGCAGTCGTTGGCCGGACTTAAACCTTATAACGTTACAGTGTAAAGATTTCAACCACAAAGGACCGAGATTGTCGTTTTCGCCTACGTTTTTTAGGTTACCGGGAGCATGGAGTTAAAATGGACGTTTGGAGAAATGTCCCCACAAGAGATATCCAACGATTGTACGATGATCAACGTTATCCTAACAGCCCTGATGAAGAACGAAGGCTTTCGACATTTGATATTAAAAATTTTGGAAATTACTATGGAGGACGGCTCTCTGCCGTGTATCAGGTACATGCACATGTTATAACGCCGCCACAGACATGTCGAATCTTGTGTGCGAAGTGGTGGGTCACTACAACATTTCTCTTGCATGCAACCATTACATGAGATTCATAATCTGAAATGTAATAAGATTAGCATAAAAGCGAGTTTCAGATTGACTTCAGGGGCAGGTTGTTCAAAAGCCGGTTAGCTTAACACTGGGTTAAAGCAAATATTTACATCGATTTTTTAATCGCTTGTTTACAAACTTGAATATCTTTTTCCATAAATATTTTCTGGACCGACAAAAGCCATATTTTGTAAATGTTTTAAAACGAACAGTGGCTCAGACGCACTTAAACCAAAACAGTGGATTATAAAATTTAATCTTTGGGCTTAACAGTGGATTATAAAATTTAATCTTTTTAAGCTTTGAACACCTGGCCCCTGGCACGTCACATGCAATGCGTTTGCCAGATTAACAAATCACGAGCGCAATCAATCAGCGAGATGTATAACGTTGCGTGTGATGAGAATTCTCTTTGTGCTCTTGTGGTTAAGATGTGGTTGAACAAGTTCATCTTCGTTGATTTCTATATTCGAAATTTGCCTCTGAAGAGATAGAAGCAATTTACAAGTATGTTACAATGGCAAACTAAAAACACGAATTATTTCTATTCCACTCTCTCCATCCATATAGCCATTAGAGACTGGCAATTATACTTTCTACTCGGCTTGCAATGATGAATGTGAACTATTTCTTCGACACGGAGAAAGTGAAGAGAATTTGAAAAAGATCATTTCACTAACGAAAGCTACAAGATATAAGGTTTGGAAGTAAGTATACAGAATAAATCCATTGGTAGTTTTCATTTAGAGATTCACTACATTTTCTAACGTGAACCCAAACCTGCAACTGAGATTGAAAAATTTAACATGCTGAAATTCTGGTGCATTAGGTATAGTTATATTGGCAATACAATCTCTTCTATAGTCAGTCTCCTGATCAAAAATCCACGCCAATCCATCTTGAGGAAGGGAAATTTTATGAGCTGGTTGCGACGATCAAGCAAGAGCGACATTGGAACTTTCTAACTGTGGCTGTGGAATTACCGAGTGGAAAGTTTGTCGCACCAATCCCAGCTAAGCGTCTCTTCATTGGTAAGTGTGTAACGTGCAATTCTTGTCTACAGCACTAAAAGCACCACAATGTGCATGTAAAAATGTCTTATAATCCAAGTTGATCGCTTTTTTCAGACACAAAAGAAGAAAGCAAAGTTATCGCTTGAGTGACCAAGGATCGTCTCTGAAAACTTACTACAACATAATACTATCATTAATTTACATGGGGATTTCACTTTTGTAGTCTAGTTTGAATGGTCTCTGCATGACGAATTACGTATAATACTGTCATTAATTATTAGTTTTCATTTTTATGGTTTAGTTTAAATGGGGTTGAATATATGATAGCAACAAATATACCAAAATAAAAGTTTACCATTTCTTGCTCTGCATCGTTTATCTTCTCATTGCTTTGAATGGTTGTCTCAACTCTCAAACATACATTTTGAATAAGTTATAAGACCTCTCTCCCTCGATAAGTTCTTGCACATGCAATAATATACTTTAATTCCATCTTTTTGCATTAAAACATTTATTTATAGATTTTATACCCTTCACATGCACAATTAAGACAATTTATACATATATTTTGAAAAAATAAATATTGCTGCGTTTGCTATAAATTAAATGCAGAGAATATTATGCAGAGAATATTATGCAAAGAATATTCTTCATTTAGCATTGCATTTAATTTATAGCATACGCAGAAATATTTATTTTTTCAATACAATTAAAGAGACGGTTTTCTTTTTAATTCATTGTTTAATCCGGCGAGTTAACAGGCGAAGTGGGTATCATATTATATTCGTTCTCATTCCACTCTTGTCTTTTACCTGATGCAAGAATACCAAACGCAATACAACCAAGAAGCGAAACACCACCAGAAATATAGAATACGGTTCTCCATTCGTCAAGAGTCTGTTAAAAAAAATAAATTATGTTTTCTATATATTTTGTATAAAATATGACTAAAATATGATTCATGTTTTTTATGTATGAAATACTACGCGGATTGGTACGAAGGGCATTGCATGCATTTTACAAATGGCCTATATACATAAAGACACAGCGACTTTGATCAGTTAATGCATTATATTAATAACATGCCGAATGCGTAGAGTATTCTTAACATATTTAATGTTGTACATTTTCGCCTTCAACTGAGTTATCATCAGACGAAAGGGAGATGATTTTAAGGTATTGAAATAAGCCTTTGTGGATGTAGACAAACATATACTATTATACACTGTACAGCTGTGTGGTATACCACACGGCAAGGGTCATACAAATGGCTTATTACAAGTTCTCAAAAGTCACTTCACGCTCCCTTTAATCTCTGGTAAGCGGGAATAAGGTAAACTTATGGATATTTTTAGATAACCCACATTATCACTTGCACAGTCTAAGGACAATGTTTTTAGTTCATCTCATGCAGCCTGCATGCATTACAAAACCATACAATAGTTTGCATTGAAAATTTATCATATATACCTCGTTTGGTGTTAGAGCTCCTGCAATCGATGGTCCTATGATACCAGGCAATGTTGCAACACAGTTTGAAATTCCCATCAATAATCCGGCATATCTTGGTCCAATATCGATCATATTTACACTGAACCCACACCATATAAGACCTCCGATTCCGACCCCAAGGGTTAAAAATACCACCGCTATATTTTTGCTGGTTGTGTAACCAACTGCCGCTGTGAAAATGGCTTGTAATAGAAAACCTACGGGTATTAAATACAGTAGCGTAAGATATCATAAGAGATAGACGAATGAAAATACAGTGATAATGTTTGTTTACGTATTAACTTACCTGTACAAACACTGACTTTTCTCACAGAAGTTGTTGAACAGACTTTTTTTGCTATTATAAAGTCGGACGTAAATCCACTGAAATGGAGAACCACCGTCATAGCTAAGTAGGGAAGAGCTGCCAAAAAACCAGTCTATAGATGACATAAAAGATAAACCACTCAAGCTCCAAAATTCTGTGGTGAATTTTACCGTGGGTACACGGCAAAAATGTTTAAATCCATACAGTGTTATAATGCTCATTCTTGCATGCCTCGCTAATAATACCCTGTGAAAAATGACTATACACGTGCAACTATGCACAACACATGCAAGTGACATAGATATGAATGTATCGTGTCCTCGACGTTTAATGTTCTTACCGCGAGTAATTCAATCCCAAGAACAGCCTTCATATATGTTGGTAGAGTTGTAAGCAAAGTATAGTAACCCCAGTTTTGACAAAAGTGAGCAGCAACGATCGCCCAAACAGGAGTAGAAAGTAATATCGATTTCCATGGAACTTTGCAATCCTAAAAAATGGAAGCATTGATATAAATGAAAAATGAACCAGAACTTTGTACAAAAAAAACAAGGACATCATAAAAGATCTTTGTACTGCTAACAGCCTAAACCTCTCTTACCAAAGTTTCACTTTCACCTTTCAAACTCTTTTCAATATAATTTAGTTCTTTCTTGCTAATTTTTTGGTGTTCATTTGGAGAGTTGGTTACCATAAAGAACCACAAGAAACTCCATAAAATCCCTAGAAAACCTAAAAAGGTGTCGGATACTCGTAAGACTAAGTCAGGTACTCGTAGTCACTGCCAAAGCTCCCTATTAATGTCGCCAGGAGCACTCCAGAGACACGCGGTGTTTGTACACAGAACCCAAACTCACCGAAGAAATAAAAGACTGCAGGCCAGCCATACATCTTTACCAATATTCCAGATACTGGCATCGCAAATACAGTTCCAATAAAAGAACCTATAATCAAAGTTCGTAGACTTGAGGTTAAATAATATTAATATAATATATAATTTAACAGGTCTAGCAAGTACATAAAACAGGTTTTGTAGTTGAGTAGAAAACGTTTTTGTATAATCAAGTTTTCTCAAAACAACAAAGTATAACATGATTAACATATCCCGTTTATATGATAGTAATATTATATATAATCCTGCATGCAATATAATTTGTCGAAATTATACCTGAATTAGTCAACGCCACCATTTTAGATCTTTCTAAGATTGGCGCCCATCGACTCATAACTGCATGATTTGATGAATATATTACACCCTTAACGAAGCATATATAGGAATTACAGTCGAAGTTACAATGCCGGTCGCACTTAATGTTTGCCACCAGAGGAGTCCGCAACAGTTAAAATAACATTGCATGAGGAATGTCCGATGTTTACAACTATACTGTAAACCTCACATAAGTTCTACATTAGTATATCTTTGTCGTACCTGAGCTATTCCTTCAAGGACACGTAATGCAATAAGCCAAGAAACACTTCGTCTCGTAGCAACTGGCGTCAGCATAGTAAGAATACTGGCAATAAGTATTCCGCCGCCAAATAAATTCTTCCCACCGTATTTTGAAGCGAGAAATCCACCCGGTATTTGAGTTGTTATGTAACCAAAGAAGAATGAGGAAAGGATCAAGCCTGCCAATGTATGAATGAACTTGATAAACAACGCGTGTTCAGTAAAACTAAGACGTGAAAACTCAGTGAACCACTATAACTCGTAAAGGTTACTGGTCTGGTTTTAGTTTCTAGTTTAACCAGGGAGCAGCGTGGCAACGGCTACAAATAACTTAGGAGAGAAGTTAACCTTAGCTGAAAATGTCGAGAAGTGTTTTTGCCTGTTTTTAGGCTGTTATGAGTTTATCATAACACATTTGATGCGAAGTTGATCTGGTTTTTGTTCTGAATAATTTACTATATAGAACTGACAGAAAAGAAAGCTGTTTGAAATAATGATTTCGTCTTCATCATCTCTATTCTATTTGGGTAAATACTGTTTAAGTAATATCCGACATGCAAGTATGGAAATTATGAATCTAAGTGAGTTTTATAAACGTGTCTAATGACACAACCCACGACACACGATCCTCGTGACGGTCACAAGACTATCACAAGATTAATAATAAAACGCGTTCACTTCACTTCCGCATTCAACATAATAAAGCTGTCACCCTTCAAGAAGGATAACGCAGAGTCGCAGAACAAACCAGAAAAGGAGAAAGAAAATAAAGAAAAAAACAAAATGAAGATCGAAAGATATATGACTGTGTTTCTTACACTAGTTTTTACCTGCAGAGCGGCTTCCCGGGACAATCGCAATAACCGACCTATCATCGGAGTTATGGCGCAATCGACAGAAGGTGAAAGCTTTGCCAAGTTTGGTGATTCGTATATAGCTGCTTCTTATATAAAATATTTAGAATCGTCTGGAGCTCGAGTTGTACCGATAATGAATGATCTGAACGAGGAAGAGGCTGAGAAACTGTTTTACTCAATTAATGGGGCATTATTCCCGGGTGGTGGTGTCAGTGTTCAAACATCGGGGTATGCTCGAATTGGTAAACAGTTCTTTACACTAGCAAAGAAATCTTATGACAAAGGAGATTATTTTCCGGTTTGGGGAACATGCCTAGGAAATGAATTTTTGTCAGTTATGGCTAGTAACGACGCTAATATTTTATCCACAACAGATTCAGAAAATTACACAATACCGCTAAATTTCTCATCAAATTATCGTGATAGCAAATTATTTCGCGATATTTCAGACGACCTGGCAAAATTTGTATCCAGTGCGCCAACTACCATCAACATGCACCAATACTCCGTGTTGCTTTCCAAATTTAAGAAAAATGATAATATAAGCAAATTTTTTCGCATCTTATCGACAAACAACGACAGAAATGGTAAAACATTTGTATCCACAATGGAAGGAATAAGATATCCCATTTATGGCATTCAGTGGCATGCAGAAAAGAATTCGTTCGAATGGAATCTGAATGAAAATATTCCTCATCAAGCAATGTCAATTAGACTAACACAATACATGTCAAATTTCTTTGTAAACGAAGCCAGATCAAGTCAACATAAGTTTCCTACACTGAAAGAGGAAGCAGCAGCCCTAATTTATAATTATTCGCCATTTTATACTGGAAATATATCCAACTTTGAACAGTGCTATATATTCAAATCTAAAACTATTCACGTTGAGCATTAATTCCGAATACTAATAATCTTTATATAAGTTAAAGTTGATCTCACATTTTGAACAGAAATGTGTCTCAACAAATTTTAGTGTGGCTTAGAAGACACTTGGATTACAGTAGAGTATAGACTATAGGCCAATTATCAGCCAGGTGAAAAACTCACTGGAGTACTAACATCAGTGTACATGTGTATTTCAACCCAACGCATTTATCCAATCCCATGCATTTAAATCATTAGCATGTGCACTGAATCAATTTGTTATTCGTTAAAAGTTTATGTGTAATAATTCTTCAACTGGGGGATCCCACGGAATTCGCCCCTCTCTGGAGCGAAATATGGGACCCTGGGTACGAGGTTAATCGAATGGTTTGATCTCGTTATTGTTGTATTTGACGATCTTGTTCGTGCTACTTCTCCGAACAAAATTTGAAAGGCTATAATCAGTTTCTATAGTATAAAGGCTAGTTTCCATCCAGAAAATTATCGCGAGTGAAAGTTTCTTGACACGAAGTAAAATTAGGAAACTTTCCTGACCGTTCCTTGTTTATTAATACGATGATTGCGATGATTAGGCTGATAAAGTGATATTGATAACTGATAAGCCACCTGGAGCCGCGGTTATATAAAACTCTTTGGCGACTGCGTAGTGATTGGTCAATTCTGTAACTACGTTTTTACACAACCGGCACAAATTGCTCTTGTGTCGGGACTTAAACAGGGCCGTGGTGAAGGAGTGAGAATTGCAGGTGACATGTGATAGTGACCAACTTTTTAACGAAAACTATTTCAGTGAACGGGATCTTCCCAGTGAATATTTTTGCCAAATTGATTTAGCGGAACGGCATTGGTATGAGAAATTGGTTGAAAAATGTTCCAGGCTCATGGTAATGATGCACAGCCATCAATGATGCAAAGGCCAAGCAAATAAAAATTCAAAACTGATCGTAAAGACTCTAGATTCTCAGAAACAATAATTCCAAAAAATATTTATTCAAAAATATTTATTATGAAATAATTTCAAAATATTTTGCAACCAAGAACAAAGAAAGATCGACTCTGTGTATGAGCACTCTATGTATTGCAAAGCAATTCAACAAACCACTTTCAGTAACAATGTGAATTAATAGAAATATCACCTTCCCAATCACAATTCCTCTGGGCATCAGAAATGACAACATTCAATAATATATGAAATACAAGTGATGGAAAATGAATATGGTACCTTGCAAATTAGTATTCCAGTTGAATTCTGCAACATCCTTAAGAATATAGAACAAAAATTGATCAATTCATACCATCAGTGGCGTAGCCAGCCTGACGATTTTATCCCGCTATGTAAATTTCGAGTCATTATAATTATTTGTGCCTTTAGAAATCTATTGTTTTCACAGTCAGTGAACACTAAGATATTAGCATAGCGGGACAAATCGACAGGCTGGCTACGCTACTGCATACCATCTATATTCCCAGCCTAGAACTTTGCACTAATTAACTGGTAGTTTCTAAATAAATCACATGGTAATTAAATTAGGTCACACATATATGTTTAGTATCTACAAAAGTCTACATGAAACTCTGCATTGAAGAATGAACTTTTAAAAGCCAAAAGAATAAGAAACTTTCTCAAGTAGTTGTATGATGCTATATACACACCTCAGTTTCAAGGCCATGTCCAAACTTTGTTACATTATTCACCATGGCAACCATTGCTACACTCAGATTTACTCTCAAGGCATATGCATTAAAGAAACCAAACATAGCCAGAAATGTAACCATATAGCGCTTTGGGATAAATGAACACAAACAGCCCTGATCTTCCCAACTGAACTGATTAGTTGAGTCCACTAAGTTTTGCATTAATGTGTCTTTAATATCTTGCTGGTCATCATTGTCTGTTTGGCTCCTTCTTTCTGTCATAGGAAACTGTTCCTCCTTCTGTTCCATTATGTCACTTTCTAAAACATAACACAAACAATGTTACAGGGATCAGAAATCTGAAACCCTACATTCCCTACAAGTAACTTTTAAAAAGATGCACAGGGCCAATTAATCTAATAACCTGGGTCTTGTTGGATAAAACCTGTAGGTAAGTTAAGGTAACTTAAAATTTGTTATTCTGATTGGCTAACTGTTACTCACTGTAGTTAAAAGCTACCGCCTTTTTATACAAATAGCTTCAGATACTCTAGATACAGCAACCTTTGTTTTAATTCAAGTACAATATCATTGACCAAAATGAAAGTGGGATGAAGATCAATTTACATTTCTAGGAACTATACTACTTTCCACCACCTTCTTAAATTCACTAGTGTAATTAAAGTTCCACTACACCCCTGGGCAATCAGTGGCATAATTTAAGAATGATAATCGAGGGGTGTTTATTCACATATTCAGTTCTGCCTGATGGATTTCTTTTGTAAGTGCAATAGTAAATAGGTTAAAATAGAAATCCATTGGGCAGAACTGAATATATGAATAAACACCCCCGAATTTTTGTTCTATTGCTTTGTAACAATCTTTTGATAATGCTCAAAATCAAAAATTTCACTGACATTTGGTAATGAATTACTGGCAGATGATAAAAAAGTGAATTGAATAAAGCATTTTATTTCATCAATGATCGGTGTCAGTGATCACCAACAACGTACAGCCCTTTGGCTATTTGCCTATGAATGTGATATTAAAATGGGAACCACCTATGATGCAGAAAGAATTACAAGTATTGACTTTTCTTTTAGAAGGAAAGAACCCTGGGTGCAGTTTAATTTATATCCTGACTACACCAAACAGGAGTGAGTCACAGCTAGATTTGCGGTAGACATGACATGGCAGCTGTACACCTAAAGATTATATTAATATATTGAAATGAGCAAAAGTAGCTACCTATACTATATTCGTTTAAAATACTTCACACATGCTGTAGCAAATGGCCGGAGGTAAATTTGAAATCATGGGTCATGACACTGTCAAGAATCACAATTATAACTTACTTTTTGAACCTTCTTCCATGTTAAAAAGGCCTTACTAGGCTGTTAAATAACATTTTGTCGCCACGACATGTTGATCTTCGCATGAATACTCATTATTCAAAACCCCCCACACGTTTGCTTTGTTGAGCGCATTGATATGATCGCTGACAGAATTTTGCGTAAAATTACCAAGTCAAATGAGTAACTCATTGAAATGCAGACAACACTTCAAACCTGTGCTTCGACACAGGAAGAACTGAAGTACTTCATCTTGTAAAGGTAAATGTACTTGTATTTTTTACTTTGGGTGATTGGCTATTGGATGAATCATAGATGAACAAACTAAATAAAACCGTATTGATTTAGTTTTGAAATTAATCAATGAACCATGTTGGTTTATTCATCTCAATGCTTTGGGCACGGTATGGGGTGTTTTTTTGCGCTTAGGCAGTCAGGTTGTATAATGTTCTGATTCTGATGGAACAAAACTTTTTGCCAGATTTTCTCTTCATTGAAAATACGAAATTCCTTTGAAGGGCCTGTGGAGGAGATAGCGCCAGTGATGAAACTAACTTTTCAATCCAACAGCTTTTTGCACTCTTTTTCGAATACAGTAAGTTTTCGATTTTACTGACACCCAGGTAGTACACCGAAAAAACAGTTTACTGAAAGAGGGATGCAGTGTCCTTAGTCCTCAGTAACTGGCAGAAATTGATGCCACAAACAAAAATTTAATCTATTAAAATTTATTATTGGACTAAAATGTTGCCAACGTACGTTCTAATTACTTTTAATTATAGTATATATGTGCATATAGTTTTCAAACTTTTATTTACAACTGCGGGACTATTTAAACTATAGATAAATTAAAATCGTCTGTACAAATTTTAAAAGACCGAGTATATATATATATGTATATAAACTGTTCTTTATAATGCATTTTACATAGCTAGCACGTCAAGGACAGGAGTATCAGCTACTTGAAAGAAAACTGGGTGGGAATACTTCGAATGAACTGTTTTCAGATTTCTCTTGGGCTGAACTGAGATAAGAAGGTTAAGTTTCGCCACTAGTTCGGATAGATCGTCTCGAGTGTAGCCTGTATAATAAATCAAAGTAGATGTCCACTCGTTCATATCTTTCATGGCCATAGCTAAGCAAAGGCAAGCAGCAGCCATCTTCGAAGCTCTAACGGGGACAAAGTCGTATTCTAATAAGGATGTCTCGAGGATATAGCGAGCCAATGTTAACGTTTCCATGTTAGCATCTGCAGCCTAAATAGAAAAGAGCAGATAATACACTTGAAACGCATTTTCATAAAACCATCACCACACATGCGATTTCATGAAAATTCGAGGCTGGTGTAGAAATATTACAGTATGTGCATTTTAATACACCTAAGGAACGTAAGGTAGTATCGATGAGGATCCGGGCTGCTAAAACAACGCGCAGAACGGCTAAATGGACACAATATTTTGATATGAAAGAAAACAAATCAGTCGTTCTAACCTTGGCAAATCTTCGCAAAAATCGATAAGGAATAGGAATAGCTAAACAATAGCCCAGAGAAGCGAAAACTTTTATTTCCATTTTCAGAAGATCAGATTTCTTGTAAGCATCGTCGCAAATAAACAGAAAGTCATCAAGGTATGGCGGATGTCTCTCCTATAAAAATAATTCTAGTTTTATGATTTGAACGTCTTAGGCATAAACAGCATAAACGGGTTAAAACCAAAAAGAAAAATATTTAAAATATATTATTTAAAACCAACCTCGATCTTGCAAGCAAGGAAAACAGCTGTAGCCCCAAGTAACTGAAGTTCTTCCCTTTCAATATTATTTTTCTCTAGATAATGATCCACTATTTTCACAGCAAGGTATAATGTTTCATGGTAAAGTTCAAAATTTTCCTGAACTTCAACTAGCCAGTCAACCAAGATGGCTCTCATATTGGCATTGATCTTTGGTTGTGTGGACATATACGCTGTGAGAACATACACTTCCTGTGAAAGGGTTGAAGCAAATGTAGAAATTAAGATTGCTTACTAAAAACTGAATAGAATTTTTTCAAATATTGTAAAGTAAAGATTATTTCTCTCTGTGGCTACATTTTCAATAAATACCCTTTTAACTGATATCATTGGGTATGTGCATTAAGGTAGGGTTTTACACACCTCTTGCTTTTTCATATTTTTGAAGATTTCATTCGCATACTCAGCCATTGCAAATTCATCTGAAGTATCTTCATCTATATCATTGTAAACTGGTTTCTCAACTTCATGTTTTGCCTAGCAAGAAGTATTTTAAATAATCAAATATATACATATGGGTAGTAGCTATATACAAGTTTCATCATCACTTGCAGTATCAAACTGCTATACATACTGTAACAGCACGCAAAGCCTAAATTGATCATGCAACACAATTTTATGTGACAAACAAAATTGTGGTAACTCACTTGTAATACAACATCCAATTCAAGGGTTTTAACACTAGGAATACTATATATATAAAAATAAGATTTAATTAGGTTACCTAGAATCCCCGTTCATTTTGCAATTCACAAAATGAAGAATTTGGCTTCATTGGATTTTGACCAGAAGAATGGGTGAAGCAACTGCAGGGCTCTTTTAGACAAATATAAGTTGCTTCGATCAAACTCTCCTTTCATATAGCTAACAAAATTTTAATCCAACTACTTAACTATACAATGGTGAGCACAGTATTAAGGTGTGGTCACCGTCAACCAAACTTATATGGTCATGTTGCCATAAATGAGTGTAAAATATATATACTTTTTACTGTAAATTCACCTAATAATTTCTGTTTGGGGTTCTTCAGTAAAAACTATATCTTTCACATCCTCTTCAGTAAAGGCAGGTTCTGAAGTTTTGCTGCAAAAATTATGCAAGAATTGCATCGTTTTAACGATCATCGTTCAACTATAAAATATCTACGGGGCCAAACAATATACCTTGTCTTTTCCAGTTGTGAAGCACGTACGGATTTCTCTTGATTTTCAGCGTTTTTCTTCGCCACAAAACCGGCTTCTTTTGACCTTCTGCGCGTCTGGTATGTCGAAGGCTGGCGAATAGCATTCTTTTCTGCATTGGATTTCACGGTACATTTTGACTTTGATTTTCTTACGTTAGTTTCTAGCTTTGAAGCCTAAAAAATTATTGAAATTTGTAAGCAAGGAGGAAAAATACTTCAAATTCTGACGCAAGATTTTCGAATATACGGTATTAAAGAAGATAACCTTGCATAAACATACATTTGTCATATCTCCTAAAGCAGATCGCTTTCTCGTGGGAGCGTTGTTCGGGGATTCTTCAGCCTGTCTTTTCGCATTTTCGTTAGACTTTCTTCGATCAGAAGCCATGATTCTTGAATTTGTCGTATTCCCCTTGCAAGCGATGCTTTCCTATAAAGAAATTATCGGCAAAATTTTCATAAGAAAAAGGCTGTTAAATTGCCCACGTTGCGAGCACGCGGCGTTCTTCGTCATTCGAACTGGAAGCAAAGTATTGCGATTCAGTATAGAAACCTTCGCATTTTTCTGGTTTGAAGTAAGAGAGATACGTTGAGATTTCATTGCCGTGTACGTCTTTGACGAGAATACTGGAACAGTGTGACTTGCAGCAAAAATATTAACTCTTGTAGACTTCTTCCCGAACTCTGAATGAATCGAACGTCGACTGCCGAATTTGTTTATTGCCGGGCTTTAAATTACCAACACTTGATTGGTTCATGACGACTGGGAAAACCAATCATATTCATTCTTTGCCAAATAGAAAATACGTACCCGTAGCAACCACTGAGCTATGTATATAAAATGTATATATAATTCTTCGCCTATATTTTTCGCGCATGATTTTCTTCTGACCAACCCATGGCCGCTAGACGTTAGGAATGCATATTCGCAATCCACGTTGATATTTATATTCGATCAATGACAATAAAATCTGGGCCTTATAGTAGTTGATTTTTCAAAAAAAATACTCTAGAAAAAAATAAATTCAAGAAACAGAATTAAGTGAATACAATATGCTGTAAGGCATTGTGCGTCTTTTTTAGGGTCTGTAGAAATAAACAATTATGGATTGGAGACCATTTCTTTATGGAGGCTTGGCGTCAATGACAGCAGAAGCAGGTTAGACTTGAGTGTGTCCTAAACGAAAATTTAGATTACTTTGTTCCATTTTTATAACAAAAATAGATACTTCATATTATTCCTGGGTGTGGTTCAACTTTCAATTTGCAATTCAATCATTTGAAAAAGTTCCTGTCACTTTACTTTATAATGCCACAGTCAGGGAGAGAGGGGGAGTTACGATCATAACCTAAAACCTTTTTCATTTTTAACAACTTTAATAACGTACTTAATATTGCGTTAAGTTAAATTAGGAATAAATTAAGAATTTCATTTGGATTTTAAAACTGATAGCAACATTCCCCATTGATACAACAAAAACAAGACTTCAACTGCAAGGTCAGCATATTGATGTTACCAATAAAGAAATAAGATACAAGGGAATGTTTAGTGCCTTTGTGAGGATATCAAAGGAAGAAGGTGCAAGAGCACTGTACAATGGGTAAGGAAATTATGTAGTTTACAGTTGTTGCATTAAACTATTGGGTAATCTCTAATACATGTTCTAACTTCTAATATATATCTTTTTTGAACAGAGTTGCACCAGCTTTACTACGTCAGGCAACATATGGTACAATAAAAATTGGCATGTATCATGGGATTAAAAGAATCATTGTCAAAGATCCTAAAGGTATGGGATCACTGATAAGACACTTAAACAGTACAATGAAAAATATGTACAGATTAGTTCTGCACATAAACTAATTAGCTTATAGTGAAACACACAGTGTAAGCAAAGTCTCAGGTCAATACATACATATACACACATTGCCAAATGTATAGCTAAGCTTGTTTTGTAGTTTTTGATGTAGCTTAAATTTATTTAGATATATATTTCCTACTTAAATTTTTTTAGAAGCTGACTTGTATGTACTTTAAAATATTCTTTTTAGATGAAAAATTTTATTATAATATAATAAGTGGCATTGTTGCTGGTGCAGTTGCTGCTGCTCTTTGTACTCCTACGGATTTGTTAAAAGTAAATATGTTGCATTTGCGGTATTGTAGTTATTTGCATTATTTTGTACAGTAGCTGTGTTTTCATCCATAAACACTAGCATTGTAACAGCTAACTATAATTGGTATAACTTAGACCTGTATTGTTTTAGGTTCGTATGCAAGCGCAAAGTCAAGGTGTGGCACCAGCAAAAGGAATGTTTTCATCATTTGCTGCAATATTTCGAGAGGAGGGTTTTTCGGGTCTATACAGGGTTGGTTTACATTTCACATCTCATATATAGTAGAAACTAGCTATTTTATTATAATACATGCAACATGCCAAAAACTTAATATTTTATGACACCATATTTGATTGCAGTTACTCCATGTTCATGACACTGAAAGCTAATTCCTACCCAGTCACTGTTCCTACCTGATATATGCCATAATTGCTCCTATAGGGTGTTGTTCCAAATGCACAACGTGCTGCTGTAGTTGCTGGTGTTGAATTAGCTGTTTATGATTGGTGCAAGAAGAAAATTTTAGATAATGAACTTATGGAGGACAATGTTTATACCCACTTTCTGTGAGTGTAATATGTGTGACATATATTGAACTATATGTAAAACTTCTTAAACTGGCCAAAAATAATCAAAAATTGAAACGTTGTTACAGTTTAAATGTTAGAATTTTTGCCTTTCTTTAGCATGCAATTTTTTTCAGTAATTGCAGTGATTGGTCAGTCATGAATTTGAGAATTTCTGATTACTGTAGATCCAGTTTTACTGCAGGCTTTGCAGGAGCTGTAGCTTCAAATCCAATTGATGTTGTCAAGGTAATGTTGTTTTAAATGTCGTGAATGTTAGTAGCGTCTTAGTTGTTATTAGCAAGGGAACAAGTTAATCGTTAACAAGTTAATTCGTGAGCGAACAAAAACTGACACTTGATTGACATATTAGATAGAGCAAGAGAGAGAGCGTGCGAGCAAGTGAGATTAGAACTAAAATAAAAATATCTTAAACAAAGGCGTGAAAATACTTCTTCAAACCAATTGTGGGAAACAACAAAATTCTCCACAAAGTGGCACCTTCGACGGCGATTATTATCTATTTGTGACTTGGAATTTATCGAGAATTAATCGGGGTTTGAGGATGTATTTTGACTAAAAAATCGAGCGTGACATGGCGGTGACGAGACAACAAAGTCAACGAATTGATCTTGAAGCACAAGAGCAGTCGGGTTTATCTAATGAAACGGAGACGAAAGTAGGAATCTTCCAGTCAGTATTGCGAAAATTATCATATTTTAACCGAGCAACAACCGAGATTTTGAGAGGGAATTCGATAGAAGCGATTAAACGACAACAAACAACACTAAAAACCAAAGTAGACGAAGCTTATGATTTGATTGTATTAATACAAGGCTTGAAGGTTGATGCGGGCCAAGAAGATGAAGTTATTGACGAGTGGACAAACGAAAACAAAGGCAAGTTACGCGTATTTGAGGAGGTTATAGAAGAGTTAAATAATAAGCTTTTAGACGACGAAGGAAAACGAAAGGAAATTGAGCGTCGGGAGAAAATTCGACAAGAAGCAGAAGCACGAGCTCAAATTAGAGATGAGGAAAGAGAGATAGAATTGGCAAAGCGTGAAAGAGAAGAAGAGTTTGCGTTATCTCTTGAGGAAAAGAAGCTAGAATTAGCTGCTGCGAAGCGGGTTAAAACGAAGTTGCCTGAGCTGCAAATCTCGAAATTTCAAGGAACTCATTTAGATTGGGTTCGGTTTTGGGGTCTATTTGAGACCCAAATTGATAAAGCTCCCATGAAAGACGAAGCAAAGTTTGCATATTTAAAAGAACATCTTGTACCTAAAGTTCGAATTACAATTGATCAATTACCACTGAATAGCGAAGGGTATGCAAAAGCGAAAAGGATGTTGGAGCAAAGATATGGTGACGCAAGCGAGGTAGTCAATGCACATATTCAAGAAATTCTGTCTTTACCTACTATTACTGGCGTATCAAAACAAAAGATACACAACTTTTATGACAGTCTTTTGGGGCATGTTCAAGCTCTTGAAGCATTCGGAAAATTGGGGGATGTTGCAGGAAATGTAAGGATGACGTTGGATAAATTAGAAGGCATTCGAGCTGATTTAACGAGAACCTCATCAGATTGGAAAAGGTGGACTTTCCCGGAGTTAGTTGAGGCATTACGACAGTGGATTGAGCGAAACCCATTACAACAAAGTGATAAAAAAGATGGATTTTCATGGAAAGATGGTAAGCGAGATAAGTTATTGTTAACAAAGGAACAATCTAAACATTGCGTATATTGTGAAAGCAAAGATCACAGATCTGTGGAATGTGATAAAGTGGTGAATGTCAGTGACCGGAAGAAAATTCTCAGCGACAAGCACCGGTGTTTCAACTGCACTGGCGAAAAGCATAGAGCAAGTGATTGCAGAAGTAGGAGCCAATGTTACAACTGCAAGAGAAGGCATCACACTTCTATTTGTGATAAACTAAACGCAAATCAAAAACTGCTGTGTCAACCTAGTGGGAAGGATGTAGTTTATCCAGTTGTGGTGGTAGAGATGGGAGGACTAAAGTGTCGAGCACTTTTAGACACTGGGTCTGGGAGTTCATTTGCATCAAGCACGTTGTTAAACGCAATTGGAAAAAAGCCAATAAGACAAGAATTTAAATCAATAGAGATGATGCTTCAAACAACAACAAGGAAGATTGATGTTTATGAGGTGGAGATTGCAGCTGTTGATGGCAATTTCAAGATGTCATGTGAACTGAATCGAATCGACAAGGATGTGCTAATGAAAGTGCCAAATCCGAGGTATAAAGAACTTATTGAAACCCATGAACACCTTAAAGGAGTACATATGAATGATATTGATGAGAAAGCACTTTTACCTGTGCATCTAATCCTAGGTGCCAGTGATATGTCTAGAATCAAGACAACTGTACCTGCTAAGGTTGGGAACGATGGGATGCCAATCGCTGAGAAAACTGCTTTGGGATGGATTATCATGTCACCGGGGCGAGAGAAGAACCATTCCTACTTGATGTTTACCAAGAGCTCCCAAGAAGACTACATGCATCTTTGTAGTCTGGACGTGCTTGGATTAGAAGACCATGTTGAAGGAGATCAAGGGAGCGTGTATCGAGAATTTAAAGAACAGCTTACTCAGCAAGAGGACGGTCGATATGAGACATCGTTACCATGGAAGGCTCACCATCCGGAGCTGCCGACCAATTACCTTGTAGCCAAGAGGAGATTTCAGTCATTATTCAACCGACTTGACAAACAGCCTGAACTGCTGAAGACTTATCATGATATAGTGGAAAATCAACTCAAAGATGGAGTGGTCGAGATTGCGCCTGAGAAACCTGAAGGGAGCCGAGAGCATTACATTCCCCACAAACCGGTAGTACGAGAGCAAGCCGAGTCTACGAAAGTAAGAATTGTGTTTGATGCTTCGGCAAAAGCTGATCAAAAATCCCCATCATTGAATGATTGCTTGGACATTGGTCCCCCACTCCAAAGAAGAATCCTTGACATACTACTTCGTAATCGACTTAAACCTATTCTCTTAGCTGGTGATATAAAACAAGCGTTCCTACAAATAGTGATTAGAGAGAACGAGCGAGATGCGATGAGATTTTTATGGATAAACGATCTACAATGCAAAGAGATGGTGGTGTATCGTATGACCAGAGCGATGTTTGGGCTAGGCCCAAGCCCATTCTTACTCGGAGGGACTTTGAACGTTCATCTCGAGAAGTATGCAGAGCACTATCCACAATGTGTTGAAGAATTATCTGAAGGAACGTATGTTGATGACATAAACATCGGAGGTGATAAAGTAGAGGAGACGGTAGTACTCAAGGAGCAAGCCAAAGAAATTCTCAGCGAGGGAAGCTTTGTTTTGCACAAATGGCATTCTAATGCCTGCGGAGTTAGAGAGTGACAACGTGGAAGACGGAGAATCTACCTTTGCTAAAGAAACTTTGGGAACTAAGCCATCGGAGACCAAGCTCCTGGGACTGGGATGGAACAAAAAGGAGGATACTTTGTCTGTATCACTACCAAAGCAGAAAGTAGAAATGACCAAACGGATAGTTCTTCAAACAATGGCGAGAGTATATGATCCCCTGGGTTTAGCTAGTCCATATTTACTCACAGCTAAAGTAATCTTCCGTGATATATGTGATCGTAAGCTCGGATGGGATGCTGAATTACCTAAAGATCTGAAGGATCGATGGAAGCGGTGGTTAGATAGATTACCAGGCAGTTTAACCTTCCCAAGAAGTATCCCTCGAGAGAGAGTCGTCACTACCGAGATTTACATTCATGGTTTCGCTGATGCAAGTATTCTGGGATGTTGTGCCGCTGTCTACGTTGTGACCAAACAGGGTGCTCTAGTTTCTCAAGGGCTGCTAGTGTCCAAAACGAGACTGGCAAAGCGAGATTTAACAATTCCAAGATTGGAACTAGTGAGTTGTCATATGGTCTGCAATCTTATTGACAATGTCAGAAAGGTTCTTAGTCATCTTCCAGTGATAAGCGTTTGTGCGTGGAGCGATTCGACCGTTTGTCTACAGTGGATTAACGGACAGGGTAACTATAAGCAATTCGTAGCAAATCGAGTGAAAAAGATCACCGAGAAGCAAATCGAGTGGAAGTATGTTCCAACTCTGGAAAACCCTGCAGATATCGGCAGTCGAGGTACAACACGAGATCTTCAAGCGAATGAAACCTGGATGAAAGGGCCTAGTTGGTTGAGTGAAACTGAAAAATGGCCGGAGCAAGTAAAGATCAAACCGAGCGAGAAGTCCGAGTCAGAAAGTCGAATGATGAGAGAAGTAATGAAAGTTACCATTCAGAAAGAGGCCGATTTCATCGATTGTTTACTAGAGAAATTCGGTCTGACTAAAACTGTTCGAATTTTAGCTTGGGTCACGAGATTTATTGACAACTTCGTGTGTGGCAAGAAAGTCAACGGACCATTAGTGACCGAAGAAACACAGAAGCAGATGAAGTTCTTGATTAAACGCGCACAATCCGAGAGCGAAGCACTTGAGATCTTCAAAGTGGATTCTACCAGATTAAATCTTCAAAAGAATGGCGAGGGAATATACGTGTGCCAAGGACGAATCCAAGGTGAATATCCAGTGTATCTGCCAGCAAAACATGTATTATCTGAATTGGTCGTAAAGCAAGCTCATATGAAGACCCTGCATGGGGGAGTTGCCCTGATCATGAGCAAAGTCCGTGAAGAATTCTGGATTCCTAAATTACGAACTTTGGCGAAGAAAGTTCTCAGTTGTTGTTATGGTTGCAAGCGGTTCCATATAGTGCATGAACCAACTCCACCTCAAGGTAATTTACCAAAAGAAAGAACCGAAGGGATGACGCCATTTGAAATCGTTGGTGTAGATTATGCTGGCCCTATTTACTATCGAAACAAGAACAATGAACAGAAATCGTATATCCTTATCTACACCTGTTCCTTAACAAGAGGGCTCCACTTGGAACTTTTACCTGATTTGAGTTGTGAGGAATTCCTGGCAAGTTTCAAGAGGTTTGTAGCGGTTCGCGGTAGACCAAAGAAGATGATTTCAGATAATGGTAAGACCTTTCATGCTGCGGCGAAGTGGATTAAGAAAGCAACCCGAGATGAAAGGTTTCACGCATTTCTGCACGACTATCAAATTCGATGGCAGTTTAATCTGAGTAAAGCAAGTTGGTGGGGAGGTATGTTTGAGAGGATGGTCGCGTTGGTAAAGAATTCGTTGTACAAAGTTGTTGGTTCTGCAAAACTCACCTACAAGGAGTTGCAGGATGTGTTGCTAGATATCCAGATAGCACTCAATAATCGACCATTAACGTATTGCGAAGATGACGTGCAATTACCTGTTCTCACGCCTAACCTGATGATATTGGGTAAAGCCAATTATTTATTGGAACTTCCGAGTGCTGAAATTGAAGATGGTGATATGCGAAAAAGAGCAAAATATTTGAAGAAATGTAAAGAGGCGTTATGGCGGAGATGGCGAAATGAATACATGAGAGCGCTTCGAGAAAGACACGACTTACGACATAACGGGAAAAGCGGAAATTTACGAGAAGGTGATGTGGTACTTATCAAAGGAGAAGGAAAGAATCGAGGAACGTGGAAGATCGGAATCGTGGAAAGATTAATACCGGGGAGAGATGGAATTGTCAGGGCGGTGAGACTTCGTGCCGGCAAAAGTTATCTAGAAAGACCTATTCAGTTTCTTTATCCAATGGAGTTACACAGTGATGAAAGGGACTCGGAACAAAAACCACTGAATCCCGAAGTTGAAGAGTTTAAGCCAAAGCGGAAAGCGGCGGTTGAGGCAACAGTGAATATTCGGCGAATGCAAGAGCTTGAAAATGAAAGTGACTAACATTTATGCATGAGTTATACAAACGACTGGAAGTGACTGGGACAATCTAATAACAGTCAGTAAAACAGTTTATATTCATATTTTTATATTTAGGATGTTTAAAAATAGGGGGAGTGTGTCGTGAATGTTAGTAGCGTCTTAGTTGTTATTAGCAAGGGAACAAGTTAATCGTTAACAAGTTAATTCGTGAGCGAACAAAAACTGACACTTGATTGACATATTAGATAGAGCAAGAGAGAGAGCGTGCGAGCAAGTGAGATTAGAACTAAAATAAAAATATCTTAAACAAAAGCGTGAAAATACTTCTTCAAACCAATTGTGGGAAACAACAAAATTCTCCACATAAAAGATATTCTATTAAACATGGACCTTTATATGTATAACAATGCCTTTCTTTTTCATTTCCTGATATTTTAGACAAGGTTAATGAATCAACGGAAACTTAAACACAATGAAGGTGGAGCAAAGATTTATAGGAATTCTTTAGATTGCATTCTAACGGTGAGTATTTTTCGTTTCGTTTGTACTATTTTTCAAGTATGTCGCGTGCGCATCATTTAATGTTTATCATATTGATCACGCACGGGTATTTTTGGGCTGTCTAGTATAGTCTATAGGAGTGTTTTAGGAGGATTTCTTTTTCAGACACGTATCAATGGTACAGTATATAGGTGACATTGTATGTCAGACTTTAGCGAGAAAATTTAAAAGACAAAAATTTTATTTTCCCTTTTTTTTAAGACAATACGGACAGAAAGATTTTTCGCATTGTATCGTGGTTTTATTCCGAATTTTGTTCGCCTTTGTCCATGGAATATTGTTGTATCCTTTTTGATATGTATAATAATCGTAGAAACATCATTGTGAATTGTATGGCCTTCTGCCTCTGCTCTGCACTCAACATTTTTACAACCAAATCATCGAAAACTAATTATAAACTATATATATTAATATCTCAGTACAATAAATAGAGAAAAGATTTATTCGTTTTGCGCAAGTGCCGCGGGATACGAAATGCTGCAAAATTTAGGCCTCCATCAATTATCAAAATTCACGCGCTGGCATTAGGAATGCACGTCAGTGCTGGGATCAAGAGGGATGAGGAATCAATGTGCTTGAATATGGAATCCACAACGTTTATTTCTTTACATAGTCTATTTATCGGAATAGACCATAAGTTCTTGTATTAACACTCTAGTAAAGGCTTATATGATTATATCCTTAACTGGTTTTCAGTTCTTTATGTCATTCGAGCAATATAAGAAATTTGGTGATAATGTTTTATGATTGTGAATGGTAAATTTGTAGGGTTTGAAAATTACTTTTTAACATACATTGAACAAGAAAAATTATGTTTTAATTTTATATTCTATAAATTATTGAACTGATTTGGTTTGTTGTTTCCTATTCAGTATCCATAGGCGTCATCTTAGTTGATTCTACAAAGTTGATTTACCATGTATCTCTATAGTATGATTACATACATAGAATAGTTTAAAAAAATGCCTGAAAATATTAATTTTGCAGCAAACACTCACTTTTAAAAGAACAACCAAGATGGCGGCTATTGCAGACTGTCTATAATTTGTTTCACAAGTTTAACTTCTACGTATTTTGTATTGCAGCTTACAACAACTTACTGATTTAAAAAACTAGATAGTACATGTCAATCACAATTCATGAGTTGGTTTCTTTTTATAAAATAATCCTACCCATGCACTCACCCCACCAATCAAATATCAACAATATGCATTGCGTTTTTCTGAACACGGCCAAAATCATCGTACCGGTCCTATTTTATAGTTTACTAAAGAGGACTGCATGTTGCGATCTTAAACACATATAATCATGGATTGGTGGTAATCTGTATTAAATACAACAGCACCGGTGTGAGCGTTTTTGCCGTGTACGCGCACGTTATCCCCGACGCGAATTTGTTCGCTTGACCGGAAATCCGAGTCCGTCAATGCGATTTGTCAGCGAACTTTGCCGAATCAGTATGAATCTGTATGTACCGTACGAAGTTCCAGTGAACTCTAGTTCGAACAAATTCGCCTCGTGGAAAACAGGCTTAAAAGAAAACGCGATATGACACTATACCTATAAATTATACTCATCAATGTTATTATATTAAAGTAGTAAGAATTTCGCCTGTTTATCTAAATATCTATTTAATGTAATCTATATTCAGTTCACTCTATCTTGTTTTGCTTAATATTCATCGTTTCACAAAGTTCATCAAAATGTTTTTCAAAATTCGCCACAATCTCCTTAGGCTGAGATATAACCGCCTCATCAGACATTACTCCTATATTAATATGACCGTTATAACTAAATATTGACATCATGATTGCGATATTTGCCCGCGCAGGCGGCCAGAATACCCCACCTATTGCTTTGTTACCACCGATGGTTAGGGTTAGTTGTGGGCCAGGAACGTTCGAGAGAACACATGACATTTTATACGAGAAGATATCGAGAATTGGTTTTGAAATGAAGTGCGGAAGCAGCATCAGCAGACGGACTGTGCTTGCAGCAACGAACGGTTCTGCAGATTTCTTTATCTCATCCATACGTGTCTTGGTCTCGATCAACTGTTCCATATTGCCTTCAACGCCAACTGGAGCTCGGAGAAAAACTAAAGCAAACTTGTTTACAAACTTCATTGATTTCTTATCCGCTCTGACATCAACAGGGACCGCAGCCCAGATGTCTTGTGGTTTTTTATCGGTATGATCTTGTAGATAGCGCCTTAATGCTCCAGACAGACATGAAGTCATCACATCATTCACTGTGGTTTTGGTTTGGTTTTTCATTTCTTTGACAGTTGCAAGGGAAAATTTCTTCGACCATGCGACAATCCTCTTACCATTTAATGCTCCTCCATGGATTTCTGAGTTATCTGCTGGTGAGAAACATTTTGTTAGCACTGTCATTGGTCCAACCAGTGCTGCCTTACACCACATTAATAACCGTTGTTTCGTTGAAAATCTGATTGGCTCATAGTCTCTTACCGGAACATCGAAAAGATTGTTCACAAATAACCTTGTTAATGCAATCCCATCTGCGTAGCTATGATGGATTCGAAACACAAAACAATGTGAGTTATCGAGGTCTGGTGTCGGGACTAAGATAAACTCCCAAAGCGGCATTTCGTAGGTTAATGGCAGTGAGCATATCTTCGATACTACCTCTTGAAGCTCTGATGTGGTTGTCGGTTTCCGTTCTTGCCATAATTTCACATGTTTTTCGATATTAAATTGCGCATCCTCTATCCACACGTATTGTCCGTACATTGTATCAATCCGACACGTCAAACGCGGACATAACTTCTCACCATTTTCCCGCTTGAAGTTCACTAACCGTTTCGCAACAATCTCTCTGAGTTTCTCGACTGTCGACTGTCCTTCCAGGAAGACAACAGCACTGACAATATGGAGGTTTGTTGCTCGATCTTGTTGCCACACAACATCATCAGCAGGAAGAGAAGTAGCGCCTTTCACACGGATTAGTAAACAAATACAGCAATTGTAAGCAAGCAAAAGCAAAATAACCGGTAACAGAACAGGTAGTAGCATCAGACTCGCAACAAATGTGAAGATACAAGCCACCGTATACAACTTGTTTAATTTACTTTTTCGTGTCTGTTGAATTCCCATTATCAAACCTAACAGTAAATTTTCTTTGTCAATAACATTCGATATCGAAAATGCACCTGGACCTTTTTTCTTCAAGTGTGCGCGATGCTCTTGCTAGGAGTAAGATTGCAGACACATATTGTTCGATATGCTTGGAAATACAACTGTCCAGTATATAAATAAAAGGCAATATGATAAAATATTTAACACATGCAGATAACAAATGAGAATTTATCAGTTTTACTTGCCCACATTCAACCGCAAGAGAAAGAACTTAACGTCCACCAAGAGATTGACAGATACTAGTGCAATCAACCTCCTCATATATACATTTGTATTATGTTAATTTATTCTACAAGTCCAGTGCTTGTTTCCAAGCACAGTATTGTTACAGTTATACGCATACGCGTATTTGATTGGTTAGGATTATGCGATTATATCCATGGCCTGATGCGGGTGTCCGAAAGAACGCGTCACTGCAAAGTACGGTCTGTTTTAGGATTGGCAGGGCACGGCTATGCTATAAGATTAAGAACGGGGAAAATCCGGTATGATCCGTATGTATGAGAAATCAGACAAGTCTTTGGCGCCAAGACAAAGTCCTGAAACCGAGAAACTGTACCATTTGTGAGCAGCCATTTAAATGAATGCAACAAAGAGAACAGGATTGGGTTTAAACTGAAGACCATTGAACTGTATAACCGCAGAAAGCACAAAGCCTCAGCATGTCAAAATACATATTTGAAATGTAGGCCATCACATTACACTTAAATATTCGATTCTATTTCTGGTACTGATTTAGCGGAGTAAGATTATATTGCCTCGTGATTCACGACGCGGCCCAACAAGAAGGCACATTAGGAAGGCTTGGTGACAAGCCGCGTCGTCCTATTTTGTTCCTCACGTTACGAAACACAACGCGCTAGCGTAAAACAATAATTTTGGCGAGATTCAACAATCGAATACCACAGAAAATGTAGTCAAAGGAAAAAATTCATCAAACAAGAAAACATAAGAACTTAAATTCAAGTTTTAAATAAAAAATTCTCGATATTCATTTGAAGTTCGTAGCGTAGTGATAACAACGTAAAATTAACAAAATTCCGTCGTAGAATCGTAGAGTAAGCGTCGGAATCACACAAGACGCGTTGGCCGCGCTCGACACCAAGCCTTTCTAACGCTTCTCACTAGCCGCGTCGTGAATCGTAAACTCTCGTAAACGCTGATCTGAATTATCAGTTACAATTACGTACTTGAAAATTAATACTAAGACTATCCATGCTAAGGAGAGAGAAGGTTGTAAGGTCAACAGTGACGCTGGGATTGGAGGCAGCCAACGAGCTCAAAGAATAACAGAATCCTCCAGCGGAAAATCCTCCTGACACTGACACTGAAATAATCTAAAAACGTCAGGCGGCAAACACGGTTTATAGGCTATGTGCACACGGTAACGTTTTCAGGCCGAAACGATTTCAAACACCGTCAATTTACAAAAGACGTTGAACATCTTGAGTATATTTTCCCTTACTTAGGCTTAGATCTTTTGGACAAGGCGTTAAGGGATAAACTAGATAAAAACGCTCGTGTGCACATAGCTTGATTAAATACTAGATAAATATATAATAAATTTGGCCTGAGCTCCGCAATAGTCGTGTGAAAACTTGACGCCCACGATGATTTAGGTACTACTACACCACGCCTACAGAGAGCATCTGTCAGACTGTCACGAGATATCTTATTACTTCGTTGATTAAATCATCGACGGTATCCATGGGCATGGAAGAAAAAGCGTATACCATTGTTTATGGCAGTGAATTTCTTTGCACTTTTAACCAAGTGTCGGAACCAATAGCGCGAATTGTTCTTAAGATTTTAGAGTTTAAAGATGAACTTCTGGATATGAGCAAGCTTTTATCGCATTCGGAAGACATTTCCACCGAAATTGAACAAATCGGCCGGACATTCGTCACCCTAGCGCAAAAGTTGCAAGGACTGGCTCATGAAAGGGAAGCCGGTGCTAAGAAAGAAGCAGAATACGCGCAGGAAAACGTGGATACAAAAGTAAATCAATCTCAGGATTTATGTGATAGAACTAGTGAATGTGACATATTTATAGAGCAATTGGAAGTGAGTTTGATAAATGAACAACAGAAAAATGACATTCTTAAATTCAAGATCCATGAACTTAGTTTGATGCAGGAAGAACGTTTGAAAAGAATAGAAGAACAGGTCGCGCAAGGTAATTAATATTAAAAATTCGTATTTATAAACTGTCACTGGATTCCTTGATCAAAATCATACTGATTGGTCTCCAAAAGTTAATAGATCAATTAAGAATACACACTAGCAAGAATTATGACATGAAAACGGGGGTCTCAATAATGAAAAAATTCGCTGACACAAACAAGACAGACCACCACACAATAGGAGGGCTCAATATACAAATACACTGTGAAGCCTTTGTTGCAGTACATAGAGTTATTCAAATTGGTGCAGCTGGATGGTATGACAATGACATTTCAAAACAAATTTTGGTCAAAAAAAGGTCAAAATCCATTATCAAAAAAATATGGTTGATAGATGATCATCCACTATAATTAAAAAATATTTTAGGGAATTCTTTATAAGATTATATCTGCTATACGAAAGCCAATCTCCTTCGATTAGTTTACAAGCTTAGCAGTTATTTTTTTATTAAAAATTTCTAAACCAAAACTGAAAAACATTCCATTACTCTGTTCATGATCCAGAAAAATTTTACTTGGATATTTTCTCTGATTTACCTCAATTAACTCCATGAAAATAAAAATGGTTGTATAAGTATGCCTATGGACAGCTTGCACATGATACTAAAAACATAAATGCAAAAACCTCATTGGTCATGTACTTGAAATTTGATTTGAAATAATACAGCTGAAAGTGTTGTTAATGAAAGGTTGAAGGTGAAGAAGCTTGATAAGAGAAAAGGGCAAATGCAAAATGTTTTGAAGAGTGGACAAGTTCACAGCAGACATTCCAAAAAGGTACTGACTACTGCCTTTTATACATTCTTCCTATATAATTAATTATACAGATGGTATAATGTATGTGCACAATTGGTTTAACTGATTTTCTTATTAGGGAAGAGTACCCCTATGACATGTACCGACTTCATTTAATTGCTGTTCATTTGCCTGTTTAATAGTCGTCATGTTTATACATAAATTTAGAATGAGCAGAACTTACGAGAGGGTGCAAAGTCACCAACCCCATGGATTCAGGCTTTACCACCATGTCACACCCAAGCCTCTGACCAGGTACAATCCAAATTTCATATAGTCACTGTCATACCATGCATATGAAAGAACCAGTCAACAAATACCATTAGCCCATATTTTAAACAATACAGGAGTCTGTGTACAGAAACTGGGGCCATTTTCCCTGCATTAACACAAAATTTGTACATTTATGTCCAAGTTATTACCCCAATAACACTACTTTGATACTATTTTGAAGGGAGTCTTAAGACACAGACCAGGCATGTAGGGGAGATCTTTACCACCATACCTTGTTTATAATACAAAATTAATTTCACATTCTGCCAAGTGTAGTCGTAGGATTTCTTGTGTGATAGCTATTCTGCAGCCGTTGTTTTGGAATAATTTAGGGTTACCAACACAGACGAGTGGGAACTCCTGTGCCACCCAGGACTTTAAGAGAAAAGAAAGAAGAATTGCAATTAAAAGAGGAAGTAAAATGGTCTCGGGTGAGTTTTGAAACCTCTTCTCAGGCAGGTTATTTGCTTTTACAAGGTCAAGGGTAAAACACTGAAAGCCTCAAGTGAAAATACCGCCATGAAAACGTTATGAGACGATTGAGTGCGAGCATGGATAATAAAAACACGTGCTTTTATTATCCATGGTGCGAGCGAGTTTTTAGAATACCGGCAATAGACTCAAAGAGACATGTACAAAAAATTTTCGTGAGACGCTCCCAAGACCTCCCTGCAACACCCGTATTTTTAAATACCAATTCACCATTTTGTTCAACATACGACTAGTGCGTCTCAAGTCGAGAATTCCCTGACAATGAAGATTTTTTTCATATATACATCTTTGCTAGATTACACCAATGCCTGTTAATCGCACAAGGAAAAAAAATCAACGTAACTTACCTCTTCCTGAGAAAAGAAGTTAAATCGTCAGGATGGTCTTGTCTTGAAATTCGTATATCAGATGACTGCAATGGCGTAAAAGTTGGACGCATGTGTATAGGGAAACACGCATGTGTTGTTTATGGTGTGTGAACGAGGCTAACATTTCGTATAGGAAAGATCTGAACTTATGTACAGACATCTGTAGAATATGTAAAAATTCTCGACATTTCGTCAAGCAGGTTAAGAGAATGTACTTTCGCAGCATATGTGCATGCCCTACGATAGTTTAATGAGGGAGTAATGATTATCGTTTATTAGTATTGTTGTATACCTTACCACGTAAGTAAAACAGTTTTCTGCTAGCTGGGATTTTCCGATCTAACGAAGTTTTTCGGAATTTCCATTTTCTCTTTAATTGTAAAAGTTAGGAAACTAGCAATGAAGTAAACTGGTAAACCGCCTTAATCTACAAGGTTATTTAAGCACGGTCTTCTTCAGGACCCTATCTAAAAGCTTAATTTAGGAAGTTGGGTTGTATATTCGTCTTTACCCAGTCAGGCTTATTTCTTTAAAAAAAATATTGCTCTTACGGTATTTAAACCTAAATGTATGAATATGCACCCACCCCAAAAAAAACTAAGCGGTCAAGCTATACGGTTCCATATTCATATGTTGAATGTTGTGTCCGGTAGCTGACAAGATTAATTGATAAGAGTCATGATTGTAAATAGCTTTACAAGTGAGGAATGAAGGACTTTAAAAGTTTTGCAAATTTTATAATATTTGTAAAGTATGAATTATATTGTGTGTACAAACTACACCAGCTATACAAACCCAATAAGTTTAAAAACCATTTCTGTTTTCTCATTTGGTTATTCCGTACTGTCTTACTCAAAGCTTGAAAAATTTTTACATGTTAGAAAATTATAATCAGAAAGTAGATTTGATAACATGCATTGTGACTTCCTTAGGCTTCGTTAAAATATATTGAGCCACAATCCTTTTACCTCTATATGTTCAATGAAGACGCGAGGCTGTATATGTCCGTGGTCAACCATTTTGCACTTTGCGCATTAAGCATAACTTGGTTAAAAATTATTCGCATTATGTACAATTTCATAAGTTACTGTTAATAGAGACATACTTTTCTGTAATATACCAGATTCATCCTTCATGCTGTTTTGTATATTCTACTATCCCTTTTACAGTGAACACTATATGAGAGACTGATGCTGCGCGGGCTCTGTGGGATCCTGTGTTCATTAAGGTTACCTGACGACACTACCTTTCTTAGTATATCCATGAGGCAGGCACCCATTGCGGAGAGTTGTGCAGTCTTGCCAAGGAGCTCTCCAGACTCGTTATCGTATCTTCTATATTGTTATTGACAATCGTCATGTCGAATAGATAATCGTATTTTTGCTGAAGAGCTTCCGAATCCTTGGCAAGTTTAACAAGAGATTCGTCCTATGAATATCAACAAATCTGTATTGGTGGATGTCAAGGTTATAGGGAGCGTCTTACACGATAGATCAATAGCAGGTGTTTTTAACACACGCTTGCGAAAACACGCCCATTTCTCGGATGCTGACACATATGAAAAACATCTTCAGTATTGTTGACGTTCCTCGCTTTTTATCGGCGAAAGGGATGCCCAACTAATGCTTTATAGCCTGCAAACCGCAGCGCTGAGGGAGCATGCAAACCACTACTTCATGACATGGTTTGTTTATGCAATTTTCAGGATCTAACCATGCAGAAGCAGTCAAATGAGGATGGCATTTCAGGCCTGTGTAAACGGTCCCTGCATGGTGTAATATATTCTGTAAGATTGATAAGTGCAAGGACAAACTAGGTAACTTAAGATTCGACGCCAAAGAATTTGCCAATCATTTGCAAACAAGCATTTGACCTCAACGAGGAAAACAATATGAAATGATAAAGAACTAACCGTGGGCTCTTTATCAGCTGAGTTTTCAGTATTCGTACCAACCACAGGTGGTACGGCAATAAACACGATATATGGAGCGAACTCCGAACAACGTAAACTCTTTAAGCACTACAAAGGAAAATTTTGATTTCATTATTGAAATTAATGTTTTATTTCGCCCAACACTTTCGCGTCTTTCATTTTGTCGCATATTCTCAACTTCATCTTGTGCAAGTTTAATACATCTTAGTAGCCCAAGACTCAACAATGTAGGCATTTTGTCTCACAAAGTGAAATGGGACAAAGAAAACTGATGCAGGCCGGACCGGGCCTGGTATGCGGGGGCTAGGGCAGAAATCAACTCTGGATCGAGCTCCTTTCCATGCAGTCCGAAACAGTTCAATTCTAGTCATACTCTACCCTTAGCACATCCCCCCTACCCCTTTGGGGGGCTTTCCTAGTTTTCATGACTTTGATGTAAAATATGCCGGTGAGAAATAATCTTGTTTTCCATGCATACCTGTGGTTCCACATCAAGTAAAGGCATTTTTCCTTGAGATATAATGTGACGCACAGTATCAAGTTTAGTTCCATACATTGCTCCTTCGTGACTGCCGAATTCTAAATATTTGTTCTGTTCTACGTCTTGCAACATCGCATCCGTTGAAATAAAAAAGTAATTCTTGCCATCCTCTTCGCCAGGTTTTGGCTGTCTTGTGGTATCTGCAAAATAAAGAAAACAATTTAAGAATAACATTTACCTACCCCCCCCCCACCACTTTAGTCTATAATCGTCCTTTTTGCTATAGCTACAGATATATTCAAAACTTGGGATCTAGCCATGCTAAGACGGAATTATGACAATTGAGGCCGTACTAAAACCGCCTGATCACGTGACACTCACGTGGTATTGGATATGCGTATTTCCCAGGGTTTCTGTTGATCAAAGTGTTTTTAATGTGTCTTCGTCCAACACCATGAGCTCCTAAAAATATTAACGTTATGATTTATAACAGAGAGGCAGATCAGAATCTCGATACATTCATATTTCTGACAGAACATTTCCTCATTTACCAGAATTTACCGTTAGGTATACCTTTTCAGCGAAAAGTTGAGTAAAACGTGTGCATGTGATGTTGACAAAAATCCGTTACACATATTTGACTGTGAATGAAATTACTCACCCAGGAGGACTAATGTCTTCCTTCGGAAATTCTCTTGTTTAACTATTTCTTCATACGTCACCAAATCCAGTTGATCGAACACTATTTAGATAACATGGCAATACCATGAAAGGAGTTTATTCATGTGGCGAACATTTAAAATTCAAAATTTGGTTCACATCCTCCATGTGTATCAGTATCTATGTTACGATGGTCTGTACAAAAGGCAGCGAAAATTAACGATGAACGTACCAGCATTATGCTTGAGAACATATTTATCTTTATAACGCTTCTTTTTTCGAAATCCCAAACAGGAGACTGCAAAATAAACAACACATTATCAATCCACACTTTCTATTTTGATACACAGTCTCGCTGAGACAACATCCTAATTGCCGTAACACATACCTCGATTTTTTCTCGCTTTTTCTGAAGCCGCATAACCGACTCGCCTTTAAAAAATTTTAAAAGTTGAGCAAAAACGTCCTTAACTCAGTAAAGTCTTATCACAGTAAAGTAGAGGAAATTTCTATGCAGTTACCATTCTTGCAGTTCAGGTGACGGTACAAGACCAGCAAGGTTTTTGTCTGTCACTTTGACAGCCTGAAAAAAAATATTTTTCATTACACTTTCAGAGTTCCCGCTGGACGATTGCACCGGATATGGGTCTTACAATACTTCTTGTACCGTCAATATCATGACCTAAGAACACAAAAATATCCTGTCTTACCTGCCACCAATTGAAGTCTGTTTTTGAAACAATCTCCAAAATATCTCCAACTTGGAATGCCAAACCTGCTTGTTGGCATGGGATTAGTTCATCACCTCTTGGGTCGTAAGAAAATAGTGCTTTCACGAAACTCTGAAAGGGGAAAAAACATATGTCGGATTGCATCTGATTGGATCGGATATACTGTTGTACCAGTAGTTGGCAGGTTAGAACAATTTAGAAGACCGTTTCAAAAAAATATGTCACGAGTACTCTCTCGCCTGGGGACATTGCTTTTGAAACTAAAAGATGCAAGACGGCTGGTCACGGTTTATGATAGCGAGACTCGGCCAAATGACCAAATATAAGTTATCACTACCTACCCCCCGTTCAGTATTTTCGTGTCTGAAACTTGGGACGATTTTAAACGTGACAGTGCCACTTGCTTGTTTCTAGAATTTAAAACAAACCAATGAAACATTGCACAATTTAAATATGAAATGCAAGTCATATACACCTAATCAATATACTAGTCCAATATTACTATTATTCAACACATAACTATTTTTTGTAAATTTAAATGAGACCCTGTGCATGCATGATTTTTTTCCACTTTGTCCGCAGAGACATCACAATTAAAATACCATGACCAAGATGAAAAAATCAGGAAACATCCTGACAAATTTCAATCCCATGCAATTAGTCGATCGAGTCTTTTTCTATTCACTAATTCATGTATTCGCTTCATCTGAACAAATTTGCATCGAAAACAAATGTTATAGAGCATTAGAATTGATTTACGAAACAAACAAGAAATTCATAATTAAATACCAAAGTTGACTGTAAGGATTCGATTGACTTTCCCTCTACGTTTTCTCCATCCAACTCTCGAATTTCATCACCAGGATGCAAAGTTCCTGGAATGCCCAAAATGGAAATTAGAATCGACAAAGCGGGAGTAATAGCCTTTTCAAGGACTTACAGACTTAGTACTATCTAAAAATCTTCGGCTATGAACATGCACAGTTTTCTGATACTTCATTGAAAGTCTTAGTCCACAGCAGGATCTTACGAATATTTTGTATTTACCTTGTCTGTGAATCATTCCTCCATGCATTATTCTTGCAACGTACACACGGTTATCAACACGTTTCAACGTAATTCCCTAAAGTTAGTAAATTAATTCCCACTTTTAGTAACGTGAATATGTAACATTGGACAGACAAGACTGCATTGCAGGAGTTCAACCTACGTCAAAGACGCACGCACCAACTACAATACAACCAACTATGGCAACCAAATCTAGTTTCTTCAAGCATGCTACTTTTTAACATCGAAACAAATCAGGAACGGAAGTGGTTTGATCTAAACTATCAAGGGGTGTGGGGAAATACGGAGCAGGGCTTGTCGCTGTCTATTGAAAATTACTGCCGTATCAGAGAGGATCCCCCAAAGTTCAAAACATATTTTTTTTCATAAATGATTTCGTTATCATTTCGAAGATCCGTAAATTAGATTCTTAGTACGCATTTCACTTCATCAAAGTTATCATGGAAAGAAACTAATATTTAATAAATATTTGGACTATAGGCAATACATACCATAGGTTCATTTGTGGTTTTTTCAAACTGCACAAGTCTCACTCTTGTCACAGCCTCTTTTGGTAATGTATCAGATCTGTCATCAATATCAGACATTGACTGTCTTTCTTCTTCTTTGCGAACGTTTAAGACATTGTCATGAGCTTCAAGCAAAGCCTACACAAATAAACATACAATACATGACCATGTTATTTGGAAAGTACAAATAATGACAAACGCGCCTATAGAAGCTTGCATGAGCTTACGTTTTCAAGCAGTCAGTAGTATGTCTTGTAACAAAATCAATAAAGACTTAAACAATGATCCTTGTTGGCTGTCTGCGGTGATGATATATATATATATACACTCTGGTTCGGTTCAGCCCTCAGTCTAAATGTGCTCCCTCAGTTCATGGGAGTACCCAGTTGCATGATATCAAAGTATCATTTCGATAAGGAAGGGGTAACAGTCATGTACATACATACAGTGTCATAAACTATATCGTCATAATACTTACCACCATATTCGGTTCTTTCATAATGTTTTGGAGTTCAAAACAATCATCATCCTCCTCTGCTGGAATCTCAATTGTGTCCATTGCCTGAACAAATTTATAACAGAACCATTAAATGGTAAAATGACTGAAGCTCATGCTGCCCCTTATACAAGGCCCTATAGGAACTCCGAGGATTGCTTCTCTTTATATTTATCTGCATGGTCGTAAATATATTTGTACCTCTTTAGCAGTTTGTGTGGCGTCTGGTTGTATATGAGATCTTGATTTATCACTTATTATGGACCACTCTTGTACGCGATCATAAATCTGTAAAAACAAAAGCATTAAAAAATATTAGAAGAGTAATACTATGAAAAACAATAACATATTCATCTTTAATAACGTCATGATATCCTCACTACAACATCTTTGTAACAAATAAAATAAAGCAGCGGAGCTATGTTAATTTTCGTTCTCCTTTTCGATAACTATAGAGTATAGGCGTCAGTTACAATGATCTCTCTGTCATATTGTATACCTCTAGTAATGACTGGAACTTGTTATTGTCCAGGAAACGATGAAGAAAGTCAACGTCAGTCTTCTTAGCTTGCGATAAGATTTGAACCTCCTCCAATGAATCAAGTAATTGCGCCACTGAACCTAGTAATACAGAATAGGTAAGGTGCCTATTCTACATTTTATTACAGTTTACATCTCAGTTAGGGCTGCCTTTCAGTTACGCGTTTTTTATACGCACGGAAAATTTGAAATGCTTCTAAATTTTTATTATTTAACTTCCAGGTCTATAAGTGCATACTAAATAAAATATGCAGTTTTTTCCAAGATAACATATTTAAGGATTTAGACTTTTACGTGCGTGTACGTGCGTATGAAAAACGCGTAACTGGAAAGCAGCCTTTATTTCCAGGAAGTTGAGTGTATTGGGTGGGAACGGACCTTCCCACAAAACCTCCCCCAAAGCCCTCATAAATTGCTGGGTACACCAGGGCTAGCCGGGCAATATCTACTTTACATTGTTTTTATATATGAGCCTTTGTTTTAAGTAAGAACCCACAAAATGTCCAGTCAATATTGTCATTTTAACTTTTAAGCCCTCTTTCACGTGCATTTTTTCATTGCAACGAACCTGCTGCGTTCAAATCACTGTCGTCGTGGTGATATTCGTCTGTATTATGTTCCTTAAAAATAATTATATATAAAAATAAATATTACATAAATCATATGGCACGCGACAGGCCTGTTTCAGACGTCGAACTCTTCATGAGCCAAATTAAATGCAAATGAACTCAAAGAAAGACTTTAGCTCATTAACATTAGGGTCGGCACATGGAAAGTTCGACGTCTGAAACAGGCCTTACTACGATGCGAAGGAACTTCACGAAATACAACTGTTTCATACCGGTCCAAAACCATTCTGATGAACATCTCCATTAGGAAGAATACCACCTAAAAAAATTTAAAAATTCGTTTGCAAATAATACGACACACAGTTTACTCGCAAGTTTGCCAAAAATATTGACTACTATCAGATGATCGTAATTTAAAACAATTCCCCCTATATGTCATGTAGTAGATTTTTCGGGAGATGCACCGGCAACAAGCATGATCCAGTGAAAAAATAACTCAGGAGCCTACCAAAGAATTTACGGCTTGCAACAGCGGCCAAAACAGCTCCCTATAAACACAATAAACGACAGTTAATAGTCATTTTTGGTTTGCAGTTAATCTTGGCATATCATATCTACTACGAGTGAAAAGGAATATACAATTATACATTTATTGCTCCCAAACATTCTCTCATGGTCTACCTTTAGTTTCCTTCTTGCATTAAACTTCTTCATTTCATCAACACATTCCTGAAGATGATTTCTTGGTGCAATATCTCTGTCCTGACGATAAGGTAGTAGGAAGGTTAATACTCGAGTACTTTGTCCTTGATTTTTTAATTAAAATTACAATTGAACAAACCTTTAGCCAAGGATGAGCAAGGGCTTGATCAGCTGTGATTCGTTTAGTCTGATCGTAGGCTAGTAAACTTTGTACTAAATCTTTTGCATCATCTGATATCAAGTCCCACTGCTTTGGTCGCATCTAAACAGGAACAGAATAACGTCAACATACAGTATCAGTACAGTTTTGTCATGACGTTTGTGTTGAGATGTGTACCGACTGTACGAAAAACAACAAAATATGAATGTGTGAATGACAAAATTCGAATAACATATGTGAATAACATAATGTGAATAACAAAATTCGAGGTAATGGATGTATGGGGAAGATACGAGGTAATGGTAGTAATGGATGGTTGGGAGAGAGTTACGCAGAGAATAATAATAGGTGCAGGGTTTTAGGGAACGTAATAATAAGTGAGATCTACTTTAGTGACATAGAAGATCTTGTATAAGAAGTTGTCCAAGAAATTGCTTGCATTAATGTAACAAGAAGGGCCAGCAATCACTCGTGTTTGCTAATCATCAAAAAGTGCATCAATTACATCAGCACTTACTGTATAATTTCCAGTGGAAATGACATCATATATTTTCTCTCCAGTACCATTGAAAGGAAATGAACCACTTAAAAGAATAAACATTATTACTCCTACAAAAGAAAGGATGTAACAATATTCACTAGTGTGGATTGAACTGTGGACCATAGAGACACACACACAGAGTTTTATTCTGAACTTTGGGATAAATTTAAACACTAACCGCATCCCCAAACATCGTTAGGTTTTCCATATGGTACTCTCTTTACAACCTCTGGCGACATAAAATGTGGTGTTCCTATCCTCCCTATTAAAATAAAAAACCTTATTCAGTCATATTCAGCAAGACTAAACCAAGATGTGTTTTGCTTTGCACTCTACAATATTCCAAGGAACATGATAAGATACTGACCACTTGTTATGAGTTGACTGGAATCTAATATTCGTGCAACTCCAAAATCTGCTAATTTTACAGGCGCTGAGTTTTCTTTATTAGCCAATAGAATGTTGTGAGGCTGTAAAAGTCACATTTAGTGAAATTAATAATCACAATTATGAAACTGTTTATAAATATAGAATGGAAATACAGGTATATAAAAGCACATGCATACCTTAATATCTCTATGTATAATCTCCATGGCATGGATATAAGATAGGGCATCTAAAACTTGTCTTAGATAGTGACTACAAAATAAAAATAATTCATAATTACATTTATACCATATGCTGCTTTTTAGTGTTTTATAATGTCAAGTTCTGGGGATTTTGTAAGAGTAATTACCCCACACGCTATTTCAAATAGATAAAACAAACTACCTACAATATCATGCAAATAAAATCTAACCTTGCAACAGCTTCACTGTAAACAAAGCCTGCATTTACTCTATTCACAATCTCAAAGCAGAGATCAGCACCATCCATACTGTGAAAAACAACAGGATGTGAGATTATGTTTAGAAGCATTACCTAATCAACTTTTATAATTAGTTTATCATTAATAACATAAAACCATAAGCACTCACTATTCGAAAACCATGTAGATAGTGTTGTCAACATCATAAGCACCAAGCATTTTTACTGAAACAAAAATAAAGTAAAATATCATTTAGCAACTACCCACAATGATGAACATATTAACTAGATATCATTAGACACCAGGATATTCACACAGGGAAAACTAAGATCTTGTAGCCATGCTGAGTAGTGGATACCCATTACTCAGCATGGCTTTTCTATATTCTTTTTAGACCCTTTGAGGAGGCCTTATTTTAAAGAAGGAAAAAATTGGGAGGGTGGCTTTTTTGATTATCCATAACTTTTCAGATATACCTGAATCAAATTTGAGATTAAGTAACACTTTTGAGGGAAGGGTTAATTTTAAAGGATAGCTAAACAGAGAAAATTTAGTAGCACTATCATGAAATATTCATAACCATTTTCGAAATATCCTAAGGCTAGCCCCAATGTCCACAAGATCATTGTGAAATTAATAATAAATTTAAAACAGATTGACAAACAAAGCAGTTCAGTGGCCACATACTGCAGATAATGAAATGCTGTAAAGATACTGTAGACAGTCAAATGCCAAGGTTAACATACAGAAACTTTAAAATGAGGAAACTGGGCAAAAAATGTTTGTGAATTGACAGAAAAGTAACTTAAATCTAAGATTTGTCTCTAAAAGGATCATGGTACTACAAAATATAAAAATAGTTATAAAAACATCTCTTTAGAATACCTCTGTAGGATGTCTTAGTTATTATAATAATTTTTTGATAATTAATATTTGATTTGTTTATTGGATTACCCTATCTATGGAGCACAAATTTATAAGGGAATAATTTTATTACACAATATAAAATAAATTTCTTTTAGAGCTAATATTTTATATATCAACATGATATGTAATATTCATTTTAATCTAGGTCCTTGTTTTCACTCTTACTCCATGCTATCGCTATGCTTTCCAGCATTAATTATTAAAGAAATAAAGTACAAGGCAATATTGCGGTTTTGGGGTTCTGGCACAAGAAACAAGATGTTTTATCATAGAATACTCGTTTCCAACATTGGCAGCCTTTCTGGGATTTTGATATCATATTTCAATTAACACATTCTAGTCTTCAAAAACAGTGACATGTTTCAGATGGCGAAATGAAAGTTAATTAGAATTCGCGTAAAATGGACAATTCTAAACGGATATTTGCTACAAAATGTAAATATCACGGTATTAACATAAGGCGTCTTGCAGTGTCATTTCATTTTAACTTACCTATATGCGAATGTTCAAGCTTTTTACAAATTTGGCATTCATTTACGACATCTGTAGTAAAATAAAGTTGCGTTTACTTATTTGGTTAGTTATTTATATAGAACGAACAAGGGAAATAATAAACATTTATCAATATCATGAATATAATATATACGATTGACAGGAGACAGCGGGCATAAATATAATATTGTCTTCTCAACATGCTTCTTGCAGCGCAAATATATCGTCCGGGTTATACTTGTAATGAACACTGTAAATCCTAGCTTTACAACATTTATGAGAGGATTTGTCGGTTATGATAATCCATAACATGAGTTGTTTACATTTTGCCGCCAGCACAATTCTCAGCATTAAAACTAAGCAACGTCAAGAAGTATTGCTAGCGTGTCATTAAGTTATCTCCGCTTTCGTAAATGATAAAAAATCATATTATCCATTAATTTAATCTCGCTTTTCACTGTGAAGATGCATTTTTATCTCAAATAGAAAATTTGTTTCCCCTAAAATCCAAACTGACAGTAGACATGTCGAGAAGTCAATAAAATTTCGTGCCGTTTTAATATCGATTTTCGTATATATTGGACAACATGTTTGGAGGTTAAAGGATTTACACATTATTAGCGCCTAAAATTAATGAAAACAAGACATAAACGGAACGAATATATCTCGTATGTCAGCAAGCTATTCAAAATAGTTCGAAAGTTAGGAATTTTTATCGATAAAGCTAAATACCTTCACGTGTGAGGCCAGTCGTTGTGTTCATTCGAGAAATATCGACTATCTTTACAGCACATAATCCATCGGTTTGTGTATCACGACATTTTCGAATTACACTAAAGGTACCCCTTGTTAATAATATAAAATAGTACGTTAGTTTTACGAAGCAGGTAAGAATTTTCATTGTATGTCATAACGTAATATCACAAGTAAAGGACACATGATGTGAAAATTGTCAACAACAGTGTTCACATACTTGCCGATCTGTTCGTGCAGTTCGTAGCGTGTTGGAAGTCCAATTTCCATGATTTTAGAAATAGAACACGATACTCAATCGTTCTTATTGTTCATCAAGTTCAGGAAAGTGCTTCGACTCGTACAACTAGAACATCAATGAAATCTCAGCTACTCGTTTATAATAGCAATCGATGTAATGCGATTCAAAACACGGAGCTTCGATTTGAAACGCGCTAGAAGAATGGACCGAGGACCGGAAGCTCTTCCGGAAGCTCAGTTCCATCATTCCTCTGGGTACGAGTCAGTGGCATTTCATGGTGGCATTGAAATGTGGTTGGTGCAATTGGTGCCATACCATAATGCCACTGGATTTCCACCAATCATCCTTTTCAGTCATTCCATCCCACCTTCCACCAGACTCCCAGTGAGTTATTACTAATATTATTTCTTTTTCAACTGTAAGATTGACTTCATTATTTATAGAAATACAAATATTGAAATATATAAAGTTTATATAATATATTTACTTGAGTAAACTGTCGGATGTATAAATATAAATATTTCAATACATCAGTGCCTCAGTGAAACTGTTGTCTCAACACCGTAATTCCCGAAAATTTTAAAATACTATTCGTAACTCAACATTCACTAATATATATGAATTTTTCCAAGCAATGTTCAAGGCAGATTCTGCAGCAGTTTCATTCAATCCAATGCTCTACTATTCGTTATGGAACAAGATTTGAATCTTTTGCCATGTCATAAAATATCCCTTTCAAGCCAAGCAAATTGCTAGGTGAATCAAATTCTACAATTTTTCCATCGGAGAGAACCATAACTCTGCAGATAAATACAAAATATATATAATGAGTAAATGCAATCAAGGTTTCGGTATTCTGGGCAAATATTCATCGTGTATTTCAACAGTACAACTTGGACCACGAGTTACCCCGGTTCCTGAGCCCACTTATAACTCAAATCAACCCCCCTGATCCCTGCTTAACCTTATTATTCGGTGTGTGCACCGGCAATGGTTACCTGGTATAATCCATGATCGTGTTTAGTCGATGTGCGATAGTAAGAACAGTACAGTCAGCAAATTCTGTTCGAATTGTTTGTTGAATAAGTTCATCAGTTTCTAAATCCACAGCAGCTGTTGCTTCATCAAGAACCAAAATTTTTGTTCTTCGTAGCAAAGCGCGGGCTAGACAAACTAGTTGACGTTGGCCAACGCTATTGAGCAAATAAACACAGAAAGTTGTCAGGGAATAATACTAAAGAAACTTCGCGCGGTGTGGTATAAAACACCTGAAGCTCACTACCAAGATCCAGTCTGGGTCAAACAGCGAGTCTAACCCTCAAGCTCTTGCCCATACGCAAAAATCTCTCAGGCTTTTTTGCCAATTTAGGCCATGCATGCAACACTTCTACCCAGAGAAATTCTCAAGCCTCTGTCTTGCCAGCCTTAGTTCCACAGAAAATACTAAACTATCCCTTATTATTTCTTATCAACCTAAAGTTTAAAAATATCTCTATAAAAACACTTATACTTGCGTTAACTGAGTAGTTTTAATGCTTCACCTTGCAAACCATTTTTTCAGATTGTCGTGATATTTCCATTGTTCAACCATCAGTTTAATATAATATAATATAGTTATTCGTACCTAAGATTCTCGCCACCCTCTGCAATAGAGTAACTCAATGTGTTCTCCAAGCTAGACACAAATACTTTGAGATGGGCGACTTCAAGCACAGACCAAATCTCTTCATCCGTATGCTTCTCAAATGGATCCAAATTGAAACGCAGTGAAGCAGAAAACAGTATAGGATCCTAAACAAATTTTCCTGATGAATTTTGAAGCTTTGCGGCTATTTTTAAGATTCTCACTAAGTGGACAAAGATATCATTACCTTCAACAAACTCTTAAAAATAAACATCATGGACAGAATACCTGGGGAATAATAGTGATCTTTGAGCGTAACGCATGCAGCCCAATATCTGAAATGTCAATGCCATCGACCACAATCCTTCCCTCCACTGCTTCTAATATTCGAAACAAAGCCAGAGTGAGAGTAGATTTACCAGAGCCTGTTCTGCCAATAATGCCAATCTATGAATAAATGAAATGTTTAGAGATGCATTTTATTATAATTGTGTAAAGTCTCGCAGCTTTACGGAAGGTCTTTAGAAACGACCTATTTTGAGATAAATGACCATAATATTCAGAGAAAATTCAGCATGCATGTGTTGCATATTTGACGTATCATTTTGCCAATAAAAAAGATTTTAACCGACTTTTTAACACTGAAAGTTATTGAGGGCCGCCCGGCCGCCCCCCTCGAACTGATAGGAACAAACATATTGCATGATTCACTTGATCGAAATACAGCCAAAACCGCGTTCGCTCCAGTGTTTATTACTGTTATTCTGCTGTCGTTTTCACGAGTAATGTAGTATATAGTTACCTTTTCATTGGAATCAATTTGACAATCAACTTCCTTCACGGCGAATTTCAAGTCTTCCCTGTAACGAACACCCAGTTTTTGGAACTCGATTTGACCTTTATCGGGCCAGTTATCGGGTGGTTGGTACGAGTTTATCCAGGATGCCTCAATAATAAAGATTACTTTCGTTGAAAGTCGAGTTTCTACTGCATGGATCTACTTATCAGTGGGGCGATTCCCTGTCATGAGTACATGACAACCCTAAAGGCTATACTGTGTTGTTTTCTTTATTGTGTGTGTGTCAGAGATGTCTCTCTGTACTTTAATTTATCGCATAGGGTTTTAATATGAAGAAAATAGAGTCATTGACACACATAATAATGACACAAAACCCAAAATTGTTTCGGATTGTCCCACACATACTGGGAGAATCTGCCATTATTTACGTATTCTAATGGCTTGCATCCCTAATTTGTTAAACACGCTGGAAAAAACAGTTGGCTATTTTTTTCTCTGACTGACTTTGCTATTAGCTATATAGAGTGAGTAGTTGAACCAACAGGATTGCAGAAATGCCCAATACATACAGTAAACGGCTAAAATATTATATACCTCCCGATTGGCTTCTGTGTATTCCATCACTCTTTCAACCGATACAATATGTGTCTCAAGCTCACTAGTTTGTCGCACTAACCAATTCAATATATTTGTGATCTAGAAATACATTAGTCATTATTTTGATGCATAAATCAAAATTTTAATGGGCAGGGGCCGGTTGTATCAAGCCCGTTTAGCTTAAACGGTGGATAAGTCAAAATTAAATAACACTCTTACAACTCTCTTGAATGAGTCAACTTGAATATTATGCACTGAATTTGTAGTTGTAAACAGTATCTTTGTATTAAGGTCAAAAACATTTTGTTTGCTTCTTGAATAAAACGGCAGGCTTGCTTTCTATTTTGAACTTATCCACCGTTTAAGCTAAACGGGCTTGATACAACCGGCCCCAGTAGAGCACTAAGACTATAACGTTAGTATTGCAAGGATAATACACGAAATTACGAATATATATCGCGAGGAAGAGGTTTCCACCACGGGATGCCCGAATTGTGAATAAAACTTTTTAATCTCTTTTGTAAAGTTCAAATTGCTGAGTGAGGGGATACTTCATGTCATGTTATATATTGCAAATGACGAGATTCCGGTAGACACGCAGGTCTAAGTGATTACGACACTGTGATTTTCATATAATGGTAAAAAGTTTTAAATTATCAATCAAAAAGGAGATATCGATTTAAACGTTACATGAAACGCAAAGGCTGATACTCTAGTTTCAAAAGTAGACGGTCTGTAGACCCTAAGTCTATTCCAGCCAGATTTCAAATCTGCATGGGCCTGAAAGTATTAGGTGGAAAACGCCTTGTATCCTTACCCTGAGCGATACTGTGATAGACAATCCCACTAAACCACTTTCAACGCTGTCACGGGCGAGCACACCAAACAGTGCAGCAAAAAATATAATACAGTTACCAATAAATTCCAAACGCACTGCCAGCCACCTGAATAAAGTGTCAAAATAATTATATCAAAATAAAAAATATTTGATAAAAGATAAGTTCAATTTTTTTATCTTTATACCTGTTGATAATTATAACTGGATATTTCGTCATAGAATTTTCATCCACATTGACATCATTCAACGAGATAAATCGTTGTTGAGCGCCAAACGCCCGTATGGTGCTAACACCATTTAACGTTTCAAAGAAATGGGAATAAATTGGCGAGCGGCTGATTGACTCCAGGCGTTGTAATTGACGTGATGTGGCAACGTACAGCCTCTTTTAAAGAAAACATCTTAAAGTTCAGATATGAGTTGTAGAGGTTATGGTGCATGTTTTAAGCAGCTGTTATTGCAATTCTTTCCTGCTAATCCAGCAGTATGCAGCGTGTTGGTAATTATACAGTTTTTTGAACCAGAGGAAAGAGATGTGAAAGCCAATAAAAGTACGAGTGCTCAGGGTAATAAGAAGCAAATTTAGGAGGCACACGCTTGCAGGGGATGTTTTGAGTAATAAAAAGAGCAGCTAAAATGTGTACAGACTGTACAGTGGTAGTTAATTGTCAAAGCTGCAAGGTGAACAAAAGAGCACTTTTGATCGCTTAAATGTACCCCCCCCCCTCTCTTCTTCTGTTCCCACGTCCCTGATTTATAGAATGTATAGACTTTAAATCCCTTACCAAATCTCACCAGACTTACTTGTATAAGCATGTACATGACAGCCAGAGGAAGCAGAACTGTTATGAATAAAGGCGTTGAATAACATATCAGAAAAATAGTTCCCAGTATGGATACAAACGTCTGAAAGAACCACAGTAAACTACGAGGGATCATTGTGTCAATGACATCTATATCTTTTGAGAATCTGTTCACGATGCGACCAAGAGGCGTGGTCTCAAAAAAGGTGAGAGGTAATCTCAACAAGTTTCCTAATAGTCTCTCGTGTAGTACAGTTGAAGCAGTTACACACATGTAGGCTGAGGTGATCGCGACTAAGAGTAAGAAGAATCCTTGACCAACACCCATAGCGCTATAAATACCAACATATCGGTCCTGTTCAGAACTATCAGTAACATTTGAGGAACTCCAATGAGCGAGCCAGATACGAGAACCAGCCAATGAGGTTTCAGAACAAAGGAGGAAAAAATTCAGAAAAAATAAAAACAGAAGTCCGCAAGATGTGAAGTAGTAGATAAACACACCAAACTTTACCTGAAAATAGATAAAAAAAAATCAAAAATGATCATAAGCACAACGAGGCACTTGGTGTCTGAATTCAATAAAATAACTATATTTTTATGCTTCTCCGTGTATTGTGTCATGACAGAATGGTACCAACGGATCGAGATTTCCGTTTTTAACGTAATGTGGAACCATAAGAATTTACTGTGATGGTTAATTAAAAGGTAGGCATACCCGTCCCGTTTCAGCCGTTTCCTCCTTTATTATCTTGTAGTCTTCCTTTGTTTGTTGTTCAGGTTCAGACAGGCCATCTTTGCCCATAACACGCGCGGAATCACTTGTTAATGAACCAAAACTCGGGCTTCTGTCATCAACAGTTAGAGCTGTTGTACTTATTTGTGACTTGGTTCTTAGTCTCGTCTTAAATTCTTCTGTAAAAAAGAGTTACAAGAGGTTAATCATTAATAATGTAATGGCTGATGAGTAGAATTCAATTCTTATATACCCTTTTCATCTTCATGTTCTTTAGCGTACGTTCGCAAAAACTCAGCGAAATCTCCGTCGTTCGCTTGAAGTTGAGGGTAGCTGCCAACCTGGAACCACCAAAAGAGAAGATTATTTGAAATCATATACTCAAGACATAAATTCATCAAATCTATAACCATGCAGTTCTAATTTGTAACTGACCTCTGTGATGACACCATTGCGTAGAACAATAATGCAATCAACTTGGGGAAGAAAACGAACTTGATGAGTTACCAGAACTCTTGTCTAAAATGTGATTAAAATTTCTTAAAGCAATTATTGACGCAGAGAAAAAAGGCCCATTTAAACGGTATTGGCAGAATTCACTCTGTCTGATCTAATTACCCTGTATTATCATTAGAAAATGGCCAATCACCCTAAGATAGAAAGGGGGGGGGGGGTGAAGTGCTAAAAAGAGTGAAGAGCAAATTAAGTTATTATTTTTCCACACAGCAATTTAGTTCTGCCCGAAATGAGTTTAACATTACGGCCTCAATTCAGTACATGGACGGAAGCAAGAGTGAAAAGTTTTAAAACAGATAGTTCACCTTCTTTTTAAGGCATCCTTTTGGCCCGATGACATGATCAAAGATGTGTTTTCCAACATGAGAATCAACAGCACTAAGAGGGTCATCAAGTAAGTACACATCAGCATTATTATATACAGCACGAGCAAGACTCACACGTTGCTTTTGACCACCACTTAAATTAATACCCTGAAAAAGAAAAAAAATACAATCCGACTCATGTTAAACTTTAAATGGATTTTGAGCAGTTCTCGTTGAGATAGCATCATAATACACTATTAATCTAATCAAATAAATCAGATCGATGAACATGTTTATCTTGTTCATCGTTCATGCAGTAAGCATCTCACATTGCAATCAAGAGAGATATTAAGGTTTGACAATTAAATCACTGACCTTTTCACCAATCTCAGTCAAATCCCCTCCTGGTAATATTTCCAAATCAGGAAGAAGGGCACAATTATTCATGACTTTATTATAACGTTTTGGATCGTAGGTTTTGCCAAATAAAATATTTTCCCGCAATGTCGTATTTTGGATCCAGGCTTGTTGAGGAACGTACGCAGTAGAACCCTATAGAAAACATAAGAATTTAAACGCTGGTATTGATCGACATTATTAGTTTTAATAAATCGGAGACCGGTTGGAGGAAAACTTTTCAACTACAACATAGTTAGCGATTAAATTGGCAAGCATCATTGTGCATTGTAGAGCTTTAATTAAAACCAGAGGATGGATGTGAAATATGATCATGATGATAACGTTCAGCTAGCGTTTACGTCGAGAACAGTACCTGAAGATAAACATGCCCTTCAAGTTTCTTAATTTCTCCCAGCACGGCGGAGAGTAAAGACGACTTTCCACAGCCGACATGACCCACAATCGCCACAAGACCACCTTGATCTATTTTCAGATTAATACTGAAAAAATACGGAAAATTGAAATCTCACATTTCACAATTGGGCATTGAAGTATATATGCGACCAGCGTTCATTGTTATAATCACTGTGCTAAAACAAATAAACCATTTTAATATATACCTTTTTAAAGTTGGCTGTTCCTCGCTTTCCCAAGTAAATGCCCCAGACGTAATCTCAATAGCGGCCCTTTCTACGACAAGAAAAAGAAATTGCAAACCTGCAAAATCATGCTTATTATGCATGACAATTAATACCTTACATTTTATTCATATGAAAATGTCATTTTTAGCATAAACATATATCACTCGTTAAAGTATCATTCCAGCAGAAGTATAAATAGTATTTAGTACAATTATTGACCGACTGCAATTATATAAAGAGAAGCAGCGAATACCCAGGTCGATGTTACCTTGATCTATGCCACTAGTACCAGTTCTCTCAACGCCCTTTGGATCCAGTTCTTCCATATTTAAAAATTTTTGTATTCGTTTTATTGACACCAATGCCTAAAAAGGAGACATGATTTTTGTGATTCTGTCCACTAAATATAATTAAATATATATGGACACCCGGTTGGATCTGGGAGATTTTTTATCCAGGATACAAAAAATGTAGTTATGGGAAACAGTGCTAAAATATATAGGGAAACTAAAGTGTAGTATAAATAATAGTGGTCACCTGAATAAGGTTCGTCAAAAGAGTTGCCAACATAGAAAGTGGAAAACGAAGGACTTGAAAAAGAGCCAATGCAACAAAAGCTTTTGATGCAGTTAACGTATTTCCAAGTGATACATAAGTCGCAAATGTCGCCAAGGACACCTAACATATAAAATGAGATATAAACAACGTATATTTATATGCTCAGAGCAAAAGCTGAAGTTGAAACCTTTTAGGCGGAAAAAGCTAAACTGCTTCCTTAACACGTTGAGCTCGTGTTCAAAGTAGGCACCGAGCTTGTGTTGGTTATGGCGTACGTATAAACAAAAAATAATAATTTCAGAAAGATTATCGAATACAAAAGCGCGTGCACGACAGCTACACAATACAGGCAATAGATCTATATATTTATCAACAATACACAAAGAATTTTACGCATAGATATACAGGCATTCATGGAAAGCAATGAACAAACATTTCAACTTTGGTTTTTGACATGCAAATCATGAGGGATATTAACTAACATCTACTGTAGGCCTTACAACAATTCTTATAATTTGATCGGTTAAAATGAACCAAAGATCGATGTGTGAAAGAAAGTAATTTTTCATTGCACCAACCACATGCTACACCGCTTTAGTGGCATATTGTTTGTCATTATTTTTACCATTCACTTACCAAGACTGGAGCACTACTCATTACCACGTTATATGCAGCATTAAAGTAAGAAAATTTCCGTAAATGGCGTAATTCATCTTTTCTTATACCCAAAACTTTGGACATGAATGATGTTTCCCATGCGAAAAATTTTATGACCTAAAATCACATAAGATAAAATAACAGAATAAGGCCATTAGTAATGGAGGAAATTAACATACAGTTAAATCAACACAAGTGCCAGTTCTTACTTTAATACCATTCAAAATTTCATTCATCAATTTTATTCTTATATCTTTAATATTCATCTGTTTCACCTAAAAATATGTTAAAATACCGTGTTACCTGCATGAGTTGAAATATTGTACCCTACAACACTGACCCTAACGTGTTAGTATCTTAGCTTATAGAGGAAAGGGACTAACCATGGCAAGAAATAGAAGCAGATATTTTTTTGCGTAACGATCAGTTAAGAACTGACAAATGTAGAACTTTTGTAAAACTGACAAACCATAATAGACACGTTATAGAGTAAGTAACATTATAATCTTGTTAACCAAAGTAATTCAGTCTCTGACTGCGAAATTGGTTCTTTTAATAAATCTTAAATCCTATAAGAATATAGTTAGCCAGGCTGGCGGAAATAACAGATAACTTGGAACATAACAGTATTATCTGGAACATACAACATTACTAAAGTAAACTTACAAAATACATTAGCCTGTTGTACGAAAACTGGGTGGCGCTCTTCAGCTCCTTACAACAGGCCCCAGGCCCCAATGGTATATATATAGATGGGGCTGATTGATTGAGGTGGATAGCGCTACCGTTTGATATTATTTTTGTGAATGCTTAATGTTTTTGTTAACGACATGCATATATTTAGCTTTCGCTTCCCATCTTTCGAACAGCCTGCTATACAGTAAAAGGGATTAATCTTGAATAAAAAATTGTAGTATATTTTGAACATACAATGCATAATATATATTATACCGTATGGATGGCTGAAACGTACAATATTAGAGAATACCCGGAATACAACACACCTGTAACTTTCGCAGGTGTCGTCCAATGATGAAATTAAGAGGGAAAAGCACCAACATAACCCCAACACCGGCCAGGACAGATATTCCCATTGTACGATAAAGAAAGAAAATTGCTAACGAGATTTGATAAGGTGAAGACCACAGCATATTGAAGTATGTAAGAATATCCATTAACCGTTGAGCATCTACGGACATGAGATTGACCATTTCACCAACAGTTGATTGATTTCTTGAAATAGTGCTTAGGGATAATGCCTGGAAGGAAATTTAAGTAGAAGTAAATTGTAATTTCGTCAAAATGCTCAATAAAGACAGGGTTGAAAGCAATATCGCACATAGTGTTGGTTTATTGGTTTAGTGTTGGAACATGTGGGTCATAGACATATTAATAACGTATAGACATATTAATAACGACTTTATAGTTTAAGAATTTATCTTTCTTTACCTTTTTGTAAACAACTCCTAGAACAGCAGTACGGATACGAAGACCAATTACCATAACAATTTTAAAATACTGTTGTAAAAGCAAGGTTTGGATTATTGCGACTAGAAACAAGCCTCCAGCATACACAAGACCTTCCCACGATTCACGCTGGTTTCTGTCATCGATATATTCCACGATCGCACTAAAACAGTTTTAAAAGGTATTCCTGAATACCTTATGACCTTTTTTAGACACTTTGGATACATCAAAAGGATTTTTAAAGAAAATGTCAGGATTAAGGTATAATACAATTTTGAGAAAGACATTCATACAATTTGGAATCGTCCCGGGGAAAGGTTTAAGGTTGCATGAAGACCTTTTTCAACTCTAAATCTTACCCTAATAACTGAGGTTGAACAAACACCAGTGTATCATAGCAAAGTTTTGCAAAAATTGCAGGAATCAAAGATGGACCAAATACTTTCCATAAAGTCTTCGTTAATGAAGGATGATCTGTTGTTTCGTCGTTGTCGCTGGAGTATTTGACTTCATATAGGAGATTTGGTCGCTCTGCTCGCTCACCAGTCGCCGAAGATGTCCTACCATTTTCTACTGGGGTCATTTTACCAAACTTGGATTTTTTGAGCTTTCTGTTAACAGGATGAAAGAGGACAATAAAGATACAAAGCTTTAATGATAATTGTTTGACCTATAGTGGTATTGGTATTAAACCTACTATAAAGGCACCCGTCACAATAGTATTTGGAATTAATACAAATCATGGACGCTAGGAATGGAGAGGAACAGAGGCTGCTGGCCCTCTTGTCTTTTCGTCTCTTTCCATTGAGGGATTTTACTGCAAATTGGTGATAAATTTGCTTTAGACAACACTAGAGATAGAGTTAACGCACTCCAATCATAATAAGAGGGTCTTGAAAGGGTAAAACGGGAACAGGGATTGCATTATTTTTACGCTGGGAAAATGGGATTTAGTTCCTGGGAATGGGATTTGATCCTAGGCTAGGCTGGGAATTTGCGAGAAGAGAAAAGAGAACAGAGAATAAAGACGATGAGATAAATTTCAAATGTCGATGTTTTGAGAACACTTCGTGGTATGTATTAATACAGAAAACCTGCCCCCCTCCCCTCCCATCAGGCTTCGCATCTTGACATTTATAATGAGACTGTGCACACATATAATTCGCTTTTAATATCTATAACGTGACACAATTTGACGCTAATTTCAAGTTCTTGCTCGACGTGTTGTTATGAATAATATTGAGTTCCTTCTAAGCTCAACAATGAATTTGCGCTAAACTAACCTCAAAACCTTTTCCTTCTCGCGTTTCCAATGTTCATCAAAATTTGAGCCGATGTTTTCCGACCAAAGTTCCTTTTTTAAACACCACATGTCTTTGAAAACTAATGGACGGCGAAAACCTAACCATACTAATCTATATTATAAGAAATAAATTATATTCGCGCATAAAATGTAACTTGCCATCCTTTGTAAAACGTAAGTTGATATTTGTACATCATGTACATCAAAATGTACACTTATTAATGCTAATATCAAGATTTAGCGAATTGCTGTTCAAGAAATTCTTTCATGTCAGCAAGCAAACAAAAAATAGGTGTAATCAAAATATATGGCAAAACTAGTTGACCCCTACGTTTCCTCAACGTTGAAATACTTAAACATACTCACTGCGTCATCCACCAAAAGGTGAGCAAGGAAAATATGTTTGCTTTTCCTTCTGGAGATTTTTTCTAAATAAAAAAGTTCCAGGGAAGGATATTTATCATACATAGTAGCTGTGAATTATACTAACTTTAAAACAGTTTCTTTAAATAGTGTGTATCTCAAGTGTCACGTAACAATTATTTTCGCGCAAGTTGTAGATGTGACTAAATACTAAGAAACGTTTTAAGGCCCATTTACACTTGTAAGCGATTTTTTTATTTCGATAAATGTGAATGAGTAAATTAGCTACGCATGTTCAAATAAGAGCTCTTATAGGTCAGATAATTTGTAACTAGCCACTCATTCACATCTACTAAAAGAAGAAAATTGCACATAAAATCTCACTGACCAAAAATTGCAAGTCTAAATCAGATGCAGCTCAAATAGGCTTTGATTTACACTCAAAATTATGATCCTTAAACCTGTTAGAAATTATCCTAGAGTCTTCAAAATACAAAATCGTATTTCTAATCTTACAAAGTCTACAAAATCTTATTTGAAAAATTGTTTTGACAGTTAACTAAATATGTAAAAAAATTTAATGTTGCAGAATTTAGTGCCAAATCAGTATAAATTAATAAGATTTTTTAAAACATGAAAACCTAGGGCTGGGGTGTACCAACAATGACAATAACGAAATCAAGCAGTTTTAAGGATGGAGTTTTAATAAATAGATGTACATTGTCGCACTAGCTTTCCCATTTCTTGGGGCATTAAACAACAAAATGGATTCCATAAGACTATATACTGAACACTGAAATGTTTGACAGCTTTTATTCTTCATTCATAATTGAATTTTGCCATTAAACATATTTTTACACATGATACAAAATACATTTTATATAATATTATATATATACACACCCTGTGATGCAACTCTGTGTCTCTATCAAGTGGTGTGTCAGGAAAGTAGGTGAGATCAACCTGATTATCAATAACACACGATGGTACATCGCCATGGTGTGATAGCACTTTAGAGCTGAAGAAATAACCAAAAAAAATGTTTCCTACTTAGGGCTCAGTAAAATTGCATGCAATGGTTGGGAGGATTAATAATACAGGTTGCATATGTACTTTCAACATAAGAGAAACTGGAGTGTCTACTCCAGTGGAACCGCATTACATAAACTGAAAATACTCCTGGGGGTAATTAATAGCTCTCTTATTTTTTTAAGCCAAAGGGAAGCAAAGATGCCATATCAATTTTAAGGACCTCCAAATAGCAATTAGTAATCTGAGTTAAGTTCCCATATGGAATATGCCTGATAAAATACTAGGAGTGAGAGTACCCCATCATCTAACTGAAAAATATAAAGTTCTGTCAATGTTAAATTCCAAATACATATTAATCCAGCAGTAGCTTTATACTGCAAACATCTATCCTCCTTGCTTATAATTGCAGCATCATGCCATTCAATCATTCACCTGCATTTTTCCACTTACTATTCAGTGTTCAGGCAATTTGTGTTCAAAGGTGCTGTCAATATACTGGGAATATAGCCTGTCTTTCCATCACTTGAAGTCACATATAGCCACCAATCTACTTCACCAATAACTCTGAAAGTCTCTCCTTTCAAGAAACTTAACTGTGTATCTGGATGTGGTGACTGTATTGCCCATTTGTCACCCAGGTCTATATCACTTTCACCAGGCACATGGTCATATAGGGCCACTACATGCATGAGATGACTTGGAACGTTCCCACTAAATTTCATATCTCTTGAAAAACATGCCGGTGATTATAACACAAATGAAATAAATTACTTAACCAAACTACAGTCTGTGTTCATGTACCTGTTGTATAACTAAATATGCATTTTGTACGATTGAATTCATGATTTCAATTTCCATAAAACCATTTTCAGTTTTCTGTTGGAACCGTAGGTTGAAACCACTGAGCTCAGTGGTCGCTGGGTCGCACTCTTGAAGTTAGCGCCACTGAGCTATATAATAATTCCTGGAGGACCGGCTCCTAATGTTTTTTTCTCAAAAAGTGAAGCAAAAAACATGGCGGACTTCGCCCTTCTGCGCATGCGTAGAAGCTTTGCTGACGCCACATGGTCCCCTTTGCCCATGGTAATTACCACTGACCAGGCTCAAATATGAGCCCGCTACAAGAGAATGCTCCCCCCTGTTTTTTTTTTTTAAATTTTATCTGTGAAAAGTGTGCAAAGAATATAGGCAATACCGCCAATACGAATCTTTTGTACGCCTCCGCCACAAATACGGTGTTTTGCATTTACGAAGGAAAAATATCTTTTTGAATCTGTCTGATATTTAAACTTCTACAAGCCCGAGGAAAGCGAGAAGAAAAGTCAGAAGCCTTGAAGTGAAACAGGTATTAAGACACAACTTTTGTATAGACATCGATTATTGATTGACCATTCCTTTGTTTTTTAAGAATCTTAAGGGCCCGAAATAACGTCAAATATTATCATGAGATTGCTTTTTATCGGCAAACAAGCAAGGAATACATTTGCACTCACATATTTGGCATTATTTGCACGCGGTTAAAAACAAATTACAAATGAAAGTATTGATAAACATGGTATTGTGTAAACTATTTGTTCTTAAATCTACAGGCAAAAAAGCCCGGAAAACCAGATGACTAGAATCCTTAGCTAACTGGTATTAACAGCCATAACAGGCCTATCATTTCGAAGCCAATAAACCAATGCATCATCGACTCTGTAGGCCTAAGGCCTTATACAGGACTGTGACAAACTAATGAGGTGCATTTAATTTCATAAAAAGTTTTAATATTCCTCTGATAACTCATACACATGTCAAAGTTTAGTTATCCTTTCTCACAATGATGAATATGCTTTAATTTTATTCTTCAAGTACGTGGACTGTTGATGCTTTTCATGTGGTTATAATTTATTAAATCCTATTTGAGAAAATTGAAAGTACCCCAAAAATGTCATCGTGAGAAAGGCTAATATAGAGATTTCATAGAATATATATTCATGATTTATTCAAGTTTCTAGTATCAGGTGGTTGGTTATTTAAAATAGTATTAATACAATTGTCAATAATTGATAAAGTCTCTGCTATAAGTAAACACAAAAATTATAGTTGATTAATAACTAATTGGTAACATCATCATCATCATTGTCGTCGGACTTGGTAATTTCGGGTCTTTACACTGCAAAACAATGTTAAATAAACCATTCAAATATGTGCAGTACTGCCAACTGGTACTCTGTTTGGCTTATTTGTATTAATTAAACAAAAATGTCCATTAAAGGGATTTTTGCAAGTTTGTCAAATATTATAATTTTATCTTAACCCTGGGCTATAATCCCTGACCTTTATAACACAATAAAATCCTGCTAGTATTTTTTACCTTGTATTAATTGTATACCTTAAAAGTAATAAAGAGTAATAAATATAATTATATGCTTTAATTAACACATTAGATCTCAATTTTCAATTACCCATGACAGAAAGTGTAAATTAAGCCATGTACTATAAACAGTAAATCATATATAATTTAATAACTACATCTTTGCAATAATAATAAATTAATAATATACTATAATCACAATTTATACAATGTATATATTGCCCAAAGGTGTAGCCAGAATTTTGGGGAAGAGAGGGGCTATCGAAAACCTACGCGGGCAGCAGTGTGACTCAAGACAAGATTTGTGCTAAACATTCTAGGAATGATTTTTTGACATTAATGATGGACAACTTCAATAGGCCAGATCAGGTGTTTTGCATTATTGATGGCATAACAATGATTCACTTCATTTTCCCAGGAGGGCCCCAAATTTTACCAAGCCCCTCCAGCCCCCTTCCAGCTACACCTCTGGTATTGCCTCAAAAAAAATATAAAGTGTATAAAACAATTTGCTGTTACAAAAATATATATGAACAGAAAAGGAATTATTGTGCAATATAAACTAATGTCAGTATTACAGTATAATAGCTATATTTTACAAATTTACACTGTCAATGTTTAACTACCAAAGCATATAAACCATTCTCTCTGTGACACCCTGAACTCCATTCTCTCTGTGACACCCAATTCCTCCACATGAGTGATGGTAAATTAAATTTTGATTATGTACAACCAGCATCTTTAATTGGCATCAATCATGATACTTCGACAGCAAGAATATATATTGTTGACTAGCTGATTTTCTTGATTGTCTTTTCTCCATGATTTAGTTGATGTGTTTAACAAGATTTGCACATTATGTGATATCACTGGTTCATGTATAAACAGATGAAATGGCATCATGATACTTTGAGAACAAGAATAATAGTTGACTGGACTGTTTCTCTTGATTGTGTTTTCTCCATGATTTTGTTTCATAGAATGTGATATCACTGGCTGATGTATCATCAAATGGTGATGTGACAATAAATTTTTTGACCAGTCAATTGAGATCTGTATTTCAGCGCAACTCGATCGTCCTGATTGATGAGATTTTTTTGTTCTTGTCCAGCATAAAGTCAGTGTGTGATCATACCACAACATCTTCTTCAACAATTTTTGGTTACAATATTGAACAAAGAGTATACCAAAGCAAATGAGGATTGAGGAATATCTTCCATGGATCTGTGATGCAATACCTTAATTTTTTTGGACAACTCAGGAAGATGTCAAGAAAGATGGAATATCTACATGGCTAGCCAAACATTAACATATATTGCCCTTGTGTCTGTTTGGTCATATTCCTGTTTAACAAAAGTTTAATTTAGTTCATCTGATATCTATAAATATAATTTGTTTCTTCTAATATTTATTCTAATAATAATAATAGTAATATTAAATAATTTCTTTTATGGTTGTAGTTAAATCTTTTCAGTTGCTCTTAGTCTAACAAAAAATAAAAAAAACAAAATTAATGACAGAACTGCATGAATGCAAACACATTGAAAAGATAAAGAACAAAAACAATATTTACCTATAGTGACATATCAATACATTTTATAATTTGTTCATCTGCCAAATATTAATTGACTGTTGTCAAACACCATGCATACACACATTACTCTGTCAACCCCTAGACACATCTAAAATGTGCAGGTTCCGTTGACCATGCATTCTCAACAATGCACACTCTTCCTCGAAACACAAATTATTGTGCCAGGATACGTCCAACCTTCGAAAAATACAATGTCTATGACTGAAATATTGAGAAATGAGGTCTTTGGTCATTTCAATTTTCGTAAAGATGTAGAAAATTAATTGATATAAATAGAAAGGGATGAAATTTCAATTTCCATTAGTTCATAGTCAGTTACATTGACATTGCATTCCAAGGCATACAGGCAAACCTCGAAAGCACCACAAGAGTGCCCAGGACACGTGTAAACTCTACTGGTGTTTGAACAACACAAGCTTTGAAAACTGCTTTCGTATCACCTTCTCATGCATACTTGCATTCCTTAACTTACATAAATGATGCATTCGAATCGTGACATAACTCTGAGAACAGCACTTTATCAGAGTAAACAGGTGGTTGTCCACTGCACTTGAGTCAAACATGTGTTGGTTCAACGTGCTAAAGACCCCGCTCTTCACACATGTTTCCAGCACCGTCTTCGCAATTGCTCCTGATAGTCCAGCGCTACGAGGTAAACCACCTTGGTTAGCATTCAGCATTCGCATAATGCACTTTTCTGTTTCTTCACAAATCTTAATCAGTCCGTGTGACGGTAGTTGCAAACCCCCATTCGTCTTCCATGTTACGAACAAGTCCGGTATGTTCTCTTTCGTCGTCGTCAGAACCGTTGTACATTGGGTGCAATGGATCTTTTTCGTCACCATCTTTGCGACGTACCCAGCAATATACGATATTGCAGCCTCCTTGTACTCAGACAGTTCAATGGCATTAGACACATCACAGTAGTCATGATCGACGGCAGCTGGCTCTCTCAACTCCAGGTCGTATCGCCTCGCAATCGCCACGTCTGAGATCCCAGTCGGCGTTTCTTCAATTTCACACTGGTCTTTGACACAGTTCAGTATCTCCGTGTCATCTTGAGCAACGCAGTTTCCGCGTCCTCCTTCAATATTGTGCCTCATCAGCAGTTGCTTGTACGCTGCGACAAACTGCCGTGTGGTTGGATTGTTATTCCATCCTCCGCATGCTCGCACAGCACCGAAGAACAACTCCAAGTGATCTTGACTTATCTTGTACGTCAAGAGGTACTTTAGCACTGGTTTCTCTGCCATAACCAGATCGTCGGCCAATCCCAAAACTGCTTTGATGCAAATAAGAAAACCAAGAAACCCGGTCTTTCTTTTTGTCTTGAGAATCGATCTTCCATCAGGACCCTTTAGATTTCGGATGTACTCACTCGCCTGGTCCAGAAACTTCTTCGTGTACTGATAATTCGATCTCCTGATTGGCGCTTTGTAATTCTTCGCCAGCCGGTTTCTGGATTTCAGAACATCAAATAAGCGATCAAAAACACGAATAAACTTCACAGTTGGACCACATCCCTGAAATTGTGGCAATTTCAGCTTACCTTCGCAGTATTCTAAAGCATCAGCGACACTCGAACTGAGCGCCTGTGCTGCTAGGTTTACCTTCATCTTCTGTGGTTTCCATTTGATATGCCCTGCCCGGAGCTTATTAGCAAGATGTAAACCCTCTGATTCTTGCAACTGATGCAATTTCTCGATAAATTGCCACTGAATTGTGTTCCCATCTCCATCCTTCAGAACTTGCCAGTCCGACATTGTGTTTCGCACCAACTTTATCATGTGGCAGGCATCCAGAAACACGTAGATCTTGGCCTCTGGGTCACACGGATGCGGAAAATACGCCTGCAGGCTATCAGGTGTAAGAATTGCGCCGAGCTCCTTTAACATCGCCTGGTGGGTCGAAGGACCATCGCATGTGAAAGAAATCACCTTCACCCCAACTTCGTGCAATTTTCGAATGCATTCTTTCGTCAAGTTTGCCTTCTCTTCACCAGTGAGTCCATTTACTAGAAAATATCCACAAGGTATTTTCCAACTTGAGTTTGCGCAAACTGCCATGTATACAAGAGCATCCGTTGCCTCAGGTAGAGAGTCGTCTTCAATGCCCGTTCCGAGGTCGACATAGCCACGCATTCTCTTTCCATCCCACTCAACATGTTTTCGTATGGACATCTCATCCAAGGTGAGGGCGCAAACAACTTCTTCACTTTTTCTTTTTGCAGCGAGGACCTTAGCTTTCAAAGCTGTCAAGGCATCTTTCGTGAAACCGGGTTCACCATCCATCGAGGTATACCACGATCGGATCACAGATACGTGTGGTACCCCAGCTGAAAACTTTTCCGAACATAATTATATGCCTTCGTCGAATAAAACTTTAAGGTCAGAGCAAATGACCTTAGCTCGGGTGGATACGCCCCAGGATATTTGCTTTTCTTTTGCGACACTAACCTCTTCATCAGTTCCTTTGGAACTCCGGAAAAGGTTGTTTCCAAAATTGCAGCACAATCACTATTTATGAGATTACTCTGTCTCAGTTCACTTACCACTGACTCCAAAGTGCTAACCTTTCTCTTTAGCCTTCTTGTTTTTTGTTTTGACATTAAACTTCTTCTGCAAATTAGTCAAGTTGTTTACAAGATTATCAACATTTTTCTTCATTTTGCGAGGAGATTCACTGATATGGTAAGTGTGATCATGGTTCACATGGCTTGCATGTATTCTTTTTGGAGTACTTACCCCGTTAATAGCCATCTCATCAAAGTCTTCATCTGAAGGCTTTCTTTTTCTTCCATGTGTGATTACATTATCTGTAGTGAGCTCTTTACCTTGTACACTTACATTATGAGAGCTTACCTTTTTATCACTGACACCTGGAACAACTACTTTACCAGTACTCCCAGTTGCTAAATCTACTGCAATGTCTTCACTTACCATAAGTCCAGGTACTTCTTGCGTACTTACACAATCTCTACCAGTCATCCAAATTGCAATATCTTTTGATGCAACCTCTACATGTTCCACATTTTGTGAAATTACCTTGACAGAAATGTTAAATTTAATATTGATAACACAATAAAAATTTATCTATGTTTAAATCATTTATCTATGGTGTAAAATGCCACACAAGACATGCAAGACAAGATGGTACTCATGCACTATCGAGTTATACATTCCACTAGTGACAACATTATATGCATTGCAGGTGACCAGCAAAAACTTATATATGTTTGCAACCTAAAATGTATGGCAATTCAGGCTGTTAATTTTTTTTTAGTGTTAATGAATATTGCTTCACATAATATGATTTGCACTGCAGTAGTTAGGAACAGCTCCTTGGAGTTGAGTCTTAAAGAAAATTATAATCTTAATTGTTCACCAATTTAATTAAAAGAGGCACAAACCTGAGACTTTTCAAATATTGTTGGGATAGCATATGGCAACAGCATTGTCCTTTGCCCAACTTTTTGCATCATGTCCACACTAAAATGTTCAGAACACACACGACTTCCCTTAATTGGAGTAAACTCAACTGGAACATTCTTGTTTATATTCTCCATCCATAAGGCATGTAACTCAGGACTCTTCTCAGCATCAGGAAAACTATATTTGAATGTTAGAGTAATGTTAAAAATTCAAATTTTCTAGTATGGATATATTAATGCAGTATATCAAATACATGTGTGTATGTATGTATATGTATGTATTTTCTAGCACATGTTCTTGTAAATTTGATTTTAGAGCTATTGAATAAAAAAAAATGATATCACTGTATTTTCAAGCCTTACGACAATTAAAAAAGTTAAATTAATTTTGCCGTTTGTGGCACGAAACACATTGAAAACTGAAAACAGTCAAAACACGATAATATAGAATCCAAATTATCTCAAAGGTCAGAGAAATTCAACCCTTTCTTTACTTAAAATTTCTTTACAACTATTTCTGAATGTGCGAAAAATAAAAAATGACGCCATTTCCTCAATACGTGCAAACAAAATCGTGTTTTTGTGCGATAAAAACTACAAAATTATGAAGTTGCATGATATCTTACCGGTGGGAGGTAATATTCTCCTTCGAGAAGGAATTATGACAACCAATAACGCAGCAAAACTTCGGCATTTTTTAATTTAGAGTGAGGCGGGAAAGATGAATAAAAAAATATTCAAAAACTGATACTAGATCAGTCAAAAATCGGGAGGGTGACGGACACGTTTTTGACTTTGTATCGCGGTATGTCAGTGGTAATTACCATGGGCAAAGGGGACCATGTGGCGTCAGCAAAACTCAAAATCCGCCATGTTTTTTGCTTCACTTTCTGGTCAGGAGCCGGTCCTCCAGGAATTATTATATAGCTCAGTGGTTAGCGCTCAGTGAACTTTCACTTCCTCGTTTCTACATGTTGCAATTCCTTGAATGTGGGTCTAAAATTCCTCAGATTTTGTAAAACGTTCGGCAGGTGGCCGATTGGGTAGTAAATAAAATTTTGGGTTTTCTATATCATTCTAAATACCAAAATAACGAAATTAGTAAAAATTGTATACATATATTATATACTCAGATCATGTGAAACATCACTACATTATAAGTGGCAATCATGGGTATTCACATAAAGAGGTGGATTATTGACATCAATAATCCGATTATGGCATAAGCACAAATAAGGCACAAATATAATGTTTAAAATAAAACAAATCTAGTGCTTTTATGGAGGACTACCTCCTCTGCCGGCCCTTTTCCGGGCAAATGTGGCTGGGCGGTGATATGCTTCCTAGCGCCTGCCGAGGATGTAGCTCAAGGGAGGTGAACACGAGAGAAATTCAGAGAATCGTGTGAAATCTCGAGTTTTAAATGCGAGCGTAGGTGTACGGGCTAGGGGAAGGCAGATTCGGTGTACCGTTAACTTCTCAGGCAAAATATTCTGAATTTTCGGGGCATAAAAATCAGTTTTCAAGGATAATTGGTCCAGCCTCCTCCCCAATAGAGAGGCACCCGTACGTCTAGGTAACAAACTAGCAAGCAGGGGCACATGCCAAAAACAATATTCTATTCTCAAAATGTTTTCAGAAAAATGTTCTCAAAATGCAGAGATAAACGTTATGTAAAACAGCTTTACACTTAAGGCTACTTTGAGTTTCTATTTACGCGTTTTCAGTTTAGGCGCATAAAACTCCAAATGCTTCTAAATTTTTATTATTTAGCTTTAAAACATGGGTCAACAAATGCATACTAAAATATGCGGAAAACTAAGTTCTTTTGATTTATCACCTAGCTGTTTCAAATATGACATATAATTTATAAGGAATTTAACGTTTAGGAATATAACGTTTTTAATTGATAAATTAATGTTTAGTTGCATTGAACAGGGCACAAAACAAAAACAAAAACACTGGAAAAATATTGTGCACAACACTGCTACATTTTTTTTATAAGTTTTACGTGCATGTCAACTCCATTGGTCCAAGGGCATCAAACGTCATATTGACGTAATTCCAGCCGATATGACGTTCCGGCAGACAGCAGGAAAACAAGAATGATCAAAAGAAATGACGTTGTTCCTTTTCCTTTTTATCTTAGTTGCAAAGTGCATCTCTTGACAAGACAGAACAATCTTTGTAAAAAAACATTCAGCTGCAAATTGTGATTCAGTCCCCCCACAACCCACAAACCGTCCACTTAAAATTAAAAAAACATGAAAACAACATTTGACACTTATTTCGTCGGTCGATTGTTCACAAAACATACTTTATTTTATACAACTTCATAACAGTAAGCAAATAAACCGCAAATGAAAGAACAAGTGAACGTAACTGGGTCCCGTATTACTCCAATTCTCCATTATGGAGATATTTTGTTATTTTCCGTTTCTCTCATGAAATTGTTGAAAATACGTATATGATATCTTCACGTAATAACACAAATCAAATGATTTTTTTCGTTATTCCTAAGTCGATAGCAAATTACTTTCCTCTCGCGCGGTCGCGAGAGGGCTCGATTAAACGCGAGATAGATAACCTAGGCTGGCTCTCGCAATAGCGGGAGAGGGAAATAATTCGCCATCGACTTTGAAATAACGAAAGAAATCATTTCATTCGACGCATGAAACATTCGGGAAAAGGGGGACATTGACCATTGGTATAATAAATTCATCTATATTTTTAAACTATTTAAATCACGCTGTTTGATAACGATTTAATATTTTGATGTTTGGCAAGGCCAATATAATTAATGAGAGACAGAGCGTCGGCTAACATCTGACTAGTTGACGCACAGTTGTTGGCGATTATTTTTAACAGGGGTTGCTACCGAAGAGACCAATCAGAGCCGGAAACAGCTGCATGGTACTGCTAATGCGTGTGTACATTAACTGAATGTAATCGCCTCTACTTTCACATCATGGCCTGAGAGAAGCAGGGATGATACTGCATGTTTTTCATAGTTTCTCATCAGTTCGTCTAAAAGGGACGGGAAGTTGGAGATATTATTGTGGGGATGTTTCCTGAAATGACCCAAATGATTTTTATTTTTTGTTGAATTGAGTTTGTAACGCAAATCAGAATTTACCTAACTTCCCGGAATTTCCCAGTTTGTTTAGAAAATATTTATCCAGTATTCACACTCCAGAAAAATGCATGCCTTACCAATTTCTCGGTATAAATAATGAATTTACACTCCCTTATCACAACTCACAAGTGACGATTTTTTTCAATCGATGCAGTGGATAGTTGTGGATAGACATTCCTCACCTGTCTATCCACCAGCACAGAAGAATTTGATACGGAAGAGTGCATTAAAACAAAATATTGACAAGGTAAAGGTTGTTCTAAGATCAACATTACCTGCTGTGCAAAAATATCAAAAAGAAATTTCACATAGGATTTAACAAGAAGGGCTGAGCCCATGGGAGCCTCCCCCGTAATCCATCTGTGATTTCATTCATACACAGCCACTTCCATAATTTGCTCCCTTACCATAAAGCCGAATTAACCAGGTCATTCAGTTGATGACATTTAGGATTACATCAATCAAGATTCTTACCCTGCATGCCGTATATATAGCTACCCTTACGATCTACCACAAGGATTCTAATAAACTGCGTTATTTAAATCATTTAAAAACGTTTCCATCTTTCTGTGCCAGTATTCGTAAAGTGAGTAGTATTTTCTGACAGTCGAATCTTTGTGTAATGACAACACATTGCGAATCGCCGATACTTGCATGGAACAGGTTTTAACATGCTTTACTTGGAATTTGGTATGTCAAGGTTACCAGAACCAAAGCTCCTCCTTAGTTCTAAGAAGCAACTGAGAACTCTTCCCTCAATTTTTTTAATTTACAATACACTGCGGTACATACAATGTACAATGTACATACCGATTGAACCTGAATTGAAACTGAATAGCTACTGATTCCCCCCACTCTAGAGTCTCCATACATCTTTACATTTATCATAATTTAGGGAATAGTTTAGGGTTGTTCATATTTTAGGGAATAGTTTAGCTGAGATTATATGACGGGATTAACCGATCATCATCATCAAGAGAAATAATAAGTGAGAGGTATATGAATGCATCAGCATATGAATGCATACCAGCCTATATGTGTTGTTTGCTGCATGTTGTTTGAATAGTTGGACCAACCAGGAAATTGTTCATAATGCACCCGACAGTAATTACATTGAGATTGTCAACAGATCCCGGCATGTGACATTCGGTTGCAGTGCGAAGAAGCGCGTATCAGCATTTAAGTAAATATTTTCACAGCCAAGGGTCACGAGGTCAGCTTCATGTGATCATCATGTGATATATGATAACCGAGTTCGAGATCTATGTACTTGTAAAAATATCATGATTTGTCGGTGGCAAGCAGTTCAATATCTGCTGATGTCAAAGGTAGAGACAAATTATTGATCTACAAAACACCCACAAATCGCGATATTACTCGTTAAGATTTATCAGGTAAAACATTCCATGGACGTTTGCAAGATTTTGGTGATTTGGTCAAATAGTTTATCGGCTTCACTTGTTTTGGAAAGATGGGCCAAAAAACAATGACGACGGAGTTACTCATTTCCTTTATGCTTTAAAATTCCTCGAAAAGTTGAGCGGGAGCGGGTAGAATGTTCACAAAAATGACAGCAATCAATGCACATGCTCAGATCATTGTTTGCAGCTGAACGACTTTTTATACGAAATGCGCACGCTCTGCCTAATTTTTGCACGCAGTTATTTGTGTGTACATAGACTATAGATGAAGGGGTATTGAGATAAGCAAAAATTTAATGATAAAGCTTAGAATAGAAAATACCAAATCTTCACGTTTCCATATCCTAATCATCGATGTGGCAGGAACCAATGATCGTAATTACTTCCATTTTAAAGGAAGTATACCTGATGTGGGTACAACAAAAATTATACCGGCGACCTTTCCGCTTCACTCTTATATATAGTTTTTTATTCTTTCTACGCCTAATAATATTGGCATTACATATAGCTAAAAGTGATAAGCCGCATAATCCAATATTTTGAAAGTGAACAACATTCACGCTTGTTAATGATATAGAAGATAAATTATTTATCGGAATAAGGCCATTTATTTAATACGATGGATGGTCTTGCGCAGAAAAATGAACATTATACAAGACCCTGCACGAATAAAAGAATGCATTGTTTAAAAACGCATACTGAAATGCGGCTTGGCTTTTTCAAGGTACCTATGCATGGTTATGAGGACTCCCAACTATGTACAAAAAGGCGTAAATAGATACAGCCTTTAGTGAAACGTCTTTTTCAGGTTTTGTTTATATATGAAACAAAAAATATTACATCTAACCTTACACATTTATTATATATATAGGCCACTAAATTATATTATATATCATATTATACTAAATTATATATTTAAAAGAATTACTCCTATATTCACCCACACATCCCAGGCCATGGTAAAATAAATATATTGCAAATATTAGGCAAGCGCTCTCTGCTCTCTTGCGCCACTTCGAAACTAGTGATTAGTAGTAGTAGTGAATAAATAATAAATGGCTCCCAATTAAACATGCACTTTTTATTTTCATGCCGAGACACTTGGCTGACAGGCGTGGTTATAATTAGCTATTAAGCACAAAAACACCTCAAGATACAACTAAGGAATTTCTCATTATATAAAGGACCATGAAAAAAATAATAAAATAGTTTAAATATCTTTCTTTTTGTTGGAGTTTTTACCTTTCTAATAATCATAAAATTAATTACGCTCCTCGCCAGACAAACAGTGACAATACATTGCGGTTAGTAGCTATGGCTTGTGCGATATATGTCTTGACTCAGAATGTTTTAAATTTGCGCTTAAATTAATTGGATAATGAAGGTTGGGGTTTTCACAAAGCAGTCTTATACTGTTATTGTTAATGATTATATTATAATAAACTATAAAGAGTTCAAATAGGCTGTCGGTATACTTGGCATTGCATGATATGGGCTTTTAACGAAGAGGATTTTTTTTAATGTGAGCTATTCTTGGAAGCATGCATGAACTGTTTTTGTGCATGAGTGTTACCCAAAGTCCGTACTCGAATTCATGTGTAACCTTATTATTACTGCTACAGCTAGCCTAGTCGCATGATAACGCCGTCGCAGGTGAAATGCCACCAGCAAAGGCTCCAGACGCCGCTCAACTCTTCAAAACTTCAACTCCTCGCCGCCGCTCAACTCCTCAACTCTTCAGGACAAAAGTCAAAGACAAAGTGCGAAATGCGCGAGTGGTAAACAAAAATCAATCGATGATTTGCATGTCTTATGAATTTTGATGACTTTTGCAAAAGTACTTATGAACCTCGCATATTAGGGATATTTAAATAAATTTGATTGGCAAAAAATTTCAGGGTTTTTTACTTTATTGTTACCATATGTTACCATATATGTCTCACCACAAATGTTACGGGTTTTTTATTATTAAAAATAATATTTTTGGGGCATATGTTGCAGCAGCGCAAAATACTTACTATTTCACTGTTCTGTCTAAAGATTGACACCCACTCGGAAACTCGTACGCGTCAAACAGGAAAGTTTTAGATATTAGATATAGGTGTGACCATAATATTACTCATGGAGATGTCAAAACGATAACAAAAAGCTTTTAATTGTATTTATGATTATTTATGTCTGTACTTGAAAGTTCTTGTTTCTGTCTTGGGTGGTACGAAACATGACACTACGCGTTCAAAGAGATTGGATTGAGGGAGGAGAGAAAGAAAGCCTTGGTTCTATTACCTAAATTTCTAGCACCATTCAATTTAAAACATCGTAAATATATTCTAAGAAGAGCAAATTTTGTACTCGAGTGATACACGAGTGATACTTGAGTTTACATCGTTAAAATGACTTGAAATATTCAGTTATGGATCATTTCAATACATTCTAAATGACTTATAGTTTAAGATGAGATTTCCCATATATGATATTTTGGAATCTTTCCATTTTAGCGATGGCCGAAATGTTATTATATTGCAATGCGGTCTATAATGCGATATTATACAGATAATTGCCAAAATTATGTATATTCATCAGGATTCCACAGATGAAAATTACAATGTGGCACAAAATCCTCTGTAAACCACTCGCTATTCAGCTGTTATAAAATATTTTAAAAAAAAAAAACTCCAGGAGCGTGTTCTTTGGTACTCAAATCAATAATAACAAATAAACCCGGAAAAAATGACTCAGAGTTCAAGATTATATTGCTGCTAGTCGAACGTCTACAATGTAACCCCAAATTTAACATCTAGTTGTATTAAAAACAGATTTAAAATGAAAAAAAAGTTAAATATATATTTTTTACTACATTCCGAAGAGAATAGAACACGGAGGGTTGCTTATTTAAAGCGGAACTACGGTTAAACTAATTTAAATATATATTAAAAAAATCCCCTATCATGCTTGTTATCTGTCATTATAGCACTCATCCCTCCCTTTTGACGTCAATGAAGAATTGACCAATGAAATTCCAGATAGCCACGTGATAAAGAAAGACATAAACTGCGTGTCCAGTTGTGTATCAAGTATTAGATTTTTGAACGTTGCACGAGAAAGTGTTATTTGTTCAACAGCAAGTAATTAAATAATCAAAGTTAATACAAACGGTAAGTTCCCTTAAAAGTTTGGTTGTGAGTTGCATTTATATAGTTTGGTGACGATAAAGTCACTTCTTTACCATGTCGGTTTAGTAACTTCAGTTGGAGTTTAAAGCTGCGTCACAAGTCACAACGATGGTGGTTGGTTGACGACATGATGTTGATCGGCCGTTTTCTTCCGCATCGTTATGAAATGACTTTTTAAATACAAATAACCATAACAACTTTCTGATTCAATTTGAAGCTTTCCAAAGGAACCAAAACGTAATCATATTAGACTAGTGATTCACTGATTCTTTTCTTATTCTCGTCAAAGCACCTTGAAACAACACCATTGTCAGTGAGCATGCTATTCCAACAATGCGTTTCCAACGTCATTTCAACATTTCAACTCGCGCGTTCTCGATATCTAAAGTCATGATTAGTATTTGTGCGTGTGATATTTTAACACGCTAACAACAATCTGTTTTATTTCTTAAACAGAGCTTCACCATGGAAAATTCACACTTCAGCGACACATGGCATGAGATTGCTTACGCTACTCCAGATGGTAAGACAGTAAAATCTTCTTCTTCAGTAAAATATTGCCATAGTGAAATTAGTAAATGCTTCTTTATCTGATAACGAAATGCGCTATAAATATGCTTTGCATGCTGGTTTCGGTTTCGGTTTGACACAAATCCCTCTCTAAATACATTTTATTCGTCTACTTTTAATAGAGCAATTTGTGGCGCACGGTGTGGAAAATCTTTTCGGAACATTTCGCAGGGAGACAAACGGCATTCCTGACGGTAAATAATTACAACGTTTTTCCATCTATATTTTTCCTTCACTTTAACACTTGAGTATTTTCGTATTATTAAAATGACGTAATGTATGTGTATTGCGTGATGTTTATCGGTGAAATTATGCACGCCCCTTGTAGACAGGTCCTCCTACGCTAAGTGCCTGCTGACTTAGGAATGTTGATAAACCAGTCTTGTCAAACCTGTTTGGGCAGATTTTGATATTCAATACAAATTTTACGTTTCTGAATATTCAACACATCAGTATCATTATTACGTAGTTCCTGATAATCCAATACAACGCCCAGCCAATGTAAATGACGATTTATCTTAGACTTAGTAATCTTTCGCAGTTTCCAAATTTTACTGCAAATAATTGGGTGGGTTTTTAATCTTTTTAGCATGCTTGGGCAGATTAATAATGTGAGATATTCTATTATAGATCCAAGAGACTGGACACCGGAAAATGTATGCCAGTGGTTATCTTGGGCTGAGTCCAAGTTCAACCTTGGCATTCAACTGTCAAGCTTTCTTGACAGCTATGGTTTCGTTTATGATGGGCGAGCATTGTGTCGCCTTACGAAGAGAAATCTTTGCTTGAGTACATCAGTAGCTATTGGAGAAATTTTGTGGCAATCCCTGCAGAGAATCTGCAGAGGTGAGTTATAATTTATAATACACACGCATAGCCACACCAATACATTTATATGTTGAACAAGTCTGAACTATACCCATCAATCAGCCATCATCATCATGACTACCACCATGAATAGAAAACGTTTTTCTCAATAAATATACTTTTTGCCGTTTTTCTAGAATACAATCAAAAACAAGAATTCATGAAAATGAAGTTCCAGTCATTACCGAGCATGTCCGAAATAATAGTGGATAATGCAGCATTAGTTGGCAATGTGGAACCATCTTCCAACACCCTGCAGGATCTGCCAGGTGATGCCGATGACTTTCTGGCCAAGCTGACCAGTGCACCATCTCCAGTGCATTCAGAATTCTCAGACTATGGAAGTATGCCTCGTTCACCTGCCAGTGTATCTGGTGAGTGCTTGTTAACTTGATATGTTGCATTTTGTGCTGGTTATTACAATTACAATAGCCTTAATAAAGCATTCTTACTATTGTATTCTTATTTTCTATTATAGATTTGGAGACCCATTCCCCAGTCAACTCTCCTCCACCACAACCCCCAACTCCTGATTGTCTACCAGTCAAATCTTCAACTGGTCGCACACCAGGGCGTAAACGAGGGCCAAAGCCAACAATAAGATACTCTGGTAATTAATACTATAGTATTTAACCATTTACTACCTACTGGTTTTGATTTAGGTGTCACCAGTCTATACATTTTCGATATAAAATCCCTTAAGTCTTTTTATCTGTACACAAAGAATGAAAAAGTATTTTTTCCATTTTCAAGGTAATGGACCAATTCAACTGTGGCAGTTCCTATTAGAGCTCCTCCTGGATGACAATCATCAGACTGATGTAGAATGGACACATCAGGACAAATTCGAATTCAAACTTCTTGATCCTGAGAATGTTGCAAAGTTATGGGGGAAAAAGAAAAATAAGCCCAAAATGAACTATGAGAAGTTAAGTCGTGGTCTTCGGTATTACTATGACAAGAATATCATCTCAAAAGTTCATGGCAAACGCTATGTTTACCGCTTCCTATGTGATATTGAGAAAGTCCTTGGTTATGATCCAACTGAGTTCATTGGACAGAGAGAAGAGACGAAAGCAGTGGAAATTAAGTCAGAGGACATAAAAACGGAAGAGACAACATCCATTTCCTCACCATACACCGAATCAAGTTCAGATCCAGAATTATCCATTCCTCCCAGCCCGCTAGATTCAGTGATCTCTAATGATGATGTTCTTAGCGATGATCTTAGAACCATTGGTTTTGATGATCTCGTCTTTGATGATATCACTGTTCCTGATGACATCATTGCTCCAGATGATGTATTTGATAATCTTTACATGTTTTAAAGATTGTTTTGTTTGTTCAGACCCTGATGGTAGTTAAACCATCCAATGTGTTACTGCTTTATGGTAGTAACTTTTAGTAGCTTGTATCAAGCATTGTAGTTTTAAATATTCTGTGAATATCTTTTATGTCGAATATTTCGATAAGTAGGTGTTGGACTTTAGTGCCTTTGGCCTAGAGGTGTACATAGTATTGATGACATTTTACAAGTGCTGCTGTACATTTGCAGTGGTACTTACCTTTTGAGATTTTCTTGTCAAATAATAAGCAACAAAAAGTATTGCTCATATATTCGAGATAAGTTGCATATAAGATACATTCTTTTAGCAGTTGAACCATATGTGGTTGCAAGAAATCTAAAAGAAATGATTTATTAATATTAACTAAGGTTTACTAAATTTTATGAATATATGAATTATTATTTGACTTTCAGTATATTAAAGTAAGCGTAAGATAAATTTAAGAAGCTTTTTATGTATTAAATCCGATGTATTCCTTTTGTTATAGCAAATGGTTTTGTTTAATATATGAAAAGTTTGTAAAGTTGAATATATGTGGGACATTTGTTCAGTATGCTGTTTACTGATTATTGTAGTGCATATTTGCACAATAGATTTAAAGTGTTGAAGAGGTATTATCTTCCCACTTATGTAATTTTAAATTAATAAAACATGACAAAATGTTTATATGTTTATTGTTGTGAGAAGAGTGTGGTACTCTTGATTCAATCTTAGGATTTTAAATTGCATGGATGAATTTACACTAGCCTAAGGGATGCAAATTTGGGTATGAATTGAAATTCAAAAACCCCTCCCTCAAAAACCTTACTGGATCTATCCTTGATTACTATAGTTTCCAAAATAAAGTTGAACTTGAAGATCTCAAAACCAAAATGTTTTGTGAGCAAATGATTCTGGGTTATAACCTTGTTTAAAAATTGGACAAATTAGTATGGTAATTGGTAATTCAATTATCAAACATCCTAAACAGCAAAGTAGAAAATAGATACAAAGCTGCAAATGACCCAACTCAGAGACATAGTACAATGCTAATAAACACTGTCATGACAACCTAGAATGTGCTGTTGATCATTTTTGCCCCACAGTAGCACAAGTTGGTACCAAGCTTTTACCATTCACTGTGTTTATATGTGAGGTAGCTACAGTGCTGTATGTATTTTCTACTCTGTTGGCATGGACCATTCCATATAATATAGGTATACATTAATAGGAAACACTAGCTGATGCAAGATTTTCAGCATGGCCCAGTTAAACATAGCAATATAATTTCCCTGCAATATGCATAACTTCAGTAGTCATAATCCATTGCTTGCTTAATTTTCACAGCATAAAGTAGGCTAATAATTAATAAAGACTGTTTCCAGCTGCTACTCACCTTTTACTTAATGTTCCTGGTCAATAGCGGTTTCCACCCCTCCAGGTAATGATGGCATTAGTAGCGTATCTTCTTGAACTCCTTGAATGAACCTGGATGCAGTGTAACCATGTGGTTCAACAGCTATCAAGAATATTCAGTGAACTTCTCGACGTTTCAACCTTTATAGGAACCACGTGTGATTAAAATACGATGAATGAGATGAATTATGAAACCAAGTTAGTTGATGATTTACCAAGTTACAACTTTCAAAGGCGAACACGGAGGAAGAACAAAATTTTTATTCCTTCTTTCTTTTTCAGTATACACCCGACTATTGTCTATTACAAATCCTACATTCTGATTGGCTACTCAACATTGTCTATGGTGATGGTGAACGTTTGGGAAAAATTCGCTCGCGCGACCGTATAAAATTGAATTAATTAAATTATTTTTCGGTGTAATTGCAGTGTATCGATTATTTTCTCGAAATTAATATATCATTATATCTAGGTACAGGGTGTATACTAAAACAATTTTCGCCTTTGTTGACTATTCGCTCATAGACAACTCGGACTCGTTGTCTAATTAACAATTAGACAACGAGTCCGAGTTGTCTATGAGCGATTAGTATAATTTCAGTATTGAAAAATGGCCTTTGAGCATTCTGATTGGCTCCCTCAGCAGTAACTCTGAGGCAATAGTTACTGCTCAGAGCAGTTTGAGCAGTAACTATTGCTTTTCCCCAAAAAAACATGGCTGAAAATACTCAAAATCAAAATTATATTCATAAAATAAACATGTGTATCAGTTGTATTTATAAATAAAACTTTTTCAATACTGAAATTATACTAAAACAATTAGTCGCCTCAGGCTCGGTGATTACAAGCCTATATTCACTTCGCCTTCGGCTCAGTGAATATAGGCTTGTAATCACCTCGCCTTCGGCGACTAATTGTTAAATAGTCAACGAAGGCGAAGCCTGAGTTGACTATTCGCTCATAGACAACGAAGGCGAGTTGTCTAATTGTTTTAGTATGCACCCTGTACCTTGGTACATTAATTTCGAGAAAATAAGCGATACACCGCATTTACACCGAAAAATAATTCAATTTTATACGGTCGCGCGAGCGAAATTTTTCCCAAGCGCGCACCATCACGAATAGACAATGGTTGAGTAGCCAATCAGAATGTAGGATTTGTAATAGACGATAGTCGGGTGTATACTAATTGTTAAATAGTACATCATTGTAGTCCATAGTGATGGGCGATACTTCGATACCAAGTATCGATACTCACCGATATTTATGATTTGCACTAAATATCGATACTTGACCAAGTGGTCGCAAAATTTCGATACTGAGCCTACAGTATTTTAGGTCCGCGTTTTCTACCAAAAAGTATAAAAATTTTCATTTATTTTTCTTTTGTTCGTCGCTTTTTTGTTCTTTAGTTCTTTAATTATATGCTACCAATCAAAATAATTTCTGCCCATTTTTCATTTGCGAAAAACAAAGGGGAAAACCACTACAAATTGTCTGGTATCGAAGCGGTATCGTATCGATTTGAAAAAGCTGGTATCGCCCATCACTAGTAGTCCATAGACGATTCGCCTTTCTTATTTCGAGATTATTTAATTGTCGCGAGTGGCAACAAAAATGGCGTGATTAGATGGAAAAATAGTTAAGAAAAGAAAATGATGGAAAGCTCATTTATATACTTGCTTTATCCTAAGTGAGATAAAATCGTGTTTGCACTTCGCCGGTTCTCTAATTACACTAGTTCACTATATATCATAGTTACACTGTCTGGCAATTTTTGTTCCTGGCCCTGCCCCACGCAACATGCAAAGCATCGTCTACAGGGTGTATCAAAAAATGGTATCGGCACAGTGTTGTGCGTGAATAAAATAAATATATAACAAATGTAAATTGCTATAAACAATTGTAAGTTTTTGATGTTATGATAGACCAGGCTTGCCGCTGTCGAACGACACAAAAAATAATCAAATATGACCTCGATTCAAACTCATGATAAAAATCGTATATTTCCACCTCCGCGGATTCCGTGAAAAGGGGGCCTCGACCATAGGCAGCCCGGTCAATGCGGATAATTATATACATAAAGGCTAATTTCCAATCAGGAAAATTCTCCTTTGGATCGGATAGGACAGGAAAGTTTCCCTTGTATAAACGCCGCCTGAGAACTCACCGACAAAGGAAATTTTCCTGTCCGTTCGGATCCAAAGGGGATTTTTCCTGAGTGGAAACTAGCCTTTTAAGATAATATGCGGTACCCGCATTGACCGGGCTGCCTATGCTTCGACATGTTCGTAATTAATTACTTTTCCTTTTGTTTAGCCTAGAGCAGAAGTGCCGGAAATGTGCGATTTTCATTTTCAACAAACCCGTACTAGATCATTTTATCTCCATTTATTACAAAAAACATATCATTCAACAGCGAAAAGCCTGATCTATCTTACCATCACAAAATTGAGCTCGCTAATCTTGTCTCGCGGTTTACCTGTCATACTTGAATACACTGTGGAAAGTTCCGTAGTATATAGCCAAGTAAGACATTGCTCTTTGTGGGAACAGGCGTTTTTATGACATTCTTCCAGCTTTAGAATTTAATATAAATACTAGTTTAGAAACGTTGACTGGAGTGGAAGGGGAAAAACTGTATCTTGTATACGCGATCACTCATTTTTATATTCACATGAAATGCCGAAAAGGATACAAAATGTTCATTGAGTTATCACTGAAATCTCGACAGACAGAGTTCAGTTTTTTACTCGCTGAAAAAAAACTGTGCAACTGAGACTTGGAAATTTGTGAAAATATTTACACGCCACGGTAGCATCTGAACAATTGACAAATATAAAAATCTTGATAACTTAATTTGTTCCACTGAAATTCAGTGATACTCTTTAACTTTTTTTAAAAACATTTGAGATATATACTCACAAAGTGAATACTAAGTTTAAAGGTCGGTTAAGATCTTTTATTTTCTCAGTTCGATGAGTGCAAATACTCAAAAGGTGGAAACTTGATTTTTGAATGATATTGTAGGGTTATAATTATGTTCATCGGGGTGTTGGATAAATCTACACGCCTGCGTGCGTGCGTGACTGAGAAGATTTCAATATATGTTAGGCGCAAGCTAACGGCGTTTGCAGGTACTGCTACGTATTATATTTCTATTTGCAAGTAAAATGACTTTTAATTTGCCGATATGTCTTTAATGTGTCCAATTCACATGGAAACAAGAGTCATCAGCTGCATGTAATGGGTCATTCAAGTCACGCCTCATCGTGGTTTAACAAAACACCCCCATAATGCCATATCATATGGTTTGACGCCAATTTTCCTTCCACTTTGGCACATGAAAATTTAAACCAAGTTCAATGTTTGACGAAGCACTATATAAGATTAATATCGTTTTATACTATGCGGATGAACTAGATATGCCGGAATAAAGACCAATGAAATATTATGAAGGTAAGGTCCAAACGGACTAAAAGCCAGGTATACATTTGAATAGATTTGAATATGCATGCATGCATCATAGTTATAGAATTTTAACATAAACTTTGAAGATAAAATGTCTTTTAACTAAGCTGCTTAACAATCAAGTTTAAAGATACAATCCTACGGATTTCTCTTTACCCTCACACTTAGCCTAAGAGCCTAAATACTTAGCTATAATATAATACCAGCCTATCTACGTATATATTCCTGTATATCGATCAATCGACAATCTTTCGGCTGTCCGAAACGCGCGTCAAAAATATAAAAATCTGCAAGAAAATTGGTTTCTCAGTTCATAGTTCCAATATGAAAAGAATAATTACGCCTGCAACACCTAGCATAACTGACGGCGAAAACGATGCTCATGACTTGCGATGTATTGGAAAACCTATCACGTTAATGCTTCGATCCAAATCTCGTCTTTCTACACCAAGTATTCAACCATGGTTACGTTCACCGAATTTGACTTCCAAGAGTAATGTTTCGCTACGGACACCAGAACTCAGTTTGGAAGATGGAAAAGAAAATACGCGTAATTTAACTGTAAAGCGACATGAGAATGCTACTAGCACTTTACCGGCATTAGTACAAAAAAATAAAACTCCGCTAACATCTTCATTGATGTGCCACAAAAAGTCAAAGCGGCGAAACCAAACCACAGGGAGCCAGCGAAAGAAAAGTGATTCAGAAATGGGGAATGTCTTGCCAAAGATGGAGGGATGGTCACAGAGGGAACATCCTGATATTATTATAGGTAAGTTATGAAAGCATGGATGCATGTGTTATGAAGTTATATGAACAGTGAACGTGGATGAACAGGACTGAAGATAATTTTTCTAGTCTGTTCGCTGAATTTCATTCAACAAGCAACCTAGTCAAAAAAAGTTATGTTATGTTAATATTCAGATCGACAGCCTATGAGTATATGACTTTAAGAGTTTCAACGAGCAATGTGGGTAGCATAGAAAACAAAGGCAATGTTATATGTCATAGCGTACTCAGGGAACGATGGGGAAACAGCTGATATTTCTTCGTCAATTTTTTCTTTATTATTTAGGACGAAGAACCACCAGAGCATTTACATTCTCTTATATAAATGAAATGTAAAAAACAGTTACTGATTAGAGTGCGTCTGTCTAATATAATTAGTCACTGTCACATCCTAAAAAATAAAATACTATTATACTTAAAGCAAAGGTTTACGCGAATGGTGACCCTGATGAAAATAGTCATTCTTGCATGCACAAGCCCGTTGCAAATCCATGCCAAGGCAAGTGTCATTAGGTCCACTCCGTCCCGAGTTGAGGAAAGATCCCAAACTGCTCACATGCATGACTCACGTTCGAATGCCATTATGCAATACCAAGGTCTGCAGGGATTATACGAAGCATAAGGAGTACGAATTCGAAGCGGGGGGGGGGGGGGGGGGAAGAAGCATGATTGGACAACGTTAAGAGTTTCAACAACATCGGTCTGAACGAAGTTGAGTGAAAGTGCCGGAATGAAAGTCATCAATCAGTGATGAAAGTACAGTGAATTTAATATCCACCGCCAGACATTTTAGTGGTGTTGTGCTATGACATGCATGCATGTTCACAAATTACGAAATATTGTTTGTTCTTTGGTAATAGAATGTTTAAAGTTGTCACAGACACAGGTTCGGTGTTTAGATACAAATAAACGTATATATTAGTGATAACACAATTTATCCCACCCCCTCCCTAATAGCAACGATATTCAGCCTAATTCAACTGGTATAGGCAAATTTATATATTCGCGCAAACGGATAAAAAGTCTATACTGATAAAGAAACGATTCTACTTTTGGCGAATTTTTGCGTCGCACGAATAAATTCGCCTCTCAATACCCGCGGGAGGGAAGATAGAAGCATAGAACTCTAGGCTAGTTAGTTTATAACGCCCTGAGAACATTTCGTTCGACGTTTAGTAGTGGATGAAAAATTAAATATTATCTATCCTTCTTGTGATATAGAACAGTGAATTTGATATGCATCACCACACATTTTAGTGGTGTTGTGTCATGACGTATTCGCGACAATAAAACTGAAACGTGATCAAGCACGCCTGAAGTATATTAGGCCACAATACAAGCTAATGATCAACTTTGACTATTATATATCGTTTGGCTGTTTTTGAATCGTAACGGAATGATCGAGAAACCCAGATAACCTTTTTTTAGTAAGGTAAATATTGCAACGTTTAACGTTTTGTGTGAAACTTAAAAGAAAACTGATGATCAAAAGTAATCGGATCACTAATGTCTGCATGAGCTGGCAAAGGCAAAGCTCAGCACTTTCGTTTCGAATCGAGTGAATAGACAACGTCAAACACGCCAAAGATCACAGCTTCATTCGTGATATGGAGTTACCGAATCTACCGTACATCAAACTGCGCATATAGAAACAAATCTTTGTAAACCAGTATTCTGGTAGGTAAATATTGCTATTATCTGATACTTCCCTGCGGTTTAATTTGCAAACCTCAGCATATTTTAAATTGATATTATTTCCGTATATGTAATGTATCATACGGAAGAATACGGTGTAGTTTCCGTCAGGTATGGGTATATACGCAGAAAACGACTCCGATATTTAACGGCAGACATCTTGGTAGGTATTTTGTTTACTATATAAAGACAAAACTAGTCAAGGTATACTGACTGTTATACCCTGCTAGCAGAGAATCATTTGTCCCTCGTCGCCCCCATACAAACGATGCTCCGCTAGCAGGGTAAATGACTGTATCATGCTACACATTTGCCATTGTCTATCAGTTTAGATTCTCTTATTTATTTCAAATGCTGTATCCATAAATATTGCCGGATTCGATGAATTCTTTCTACTGATACATCTTTTATGGAATGCATTGACTGAGACAGAATACATTACGAAAATTTGTGTGTGTTCAGTTTAGACCTAACCTGGAGCAGTAGTTGTGACATCGAGTCTGGTCCTCAGGATCCTGCAGGGATTAACCCCAGGCTTGCGATTTCTGTCAAAGTTCCAACCGAACTAAAGAATTAAATGCATGCGGTGCATGCTGAGCATGAATCACAAATGACAAATATCTATAGCGTGATGCTATACGCCATACGGAATGTATGATGTATAGAAGTATACAATATTTCATATTATTATGCATTATTATATGGCAAGGACGTTTTTGAAGTTAACAATTGGATAGATATATCGCAGAAAAACTAAGAAACGCGGTCATTTTATGTGCTCAGAGATATAAGCATGTCTGACTGGAATGCAATTATTAGCATTTCTGGGGGCCTAAGTTGCTACAGTATAGTATGAGTATAGCGATATCCTGAGGCATGCTTCCTGTGGCCAGTTGTATAAAAGACTAGTTAACTTTTAACTGTATTTAAGGACAGAATTGGTCAGAGCACAGTGGTCAGAGTCGTGTATTTCTGAGTTGACTACATGCAGTAGAAAATTTCATACAACAGGCCTCTGTAGTCTGACAATTTTGTCCGTTTGGTGTTCACTGTCTCTGACTGTAATGGCAATCAAATTTCTGAAGATCAGATGTAAATAATGGATATATTTATGTTACGGATTTCGTGATTTGCGGTTAGGAAAGGTGGCGGTTAGGAACTGGGTTCAAAGAGAAAATATTTCGTCCGCGTAACAGTCTATAACAGTCGCCCATCTTCATCTAAGAATGTAACTTACGTAATCAAAGGCAAAATTCGTTACTCGTTTACTTGGTTTGAACATTATCATGCAACGATTACTGAAGAGGTAACCACTTTCAATACTATAAAACGTCAAGGATTTACAACGTCTCTTCTGACTTGCACTTGTATGATACAATGGCAATATAATCGTAGCCTCCGTCTCTAATCATGTTTAAGTTTGATGAGAAGGAGCCTACGATCGTAATGTGACATTGGTTAACATCATTTTTTTATGGAGCAAACGATCAAGGCATGCTGTCTACCAAGAAAGCTAGAGTGGGCCATGGCCATTGGCCAGTCCAGTTCGACCATAAGCTAATTCCTGTGGCTGTTATTCATATATATATGTTCGATTCTGGCTCAACAGCCAAATGTCAAACCTTTGTCAACAGCCAAAATGTCAAATCCTTGAATGGAGGAACTCGCTCATTGATGTACGGGCATAACAGTTACCATGGGGATTGAATTTGTGCATAATGTGCATTACTTTAGTCAGGTCTGTTTGTTATTTTCCATTAAGGATGATACCCACTGACAACACATTAAAAGTTGATCAAAAGTTTGAAAACAAGAATATACTGATTCTATCAGTACGCGAATCTTCTTTCTATTATTACTCGATCGAACAAAGCAGTAAATAAATATATATCATGTACAGAGACAGTGCCGGAATTCGAAAAATTGCGAAGATGAAAAGTGAAGGCTATAAGAGCATACGGCATTATTATTGAATATTGTTAAAGTTTATTGTTAATATTTAAATAAAAATAGAATTTAATATTTAATGTTCTTGATAATGGTGTCGTAGAAAACATTGTCAAGAATGATGGCATTAATAAAGCGTAACACTTTGCTTGGCTGGTGTCCAAACAGAAACTCTTTAAAACATCTGTAAATTATGAATCTTTAAATATTTGTCATCGATCGGTTGGTTATTTTTACTGCGTTGGTATTTGATATAAATACATGCCCTAACTGCACCTGCTTGTATGTACGGCCGCTCAGTCTATAAGATATCTTATAGACGCCCTGGTATGGCTAAGACGAAGATTTCAGGTTGTTAACTAATTTGAAAATGTGGGCAAAGTGTTATACACTCGAAAACGCAATTCTGAAAATTCATGCAATCACTTTCCACTACAATTGTCTAATGTAACTTAATCAAAGACAATCTATGGCTCAACCATGGTTTCATAACCACTGCTCTGCTCTCCATCACAAGGTTTCATAACCACTGCTCTGCTCTCCATGCACATATTTCGTTGTGAAATAGCTGGTTTGCAATCACAACTCTTTCTGTTCGTTAAGTCTAGCTAATTCATTGCGGAAAAAACGAATTGTCTTGTCCAGTCCATCCATCAAGTTTACCTGCAAGACATTAGAATGCTATCGGTCAATTGTAGTCAGGGTGTTTGCCTTAGAAGTAAAAGTAAATCCGCATTCAACTGAATTTTGAGATTTATTCTGAAACGCAAAATCTATGAGAAGTGTTGTAGGCAGCACTTTAATTAATGTGTAGGGAGCATTTGAATAGTACTGTTGCATGGTGACCTATCCACCAGCGTACATAGTGTTGAAGTTCTTGAGAACTAGAAATTTCCTAAATTTGTCCTTAAAATTCCACCAGTTAATGTATACAAATGTCAACGATATGGTATGCACAAATATTGACATACACTATAGCTGATACAACCTTAGTTTAAAACAAACTATATATACCTATGATGATTAGTCATAATTAATTTTATACTAACATATTTGAAATGAAAGGTGAAAATTATTAGGATCTGCATGTTGACCATGCATGCACCCCATCATGATATATACATATGAGTCACCTTAGGTTCCCAGTTCAGATACTTTTTAGCTTTTTTTATATCTGGTTTTCTTTTCCTAGGATCATCTTCCTGTGCTTTTAATGTAACAATTCTACTGCTGTTGTTCCCTAAAATGCAATTACAGCTTATGTAAATGTGCATTTCGTGACTTGTATAAATACAGTTGTAAAGATATTACTAAGGGTGCATAAAAGCTTTGAATAAAAATACAAGAAAAGAGTTTGAAAATATAGGATGTTCAGAGGATGGTAAATGGAATTTATACAGTGTAAACGAAGACCCAAATATATGGTTGCCATAGGATTACAGCGATGACGACTGTATGAAAAGCAAATCAAATAGCCTGAACCAAGTGTTAAATCTAAACATTCATATATCTCGCAATACCAATACTCACCAACTCTATTTCGAATCATAACAGCAAATTCCTTTATCGTGTGCTCGCTAGGATTTCCCTACGACATTGCAGTTAAATTGATCTTTAGTTGTCGTTTAATAGAATAGGGATTTAATAATTTAAAATCACGATATGATACACCCGTTAACTACCATACAGTAAGTCAAAGTTCAAAAATCTAAGTTCCCATTCAAGTCTAAAACATTTAAGATGAAAATCGTACTGATTCGAAAACTCATCCTAATTTGCTTCCAGTGTCAAGGAAAGTGCAGCAGCAGTTAAGTGAATGGATATATGCAGTTACAGTAAGTGTAAAGTGAACATAACTGCATGTAGCACACCGAAATTTCAATGGAGATCCAGCAAACAGAAAGGTGAAAACCTACGAGATTGACTGGACTTGAAACGTTGCTGTTCATCAGTTTGATGAGTCCATCAACGAGGTCGCTATAAAAATAGGATCAAATTTTTGGAGCAGGTTAAAAAAACACTTACGAACCAGGTTTGACTACTCAAAAAAACTATATTATAATTATATAGGCCTCTGTTACACTATTATAGAGGCGGGTCAAATTTCGCGGGTAATATGTAGCTAAAAGTTTATTTCCAATGTCAAAGACCCGCGCTGTACAGAATCTATATCAAGCAAATAAGTATTTGCTATACCAACTATTGCGTCTAAAGCCTGATTCTCATACGTCACCGACAGACGGCGATGGCTATTGTCGGTGATCACTGGAGAATAAAGTGCATGCTTGTTATTCTGAAGAAATTATCACAAACACAAAAAATGAAATACGAAATTGGCGTAAATTAGGACTAGTCTAAATTAAGACACGATAAAAAATAGGGATGGTCTAATATATCTGAATATTGTATATATTCAATCATGGTCGAGTATACCGTATACCGGAAAATGGTATATTCGACCTTAGTAGAGTATACCATATTCCAGTATATTCGGTCATGACTCGACCATGGTCGAGTATACCATATTCCCATAATATACTGGAATATGGGATATTCAACCTTGATAAGGAGAGGCGTTGAAGCATAGTTCAAAACATCACATTAGTGAGCCAAAATGCTGGATCGCCCCTGGTTCAGAATATGAAAAGCACGACACCGAGAACAAGTTTCACAGTACCTCACATATTGAAATGATCTGGTTTGACGTCCTTCTCCATAAATCTACAGTATCGAGAAAAGATAAAACTTTTTGTGAATTCGTCAAATTCGCTCGTTTTGCAAAAGGCTATGAGAAGCGAAAACCGAGTCAATGTGTAACTTTTAGTTAGCGAAGGTATAATAATTCCGAACTTTTTCCTTACTCCCGACTAAAAGTAAAGAGGGGCATGAACATTTTTAGAACGGTAGTACGGTACAGCAGACGTTTGAAGGAGAACATGCATGAAAGTGTTTACAACTGCTTTAAGCCATCTGCCTCAAAAAAGTTCTTACATCTAAATTTATCAATTTCGGAGGCTTTTAAAAGAATCAACCCGGAAGGCCTATTTCGAATTACCCTGGGCCTGAAAATATGAACTTAAGTCGTTAAATTATCACAATATACAGCAGACTAAAGTTCACCATTACCGTAATAGGTTTTCCTTGAAGTGCTTGTAGGATAAAATTGCTGACCACTCTACCTAAGAACAGTTTGATACAGCAAATTTAATTGAATTCGAGCACTGACGTATACTGGAATCAATGTCACACAAATAGCAAACAAGGGGGGGATGGTAAACTTACCGTCATTCATATGCATTCTTGTGCCAAAGGTGTTGAAAATTCTTGCGATACGAACTTCAACATTTGCCTATCAGATACAAAGCAAAAGAAAAGAAAGAACAAACGGATCTTGAGAAGAAGAAAAGTATGTTTTTGCTGCGTAACTTTTTTCATGATAGGAATGCAGATCCCCACTTGCTCACTCGAGACATGTTGAGCATACGCGTTGACAAAAAGTCAAACATTCGGGGCTGATGACAAAAAGCCTGGGCGTAACCCATCTATCCTGCATTTCCTCCAACATATAAGCAAGAAATGTAATAACGTCGCAATAGAACTTCCAATACCCAGGTCAACGTAGTACATTGTCAAACACTTTCATCTATAGTAAATATCAGTTCTCGAAAGGACATGCAAAGACAATCTTTTTCATGTGAATGTCTACAGACATGACTTACTTGTCTAGCATAAGCATAACACATTGTCTCTGCCACTCTCTTTCCTTCATCGTAGCATGCCCTGGGTCCGATTGTGTTCACATGACCCCAATAATCTTCCGGTTGTGGATGAACCTGAAAAGTAAAAATAAATTATATCCATATTGCACAACATACAAGTATTCATCATCGTGATTTATTGGTCGGTGGACAGTGGTGAAATACTACTTTGTCAAAAAAAACTTCTCAAGCGAAGTACAGACGATAAATCGTATATGCGTATGGTGTGTTACGAGAGAGTATAAGCCAGGTTTTTGGGTGATTGAATGGATTGCCCGAAAATGGGATATTGATAGGTAGCCAAATATTAAATACTGTTATAAGCACAATTTTTCAAAACATACACCCACAGGCACGCCAACGATATTAACTTTACTGAAACATGTTTACTTACTTCAGGATCTGATAATGCCAAGAACAAACATAAAAAGAAAAATACCATTAGAAGTTATAAATACACAAGTTGGTACAAAACTATTGTGCAACTTTAGGAATTTTTAGCTCGAAGAATTATGCCTTTTCGTGTGGTTTTAATAAGATAAGAAGATTACCTCCATAAATTTCAGAGGTGGAAGCCAATAAAAGGCGAGCACGAACTCTCTTTGCTAAACCTAAAGAAACCAAGAAAAGCGAGTTTGAACCAAAATATCCGAACTTCGAATTATGGCGCTAGGTACGAGGTTGTCTGTTGAGCTTTTATTAGCCTTTATTACGGTCAATGAAATTACCGAGCATATTCAGAGTACCAATGGCGTTTGTCTTAATTGTCTACAAAAACCAATTAAATTAAAGTCATTCATTAGTCCACGTTAATGGTTAGGATATTAGCAAGGCCAATCAGTGAACATAACGTAGAATCGGTAAACGATCTTCTAAATTTCCATCCTTGTTTAACAATCAATAAAGCACATTTTTGGGAATCTTCTTACTGAGAAGAAAATAGCCAACGTGATGTCGTAATAGAGAATAACGACGCAGACGTGACATTAAAACAGCCACTAGTATTAGGAAACCAGTATTAATTTGTTTTCAATACGGCTCTGACTTCGTTTATTAGAACGAGACTGTAATTTCCATCCCTGTTGGGAAACTGTTAAATTAAAGCAGTATTACTTCACGTCTGCGTCGTAGATTTGGTGAATCTTAATTAAACTCACTTAAAACGTCATATCGACGTTTAATCTCATTTTTTTCACAGCTATGGCAGAACGGTAGTCGACTAGTCGTCGCAAAAGATTGTACCTTTATTGGATTATACATGTAGTGTGGGGGAGAAGCTGGTGACGCAAGATGATAAATTTGGTCAACTAAAAAAAACAGAAAATAAAATACCTGTCACTCACAATATTTCAGAGGTGTTCGAAAATTAATATTATGGATTTTAAAGTGAAAAGTTGCGGTGTTTTGAGAAGAAGATTTACCTTCGATAAATAACGGCTCAACGACATCGTGATTTATCATCTCAAAATTGGGATGACCAATCCTAGAAAATCAACATAAAATGCTACAAAAGCCAAATTATTTTTTAAAAAAATCAGGTAAATAGTAATTTCTAAACGAAACTAGGTCACGTACCAATGTTCTACGTTTCGCTTGCGACCAGTGAAGTAATTGTCCACAACAGTTACCTGCATGTGGGTATTAAATAGAATAATATCTAGCATCTGTTGATAACATTTTTTAATGAAAGATGCATTTTGCCCTATGAAGAATTACTGGAAACACTTTAGTGTCACGTGATATACAACGTGAAGTGGCGTATATAAAGGAAGTATCTGAATTGCCCAAGTAAGCCCAACTCACAGTAAACGCATTTACTTTGATGAGAGTGATCGTTTTTATATAAATACTTCACAGACCTCGTGGCCTGCCATCATAAGGGCGTCTGTCAGATGAGATCCTACAAAACCAGCTCCTCCAGTAATCTAGAAAAAACTTAAATTAGACTAGTTGCCATGACACTAATTTATACAGTCTAGTTTCATATTAGCTATATGACAATCAGATCCATTATATACGGACTCTAAGTCTATCATTTTACGCTTATACTATACTACAAACTATTATTTGCACCTTAAAATATATTAAATAATGCCACCTAGCAGTTGAAAGCCGGCGCTAGTTTAGATGTCAATCAATGGTTTCTTACCAGAATTCTTTTACGATATCCTTCAGGTAAGTCTCTACTGGGCGGGTATTTCTTTTTCCTGCAAATTTTAATACATCATTGTACAAACCCAAGTCAATTTGGAGTTTGTAGCTACCGCATAATTTTGTTCAATTTTCTGTACAAATTGTTCTATTAAACAAAACCATGTCTGTCGGATACACCTTGATTGATATTAATGCACCAATGCTCTTTAAAAAATGGTGCTTAAAAGCTTGAAAAAGTTTGAAACGTTGAAACGTCTGTACAAAGAAATATCAGACCGAGGTCTTTATTTCTTCGTCAGATCAAGCAAACGATCTCAATTTAACAAAACATTTGACAAGAAGTATCTTTGTTTGCGAGTCGCGAATGCTTTACTGACTGCCCACTTGCATAAAACCCTTTGCAGCTAAACAATAAAGCATTTTTATCGTTGATTTGTCAGAGTTTCTAAGCTCACGTTCTCCGCTGTCCCTGAGCATTTTTTCCTGGCTCAGGACATTTCTGAAATCATTTCCTTTTTTTCTCTTATTCAGTCAAGATCTACATGCGTGATGAAAAAGGCTAATGACTGCTAAATGTGTGCCAACTATCTCTGCCATATAATAAACAAGGGCCTTTTAAGACCACACTATGACTATAAATATATCATACATTTAGAAATGAATTGCATCTAAACATACCCTTTTTCCAATTCAAATAATCTTAACTTTATTGGTTGTAACACCTAAAAAGTATAGTTCAACACAATCCTGTTGAAGACTGGAGTCCTACTATAGATGGTTTTAATAGTTTTAGAAAGGTTTTAGAAGCATTCTGTTATGTATGTAGGTACAAGCACAAATAATACTACAATGCTCTTCTATAGACCCATTTCTCTACAATGTTCCTCCCTTCCTTTGCCACATAATCCTAATCTTTCTCTGCCTGTGCCTCAGGTTTCTTCATGTCTTCTATTGCTTTTTTTTTACTCTTCAGAAACTTGCAATTAATTATTAGACAAGTCATATAATAGGAGAATTCAACATCAAATAAAAAAGTGCAACAAACCTCTATGTACTGATCTTCCAATTCCTGGCGTAATTTTTTTAAATGTTTAAAACGAACCACCAAACTACAATGCAAATATATTGAAGTTGTTGGAATTTCCCATTCATCTATGTTAATAGTAGTACCAGTAGGCAAGTAGTTTTGAACATATTTACTAGTATTCAGAACTATTATTTGGATCCAATCAGTGGCATAGGAGGCATGATAATTGAGACGGTACAATTGATATTCATGTTAGCAAACTGTAAAGATCATCTATTTTAAAATAAATTGATCATACACAAGATGGCCCAATTATCATGTTTCCTACACCACTGATCCCAATTATCGACCAAATGTAGTGAATGTCAGGTAATTAAACATGTTTAGTAAATGTCTTTTATACCTAGTAATTGTTTTAAGGATAACTAGAAATGATAAACATTAATTAAATGGATCAACAGGAGGTTCTTAGGAAGTCAACTGGTGAAAAAGTGCAGTCATTGAAAGTGAAAATTTATTTCATTCAAATTGAGAAGTCCACTAATTCTTATTGAAATATTAATTTTTTATTATGCCTATATTATGAACTGTCATATATTCTATATACTTACTCATTTTGAGAAGGCCCTGCTGCTTGGTTTTTTGCAAAGTGTATCACCCAAACTGGCAAGTAATAAAAATTGTCAACTGAAGCAAACACTCAATTAAATCTTTTTTATTTGTTGTTCAAATGACACAGTAAATTCACAGTTGTTAGAATGTTTGCAAATAAACTGCAAATGAGCAGTTCATAACAAATAATTATGGTATGCCAAGTTGACACCATGAGGCGTCATTGGAATGCAATATTGAAATACAAAGAATGTATATGCTAAAATAAGCTTTGTAATTAATGATTGTAGTGGGGTCACTGAGATGCATCATGCATGTGTAATTGATTCCTGAGCAGATAACTAAACTTAATTGTTGTTTTTGGCAAATAAATATGATTGCAAGGAAGTGACTTGCTCTAGCAGATTTCTCTTGTGTATAGGTGCTCCCACTTTCAAGAGAAAACCAAGCTGAGTACACACATGAATATGCACCCTCCTGTCAATTATTATGCCAGTAACATCCCAGCATGTATTCTATACATGTAGTTAATAAAAGTTATAGTAGTTAATAAAAGTTATAGTAGTAAATAAAAAATATTATGAGGAGTTTATTCCCTATCTTGTATGTCTCTCTAGTATGTCACCCTTTATCTATATCAATATATAGTCTTACGTGAATGCTGACTTCTGAGGTCAAATAAATTACACAGGTCATATATTTTCAATATTAAAGTACTTACCAGCAAAAGCAATACATATTAAATAAAACAGCGTTCTTGCTCTGCTAGACACAAGTGAAAATGCTCGTACAACGACCATTATGTCGTCGATTTGTAGTCACCTACAACAGTTCCAAAGCGTCTGGAAAACAACATTATTGTTATATTAGTATCATTCACGGATAATAAAATCACTATAAGCCTACGATCTCATAAATTATATCATCTCATAAGCCTCATTTTATCAAAAGTTGCAAATATTCGTTTCTATACATACCAAGTGAATTTATAAAATGCATTGTAAATCGAGGAAAACAAAACACGTAAGTCATAAAGTAAGCCTGAATCAACATTTCAAAACAATAACAACAAATTATTCATAGGAGTTCACATGTTCTGAAATCATTTTTAATAACTTGCTCTATTAACACGCTCCCCCCTGTAAATCAGGTGTTCAATAGATTCCAACACTACTACCACCTAGAGGCCACCCGGAGTAAGGCATGTGAATTTAGTTTATTCAACCTACTTTATAATTTCTACGGCACATTTATTTGCCAAATACAATACGAATGTTCAGGGTGTCCCAAAAAAAACGCAATTTACCTTTCAAGTCTAATTGCTAAATGAAAACGAGATCAAATTATAACATTTTAAAGCCTGCTCATTTGTCTTTTCAACGATGCGTTTCTTTCAGTATTTTAGGCGAGAAATCTATTTACAAGGCAGATTCCCGAACAACTGGTGATTTTAAGATGCACCGTAAAAGGACCTTTTTTATGTCCATTGGTATTCAGAAACTAACTACAAATTCCTGCTACAAATATTGCTACAAATTCATGTTTGGTTCCACAGACTAGGGATTTAGATTTAGTTGTCGACAACTATTTGTGATCGACAACTAAATAAGTCCGATAAAGCCGGATTCCACGCACTGATTTAGCAACCAAAAAGCGCGGAGATTAAAAGTAGTCGACCACTAAAACAAAACTTAGTTGTCGATCACAAGTAGTTGTCGACAACTATAAATGAGTAAATCCCCAGTCTGTGGAGGCCCTAACACTACCAAACTGTTTGGAGAAACATCAATAGCATTCAAAACACAAAGTTTCAATTGCCAATTGCTTTTTCTTTGGGACACCCCGTTACCGTATGAGTAAAATCCTTTTTTACAATGCTAAAATAGGTATGTGATTACAGAGCGTAAGCCCCCTGATTTTGCATGGTACTAATATAACGATCGGTACACGTTTGAATTTAACTCCACGTCAGGGGCCGGTTGTATGAAAACCAGATAGCGCTATCCACCGGATAGTGATTTTTCCATCGCTCTAAAATCGCCCCGTTGTTGGCTGAAACTTTGATTAAACCTTAGTGTTCCTAAATTGAGGATCCTCTTTACATTGCTTCCAAAGCTAAAATTTTGTTGCTTTTCAAGCATTTTTAGAACGGTTAAAAAAATCACTATCCGGTGGATAGCGCTATCCAGCCTTCGTACAACCGGCCCCAGCGGTTTTTACCAGATAAGAAAGTTTTCATTGGACAGGACATCAAAAACTACCCGAAAATGTACAGTAAATTTTATTCACACAATTAAAACAGTTGAAACTACTTATTTAAATTGCAATTAACAATACTGTATGCGTTATCTATAGTAATAACTTAATATCATGATACAGGTTTATGTGCAAAAGTTCTATCTATGGTACTACACTGTGAGAGGCTATATAAGCATAATTTGTTTTGGATTGTGGAAAACATGATTTCTCACCAATGCAGATGATTATAATGTAATCGAAATATAGCTATTTTCACTTTACAGCAGTGGTTGAAATAGAAACAAGGATTCATTGCAATGGAAAGCAGGCTTTACACAGCAAGAAATTCCTGAATGCATAAACCAAACTTTTCCAGAAGTTATGGCTAAAAGCAGTGGATCCGACGGGGAAAACTCTGGGCATGAGTTTGTCTGACGGGGCATGAAGGTCATGAAAAATTAACCGTTAACGAAGAATTAATTTAAATCTAGGTTTTAGACAGTTGTAAGAGGCTGGCAGTGCACCACCCAACACAGGTTGAGTCCCCTTGGAAATCCGAGTGGAATATTTGGAAAGGTAATAATAATAGGTCAGTGAATGAACAGTGACAAAAAAACCCTTCAGATATTACGGGATTTACGGCATCGATATATGACTGTAAAATGTTTCTTGAACGAAAAAATCGTCCATAAAATTTTAATCATGTGGCATGATTTAGAAAAGGAACCATAGTGGCAGTTAGTTGACGTTATCTAATTAAGAACAATGTCACAATGATTTAATAAACAAGGGGGAATTTCGTTTTAGACCAATCAACAAGTTTGTTCACAGTTTTAGACCAATCAGAATGCATAAATTTAGACTACGTCCGGTATGACATTATTTACCATTTTACATTAAGTATTAAAAATTTAGGCATTCTGATTGCTGCTTTTCGATGGCTTTGCCTGAAAAATGTAAACAAATTGCCGATTAGTTTAAAACGAAATTCCTACTAGTTGATTTAATAGATAATGTTGTATCTATATGTTGTAATTATGGTCGAAAAGATACCTGCCAAACTTGTATTTCCAGACATATATCAGGAGACATGCTTTGTAAATGTACGTATTGTAGTTTGATAAAACGTGGTGCAAGACTCTAGATGTTTAACTAAATTTTAACTCGATATACAAAACCAGTTTTACTAGTACTGTTCTTAATAGTGTATAAACTGAAAAACAACTTTGTTAAATAACCAACGTTTAGGTATAATGAACAAAATTTTAAGCAACTTTATGGATTTACGTTCTCAGGAGACTTATGATACACTAAAAAAGGAACAATTGTCTCGCATCATTCTAATACTGGAAGCCGAAAAAAGCGGAGAAGAATCTGGGATGATCTGGAGAGGAAATTATTCCCTACGTTGGACTTGTCCAAAGAATAATTTCAATTATGGAAAAAAATTATGCTAAACTATATTTAAATGCCAGGTTAAGGAAATTGACTGGATGTAGTGAAAATGCAATTATTCAGTCCGTCAAATCACACTTTCTTCCGGGGTAGGAGCCGCAAATTCTGTAAACGCCACTCCTTTTTAAAGGAGGGAACTTTTGGTAAAATGTCTGTAATCCCTGTTGCCAACTTCAGTTAAAATTACGATCTCTACAAATCCAAATTTTTTAGCGAATTAGCCTATTTCAGTTGTGGAATACTTCCATAATGGAATTGTAGTGTACGTATGTGCTTGGTATCATACTATAATGCTTCATACTTGAGGCATCTTTACATTATTGTCAGTTAAATTAGTTCACCAGCGTGTCTGGTGATTGATTATATACATTACGGTTGAGTTGACAACTTCACGTCAAGACGATACGCTAAATGAAAAAAAAAACAAATTCAATGTCAGATGTTAATTTAAAATAAATAACAATGTCTACTTGAAGTGGCATTACCTGTTAACCTTGTGAATAAGTTGCGTTAAGATTTTGTCAACAATTTCGGGCGAGCTTTTGTCTGCATCTAAAAAGACGTCTTGAATATTTTCGATAACGTCCGAACTGTATTTCAATTTCAACTATACAAGGTAACAAAATAAACAAGTCAGTTTCGTTCAAAAAAAGATACAAGCACTGAAGCCATTCTAAGAACAACAAATAAAGATAAGAACTGAAAAAAAAAAGACCCTGGGTACGAGGGTTGATGTGATATGTGCATTACCTCTTCCAAAGCCGGAATAACTGTCGTAGGAAGTTTTTTTGACGTTGGTATCATTCTTGGTTCTAAAACGACGGAATTATCGATGTTTTCAGAATTTATGAAACTAATGAAAGTCTGCGTTATCATTTGTGAGAAATCATGCTTAAACATGCTTTGCACAAAGGGCTACACTATAACCAGTGGCGTAGCCAGCGGATAAATCGTAAGGATGATCACGCTACTGACTACAACAGATTATATGTGTAGCGTATATAAAAATGAAACCTATGCGAAAGGTATATATTGTTATTGTATCGTTCTTTCCTATTAATTTGACTCACCGGGGGTTATTCCGTTAGGCGTGTCATTTGACGACGTATCATTTTCGTTTCCAAATATCCACGTTTTGATCGTAGGATTTTTTGTTGAACTAGTTGGAAAAAGTGTACTTAAGTTTAATCATTTCAATAACTATAGGTATATTTCAGCTTTGTATCGATAGTTAAAATATTTTCTACGAGTGGTAAGCTATGAATGGTAGCCATTCTTCTTTAAGTTATATATATTACATACTTTTCATCGCCTGAACTATCGCCATTCTCATCTTCGTCTCGATGTGTTTCTTTCCACCTCTTGTATCGGTCAATATATTCTATTAAGTACGACGGCTTTTTTGCCATTCTGATGAACTTATGTTTTAAAAGGTCTCGGGCAGCCGGTCTCTAAGAAAATCAACACAAGTTTTAACGTTAGCAGAGAAGAGGAACTGAAAGAGATCGTATTACGGCACTATTCGCAATTGGGTTATATGTTAGAAAAGTAAACTAAATTGGTTTACCTAGGCCTGGTTTGAACCTCATTTGGATTACATAATGCAAAATTTCAAAACAGGAGGAATGGTGATATCTGGCTCACAACTCATCATATTATAAAACATGTTACAACAAAATTGAGATAAAGTTGGTGATTATCTGAGAGCAAATATATACTCACGTATGTTGGATCATGATGTAAACAGGTTCCCACAAACTCACGGAAATTTTTAGAAAACTGGGAATCCAACTGGGGTGGATTATTTTTCGGAATTAAAAAGAGAACTCTCATGGGATGTAGATCAGCATTCGGTGGCTCTCCTTTGGCCAATTCGATGGCAGTAATTCCTAAAGACCACACGTCTGCCTAAGGGAAATTTCAAATGAAATATTGATACAATGCTACATGAAGTAGTGCACTTTTCAATAAATAAAACAACTAAGATTACATCACTAACTGGAATAAATAATTCCATCTTTCCAAACAATTGACCACACCCACTTCTAACACCACATGCGTCTACTTTGCACGCATGGGTAATTCAGAACGTGATACAAATATATGTTATAACACTGGTCAAAACATACCTGCGCATATTTACCGTTCACTGACCCAGACACTCACAATGCATAAAATGGCAAGGTATAAGCATGCATGGTATATATATACTTCTCCCCCAAAGTATTGCTAATGGCATTGGTATGAAGAAAAATAGATTAAGCATTACTGATGACCAGAAATTAAATTTTAAAAGCATTTGCTGCCATATTGGTACTTTAGATTATACAAAAAATGCTATTGCAAATAAACTAAACAAACTACAGAATATCAGAGCCAAAAAACCTGACTCTTCCACAGTCTCTAACAGAGCGATGAAAATTCATGATGCAAAGGATCATGGGAATACCCTGAGGCTATCCATTCAGCACGTCCCATCATTAACCACACCTTAGGTAAGCGACAGGGGACGAGTCAGATAAAAAACTGTTGCATATAAGAGTACCTTTGAGTCATAAGCAGATTGTTTTATAACTTCCGGTGCCATCCAAAAAGGGGTACCAACAAATGTATTCCTTTTAACCATAGTATTTGTGAGCTGACCAGCAACTCCAAAATCAGCAAGTTTTACATCACCATGATCTGACAGTAGAATATTCGCAGCTAAAACAATGAAAATAAAACTAGTTAATTAGTGAACATTAAATTAGTACTTTAAACACACAATGTACGCCATACAAGTATGTGTACCTTTGTACAGTGCATGCATCATGTATTTTTCACAGTAAGCATGCAAGGATGTAGAGGTAGATTTGTAACAATAGATTTAGGAACTCTTTTAAGAGACAGAGATACTAGCAGGTTCTCTCTAAATCATGGAAGTAAATAGATAAGAAATAAAGGTGCTGTTTGGTTTCTGGAGTATACATATAATTTTATATGAAAAGCTCGTCCTACTGATTGGACTAGGAAACTTATATGACAAGTATGATTTTCTTGAAAAATGATAATGAATTTCTTGGATTTTCTATTTAAAAATAATTAGAACATACACTGATATAAGGCATTTTACTATAATTGACAATTATTACATTATTTTAATTAGGAATATGCCAGATCAAATCAGTATGTTGTTTCAATTAATAAAAACTCTTTTGTCCAATTCAAACTGTCCAGTCTGATCTGAGGTAAATATATTGGTTAGGATTTTGGTTAGTATCAGTCTTGTTATTGTTTATCCTGGTACCTTTAATATCTCTGTGAATTTTCTTTTCTGAATGAAGATATTCTAAACCTTTGAGTATTTCTCTTAATATAGTTGAAATTGCCATTTCATCAAATGATCCAGCTTTTAACTAGAAAAAAGAATATTTATCACTGCATTATCTATATCACATACTTATAATAATCCGAAGTTGCATTTAGAGATTTGCGATTAATTTTTTTAAAAATTGAAGTATTTAAAAGATGATCGACAGACTATCCCTTACCAAATCTAAAGCTGAACCACCACCAAGATATTCCATTATTATCCACAAATTCGTACCCTATAAACAATCATTACCGTACTTGATGTATACATGGAAGTTTGGAATGAAATATTGCTATTGTTGTTAAACACCAGGTATTTAATAGAAAGGAAATGTAATGTAATTGTATTTCTATTTCTATTGCCAGAAAACAGTTTACATTTGACCCTAGAATTTAGGTGCATCATGTGAAGTCCCAAAATCACAATTGATGTTTCAAATGTGTAATATTTGGTACCTTCAAGTATGAGCCATGGTACTTAGTGACATAAGGTGAATCACATTGTGATAGGATTGTAATCTCTTGTTGTATATCTTCAATTTCATCCTCAGCTTCCTCTAAATCAATGATTTTAATTGCAACAACATCTGTTGTTTTCTTGTTGATTCTATAAAAACATAATGTAATGTAATTGTTTCAAACTGTCTATTACACACCCTTGATAGTCTTCTCTCTACTATTTGACTAAACCAATTGGAATACCATGGACTTCTATGTTGCTTTGTCTCATTTACTTTACTCTTAACACAAGCTACCACACACTTTCACTTGCTAATGAAAGAATGAATCCATGGACTTAAATAAACTTATTCACCATATTTAGGAGAGTCTGGCTTGCATGTTATATCAATCTTTATCTGAGGAGTGAAATTATGTCAAATAGATTTGTATCTTGTTTGTCTAATGTTTCACAGTTCTGTTAAAACAGGTTATTTCACATAGCCTGGAATGCTATATCATTGCAACAAGATTACTATATCATTGCAGCTCAATTACTTGCCATATTATATTAATAGCAATCAAGACTAAGATTATAAAAATTGCTGGTCAATGATAATATTCATATGATAAATATAAGAAAAAAGCTTCACTAATAGGCTTGAACCAATAGATTACTGCTATTTATTTAGTAACATAGTTGCAAAAATATGCAGAGAGTTGTTAAGACTGACATTAATTACTGTGTTAGAATAACATGACAATTTCATTCAAGTATTGAAATGGTCACTGGACATTAAGCTTTATTTATACAAGGTAATGTGATATTGGATCTACACATATATGTAGTACTGTACATATTAACAAGACTGTCCCATTAAAAGAGCAGCATCTCATATTACGGACAGGCATAAAAAATCCTTTCTTAAAAATAAACTCATCATGTATTACTTGCCGTGGACTAGCTCAAATATTTCATACATTGAAATACCTAACTACGATTAAAACATCTTATAATCAACACTTTTATTATTGTGAAATAAGACGCTCTGATCACCTGGACTAATAGAACCATCATGTATTAATATAAAGCTTACCCCTTGTAAACTTTACCAAAAGAACCTTTCCCTATTTCTTCTTGTTTCGTGAAAATTTCTTCTGGATCATCTCGCATTCTATTCTGTTAATTGAAGAACTAGAATGTCATTATCACAGCATCTTAGTACAAACTTCCGTCGAACATATAACAAACTCAAATTTAGCTGCCTCACGGCAAGGGAAAATTATCTTTTAGAAATATTTTAAACAATAATGTACATTGAATACTTGAGTTTTGAGGATGGCTTAAAAACAGACACGCCTTGTAGAACAAAGAGTTGTAAATATAGAAATAAATTGACAAGCTCCCCTACCACTGCCATTCAAAAATCCTACGAGAGCGAGCTCTTCGTTTCTGCGCCAGATTACATATGTTTTATGAGAGCCAGGACCACAAAATACTAACGGTACGAATATGAAGACAGAAGATAGTGATTTCAAATGTCATATACGCTACAGTTCACATAGCTTTTATAAATAGGACATCGAGAAAAGTTAGATCCCTCCCACACTATCTCTGTTGTTATCCCTCATACATCATCGCCATTTTGGAAGCGATATACTAGTTGGTCACATGACAGGTTGGGCCGTCGCGATCGGAACAAGCGCGCAATTAATGCAACCACTGCACATAAAGCCATAAAGACGATGTTTACATGTTACAATTTTCAACATCAACTCACAACGCAACGTTGTGTGGGTTAAAAACAGTTCTTAAACGTGCAACTTGTTTCCGAAACAAGGCATCTCTTTGACTCTTTTGACTTTCCGTTATCCATTAGCAATCCAATGAATGATCAGATGTTCTGTGAATGATGTTCCAATGAATCTGTATCAGAGGTTCCCAAAAAATGTCATAGAAATCTATCAGCAAAAACCTTGCATTTTTCGTTTCGGCGGGAGGGAGACCGATTTGGCGCCGCAATCACACTTTGACGAAAAATTTCTGCTTCAGGTCTGTGCGCACATATTTTTCAAATGCGGATTACCCGTCTTATCAAATTGTGTGACTGCGATTGTTTTAACACATAACAGTCTTGATTCATGAAACACAGCTGTATATAACAACCTGTTCGCAGACTAATCTTGCACAAGGGCTCCCTCTACTCACGTAATCACAATTTCTTAGAAAAATATTTATGTCATTTAATCTTGCTGTTTCGGAATGCTACAATCAGGTGTTCAGAAAATTTGCGGGGACAACTCACAAGAGATAATTACGACGTAAGTTATGTAACTAGTTTCTACTATGAGACTACGTTTATTTGCTCATATCGATAACGCCAAATACAATCGTATGAAATGATAAAACGGTGACTACTTGAATATAGCCAACTATAGAGATAATACATCCTAAATCGTCCTAAATCATTCAGGCTAGAATTCCACTAGTCACTCTATACGAAATCACTCGACCGTAAGGAGATCAGCACTGGTAAGGGTGACAATTTCCTCACCAGAAGTCGGGTGAATGGCAACAGTGTTGTCAAAGTCTTTCTTTGTAGCCCCCATTTTTATAGCAACAGAAAATCCTTGCAACATCTCATCCGCATAATTTCCAATGATGTGGAGACCGATCACCTACAAAACAGAACAAAAATAGTTTATTTGCTAAACTCATTTCTTGATAGCAAGTGTGACTTCAATAAATTCCCGAGTCATTGTTTCACTAATCAGATCATGCAGTTAGAGATCAGTTATATGCACAAAACTCGCTCGCTGTTCTTCGGCTCGGAATTTTTTCGAGATCAGGGGTGCTTAATGCTTATCGTTTACTTTCTGGGGAATCTGAAAGTAAATGGTGTAAGAAATTTCTAAGGACTTTCCGGAAAATCCAGAAAGTTTGAAAATTTCCGAAAATTTCTTGTACCAAATTCCTTCTCCTTTCCGAACGGAATTTCCGATTCCCCAAGGCACACCCCAAAGTAAGCACCCTGTTCAGTTGCATGGCTTTCTTTTTAACCCAGTATAAGATCTTTTCATCCAAGTAACCAACCTTTTCTTCTTCACCAAGACAAATCAGTTTCGCTATGGTCTTAGATTTATGTTCGGTCAAAGCATGGAACATGCCAGTCGCGGACGTTTGATAGACTTTAATCTTTTCTTTACCATATTTACTAATAGCCTCCTCTAGAAGATGAAAATAAAATAGTATATAGTCTACAAGATTATACATATATAGTGACAAATAATACTACTTTGTTTTACCCACCTTGCGTCATACCAATAACCCCAATAGGTGGATGAGAAAATACCACTGTTGGTATATTATCGTAATCCAATTTTGAGTTTACCTCGCCATGAAACAAGCGGTTCGACAATTTACGGCCGGCTGCAATAGCGACTATAAACGAAAATAAGATAAGGTCAAATGATTTGGCTCAATTTAAAAATACCCAAGCTGTTCTACAAAGAACCGCACTCTAGTTCATCCTCGCATCAGTCGCATGACCTTGTTTGGTGGCCTTCCACGCACAAGGAATTGGAATTTGCACGTTCTCTAGGGCTCTCGGTTACTGCTTAACCAGAATCCCAGTCAATCTGGAATCGCTATCTACCTCTCAAATCAGTCCTAGACAACACACTGTTTAACGGACTTTAACCTACATTTAAAATTAATGTTCTACCATTCATCAATCTGCCCTTGTATCCTTTGACGTACCTGGAGTGAGTAAGGCCTTCCCACATACATCACCAAGAGCATAAATATTTGCTTTTGAAGTATTCTGAAACTTTGTTCATGAATAGTGACGAAATTAAAATTTTGTGCAGCGAATGATACCCAGTTTAATATAGGTCTGAACACAAAGTTATTTATTAAAAGCATCTAGTGGTGTAATGGGATTATGAATTGGGAAAAATGTGTTTTTACAAGGGTTTTTTTTTTCACAATTTTCAGGTTAATCACCGTCGATCTCAAAACCAAGCTATGCATGCATTTATTTGGAACGGATTCAGTACATGCCTTTAAGGGTGTTTTGGGAATATAGAAAATTTCCTTATTTGGAAATAAGAAAAAAATTTTTCCATTTCTTATCTATTGTACCGAATAAACTTTTTTCATTTTGGGAGCCTTTTATAAGCCTGGGACACGTCCCTTTTATATACTTTCTCATCCTCCACTCATCCTCCTGATATACGAAAAAATCTCCGTACCTCATCAACTTGAACAAATCCCCGACTGTCAAGGTTAACACCCTACAGGAATATTTGAATTTCCATTCATTGAAACACTAGAAAAACGCGTGTGCTTAAAAGAATTTCTCTTTATTTGTGTACTTACCACTGCAGGTAAATTCAACTCTTCAGTATTGGGTGATCTACCAATTGCCAGCAATACTTTATCAATATCAGCAATATTTTCCACTTTATCTCCCCCTATTTGTTCAACAGCAACTGACAACAACCCCGATGTACTATCCTTACTTACTGACGAAATCTGAAATACGCAACAGCCAATAACAAACGTAGTTATACATGATCAACGTTGCAATATATAGATCGGAACAAAAAAGAGAGGGGGATGAACCATACCAAAGGCAATGGCGGAGATCTACTATTCTTCCGCAATGAGATTCGTTTTAGAAGGAGCTTGCATGTTTCATCCTTCATAACAGATGTATATTACTGTATATATAATAGTGAATAGCAAAGACCGCGGAGCAATTCTTTAAATGCGGGCGCCGAGGGCAGAGAGACCCGGCCCGATAGAATAAATTTGGAATCTAATGTCTTTCACCGATGAAAATGCAGTCAAAATCATCAGTTACAATTTAAAATCATCTTACAAAACAGAAAACCCTGGCTATCACCAGGCTATCTCGCTCGAATATGGCTGTTATTTTTTCTATTTACTTTGCTTGTTGTCATAACTTTCACTCCAGCTTTAATGAGATTTTCCGTAGCATTACAGCTTATAGTGGAATCAAAGCTGCGAAGCACCTAGATAGAAGACGTAAAGAAATTATTTCCAAAATTATTAGGATTGTATCAGGTAATGACCATTGCTGACAATTTAAATGAGAAAGAGAAATTTGAATACAATAAATGTAATTTTTTCAACCATAAAGCGTTATGGGGCTGGATGAATCAACTAAGTTCGTTTTCGAGCGTTTTCACATTCGTTTTTATGCCAAAACGGTTTCAAACACTGTCAATTTGCAATAGAAGTTGAAGAAAATTGCATATTATTATAACATAAGCATATTTTCCCTTCGCTTGGATCGTGTGGACCGGCAGGGTGTCTTATTATCGAGTCTAAACAATAAAACAGACAAAAATGATTTTGAAAACGCTCGAAAACGACGCTCGTGTGCACATAGCTTTATAGCCTAGTTTGTAATGATTACTTTATTTCTGCGTATTAAAAGTGTAACATCTGAACCCAGCTCTTTCAAAACTCCAGCAAGTTCCACAGCAATATACCCAGCACCAGCTACCACTATTTTTCTATTTTAAAAGAAGGAAAAAATTTTCGTCCAACCGGAATAGCAGAAAGTAATTCACGGTAACGGCCTTTTTTCAGCGACTAAACCCTGTTTTATAGGCCACAACATGATATACCAATCAGCCGATATATTTTAAATTCTTTAATACTTCACAGCTATTATTTTTTTAATAAAGAGAAAATTACCTTGGAAGTTCTTCGAGCTCAAAAAAACCATCACTGGTGATACAATGTTCACAACCTATATATATTATTTGATTTACATAAAATGTATTGGAATGTACCAAAACCTGGTGCACACTGGTGAACTTAGCGAGCACCCAGGAGTTAGGACAGCGAACTCAATTTTACGACACGAATGACAGAATGACAGATGGGTTCTTAAGTTATTACCTGGAAATTCTGGTACGGTAGGCCGTCCTCCCGTAGCAATCAGAATATGCTTTGCATTATACTGTTTACCATCGACTATCACGTTCCCCTCAGAAGTAAACGTTGCATTGCCACGAATTAACTCAACTTCAGCCTGAAAAAAAAGATCAAAACTAACATCAGTGTTTTTACATATTGAGACGATATTATGATGCTATCAAAGTAAGGTCATATAGCCCCAATACGTATGTGCAACAACGCAGGAATCGAAGAGGTCTGTTCCTTACGAATTGGGTATACGACGAAGGCTAACCAGCGCAACCATTTTACATTAGTTCATTGCTATCTGTGATTGATATGGTACCTTTTCCAGATTTTTTGCATAGATTCCATTGAGCCTTTTTATATACGCGTCTCGTTTTCTTTTTAGTTCTCTAAACAGAAGGATAATTTAAGTTTGATTTGTGAAGAATTAATCAATCTACACTTTTCAGTTTTTCATATTTCTTTAAATACTGGCTATAACATTTATAATCATAATTTATAAATTATCTTAAATAATACATCATTACATGTGAATTCAGGTATGCAATGGCCTTTTGTGATTTCAATTTCTGAAGAGTAGTTTTCACTGAACATGCCAGGAGGAATGTGGGAATCAGTAGTGGTAATACATTTAGTTGCTATATTTGAATGTTGAGGGATAGTTATTAGTAAGAGTTTAGGGAAAATACCCCCATGCAACTTTGACATCCTGTGAAAGAACATTTAAACCATAGTCCTTGAGATATCCATATCTGACTATTTCAGCCATTGATGCAGCATACCACATAACCTAGAATGATTTATTAGACTATACTATAGTATATGAAGAATGAAGTATATGTGAAGGGTGAAGAAAATCTCCTTGAAAGACAATTAGCAGTGATGGCAGTATCACTATCAATGACAAATGCATGATATAATTTTTTTATATAGCATATAAAACAGCTTTTATTCAACAATAATAAAGTGCACCAGAAATATCAATTACCAACCTTTTTTGGAACACAACCAACATTTACCTACACAACACATATGAATCAAATTACAAACAAAAATGAGCATACATATTAAAAAATATTACATATTACATATTAAAAAATATTTCAGAAGAAATAAAAATATGTCACTTAAAATTAAAAGAGCTGCACGCTATCAAAGCGCTGCTAGGTGTGGTAAACAATGCATAATTGTGGCGTTATCATGTGACAATGAAGGACTTTTCAATAAAATTTTCAAAATTTTGATAAAAGAATCCACCATATCCCCCAATTATGATTATAGAACAATCAACTAGCATTTTTAATGTCAAAATGTGCCCATATGCATATATGTTTCAATTAAACATCAAGTGACTCATAATTGTTTTGAAACAGTTACATAACATGGTAATGGTGTAAATAATGTCAGTGATACAAATTTCAATAGACCATCTGAACCATTTTAGTTCTTTTTGTCAGCCATATTATTGAATCATAGGGTTTTCCCAACTGTTTACAGCTAGTGTGGTCTGTGTGGCCATTTATGTTGTTCATATACTACGTCAAAATTTATATAGATTTTCATGGCTTACACAAGTTCCTCCAAGTCTACCATGTTCAATGATTGCAGTTTTAACACCATATTGTGCAGCACGTCTTGCACTCGCCAAACCACCAGATCCAGCACCGATCACCAAATAATCGTACATTTTCAAAATGCTTTCTGCCATTTAAACTTACTTCTCGCACAATACTCTCGCAAAAGAATGCCTTCTTTTATTAAACCAATGTTTTATTCATATAACTTACATTAGCAGATTAGATGTGTCATTCAAGACCACTCAAGGTCAAATCATAGTTTACAAGAGACGCGTGGGACCACAGTTGTACTAGGACGATGTGAACACAAAAATAATTTATTACGAACTCGTACAACTAGTCCATAGATAGCCAAATCAACTTTAATTTTAAAAATGAACACCGGGAAATACCTTTAAACCAAATGAACCAAAAACGGAACGAACCTAATATGCAATATCAAATCGTTTTCTGTATCTGTGACTGCTCTTGTTGGGAGTGGCATTATTGGCATATGATGAGTGGTGTTAATTGAGTGTAGTGTCAATATTACCAGTACGTGTACTGCAGAAAAATTACAAACATTTTCAAGCCAGATAGAGAGTCATAGATTTCATAATCACTGTAATTTAAAGGATGAGTTGGCTTACCTATTTCATTAATTTTTGTTTGGGGGGGGGGTGCCGGGTGGTCCCTATGCCCCTGGGTAAAGAAAATGTCATTTTCATTCAGTAAAGCACTCCACTACCAGGGCACAAAGTAAAATAAAACTGGATGGGTGGATGTATGGGAAAAATAGGTGCATAGGCCACTATATTTTTAGGCACAGTAAAAGGGGTGGGTTAACGTTATCAAATATCAAAAGTTAAGTGCTATCCTAAGGATGGGCCACATGAAAATATGCAGAATTTTCCCTTTTTCCTCAAAATATATGGAAATTTTCCCAGCCTGCTTAAACTTTATAACTAGTCTCTAAAGTACATTGTACATAGAAAAGCATTTAATTGTAGCTTGTTCAATTAACCTTTCTGTTACTTCACATTAACCAAAAAAATTTTTAGCATTCAGCAGATGGATTTATGTGTAACACAGTTATATCATACAATGTGTGATATTATGCATTAAATATAATATTAGAGACCTCTTGTTATATGGATGTATATCTTAATAAAGGGTCAAAAGGGATGTATAGCTATTCTAACTTCAACTAGTGCTTAAATAATATAAACTAAATGGAACCTTTAAAAATGTATACACTAAATATCACTGGTACTTAAGAACCCCCTTTAAATATTTTTCGCACAAGGGGCAAGGGCATTGCTAAATGCATGACAAAATTGAGTATAAGGTTATAAGCTAAAGATGTATACACAATATGTACATTAGATATCAAAAGGACAAGTTGATCAGTAGATATAGTTAAATCCAATGATGATAGATATCAAATCATCAAATTCAACATGATCAAATAATAAAATATTTAATGAAAATGTTTTATCATCCACTCTTGACCGGAGTAAAGACAAAATATCTTTATTTACTTTGCATGTAACAGAACTCTTTAACGAACCACGGGGATTTTTTAGGATTGTGGCAGCTTGTGGGGTTGCTATAGCCTGTGTAACATGATATTGACCAGGGGTCTTGCTTGCTTGACACTGAAGAGACACATGTTCGATAACTTTCTCTATTTCATCAGTATCAGGCCATTGGGAATGGATAAATACACTTGGATGAAATGATGGAAACATTTCAACGATGGATACATTGTGATAAAACACAATAACCTGCTCACCAGCCAACCATAGATCTTGAAGACTGGCTATAGCTCTATCTTGCCTTGGTGAATGTAACATGTTACCATAGCATTGATTAATCAGACTTGCCAAGCGAAGGTGTTCCTCCATTTCCATAGCGTACAAATGGTTGAAATCCAACAGAACAACTTCTTTTGGATTCTCTGTCAAAAAAACTCTTATCTCTTCTAAAATTTCATCAACAGCATGACCATACAGACCATGCACAAACAGGAAATCGTCGCTCTCTTTTCTGTACGCCACTCTCAAGTCAAAATAACGTATTCCACCACATAGTTGTTGTTTTATATCCCATGTCTGGGTCAAAGCCCACTTATTAACGAGCGATTTCATGTAATTATCAAGAAACCCAACCGTATTACTGATAGTAGAAATAACTTTTGGTTTGTCTGGGGCCAATTCCATCGAAGTATTAAACCAAAATGCCATCGAATCATGAGAACCAGGTATAGCGAGCTGATTCAGTGGACATAACTGCTTCTCATTTGGCAGGTTCTCCATCCATTTTGAAAGATCTTCTTTGTGCAGGACGCATTCCATTTTCGTTTTGTGTAGTGACGGGATATGAAATATATTCCAATGAACTTTTTAAGCCGGAGCGTGTTTGAAATATTGAAATAATCATATGGTACAATTTTCGTTAATTTTCTTCAGGCGTAGTCGAGTGGTTCACATGTTTTATTTAAGCGCGGGTTTTACCGGACGTGGGATTTAAGAAATTCTCGGAAAATCTCGGAAATTCTTGGAGGTCGAATGCGCTTTCATTTTGAACGTGCCTTCACAGTTGACTTGGTTTACGAATTTCAGTCATATGTGTAGCACCTCTCGCAAGATCTAACCTGATTGGCTAAAATGACTTAAATGAGATTTTGGGTTTCAAGGGTTTCGAACCAATCATTGAATAGATAACCCATAACCTCTTTTTGTATTGCTATGATGTAATCGTTTCTTATAAATGGCCTACAAAAGCCCCCCCCCCCATCACCTGACCCCTATTTTAGGCTATTTACACCACAGCACTTTGAGTAGCGGTAAGCCTGGAATGTTTTGATGGTTATGCTACACATAAATCAGCAAATGCTACCAAACTGCACATAAATGCTACAATCCAGTGGCATAAAAATAGCCACCAATAGCTACCAATTTCCAAATAACAGTAGAGCCATTCTGAGGAATTTGTCAGTACAATCATATAGTGTCTAGTTGTCATACATTGGCACCCTCAGCACAGGGAGCTTTTAATCATGGGTGTAATGGCTGGTCACATTTGGATTTGATTGTTAATACTCTCTCAATACTAGACTATATAGCTCATAGAAGTTATGTTAATCTGAATATTGCCAGTATGGAATATATACTCCTATTTTATTTAAAATATATAATGCAGTGGATCCTAGTTTTAGTTTCAACTCCACCACACAGTGGTAGGTTCAAAGCCTAGATGAACAAAGCAAGTACCAATGCACCAATACAAATAATATAATAAGTGGTTCATCAAACCTTGTCATTGTATTCAAAATATGAGGTGATAAATATTGATAATGATAAATCACTGTTGTTATATTTCAGACACACAGAGTACATTTTCAATATAGAAAAGATCCACTACAAAAGAGCAAGGATCTGCTGCAATTTTTGTGAAGGGAGGCTAGACAGTTTCTCTCCTGACAAAAATTTTTTTACTTTTAAATTTTGACTTTAGAAAACTGAAAAAATGGCTCTTTTGCTTCATTTTTAACAGACCCAAAGAAAAAACAATTTTTTAAACATTAGGAAGAGAAAATATGACTAGCCTCGTTTTCATGCAAGTAATAAGCAGTGAGCTCTATGGTAAAACTCATTTGCTATGGTCCGAACATTGATAAGCTTTAACAGAAGCTTCCCTTGCTTTTATCACTACTGCTTCAGCTTTGGCATGTCCCAAAAATTTAGTTCCTTCAAATCTGCCTTCATTCCGTGGAATACCATGGGTACCATCAGGAAATGTAAGCAAACCCAAACCACGCACATCACCTTCGAAAAATTCACCCTCAAATTTCATTCCATCAGTGCGGGTGTAGATTCCAACTCCGTGAAATTTACCATATATAAACTCTCCTTCATATCGAGCTCCGTCAGGTAGTTTTAATACACCATAACCCGAACATAAACCATGACGAAATTGTCCGACATAGAAAGAGCCATTAGTCAAATTCAGTTTTCCGACACCATGTTTTCTCCCTTCTTCGTCCCAAGTGCCGGTGTAGCTATCTCCAACAGGGTAAATAAATGACTGAGTTGGAACATTATTAGCTGAGTTGGGCATGATATTGATAAAGTAAACTTAAAAGGTTTGAATCATTACATATAAAAAATTCACACGGTCTTTGATCGCTTGCTGTGTTGTTGACAGTTGTCTTGGCCACAAAAGGAACAAATAGGCAAAATGGCAAATAACCGAACACAAGCAGGCATGACTAGCCCGGAAACAGGCTGTTTCGGCTGTTTTATCCCAAACTTGCGAAAGAAAGCGGATGATACAAAGTTAAAACTTGAGAATTTAGAGGATAAGATATAGACAGATTTATAAATATTGATCTATAAATCTGCTCAGTTCAGACCTGTTTTTTAAAGTTACATAACATAGATGAACGGTTGCATAATCATACAACTCTGCGTAGGGGGGGGGGTGAACAAATCGTCGGCGCATGTCACAATACTGCGCATGTTCTTCAATGCTTTCATCAAGCCAGTTGGCCACACCTTTTTATCCAATATAAACACGCTTTACTGGGTGGCTTAACTGCATATTTTTGCATAAACGAGGGGGACTTCGTGAGTGGGGCTTTCTAAAATTCTGACCAGCCAGAGGGACTGTAATACCCAACCTCTACGACTTTGGACATATATTCTAGATTTGAACATTTTGGTTCTCTGTAAGCAGGCTAGCTGTTAATGTATGTAATCAATATAATTTATCATTTAGAAACTTCTTGCCAATCCCATCTATGAGGACAGTTGTCAAATTGTGGTTAACTGAACTTAAAGAAAAAGGGTAATATCAAATGTTTGGAAAAATTGTCCAAATGGAGATCATAAAAAGCATTACACAAAACAACAAATGCTTTAATAATTTTTAATCCCTTTTACACTTTTCCTTGATCATCACAATATTGTTACTAAGCTATTCAATCATTCCTGGTTACATGAATTCAGTTTATCAACAAAGTAGAAATTAGTCATCACCATCCAATGTGAGCTTGTCAAATTGGAATTCACCCAAGCCTTCGCCAACACGTTCAAGGTTGGTAATATGGTCTGACAATTCCTTGATGGCATCAGTCTGCTCATGCAAGTAATTGGCTTCAATAAAATCAGCCATCTAAAGATAAAAAGAAAATTTTAGCTGCATTTACTAATGTTAAAAAGGCATGAAAAATATTTGGAGGTTGAATTTTTCTCTCGCAGAGATTAGTGCCTCTAGGGTACAACAACAGACCTCATCATCCTTGTTGGTGACAGCAACTTCATGTAACTGGAACAATGCTTCATTCACGGTCTTTTCCAAAGATAATGCAGTCTTCATGGCATCCAGTCCACTTCCCCATTCATCTTTCTCTGGTTTCTAGTCAAATCAAACCCACACCAAATTGTCAGGTTCTCAAATAGCAATTTACCAAAAAATTAACAGAGTCAGACCGATCAAAATTTATCTCATTCTTCATAGTTAAAGCACAAAACACATTTTGGCTATATGGAACTCTAGGTTATTGGACTTTGATAAAAGCTTACGTTACGTAATTTTAAACATTGAACAATTATAATTTACGGTTTTATAATAAACCAATTTTTGTACTTTTTATACTACCTTTATGTCCTTCAAAACAATACGACCACCACGACGATTTTGAAACTGCATCAGCTAAATTAGAAATAAAATATAAAATAAATATGGCGTGCCAACGCGATGACGCAGTTAAAATTCAAACATGGACGATTCGTGTCGCAAGGAAAGCGTACCTTTTCAGCGTGTTCTCTTTCCTCATCAGAGGCTTTCTTGAAGTATTTGTGAAATCCTTTCAATGCAACGTCGTCACGGTCAAAATGGTAGGCCTATAACAAAGAAATGTTAGTGAAATCAAACGTGTTTCAAACCTTTCGGAATCGAATGTTGTTTCTTACCACGGACAAATACACATAGCTTGCATACAACTCCAAGTTGATTTGCTTGTTGACTTCTGCTTCGCTGCAAGAATGGTAATTTTGGCGACACCTGGCAAGCATTTTCAAAGCAATTTCAAGGGTTTAAATTAATAATATCAAAGTTTCTTCGAAATAGCAGAATTGTCTCGTTCAAACACTGTTGAAGCAAAAACAATATCCGACTAGAATGATAAATTTTGGAAGAGAAGGCGATGTAACCCGCTTTTTAACAGCCGTGACACGTGATCAAAGCAACTCAAGTCACGTGTTCAATCTGGCTTCTGATTGGTTATAATTTTCAGAGCGATGATCTGGTGATTATCTCATGATCATGACACATGCGCACATTCCATGCATCACAGTTACCGGTATGCAACTTATGCAAGATTTGTGCCAAGACGAATGATCATGAATCAGCAATCACAGCATCCATATTCTGTGTAAAAAGGACGTCTGTGTAAAGAGGATCGGAAGTGGGAAAAAAAATTAAAATGCAGATAGAAGTTTAAAAATATCAAAAATAATTATATTTATTTCTATATTGTAATAATGATATAATAAACCAGCTTTGTATCTACCGGCATTGTGGAAACGCAATGAATCGACGAGATATAGCAATATTCTTATCGTATTACTAGGCAAGTTATTCTGAGTGAAAAAAGAGTTGCCCAGTATGAATGTGCAGTCACCATAGTTACGAACGCCAGACACACCTAACGATGAAAAACGGACGACTTTCACAAATACAGTAACTAATCAAATTATTTTTTTTTAACTTTTTCCGTCCGTATTTTGTAATTTAGGCCTACTCCATAAGACTAGTCAGTATATATTATATTCGACCTCGCCAGCCAGGCTTTTCTATCTACACTATGTTGTTGCCAAACATGCGATAATGCCATTGCAAGAAAAAGTGATAATCCAAGATGACGTAAAGCCCGTTCTGCGCATATCTTCTCCTCATAACAAACCGGCTAAGCACTCGTCGCGTCATGACAATTGGAGTATTATTGATTACCAATTTGTCTTGTTTTGAAAGTGCTATTAAGATCCAAAGGTGGAGGTGCAACTTTTGGAATGTTGCTTACAGGGGCGTGGCGGGGGGGGGAGGGGTGGTGTGCGTGACACCGCCTAATTATTGACGATGTTTTCCAAACGGTTTGTTATAAATGGTCAGCTCAGATCATATGCTTTGGACACTTGACACGATTTCATGGCGAAAAAGATTTATTTAAGAGTCAATTAAATTTTAAACTTTATTAACACTTAACAGATCGATAATTTGCTAATTATCCCTAACGTAAATTAACTAATTGCCAATTTAGTTAATATGTTATTTATCCCCTACAATGATTGTTGCAATGTATATCTACTAAAAAATAACAAAACAAATCAACTATGTTCTAGACTTGCACTCTTGTCGGCCACAGGCACCACCAAGAGTCAACTGATCAAACTGAAACTCTCCCAAGGGAGAGTCGATTTTCCGTAAGATATGAACGTAATTGGATATTTCTTTGATACTGTCCACTTGTTCGCCAAGAAAGTTTGATTCTAAGAAGTCAAGGAACTGAAACGAAATTTATTATGAATTAAACAATCTCATCGTGTGAAATGTTGATAGTGACAATAACCGCCTTAATTTTTTATATAGTTATTTGGCGTCTGTGGTAGTTTATGTCCCCCAAACACAGAATGTACCGTGATTTGATTAAAATCTGGGTATAGGAAGTCAAAATTGTGCAAAACCATGCAAAACTATACCTAAACTTAGTAAGATTCTGGTGCACCTAGGACCTAACCTGTGACTCCGCTTTTTCCTCTCCAAGGGAATGTAAATTGATTAGATGTTCGTTGATCAATTGTTCCAAACGAAGCGCTGATTTCATTGCCTCTGTCCCATTTCCCCAATATCCATCGTTGCAAGGACTCTAAATATGATGAAAAAATCAGGTGCCGTTTGATTCCTCTTATCACATTCACGTTCAATGAAACAATTTTAGATCATTTTTCGAGTAGGCTAATTTTTAGCATACTCGAATGAGAATACATGATTTAGTCTTGGATCATTCAAAGCCGGTTGGCACTCCAAACTTTAAATATTGAGCGCGCAAAAAATGCCTCTTTAAAAAGCAATAGTAGCAATTCCGTAAGCATATGTTTAGGCAAATTTGTCCATCTAAAGTCAAAATATATCAATAAAAGTAAAAAGAAACTGCCCGTTCCTTGCAGAGCGTGAGGCAACTGAACAATCGATTTTATACGAACAAGTGTTTGCTGGTGGCATTTCTCGTTAAATTAATCGTGTTTTCTCCATTTCTGGCAATTTTTTCAACTAGCTAGTACTGTTTAAACAGGTCGAATTTTACATACAGGAATACTGTTCAGCCGAATTTTTCCTCCACGTTTATTTTGGTATTTCATAAACTACAAAATAAAGTGAATTAAAAGTGCAGTGTCAAATAGAAGAGAAAGGAATAAAGAAAAATGAATCACAGGCCAAGACAACTAACCAGTAGCGTAACTAGAACGATAATTGAGGGGGATATGTGTTTACTCATATATTTAGTTTTGCCCGACGGATTTCTTTTGTAATTGAAATATATGAATACCCCCCCCCCCCCATTATCATTCCTTAGTCACGCCCCTACAACTACAACATCATACAGCACACATAACAAAAGAAAACACATGTACGCTGACATAAAACACAACCGATGAAACATATTTACACTGCGAAAGGTTAGCTTTAAGTCAATTGTTATAGAATCTTACGATTTGCGCATGTTCGTGTTCCTCCTCTGCCATTTCCTTGAAAAACTTGCTAAATCCTGGCAGGTAATACTCATCTTGGTCAAAATGATATGACTAAACGTAGTAAAATTAAAAACAGTTTTAAACCAATATATTGTCTTCAGGGCCGTCCTCAGGATATTTTACAGGGGGGTGTAAGGTAATCTAAACCAACTGATCCACGGACTTGTACCGATTACACTCTGGATGAAACTTTGTCAAGTTTATATTGGATCGGTCCATAGTGTCAACAGTATGTTTGTCTGCCGACTAAAATAGCAATTTTACCGACTAAACCTAAGAATAAACTTTCTGGGGGGGTGTGACACCCCCCTACACCCCCCCGTAGCTCCGGGCCTGATTGTCTTGTGCACCCATTTGCTTATTACATATAGGCACGCTTTTAAACTTGTAAGTAGTGTTTGCAATTGGTCACTATAGTTAGTTGTTAGCTACGGATTTTCAGGGCTTCAAGCTTTTTGTCATCATGGCGCTTACCATTGACAAGTATGTATAATGAGCAGAAAGTTCATAATTGATTTGTTCATTCACACCACTTTCCAACTCGCTGTCAAATATTGGTCCTAACGTGAACGAAACAGACAAAGTTGTAAGTAAGCTTATAAAAGCAATGCACAATGATGTCAGAAGATCAATTGTTCTGATAATGATATGAAACGTGAGTTGTCAATGTGGACGTAGCCTTCATTTCTCCTTAATTGTCGACCATTAATATATCCTATTTAATCGCTTCTATATACCGTGAACAGCAAACTCAAACAATTTATGAAGGGAACAAGCTCAATTAGGCTTCGCGTAACCGCATTCCTTTTTTCAATTTGGGATAACAAAATATTTGCGTGTATATAATATATAAGAACCAGAGACACAGAAAAAAACAACAACAAACCAAGAGTCTTGCCGGTCGCAGAATCATACCTCCAATTATCCTCCTGAAATGGAAATATGGTAGTTATAGAGTATTATTAATCGTTAAAAACTGTCTTTATAAACACGTTATGGTTAGGTGTGTCTAAGTCGTAAAATGAGAACACGACATAGATTAAGGATTTTTAATGATTCGAGTTTAATTCCTATTGCTCAATTCTTGAAATATATGTAACGCCCTTCGAGAAAATGTATCTTTAGGCTTACAAGGGAGGCGTGTTCAGTTCATCCCCAAGCTTATTAGGATGGTGAATGACAACATGGCGGAAGAAGAAGTGATCGGCTCCCCAGTTTACTCACAACTATAAATATCTTTATATACGTACTGCTTTTACAGCTTGTGGGAAACAGTCGTTGGTGGTCGACCCATTAGTCGATACAGCTGAACAGACTGAACTCACAAAATGAATGCATCCAACACAAAATAAAACTACGAGTTTAAGAGGCATCTTTCTGTTACCTTGTTACTAAACTGAAACTATAAAAATAAAATCATCACAATATCACTCTTGTAATACTGAAGTGAAACATTTTCAGTTGTAACCTTTGTTTTTTCCTCGGGCACTGACTAATTTTCTCAGTTTATTTGTAAGGAGAGGGTACTTTCAACAATATTATTTCAGGATGATCCAGCAAATGAACCCGATAATACGTGTCATACTATGCACTGTGTTACATCAGTTGAAAAGGAAGGAATTAAGGCTAAGATTCAGTTGGTATATTGATTTCTCCGGGAAGACAATTTTTCCGACACTCCGACTACAGGGTCGCTAAAGCTTCAGAAGTAAGGGTATAAGTTTCAGAGATAACCAATAACCAAAGATATAACCAGGCAAATACTGAAGCAATACACCTAGATATGAAATGTAAAGATACTTCACATGGACAAAACTGATCTGCAGCATCATCGGTTTATAAGCCCTTTTACCAACAAATGCACTTAATTAAACACGAAATGATGAATTAGTGCAGTTTCGCAATGCTCATTGACGTATGACTGCGGTGTATAAACAGTGCTAGACATGTAAACAGTTCTCAATATATGCAATTTAATGGTTTCTTGTCTATAAATACGGATAAGCAAAAATGCCGGATACTTCAAATTACGTTAAAACATCTCGTGCAGGTATATCATCCTGTTAAATCTCTCCGCGTTTGGATTTTCTCTTACCAATGATTTTGATATCTTACCAATAAAATTTGTAATGGCTCATTTTTTTCAAACCCACACATATTGAACACATACTTCACGTGAGTCTATATCAGTATATATTGTTGCATTGACTCAAGTTTAGACCCTTTCATCCCTTTAATAGAGGAAAATAGTCTTGGAATTGGTCTACCTTCCCCAACATTGTGTACCAACCCCCTTCCCTGTTAACGCAATAATTAGAGGACGGTATTAATTTCGTAAATTGAACAGATATCGATCTCATGCTACATGCATTCTCGCAATCAATAGTCACTTCTCGTCTTCATAAGTAACCTTCTAATCATGCAATCAGATACAAAACATCATCAATTGATGTTGGTATTCAACATTAGACTAAATGATATAAATATTTAAAATTCAGCTAAATTAACTTAATTTAATCACTTCTCGTCTTCACAACCTTCTAATCATGTAATCAGATATAAAACATCATCAATTGATGTTGGTATTCAACATTACACAAAATGATAAAAATATTTAAAACCCAGCTAAATTAACTAAGTTGACACGCAGGCGATCCTCTATAGCAAAACAATCCAAATCATACAGCTATAGTCTACAGACTTATGTTACTCAATGTAAACATACATTTCATAATAGCTTACCTATCTTGAGAAAACGAAAAAAATTATATTCTGATATTCTAACAGCCACTGCTGCTGAGAATTCAAGAAGTTAGAAAAGTAAATTGGTTCTCACAAATTCTCACAGTATTTGACAATGCCATCGTTTTTGTCACGTGAGTGCCAATAAGTGCCGATCACATCAGGAAATAACCAATCAGAGCACTGGTTTCTTTAGTTCAATGCAAATGTTTGCTTATTCGTTGTATCTCTGTGATCGCAAAGAGTGACCTTATTAGTTGCTTCATGATCAGTGTTTGAAATTAAACATCCTGACTCAAAAATAGTTCCTGATGATTGCTCAAAAGTAGGGCTGACTATAATATACACAGTGTAGGCAGTCTCGATTTTGGTGTTACCTCCTTAAGATAGTCTTGTAAAGGTTTTGTGATCATAGTAAATGCAAATAGTGATTGAAAAAGCATGTGTTTGGGAGAATTTGAAGTTAAAACGGCTCCATCGTGTACAAACCTTTGACACATTGCTCATTGATATTTGAGCAGTACGGCCACAGATTACGTATATATGATCCATCTTTCTTCTAAGGTACGGTCGAGTGATATAACGAGGTAACGCCATTACATGATTGCTCCTTCATGAAAAAACATAATACCGCCGAGATGAACGAAAGGGTAGAACTTCGGGTAGAACAAAGATTTAACTCACTTTTTACACCATGTCTTCAATAAGAATGATTACTTTCGGGTGAATGCGTTTTGATTTATTGTTGGTCACAAGATGTCGAAAGTTTAAAATCTCAGACAATTCCAGCTCCAGGATATTCAGACTAAACGTTTAGTAACTTAAACCACGAAAAGTAGTACTTTCGTCTTAGTTCCAGTAGGCAGAATTTTTAATCAACGTCAGTTTCTAGACACCCGTCAATATTTCCTGTGGCTCACAAACAAATATAATTATGTTATCATAAGGCAATTTCTGATATCTTAACAGAAATTATGTAGGAGAACGAATTAAAAAATCTAAGCGGATAAGGTTTTTTAGTCATGAATTGCGTCGCATTTTCCACAGAAATTTACTTCTACAAAATTTAGTATACCCTTGTTGAAAAGAACGATCAGTTCTAAATGAATTTTTTTTAAATAGTGTCCATTTTCCATTTAGTCTTTGTTTGTTGGCAACATGGAAAGTGACGGGTATCTGATCGTTAAATGCCTTCTTAGAAAGTAATGAGTTCATCAGTTCATCGAACGACGTTAAGAAAGCAAGATGTTTAAAATGTCAATGCGAATGATGATTGTTATGACCATTTTTTCTATTCTAACTCGCGAAGTTCAGTGGTGAGCATGCATAAAATTTTTTTCTTTTAAAATAAGACTTCCATTAATCCGTGTTGTAACGAAAGGGATGGCTTCTTAATTCGTTTTTTTTTGAGCTTCAGAGTTCCCGGTATTAGAACTAATAAAACACAATGGGTTTCTGGCTAAGACTCCAAAGGATATCAGCCAACAATATAACAGGCATCAGAATTTAAAGTATGCCTCCTCTGGGCAAAATTAACTTTGACTGACAACCTGATGTTTAGTTCGCAACTTATCATAATACTGGAATGTTGCAGCTAAATTTGTACACTAAAAGGAACATACATCGTTTCTAACTTCACTTCACTACTTAAATGTTTTTTTACTTTTCTAAGGATGGAAGCAGCAATCCTTCCAACAAATAACCTCAGCAAAAGAAGTCCATCACCTGCCGTTGAAAATGTTTCATTAAACCAAGAAAGCAAAACGTTTGGTAACTGAGTGCATGCATGTCGAATTGAACTGCAATTAAGTGTGGTCTCATGTATGTCTATTATGCTAGACGGGGATTTAAAAGAAACTGAAGATTATTCAAACTCAGAAAGAGAAGACGACGAAACTAATGGTAGGTGGCCAAAGAGGTTTATATAAAAGATATATATAGTTAAAACTCAGCGAGACTGGTGCAACTTGTGTCACTTAAAATCTTAGAAAAAGATTCTAATGAAAAATTTGAAGATTTTCCAAACTCGAAAACAGAAGAAGACGAAACCACTGGTAAGTAAAGCACAGAATAATTCAAATATAACTCTTACCAGCTTTGAGACCTATAACACATAAAAGGAATTCAGTGAGACCGGTCGAAGTTGTAACACTTTAAATCGTAGAAGAGGATTGCAAAGATGAATTGGAAGATTCTCCAATCCCAGAAAAAGAAGAACACGAATCTACTGGTGAGTTGACAAATATCTAAATCAGTCACAACTCTTAGCTTCCAGGCACGTATAAAAAATATAATCAGGATTCAGTGAGACTAACGCAAGTTGCATCACTTTAAATAATTAAATTGTAGATGAGGATTTGGGGAAAAAATCTGGATTCTCAAAACTCAGAAACAGAAGACAAATCTACTGTTAAACTGCCGGCCAAATTAAATCAATCAAACATATTTAAAACAAAATAAGAACTCTGTAAAACTAATGCAAGTTTGAAGTAATGCAAGCATTTTACTTTGAATCCTAGTAGGGGGTTCTAAAGAAAAACTGGAAAATTCAGAAACAGAAGAAGACGGACCTACTGGTGAGTGGCCGGCCTATCAAAATCAACTAAAAATCTTACAGTCCTGCTGGCTTCTAAGTATACAAAATAAGACTGATGCAAATTGTGTCCATTTGAATTGTAGGAGGGGATTCTAAAGAAAAACTGGAAGATACTGCAATCTCAGAATCAGAAGAGGACGAACATAGTGGTAAGGGTCCAAAGATCCAAATCAACCAAAGAACTCTTCCCGGCTTCGAAACTTATATAAACAACATCAGGATTCAGTGAAACTAACGCAAATTATATAACTTTGAATTGTAGATAAGGATTGTGGAGAAAAACTGGAAGATCCCCCAAATTCAGAAGACGACGAAACTACTGGTAAGTTGTCAAAGATCCTGGTAAGTTGTCAAAAATTCAAATCTAAGTTGTCAAAGACCATTATGAAACTCAGGATTCAGTGAGACTAATGCAAGTTGTATCACTTTAAATTGTAGAAGGCGATTCGGAAAAAGACGAACCTTCTGGTAAGTTCTCGAAATCAGTGAGAACTCCTACCGCCTTTGAGACCTTAATAAAACATAACCAGGACTGTTACTTTAAATCGTAGACGGGGATTCTCCAAACTCAGAAACAGAAGACGACAAACCTACTGGTGAGTAACCCAAAATAAATCAACCAGAATTCGTACTGGCTTCAAAACCTGTAACACATAATCAGGATCGAGTAGAAAGTTGTGTCACCTTAAATTGTAGAAGAGGACTATAAAACATAACCTGGTTTCAGTGAGACTAACACAATTTGTGTCACTGTAAATCCTAGGGGATGTTATTCTCCAAAAATTATTCTCCAAATCCAAAGTCAGAATCAGAAGAACCTACTGGTGGGAGGCCTTCGTACAACCGGGCCTTGAACTATAGTTTAATTCGACATGCACTTACCAAACGTCTTACTTTTTTGTTCAATGAAATTAAAGATTCGGAAGTAGAATTGAAAGATTCATCCAACGCAGAAAAAGAAGACGAACCAATTGGTAACATTAAATTAAACAGAACTCTTACCAGTTTCAAGACTTACAAAACATAATCAGAATTATTCTGACTATGAAAGACTGACGCAAGTCGTTTCACTTTATTTCCTAGAAGAAGAATTGGAAGAGGAATTGAAAGATTCTCCAAACTCAGAAAATGGAGAAGACGAACCTATTGGTGAGATAAGTCAATCAGAACTCTCTTTCCAGCTTTTCGCTTGCAAAATATAATCAGGATTACTCTGTAAGACTGATGCATCACTTTTTATTTAGAAGAGGATTCCGAAGAAGAATTGGAAGAAGAATTGGAGGATTCGCCAAACTCAGAAAAAGAAGAAGACGAACCAACTGGTGAGATTAACTCAAACATAACTTTTACCAGTTTCACGATTTACAAAAATACAGTTAGCATTATTCAACAAAGACTGACGCAAGTCGGATCACTCTAAATCCTAGAAGAAGAATTGGAAGAAGAATTGGAAGATTCACCAAACTCAGAAAATGAACCAACTGGTGAGATTAAATCAAACATAACTTTTACCAGTTTCACGATTTACCAAAATACAGTTTGCATTATTCGTCTAAGACTGACGCAAGTCGGAACACTCTAAATCCTAGAAGAAGAATTTGAAGAAGAATTGGAAGATTCTCCGAACTCAGAAACAGAGGAATCTACCAGTAAGAGATCAAAGATCCAAATCAAACAGAAAGAGGATTCTAGAAAAGAATTGGAAGACCCAAAGTCAGAAACGGAGGAAGACGAACCATCTGGTCAGTAGTTTGACAGGTTTAATTTTACCTAAACAATTACCGATGGCATTTCGAAATTACAAATCACTTTATATCTTAGTAGAGAATTCGACGATAAAATAAAACATTCCCGACTATAAAAAACAAAAGGAATCTCTAGTAATGGCTGTCCAGAATAAATCCACTTCAACAACTCTTATAATAAATCTATCAAAATTGTCAAAATAATAACGTTATTAACATTTTGCTGCCCCAAATCCTTTATTATTTCATGGTCTGTTTTTCTTTGCGCCCTCGCTGAAAAATATTGTAATTAAAGAGTGTATGGCTTCGATTACTTGAATTCGTTTAAATGTGATGATAAAATTAAAATACAATCAATATTCGCATCAACAAATTTTTAAAGGCGAGTAAACGAAAACAGCGCAGTTTCACTTAATCACTTTAGATAAAATCGTAAATGTAATCAACTCGTGCTAATTTAGTTACGTTAATGAAGCCCATAAATGCTTGTTGTATAATGAATATTCCCCAAAAAATGCGTAAAATGGTCTACAACTCGGTGTCTTTGCCACCACCTAAGACCAACTTATCAAATTGAAACTCTCCCAAGGGAGTGCCGATTCTCTTCAAGGTATAGTAATAGTCGGATATTTGCTTGATGCTGTCCACTTGTTCGCCCAGGAAATTTGTTTCCAAGAAATCTTGGAACTAAAAATTGAAAGAAATTTTCTTAAAATTAGGTTATTATATGTAACAACGCGAGGTGTTCTAATGTTGCTTACTAACTTACTTTGTGAAATTGGAAAGGATAGAGCTTATATCTTGTCAATGCGAGGAGGGTAACAGTGATAACTGATAATCGAATCTACTCTACATTTTGTTTAACCTAAGACATTAATTTGGGGTACATTGGGCGTACAAGTGTATTGGATATTCATAGAAATTTTTAAATGTAACTAAATTGATTTAAAAAAATATAGTGGAGCTATGCGAGCGCCTTGGCTCGCAGGCTACAGACCTTCATTGTGATACAAATTGCTCTCCTTTATAAAGTTTTGCGCAAGAGCTGCAATTATTTGTAAAAGCTCAATTGGATGTGCAAGATATAGGTTCGGCCTGCGAATACAAAGCATTCACAGTCAAGAGTAGTGTTGAATTTAGGCCTTACGTAAATGTTTTAAATCATAAATGGTTAAGATGTTACAGCGTCGTTATAGAAAAAACACCAAATCATTTCTAACCTGAGCATCGTCTTTTTCGTGTGCCTTATTGTGTAGATCTTGTAGACTGTGGTCGATAAACTGTTCCATTTGGAGAGCTGCTTTCATTGCCTCAGCGCCATTTTTCCATTTTTCATCGTCGCAATTTCCCAATTTTTTATCTTCGCTATTTTCCAATTTTTCATCTTCGACATTTCCCAATTTTTCATCTTTGCCCTTCCCCAATTTTTCATCTTCGCAACAAGGTTTCTAAATGTAATAGACATATCAAGTCTCTGCTTATTTATGTTTCCCCATCTTTATACCATTGGCATTTTACTTTACTCTTGGAATTGCTGACAGTGCCACTGAAAGTTCGATATATTCATTTCAGAAGAACAAGTACAGGGTATATTTGAAGCCAGTTCTTCAACAGCAAAACTGATGGCTTTAACTTACTGGAATGCTGCCCAAACGAATTTGTCCTCCACGTTTGTTTTGGTATTTCATAAACTAAAAAAAAAAATGAGATCTAAATTAAAGGAGGAGTACGAAAAATCTCAACTCTTCCACTTCATCGTTTATTTTTTCAATTTCGAGAATGCTTCAACATTTTCAAATAATATTCTTGAACGTTTGCATGGTTGACAATCGATAAGTAATTAAGCTTGTAGGTACACCACGTAAGTATATATTACTGCAAAGCTTTCGGTCGGTTAACCCGGGAAACGTCGAGAAGTGCTTTGTCTATTTTAGGCAGTTGTTATATCACATTTGATGCTAAGTTTGAAGACGCTGCCACGCTGCTCCCTGGTTATGATCAAATAACAGTAAGAACTAAGCATAAATACATCCAAAATACAATCTTACCATTTGCGCATGCTCATGTTCTTCCTCGGCCATTTTCTTAAAGTACTTACTAAATCCAGGCAGATAATATTTGTATTGATCAAAATGGTATGACTATAGGGAAAAAAACACACGAACGGTTAAAAAAATCACTATCCGGTGGATAGCGCTATCCGGCTTTCATACAACTGGCCCCATGCAGATCCCTCGAGAAAATTCTCAATGACAATATTATTTACAAGATGTTCTTCACTTGCGTTCTCCAACTATTTCTACTTACCATTGACAAGTAGGTATAATGAGCAGAAAGTTCATAATTTATCTGTCTGTTCACACCACATTCTAATTCTGCGTCAAACTTAGGTCCTATATCTAATAAAGAAAACGAATTCAGGACTTATTTAAAAAAAGAGGGGAGTTAACGTTTCACTGTTCAAGTTTATACGTTTAAGACCAGGAGCAGCCCTGTGCCCTTTGCTACCAGGCAACATCCGATCATCGACCGAACAGGACAACGAATTTCAGATACCAGTTGTGATATCCGACGGATATTTTTCCGTTAAACACTTTAACGTTTTTCGTCTAAGTGCTAGTTAAAATACGAGCGGCCGATCTGCATGCATGGGTGCCTATGTACAATGGCGAAAGCGTAGCACGAGTCATTGTAAATTACATACAGACCGGTCATTTTCATAAGACCTTTATAGAGAATTAGCTACAGATGTATACATGTGACCAAAATACTGCGCATTGATTGGAAGTTAGACTAATTAATTATTGGTGATTTCATAACTGAAGTTATTAGTCTTAGTAACAATTAACAAATAAAGTTGAAAAATGAAAATTGACACTCGAATATGATATAGCATGATGGGAAAAAGTTAATCATGAGCAGCAGACGTCCATAATTCATTGAATCTCACAAACCTTTAGCGTCCTTTTTTGTCCCCTGAAATGAAATAGATTTTACTTCTCAACGGATAGGAAAGGGGCGGGGGGTAGATAGGTCGAGATAAGAAGTCATGCAACTTTCTTAACTTAATCTTGCCATAGCTTGCTTTGTGACCGACCCAATTGTGAAACGCGGCAAAAAATTATTTTTCTCTATTTTTTAAGAAGGCAATAAGCATTTACAATATACGGATTTTTGTTAACCCTCTAATTTCTCAAGATATTTGACGGCGGCGGAAGTCTTAATGAAAATTTCCAACAAGACAAAACAAGCTATACCCCTTTAATTTCACGATAGATATATAGATTATAGATATACATTCGTTCATAGTCAGTAGCTGTAATTTTCGGAAATTATTTTCTACCAATTATTACTACATCATAACATACTTCTATAAAACAGTTGGTGCAATTGTTGATTGAACAATTAGTGGTGTCTGCATCGACCATTTGAGAACATACAACGCATAGCAATACCACAAGTTTTTGAAACATGTTTAAGTCTAGATAACGAAAAAGATATGCAGTTAAAACAAATAAACAAGTAGTAGAATTGAAAGATTTGTTCTGCTGTAGCGATAAATGGACAGTGACTATTTTTTAAGGGTTTCGGGAACGCTTTTGACGGAAAGGGAAGGGAAATTGAACACAACCACCTAAGCGAGTCGTCAAAATTTTATACTTAGCACCAGACTTCAAGAAAGGGACGAAAAACGAACGAACCTATCATAATGTTCTTGTAGATTACTTATCGAAAATACATTTTGACTGTTTTGCCTCTGGATTCCATATAAAAACGTAACCCGTATTGAAATCGATGTTTTATTATGATGCTTGCATGCTAAACCCGCAGGTGCGTCAGCTTGTACCCAGGCGCTTTAGTAGAAAACATATAAAGTTGCATTCAGCTATTATATAGAGGTCCGCTGATAAGAAAGCGAGCGAGCGGGAGTGCTTGGGGTTTTTTTTGCCACAACGCGATCTGACTCGTTGTAATCCCTTAGCCTGGGGGCAAGCATATCGGTTGACATATAATACGTGAATTCCGGATGAAGCTACCCGCAGAATAGGATTAACCTCGCAAAATAAATACTTCAAAGGATATTTTATAGGATATTATGTTTTCAAACACGATATTATATCTTCAGTGCCTTTTAGACGAATAGGATCCAGCGTATCCTGTATTATACGCGTTGCTGCGAATTGATTTGTACTGTATTTCTTTTTGAACAAGAAACAATAAATCCCGTCGATATAGGCGCGCAACTGCGCAAGGACGATATTTATAAAAGTTCAAGGTCCGTCACCATGATCGAGAGTATACTCATGATTGCTTGGCGCTTATGTTCGTGCAAGGTTTTTGTTTGGCCACTATATATTATACTAATTAAGGCCAGAGCCTTGAAGTATCGATTTCGCAATGAGTTTCAGTATTGATTTGGTTTACATGCACCTTGCCACCTTATACTCGTCGATAAAAATCATAAAATGAATGCGCATATCATACGATATTTCAAATCAAGCAATGACTGAATGCTTATACAAGCGTAGCCTCAAATGTGAGCATGAGATTATTCAAAAAACATCGACCGTTAGATATGTTGAGTCAAAGATGAATATTGGCAAAAAATGAATTTTAAATAATCGGTATAGACTTAATATGACATACCATACCATGCCATGCCATGCTCACCTTTATCTTTAGGAAGTAGAAAGATCAATTGGATTCAAATACTGGTGTTCTATATAAGACTATAACAAACAAACCACCGTCACTAAATGATATAAGTTAAAAAATTTTCTATATCGTTTCGTTCAAACACTGTTGAAGCGTAAACACGATGAAATTTGGAAATTGTGCGATGGGTCGGTCTATTATACGGCTGTATCACGTGACATCAATTGTAATATTACCACTCTCGAAAAAAAATTAAGGTGGACAGATTGTGGCGTGAGCATATCAAATTTTTGAGGGGTCAGCCTTTTGGGCACTTAGTTATCAAAGGGCACTTTTTCTGATCGCTTCGAAAGTTTTCCGACAGAGACCCTTGCCTCACCAAGGTCCAAGGTCGGCTGATATCGTTTGTATGTCAGCCATAGCTGCTTTTTGAATACCGCAAAAAAAAAACAAAACAAACGTTTTGCAACTTTGTTCATCATAGGTGTAGAGTTTCGTTTTACGTCAAGGCCTCTGGGGCGTAAGCGTTCAATTATAATATTACCACTCTCGAAAAAAAATTAAGGTGGACAGATTGTGGCGTGAGCATATCAAATTTTTGAGGGGTCAGCCTTTTGGGCACTTAGTTATCAAAGGGCACTTTTTCTGATCGCTTCGAAAGTTTTCCGACAGAGACCCTTGCCTCACCAAGGTCCAAGGTCGGCTGATATCGTTTGTATGTCAGCCATAGCTGCTTTTTGAATACCGCAAAAACAAAAACAAAACAAACGTTTTGCAACTTTGTTCATCATAGGTGTAGAGTTTCGTTTTACGTCAAGGCCTCTGGGGCGTAAGCGTTCAATTATAATATTACCACTCTCGAAAAAAAATTAAGGTGGACAGATTGTGGCGTGAGCATATCAAATTTTTGAGGGGTCAGCCTTTTGGGCACTTAGTTATCAAAGGGCACTTTTTCTGATCGCTTCGAAAGTTCTCCGACAGAGACCCTTGCCTCACGGCCCTCACCAAGGTTCAAGCTCTCCTGTAAACAGAGAATATTATAAAGAAATATGGATGTTGCTCGGTCTACAGAAAAAAAAATGAGAGATCGAATCCCATGGTTTGTCGTTACCTGCAGTGTTAGCCTAATTAATAGCAATACGACTATACGAGTCTTAGACATAGATTTCCTAGAATTTCCTAGGTTATGTCACTTATGTGAACTATTGATTTGGCCAATCATAGGGCAATGTGGGCCACTAACCTGTATACTGAATGGACTAGTTGAGGTACTTATTTTGTTAAGAGTTCGTTGTCCTTGCTAAGTTACTACGTATACTTCACATACTAATTGCAGGTCTTTGCTCGTCCCGAATTTGCTCGCAAGTATGAACAACAAAATTTTAAGAAGTATTAACGCCATGAAAAAACCTATTGTTTCCATAGTTTGCACATTGTTTTCATTAATGTCATGAGCGTGGACCATATTGGTGAAAATTTAAAATAAAATGCCCGCCAATTTCATATCTGGCCTGATATGAACAGAGGAACTTTACGTTGACTAAAACATCTACACGAACAACGGTGGAAACATTTTTCAGTCAGTGACCTTGAGAGCCCATCCCATTTAAAACAGGTCTCTTGTCGAGAAATATAACCTGCATCATCAGTTGAAGCTATTGTATTCTTAAATATTGACAAATATGTATATCGGTGACAATGATGATGAAATATCCCTGAAAGAACATCTATTGCGTACAATAACAGGAAGTATGAAATTGCATGTTTTTTTTCAATATTTCGGTGGTGTTTTCTTACAAAGTTGCAAAGTCTTTTAACTTTACTCTAGGAGAGTTCCAGACGATATGAAGCAGACATTCCAACCTCAGCAAGTAAAAACTTTTCTAATGCACCAATCTCATGCATGCAATGCAAATGATACAATAAAAAAACACAAAAAAGTAAAAAAAGAGACAGAAAACCACTTCAAAATCAAGATCGTATCTCAGTCAAATATTCCAAGGTCGGCTGATATCGTTTGTATGGCAGCCAGAGCTGCTTTTTAAATACCGCAAAAACAAAAACAAAACAAACGTTTTGCCACTTTGTTCATCATAGGTGTAGAGTTTCGTTTTACGTCAAGGCCTCTGGGGCGTAAGCAATGAGTCAACACATACATCTTTATTAATTTATATATACGAATTTCAAAAAGTAATGAAGGCCTAACAATGTACACATGAGGAAATAGAAATCTAGTCCTATTCTAATGTAATATGTTACAGTATCGATAGAATACACGCCCCCCCCTGCGTTCTGGTTCAAAATCAACATCGAGATTCGAGCCACTAACCAAACGCATGCGGCATGCACGTGAGAATGTATTAGTTGCCACGTGTCACCAGAGCATTTTTGACCTTGGCATCCAGACTAACTCAGGTATGGAAAATAAAAAAATCAATTTGCGTGTGCGCACGAGTCCAGAGCCTCTCACGTCGATGCGCACCAACAAGCCATCAAACTGATTAAAGTATCAAGTCCGCAATGACAACAAGGCAAATACATGTTGACAACAAATAAAAGCCGATTTCATTTGAGGGCAGATTACTGCGCAAACATTTTTGTAAAGCACACCCTGGTTGCAGTAACCAAAATCATCACTTCAGAAAACTTTGGGAGCAGATATTGGAGATATCGATAAATAATACGGGATCTTCAAAGAGATCCTGATACTATTACACAGCAGTTTTCAATTGTGACCTTCCGATCAGGCGACTTATTTATAATGAGTCAACCTTCTTTAGTTTGAATACAAAATACGCCAGCCAAAAGACCCCAAATTACTTTATTGCCGGTATATAATTGCATTGCAATAAAGAAATTTTAAGCAAATATTGCGCAATTTGATTATGAATGAATAAATATGCACACTGACAATAAGGATGAAACGAATAAGTTAGACATTATCACTAGAGTAAACCCACGACGACCACAACGAAACCCAAATGAATGCGGTCGTTCAGGAAACATACCGACACTCTATCAATCATAAATACTTAATGGCATTTTAGCTCTAAAGTCAATGAAAAAACTGCCTACATACTGACTTGCCAACACGCAGTAATCAATCTAATAGCTTACCGATCTTTTAGACACAAACTTGAGATGATTTGAGCACAATACTTGTATTCTAACAGACCACTGCAGTTGAGAATACGAAACACTTTACCTAATGATGAATAAGGTCACATGAGTTCACACCATGGGGTGGCAGGGGAGAAAATGAGAAATCAATGATAGATTCACTACCAAGTTACTAACAACCTGGACCAAATAGGACATGGAAAAAAAGATGTTACAGTTCTCATTAATTGAACATTAGAATTTAATTTGAAGACTTTTCTCAATAATGGAAAGGTAGAATTCGAATTGAAGGAGTCAGCGTGAAAACGTCACGTACTTCACATGATTTCGAGTATGTTCTGACAAAAATCTAAGCCTGTCAGCACTGATTCTGATCTCTTCGCTTTCCTATTATTTACTGCGTGCTTTAATTAACTCATAATTAATGGGAAAAAATTGACAGAGTTCTGTCGTTCCGTGTCCAGATGTCTTAAATGGAAACATCACAAGCTGGTAGTTACTGTCGTCACGTTGCGCGCACGAATTATTTTCTCTTTGAAAAGAACCCAGTCCCTAACCGCCATCATGTTCTAACCGCAAATCAGGATTCATGAAGCCGTAACACAGTTAAGCATATAATGCTTCCTGCCTTCCTCTGTGTCGTAATAAATATAACGATGTAAGCTGCTCCTGAATAGACCTTTCTTATAATGACGTCAAACGCGGAAAGTCTGATGTTACACGAAATTTGATTGGCTCCATAAAACTATCGAGCCAATGAAACTTCGTGTAACATCAGACTTTCCGCGTTTGACGTCATTATGAAAAAGGTCTATTGTTATAAGTAACTTGTAAGTGTAAGTAAGTGCTTTGATCGACAACAGGCTAAAATGAAAGAATGTGAAGAGGCTCTGTCAGCAGTTCGAGAGGAATATCAACAACGAGAAGAAGAATTTAACAAAATGAAAAGCGAGGAAGTGGATGTAAAGAACGATTTGGAAATATGTAATACACAAGTGAAGGAAAATGAAGCCAAGATCAAATTTTGGAGAAGAGAGGTTAGAAGAATATATCATTGCTTACATCTCTTCAACATTTGCCAATTCGGTCTCGGACGCTTTCGGATCAATATAAGCCAAAAATTTTAACAGACGGGCCGGCGCACGCGCGGATTAACTTTCGTTCCGATCCGATCCGCTGCTCGTTTTCCGGAGTGGAAATTAGCCTATAAGGCTAGTTTCTATGGCGTCATATATCCGCCAAAATTCAACTTCGTTATATTATGTTGAACATTCCTTGTTTTATTGGACTTTTTGTATTCTGCATTCAAGTTTGTGTATTACATTCATCTTTGTATTTTAAATTCATGTTTGTGTCGGTTTTACATTCAAGTTTGTATTTTGCATTCGAGTTTTCGCATTTTACATTCAAGTTTGCATTGTACATTCAAGTTTGTATTTTATCCAACCGCAATCCAATAGCTAACCGGTTTCGCGGGCGTGGGCGTTAGACATTATCTAACTTTACAATAATCAGTTGAAAATCGGTGCAAACATCACCAGAGGCCTAATATCTATCTATTGCATTAACAACGTCATTAAGTAAATACCGTACTTCCTCCATAGTTCAGCTGTGGAATAACACAAAATTCACTATTGTATTTTAATTTTGGTTTTTTTATATGACACACCGGCGCACTGAGAACACACCAATGAACTATAAACAAACGACTTTACCTACAGTTCAATGAGAAACACGCGCGCACTAACCATTTCGAAATACCACCTCTATCGAAATCATTGAATCCACTGATTGAATCGAAATCAGTGATCGAAATAGAGGAAATTGAGTTCACTGGCACGCCCGCCATACTTGCGCCCGCGAAACCGGTTAGCTATTGGATTGCGGTTGGATAAAATACAAACTTGAATGTACAATGCAAACTAATGCAAACTTGAATGTAAAATGCGAAAACTCGAATGCAAAATACAAACTTGAATGTAAAACCGACACAAACATGAATTTAAAACACAAAGATGAATGTAATACACAAACTTGAATGCAGAATACAAAAAGTCTAATAAAACAAAGAATGTTCAACATAAAATAACGAAGTTGAATTTTGGCGGATATATGACGCCATAAGTTTCCACTTAGGAAAATTCTCCTTTGGATCGGACAGAACAGGACAGGAAAGTTTCCTTTTGTATAAATGCCGCCTGAGAACTCACCGACAAAGGAAATTTTCCTGTCCTGTCCGAATTCCGATCCAAAGGAGAATTTTCCTGAGTGGAAACTAGCCTTTACAGAACATCTAATCACTATAGTCTCATGCATTTTCATACATGAAGTTCTTCATAGTTCAAAAATCAATATGGCGGAAGAAGATGATCCGCTATGCTGTTGTGAATACTATAATATTCGAGAACAAAGAACACATCTACTGACATTTTGCTGCGAATGTGACGAACTTGATAAATCAGTTGATGATTGGATCAAAGGAAATCCTCAAAAACTTGATAGATTAACGACCATAATTGAATCTTTCACAGACAGATGCCGTTTTCCATGGTTCGGCGGGGCAAAAACATTTGATTTTGGCAGTGCATTCCCTCCGATCTTTTTGCCTGTTTTAGCTTATATTGCATGCTGGCATTATATTTTAACTATCGTGGTGTTCATGGTACTTCCAGTGATGGTTCTCTTCTGTTATGTATTGGCTATTAAACTAAAAATGAGAACAAGGCTCTTTTTGTCCCTAAGTATAACATCAACCATTGGATGTTATGCAGTGTATTTCTACTGTGTTGCTCCCTTTCAAACTTTTCAATTCAATATCATCCTTATTTCAAGTGCTATTGCAATATCAAAATGTTTTCATCAATCAAGGCAGAAACCAACCAACATTGATGTAAATTCCTTTGAAACTAATTCCACATTTTGCGGAGAGTGCCGTAGAAATATTCCTTTTAGAGGAAAGCATTGCAGGTAATATGATACAAATCCCAAATCAATGCATTAAAATGAGCATGGAAGATTGCAAGTTATGAATATAATGAGCCATGCATATAATTCAACACTAATTTCAGCCACAGAACAACTTTTTAATTATGTGACTATCATATTTCAGAATATGTAAACAATGTGTGCTGAAGTATGACCATCATTGTGTTTGGTAATATTTTTTTCTTTTATGTACTGTGAGAAGAGGATATATTTCATTTTGTAAAATGTTTATTGGCATCCTGGCTATTTAAGGTCTCTGTGACTGTGATGACAAAGCAACAATAGTACTTCTTTTTTAGGATTGATTCCTGTGTTGGGCAATACAATCTTAAAGTCTTCCTGTTAACTGTACTTCTGTATCTGGTCAATATTGTTATGGGTTGTTATATAACATTATCATTTGTTTGTAAATGGGACATTGGATTACTCCCAGATTGTTCTCAGGCTTATGACAGTGACAGGTTTGTACTTGTGCAATGAAAACTCTTAGCATGGCCATAGCAGGGTTATTTGAAATAGTTACTATAGTTATTTCCTGGCATTTACAGCTGCCCTCAACATTTTCTTTTAGTTCTGCTTTGGTGTTCATATGTTGCTGCTATGCATTGATTATTGGTGTTGGTTTGATGGTGCTATTAACACAACAGATTATCTTGATTAGTTTTAATGTTACATCATATGAATGGCGACACATGCCACCCCAAACACTGTTTTGGTCCAGCCTGAAGATATCACCATATAACAATGGAATACTTGCAAACTGGGTTGAATTCATTAAAACGTAATATGTTCAGTAATGGCATTGAAATTATTTGGGCTCTTCATTGGAGTAATTTCTCTCATTCCTAGTTCCAACATACATGCAGTTTGTACATTTAGTTCTTGAAGGTTAAATTAGGAACATTGAGCCAGGCTCTATATTAATGTTTTAACTGGCGCACATAAACAAATATTGGCGCACAAAAACAAATAACACATAGCTCGTCTGCTAAACGAAACTCCTGATGACAAAAGTTTCATCCACAAATGTACCGAATACAATTGATGATCTAATTGATCTATTTATCTATTGTCTCTTATGTATTTGATAAACCGTTTTTGGCTGCTATGGACCTGCGCTTAATTTGATCTAGATTTTCGTTGTGTGAACGCACTTCGACAAACATTTGTCCCGAAAAGTATTTTGCTAAGTACTGTATGTAGATATTCGGATAATACTATTAGATATTTAAAAGCTAGGTCAAGGCTAGGCGTAGGGTAGCTGAAGGTGCGATTAACATATGCGAATGTGTTTTATGCTTTATAGTTTATATACGCTATGCGACAAATCAATTCCTATATATATAAATATACTTCGCGAATACTTTGAACATTTCTTAACATATTACAAAACTGTTGCTATATTAATGTATTCTTTTAAAAATATAACGTTCAATACTCAACATTATGAACCTCTGATACCCGAATTTCAGCCTTCGGAACTGGAAGTTATTGACGCCGAGGGCCAGAATCGCTCCATTATTTCGAACCTTCGCTGTTGGTAAACTTTAGAACTATTTGTTGCCTTTTGCCTTTTTCTATAGTTTTCATATTTACGAGGTTTTCCTAGTTTTTCATCCCATTGTTTTTACATTCAGGGCCGCCGTTAATGAGAAATACCTTTAATGGCTCTTTGCCTGACGTTAGGATATTAGAAGAGCCTTAACGTTTTCGTTTCGTTGGAAAAGCAAAAGGATCTTCCTGATGGTAAAATACCAGAAAAATCAAGTTATTAAACGCCGTATTTTAACATTTTCTATAGTTTAATTAGAGTAGAGAACACGTACCTCATCCAGCTCATTCGAGTTTTGATCCCATGCAGAACTAGATAACTTGCCTCTGAAAAGATTTGTAAAAATTGTATCCTCTTCAACACATGGTAAACATTGCACATCACCAACAATGCGCTGAACAGTCTGTTTTATCACCTAACGATTGTTACGAAAACTGAAACACGAAGCGGATTGGCACATAAAGGGTGATGGAATTGGACGTAGTTTATACCCAGCTATTTCAACTTCATTTCTTACTGTAAATTTATAATCTTAGAATACGACAAAATGAAATACTAAAATTTTTTATTGATGAATTTTAACCTACCTCGAGTCGTTCTTACCAAAGGATAAACTGCCACCATCTTCAAACTAGAAGAGTGCGAATTGAATTAGTTCAATTAATTGAAGTCACAAAAAGGAATCGCTGAATGTGATTAATAAAGCCTTTAAATACAATAAACTGAATATAACTATACTTAATAGATTGGTTTGTAAGAGCATCAGTCTTTATATGACAATATGAAAGTTCACATTAATGTGATTTGTACCATCTTTGACTCACCAGAATCTGCGGCTTTTTTCCACGAGCAGATGCTAAAGGCAATTATAAGTAGATGCGTGAAGATAAAGGAAGAACTTTAACAGAAAGAATGAAAGAATTTTACTTGTTTTTCGCGATCCTTCAGATCGTTCTTTCCCTCTACCACGCCCTCTGCCACGCCCTCGTCCTAAAATACAATTAAACTATTTTTGAAAGTGAGTCACTCTAACAGTCCAATCGAAGCACAGGATAAGGTTTGTTGTGATAGATCTATCCTGGACAGATCTTTTCAAAATTTTTTGTTGAAATTACCCCGAGTGGTCTTAGTAGTTCGACTTCCATCCTCTCCATCACTTTCGTCGGATAAAGTGATCGGTGTATCTTGCACTTTGCTTTGAGAATGTTGCACCGCTTCTTTTAAAATCTACACAAAATGCTGATTTATAGTTACGGATTATCCGCGTAATCTGAATTATCTGTGCTATTTTGGTATATACGGCTAGACAACTGACGAAAAGACAACTGGCGAATTCGAGTAGAGTGAATCTTCAATACCTTTCTTGTGTGCGCGTCTTCTTCCTGGCTTGGCTCTACGGTTCGACTTCGTTCAGTTTCTTTGATAACCTCCTGGACAATGTCATTTTCATATCGGACATTCTTTGTTGATAATGTTTTCTGAGTATCACGAAGTTGTAATTTGACAATCTCACCAATTGCTTCTTTCTCATCTTTGTCGACAAATTCTTGCAAGGCTAATCCCATCTTGCGCTCAGATAAAATATTTAATTGCAGTTTCTATTAAGAAAGAACTGCACGGGTTATATCATAATTATTAGAATATAATTAGATTAGAATAAGTTAATTTCCATGCAAGCAGCAACGAAAAGTAGTCTTAAAAATCAATTATTAAACTTTCTCTGAAGTGAGTATACTCAGTTTGAAATATGAAAAGACTCTCACATTCTCTTGAGAATTAAGATATTCTTTAACAAGGTCTTCAACATGAACTTCATCTAATATTTCAGGACGAATTCGAACTGTTCCAACGTCATTAGTTTTCTTTTCTGCAAAATTGAATTATATTTTATCTTGACAAGATATAATAATACATTTATAACATATATATACGTTTTCTATCCCCTTGATTCGCTCTTTTAGGCCTACTGGCGACTGTCGTAGATTGGGCCCAACGTAAATTAAATCAATTTAATTTGCCAACACTTAATTTATCTTACTTTTTGGGTCGCATCACCTATATAACGAACTATGAGCTTTAAACTCCCACCTCTAACAGTTAAAACTCTCTTGCGATAAAACAGTAGAATATCCTTTGTATTTGCAACACGTTTTACGAACTGTTGTCCAAATCTGTTGACATTGAAAGGCGAAAATCCACCCGTGTACTCAACCTAAAAAAATAAAGTCAAACTAATGGATTATTAAAATACCATGCATGAAAAAGTTACGTAGTGCTAATTCTGTATGAATTCAACCAATGAAGTTACTCGAGGATAAATAGCTGCCATTTTCGGCAAGTTGAATGCCTATCATCTCTGTTTTCAGGAACATCTATACGAGTGTGTTTATAGAGCTTAACTGATACAACATTTCTTCTACAAATCATATACTTTCAAGATCTAATGCAACTTGCCGAGGGAATTTCTAATCAAGAACTATTTTTTTCACTTGGGACAAAGAACGTCAGAATTCTCAAAAGCAATTTCAATTGTCTTAAATTGACGACATTTTAAAGCTATATTCAATCCAGGAAATAACACTATAAAGTATGACAGTAATGCCATTAATTTGGCGAAAGTTGACTTGTAAAATAGTATAATTATATAATTATATTATTATTAACATATTTACCCTGAGTCGTATCAAAGGTAGTTTTGGTTGTCTGATGTCTCCAGTGTGCTCACGCTCAGATAGGGCAATCAGTTCTTCCACCTGTGAACAAATATATACCGCTTTACAAATTTATATCTATAGGCAAAAGCCTTATTCTTTTTCTTACAAATGTACGTAACCATGCAATAACAAATTTTGTTTCATGATTTGTATCCCTCGAAGGCCTCAACGTACTATTGCTTAATTAGGATTGGATTTTGCCCTCCTTGTGTATCAAAAAACTATGAGATTAGCTATGTTGGAGTTTTATACTAGTAGCCAGGGGAATACAGGGAAGCCAGGGGAATACAGGGAAGCCAGGGGAATACAGGGAAGCCAGGGAAATACAGGGACGCCAGAGGAGTGCAGGGAGACCAGGGAATACATGGAAACCAGAGGCAACATAGTCAGATACTTTCATACTATACTTCTAGCTATTAGCTTTTTAATCTTCCTTTTCAGCCACCTATCATCTCTCAATGCAACAGTCACTTAGGTAAATTAATTAAGGTGTTGAAAAGCTATAAGCTTTATAGTGCTTTATAGTTCGCTTATACACTGCACTGCATACCAGTTTTGATTTCATCAAAGCCTAATGAGATCAGTAGCAAATTCTAGGACGAATACTTGATACTGCATGAAACTTACAACAATAGACCTTTCTTATATAATGACGTCAAACGCGGAAAGTCTGATGTTACACGAAATTTGATTGGCTACACAAAACTATCGAGCCAATCATACTTGGTGTAACATCATACTTTCCGCGTTTGACGTCATTATGAGAAAGGTCTATTAAATAAATGCTTCACGTTTCTAACAGAATTCAGGCACGTACGTACAATAGAGAGACTGTTGTCTCATGCACGTACAGAGGCACGTACCTGTTCAGCTAAATACTCTTGCGCAGCGGCGTCGTCAAAAGAATCAACATCAGTCTCACTTAATATAACATCTTTTGTGTAAAATGGACGTACTGTCTTTAAGCGAAATTTATCCATACGAAAATTCTTTCCAACAACTCGTAAAATTCCACAGTACCTGTAAAAGGAATGCATTAGATTCTTTAGAGTTAGCCCATATATTTCAAATACCCGGTAGGTTTGAAAGCTAAATCATATTATGAAAAACTTAGTTAAAAGGTTAAAACACCTAAACATGCATGAAAATGTAAACTTGCTTGGAAAATTATCATCAACAGCAGTGGCGTAACCAGCCTGACGATTTTGTACCGCTATGTAAATTTCGTGTTATTATAATTATTCATTTATTTAGAAATTCATTTTTTTCACAGTCAATAAACACCAAAATATTAGGATAGCCGGACAAATCGTCAGGCTGGCTACGCTACTGATCAACAGACTTGCTTACTTCTCTTTAGCTTCTCCCTCACACAACGAAGTTGCGACTGATGAACCAGGTTGACTGATATAAATATCTTTCTCAGATTCCGAATATTGAGGATCAATAAGACATTCATGTTCATGGCCCCAGATTACCAGATCAAGAAAATCGTCAAGAAAATTCTCAGGAATATGATTTTTTGCTCCGTGTTTAGCTCTGAAGAGTGAAGTAAGGAATAGTACAAAAATGAAAAATAACCCTACTTGTAATACCCCCAGTTCTATAAATCTTCAGTTCGTGCGTGTATTTATGTGCCAAAGTAAAACTTCTTCTATAACCTCTAGGACTAAAGTCTCATTTCTACGTCTAGGGACAAGAATGACGTAACCCAAGACATGACTTATTTTGAGTTTTTTCTTTCCCCATTTTGCACATTTATATATGAAGCCCGCAATGGATTGTAGTTAGATCTTCATGCCGCTATCTTTTTCATTCAAACGACTTGAAATGGAAAATGAGGTTCAAAATCTCCGCGTTAACTCCGTGTGAAAACAAGATTTAAAACAAGATGATCCATATATAACCCAGTCACTTCGTGCATTAAGGCTAATAAAGCTAGCAAAAGCTGACTAGGGGCTGATGACTGATTGCACAACCGTACCTGTTTTGATGAAGAACAAAGCAATTGAACCAAGAGTCAGGATCTTCCTTTGGACGAAGCATTTTGACTTTTTTGTTAAGAAATGTTCGATGTAATCTTTCATCGCGTACAGATCCCAGGCCATACAGAGCTAACTTTGTCGTACCCTTTTGCATAAGTATAGGGCTTATAGTAATATCATCTACATTGCTTGCTTTACCAAAATAATTAACAAAACCACTGACACTAAATAGATTAAGTGTACATAAATTCCCATCCTGAAAAATATTAAAAATACTGCTTTAGTCATACATTGGTAACAATATGCTCAAGCCAGTCTTCTATATATAGTTATTATTGCATAACACAGACTGTACTATGCGTAAGCTACATAATTATGTACCGCACGAATGCATTTACACAAAATAATATTTACCCCTGCTGGATCATCATGATTTCCGTGAATTGAGAATATTGGAATAGAGATATTATAGTTAGGATCCTCGTAGTTCACAGTGGGAAAACTAAAATTAAATCAAAGACTGGATATTATAAAACAAGTTAGTTTTTTGTGATAATCTTATTTAACCAGGACATAAAATACATTGTTTAAAAAAGTCGGTAGATTACCTAGATTACCTCTATTACCTGTTGGCTGCAAAATTGATAGATTGATCACTGAGAAATTCCAGGAAACATGGTTGATCTCCCATGCAATATTTTCGTATTATCTCCATTGTCTTATGAACTATTTTTCGAGATGGTTTATTTTCATGGAATAAATCTCCACCAAGCAAAATAAAATCAACCTGATGAAAAGGAAAATTCACAAACCGTATAAATGTGTACTTTACACAACATGATGCAGTGTTTAGGAAAGATTTTCAAAGGCACCTCGAGCTATGCATCATGAATACCAGCATGCAATACTCTTAGGATACGAATACGTTCTTTGTTTAGGATATATGAAAACGAGGCTTCCGGACCAAATGGCGTATTTACCGAAAGAGTGTGATGTATGCGTTTCATGGTGTTTGCAAATTTCTTGTATATTCACTAATGTCTGATAGCCATCTCTACTAAGAGTGTTCACAATATCAGCGAGTCGTCATTCACAATGAACAGATCACAAACAGTCGTAAGCATGAATAAGCCAAGCAACAAGGGCTTTATCGTTTAGTGTGTAAGGAGGATAATCTTAGACCCCTGGCTTAGATTCATTAACCTTTTGAGTGCCTTTGAATAGCGTAACTGAACCGTGAAATTCCGCACATAGCAACTGTACTTCATTTGCAAATATGACGGACAGAAACAAGTAGTTGAGCATACTTTTTTCTCTTTAGCGATTTGTAGTATCTCTTCAAATGTTACCAACGAATCTGATGCTCTCTCTGGGTCTTTTTCCATGTATCCGATGTGATTATCGGTAGCTGAGAGAATAGGCGAGAAAGTCAAATATATATTAAAAAATAATTCTATAACTCAGTAGAGGTAGAAACTTTGGGTTACGCTGGCATTTTCCTCTTCCGCGGAAAATAGAGTCGCCATTAGTGACCCGAAGTCTGCATTTGAAACCAGACTTTTTCAAATTGAAACAAAAATCTTTTAGTTCACAAGGTGGGCATGGCAATCACTTCAAGTAAGTACCCACGCGGCTGCTTCCTGGAAACAGCACAACGAGACGTAACAAAACCTGTAATTTTAAGCATAGTAAAGGTGATAATACTCAACTATCAATAAAACTAAGGAATTAGAATTTCAATATTTTGAATTGAAAATTGTCACTCTGGGCATACAACAGTTAATTTCTTCTTTGTGTTAAACGTTTCAAAAAAAACACGGGTGCAACGCGTAAGCTACAGGCACAGTATTGGAAATCTGATATTATTCTAGCTGTCTAGATGTCAACCCATATGCCACAGGAATGTGATGTAAATATCACTAGAGATGACTTGCAGGTTTTAGAAATATTAAATATTAGTCTATGAATATAAAATTTGTGGCACATAAGGAGAAAAAAAATATTTAAAAAATTTTTAAAATATTAAAAATTGCTCTAAAGTCTCTTATGAAATGGAATTAGATTGTACATACCAACAAGAATAGACATTGTATTCTCATGATCAAGATCCTCATCATTAATTGACCTAAAATTATAACATGATTGGTTTCAATAAATATTTTTTCATTCTTTACAATGTATATACTAACTAAACCTCAACTAAAGTGATTTTCTTATCTTAAGCCAGTGATTGAGTCATGCTCGTCTGTCATGTTTGCATGATGATCTTCTTAGCTTTTAAACAAGAGGGCTTTCAAGCAGATTATCAACTTTAGGATTATTCCATGATTTTATGATCAACCATAAACAACATTATTTTTTCATTTTTAACTTTTGACCACTATATTTTTTAAGATAATGCACTCTGGGGTATATTCTATATATACTACCACATTCAGATTGGGTTTCTATGATAGCATATTTTCCAGTTAGGTTCAATTGAAATTAGGCATAGTGATGGGAGAAGGTTGGTTATTTACTGAATGATGTGTTCGCTTTGTTCTTGGTAGCAAAGTTGCAGAATTTTATATCATTTGCTCACATTTTATATCATTTGGGCATCATAATTTTCAAAACATGTATTTCACTTTTCTTGAGGCTGACCTCACTTAAATTACTGATTCAAATGCTCCATGAGAATTAATAGCATTAGAGCAAGGCGAGATTGAAACAGGAAGACAGTGAGACAACTTTCTATCCCAACATGTCAGGTTGTTGATAGTTGATACGGATATGTTGACCACTCAAAGCAATATAGCATGCAATTAATTCTCAAGACCTTTGGCATTCATTTTACAACATTTTAACTCTTTGTAATTTTATTGTAACTTTGACCATTGTTTATTGTATTGTACCAACAGTCAACAATGAATGTAGCATGAGTATGCATCCAGAAGTGGGCTATAATATTGTACCCCCCTCTCAAAGCTGAACTACTATGGTCTGGAATTCCTCAGGAATTTGAATTTCAGAAATGATGGAAATTATGCAGTCAGGCTCAGAGCCTCTGAGGCAGCTAAATTATGGTCAGGAATTAAAAAACAGTGTACATAGAAAGGCGTCAAGGGTCAGATGCTAATTTATGGTAAACTTCCACAATGAAACAATACACAAGATACTAAATAGTTATAGATACCTTTGACTTGCTCTATCTTCTTTATCCTCCATGATCTAGACATGCATAATAATTTTGGATTTTTGGAACAAAGCACTGAACTGTGAATTTGGAATTAACTGGATAGTCTATCATTTCGTAAAATTCTCGGCTCAAGTTCGGGACATAATCGGTTGCTATGTTTGCTGGGGGTAGCCACATGCAAGGCCGCCGCCATATTGCAAATCGATTTTTAAACAGAAAATTTTTGAAAAAAGCTTGTAGACTGCTGGATAAGTCTTTGGCTCATCGGGTCGTGTAGAAGATATCGGAGTTTAGAATTTTTGAAAACTAGAAAGCTATCAATGTCTTGAAAATGATGTAATCTTTTTTCGTGGGTTTGTTATTTGACAAGACACACAGTTCCAATCTCTTTCCCTGTCGCCTTTCTGATTGCTATGATGTTTATAACGACAAGAGATGTAAAGAACCTTTAAAGAAAGGCTACTGTTGGCAATCTCTTACCCGAAGATTTTATTTAAAATGAGCGGTAGGCCTCGTACAACGTCGTTAGCAGAAACCGGGAAATCTCAGGGTTCTTCTTTTGGCGGCGTTAAAGTTAGCCGTAAGTATGCGTTTAAAAAAGGTACTTCAATTTGGATTCAATATATAATCTGTACATTCCAATTCGAAAAAATATATCTTGAAACTGCCTGTCATGAACTGAATATGATTTTCACCGGTTTTATTGTCCATAAAGGTGACAAAGATGGTGGTAAAGTGACTACAGTCATTGCAACGTCAGGTTCATTGCCTGATCGGACTCAAGAAATCAGCTATGCCGACACGAAAGTTATTGGAAATGGATCCTTTGGTGTTGTATATCAGGCACGATTATGCGAGGGTGATCAGCCTGTCGCAATCAAAAAAGTTTTACAAGATAAAAGATTTAAGGTACAAGCAAATTTTACCTTCCCAAACACAAATCGAGGCAGCTGGTATTATTTGCCAAAATGCGTCTTCGCTGCATAATTCTTTATAACTCACAAATCCGCAATTCATGTTTTTTCTACAGAACAGAGAACTTCAAATTATGAGAAAACTGGACCATTGTAACATTGTCAAACTGAAGTATTTCTTTTATTCAAGTGGCGAAAAGGTATGGATACGCTCACTTAAATAGCTAATAAAACATACACAGTTTATTTTAAAATTAATCTCGTTCGAGAGTTAAATATTTTTGTTTGTGGGGGAAACTCAATTAACAATGATTTAACAAGGCAAATTTTGGTGTATTCTACAAGTTTGGAAGCTGTTTTGACCATTTTTTTGTTAATGAATAATATTATTTCGGGGCTTTGCGGTGTTAGACAGTGGTTCGATCCTTCCCACATCAACAGGTCTGTGGTTGCCTGGAGAACGATATTCACACAAATGAATATGGTTGCTTCCACAATATATAGTTTCATAGTTTTAAAATACAACTACATACTTCTCCACATTTAAACTTCTGTTGAAAAAAAAATGGATTTCCTTGGATTCCATTTTCAGATTGGTCTTTAAACTGAAGCAGTAGTTGAATACTTATATTTGGAAATTACATTGTTGACATTTTCAACCTCTATTAACTGTAATCACTTCAGTTCAAAAGATTTATTGAAAGATGTGCAAAATCAACAGTTATTTTAATACATACAGCATGTATTGAATATTATATTTTCATGGTATAATTGAAATCCAGTGCAAAAGATGAGTTCTGTTTGTCATTTCTGCATTGCTCTAATATCTTTATTTTCCATAAAAGGAATGTATGTAACTTCACTGGTTCATCCTAATATTGCATTGCATAATTTTATACATTAATACAGTATAGTTTGTCATATTGCAATTAAAAAATTTCAAATCTTTATAAACCATGTAGATATAATCATCCAACTGTTTCACTTGGTTTATCATTAATCTTATTTTATAAATTTTTACCAGTAATCAATGCATACATGCATGTACAAGTGCCCCTTTGAACATTGTGTGTTCCACTAAAGTATAATGCCAAAAGAGTGCTACAGGTGAATTGTTTGACCTTGACCTGTTTATGGTTTTTGTGGCAAGACATTTTGTGGTTCACTTTAGTTAGCCATAGACTAATGTAAAAACTAGAATCTTCAAAAAAGGTCCTACCAATTTTAACTGATGAATAGAGTAATATTGGGATGATCTCAAATGCTTAAACTAGCTTCAGTCCCGAACATGATGTAGAGCTAATTTTTTAAAAGTTATGAAATTCCCTTATCTTGCTTCTACATGCTTGCATTCATAAATTTGCAACCTTTGTACATAAAGTAAGGTTTGACAAAATGTTTGTATATAACTTAAGCAGAACAAAATAGCCATGATATTATCATCACTGCTAAACTAAATCAGAACAGTGTACAACTTCCCATGTATATTTGTGCCCCTTCAAATTATTGATGCCAATTTTGCATCCTTGGAAATTTATGGTTTCTACAAGACCATTAGTTATGGTGGTGGCATTAGTTATGACATCTAATGTTGTTAAATAATAGATAAAGATTTCACTCTTAAATGCCATATGTACTCAAGACTAGTAAAAATGGAGCATTTTCTGCAATGACACAATGTTTGATTGTTCTTTTAGAGAGAGGAAATTTATTTGAATTTGGTGTTAGAATTTGTCCCAGAAACTGTGTATCGAGTTGCAAGGCATTACAGTAAATCAAAACAGACTATTCCTTTAGTTCATGTCAAGGTATTTGCTCAATAGTAATTTGCCTATTGTGTGATGCACCCTGATTGTGAAACTTCACAATCACAATTGTGAAACTGCCTGTTGTGAAACTTGTGAAATCTTTCATTTCCAAACACAAACCTTTGATTCCAAACACAGACGAATAATTTTTTCTCAAAAGAAAAAACAAAGTCATTCTAATAATCTGATTGTAAATACCTTTCATAATTTTTGCATAGAAGAGCCATTCAGCCAAGAGTGTGAGAAAAATACCTAATAAATAAAAAGTACAATTTTATTTATTATGCAAAAAAAGTATATTGTATCAATGTTTCTTTTAGCTCTACATGTATCAGCTGTTTCGTTCATTAGCCTACATCCACTCACTTGGAATCTGTCATAGAGATATCAAACCTCAAAATTTGTTGCTAGATCCAGATACGGCAGTCCTAAAACTATGTGACTTTGGAAGGTAAGATGTGTTTTAAGGGTGAATATTTATGTACCTGTTAAGCTTCTTTCTCACCTTAGGCTTTAAACTTTGACTTAAACCATTTTTGTTTTCTACTTAGTGCAAAGGTTCTTGTGAAAGGCGAGCCAAATGTGGCCTATATTTGTTCTCGATACTACCGTGCACCAGAACTGATATTTGGGGCAACAGATTACACCTCAAATATAGGTAGTGTGTTTAAAAATGTGTTTAGCATATCACACTTGCATTCTTACATAGCAGTCAATATTAAATATTGTTCGATTTTGTTAAGATGTTTTGAGACCATTTTTTACCTTGGTTTCTATTCCTTTTGATTATTAGGTATTAGGTGGTTTAGTGCACTGGGAGCAACAATTCGTTATCCTTTTTCAACATCTTGTTCGTTTGTGTTGTAGATGTTTGGTCAGCAGGGTGCGTCTTAGCTGAACTTTTGCTTGGACAGCCAATATTTCCTGGTGATAGTGGTGTTGATCAACTTGTAGAAATAATTAAAGTTCTTGGAACACCTAACAAAGAACAAATTAAAGAGATGAATCCTCACTATACAGAATTTAAATTTCCTCAAATTAAACCTCATCCATGGAGCAAGGTATGTGAATGTTTGATTACTGTTTTGGATAAAGACTAAGTTTCTCAAGGGCCACTAGTTTATCAGTATTTATATACTGTCAGGTGTTACCCTCTTTAAATAAAGTCACTCACTCACTCACTCACTCACTCAATTGATCATCATTCAAGAGATGTAAAATTATGGTTTAAATTATTAAATGTAGACTAGTGTGAACAAGGTTTAACAACACTTGTATTATGGTAACAACTAAAATCCCCAAATAATTATCATACCCATCTAATACTACATAATTACATAGGTATTCCGTCCCCGAGTCCCTCCAGAAGCGACGTTACTTTGCAGTAAACTACTCGAATACACTCCATCAAGACGAATGTCGCCAGTTGAGGCATGTGCGCACAATTTCTTCGCCGAGCTTAGAGATGCGAACACAAGATTACCAAATGGTAGAGAGCTACCTCCTTTGTTTAACTTTAGTTCCGCAGGTACGTACAATTTACACAGCGTGTGCATGAATGCATTCATTGAATTATGAATATTGCTCAAATACCAAGGTTTTAAAACATTGAGTAAAATATATTACAATGTACACAACCAGTATACGTGACTAAAAAAAGCGACAAGAAAACATTAATTGCATTTCAACCTGTCGTTCTTTGCTGTTCTTCAAAGGACGACTATTCTCTTCTATACAAACACGATCGTACGTACTGTGTATTGGTAAAATCTACATCCGCTATCTTTCCCGTAAACGTGCAATCAATATGCAAATCATAGTGAATCATTTACGTTCCTTGTGTTTTTAAGAACTTGCTATCAAGCCAGCTCTTAATGCTACTCTAATCCCATCTCATGCCAAGAATGCCGCGACAGCTACGAACAGTTCGACAGATTCCCCTACATCCAGCACGAGTAGTACCGCTTTAATGGATGGTGGTACATCTTCTTCAGTCGCTACTGCTGCGTCGTAACAAAACAACTAGACGAATAGTAACTAATAGTAAACTACTCATCGAATGTATTTTTTTCTTATCTTTCCATCTATTTTTAATTGTCGGGGATGCGTGTTGGCGCTATGCGCTTCATCTTAAGTCATGATTTCGGTAACGTAAGCAGAGAAACCAGTTCATCGCTCAACGTTGTACGTGAGCAGATTGTACAGCTCTTTGTAAGAGAACCCTCTGCGATACATGTAAAAGAAAATAATACTTTTAAAAGTGGGAAATGTGTAATTTTAACATAGAGTCTTTTAAACTAGTTACAAGGGATTTTCATCGGCAGTGTTTTAGACTTAAAATTTTCATACATTATGTCTCACAGAGTGACATAAAGGCTAGTGTAAATTATTTAAACGGGACAAACAGTATAAATATCATGTGATATTTAAATTTCTTGTAAAATACTTTGCATAGATTTTTACTAGTAGCTGTATCATTTGCCGATGTGTAATGTGAAATGAGACAAAATTAATTCTTGTACAGTGTAATAAGAACTTCTCGAACAAAATCTGTCTTTGTATGTTGATGTTAGAGAGCACCATAACTTAAGCCCGTTTTCCACTAGGCGAATCTATTCGCGCGACGCGAAGCGATTTCTGAAATCCGGTGATGTGATTAGTTTGCGAGAGAATTCGCCGCGAAAAAGTAGAATCGCTTTCCACTTTTTATCTGTTCGCACGAATAAATTCGCCTAGTGGAGAACGGGCTTTATGCCCTGTTGAAGGTGATCATTGATTGTACAATGATTTACCAATCATAACAAATTAATTTTCGCCCAGATGAGATTAGATTGTACCCCCCTTTTGGTACAATCTCCTGCGCGCTTAGTCTTTACGGTTTATTGTTCGGACGCGTTAGTAGGACACCCGTTTATTGTAATGACATGTTTATATGTACCCATTTACCGCCTCTCTAATTAAACGTCTAAGGTTCTTATACACACTTGCATTTACAAACGGAATATCTGTTCTTTGATAAAGTTTGTGCTCACTACACTATTTTACTTGACCAATCTATATATACCATCGAAGCTTTCCCGACTGAACAATATATAGTCTCTCACAACCAAGACTGAACACAAGCTATAATTTTACGGGGTTTCCATATTATGTGAGCTTGCTTTACTACACTTTACAGATATACTCCCGCTGGAGCTATTCTGGGCCTGCTGGCTAATGTTGAACTAAATATATAGTGCACACATATTGAATTGGCAGTCCACATTAGCTTATTATTAAAACTTATAGTTACAATTCGCTTTGTTTCTGGCGGTACTAATAAGTGATTTGCATGAACGAGGCTTAGTCGTTCCGACCTTAATTTCTGTCATATCGCAGCCGGGAGATCCGGCAGTAAAAAAAAACATGAGTATTAAACTCATGCATTAATAATGAATACGCGTCGAAACATTTCTAATTGGTCCAAATTCTAGGTAATTTTAATTATTTTATGGAGGTTTAGGATATAAGCTGTATATTTCAATCACGTATTAGGAATACATTTCCTTTTTTAATTGTACGGTATATATAATAATACGGTATTTGCATGCTTCGACAATATTTCAAAACATAAACGTCATGTTATGAATGCACCTGCGCGCAAGATGCAATTTATTAGGCTTCAGCCAGGTGCACAAGCGACGATTTTTTACATCAGTGGCCTTTTATGTTCGAGTATATGGTATTTGACAAAGGTCATTGTGAAGGAAAGATAATGAATTTTCCGAAAAATCATCGAGGTTTAGTCGACTTACCTTGATTTAAATAAACACTACAGAAAACTCTAAACCGGAATGATTATCGTACCACTTAATAAAAATCTAGATTCACATATGACTGAGGCATGCCGACCGCTGCCGACGTTATATTTTTCATATGTTGATACATAAATATATTTTTTTCAAAGTTATCCGATTCGACTGAACAGCCGAATGTCAGTGTATCTGGCCTGACATGCGCATGACGGTTGGCGACATCGGCAAACGCCTAGACTTACTTCGAACTCTTCCAGTATCTACTGCTAGTTCATAGTTTAATACTCGCCCATTGCATTTGCGCTCTGAATCCAGTAGCAGTAAACTACCCATACAGTTGTCCCGTCGATCCCAAAACACCCAGCATGGTCAAACATTACATGGTGATTTATAAATGTGTCGTGTGTTGTAGCAAGTTCTCTTGCCTGCATGATTCAAATCGGGTAAAACGGGGCTATACTTATAACGCCAGGGAATGTAATTTTATTTCAGAACATAGCCAATACATCCATACATGCAGTAAAATTATTTTCATTAATATTTCAAGGCTGTACTAATACTGCGGCGTTTTTGAGGCACGCTGTGCACACCGGCATATATATTAACTAGTTAAGCGATTCATTCATGCGCCATTCTAAATTATTCATGGAAGCTAGATCAATAAAAGGTTATTATATGTATTTTTACACGCAAAATATTAACGGACAGATGTTAGACTGCTCTTAAGTCAAATTTTATATAACCAAATATACATCAAGACGTCCGCATGCTCATTTTCTCTAAGGACAATGTCGTCAAAACAGGTCTGTTCAAGTGACATCGAAACCAACCAACAACGACAAGACTTCCACGTGCCTCAAGAGTTCCAAGATCATTTGGAAGATCTGGTGTATGAAATACTCAAAGAAAAACCAAGTGATCTACTTGACTACGCGTTTCATTTCTTTTCAAAAAGGCTTAAGACTCGTGAAGGTAAACAGGGTGTTTAAATTTTCACTCATGCGTGCATTATTTCTACTCAATATCTCAAAAGTAGTATTATTAGCATGATCAGTCTTTTAAGCGATATCACCCCGTCCTTTCGGTAATCTATACTCAATAATCACTAACCGCTGTAGTTACATACCTTGATTATAAATCCAATTCAAATCCCTAAACAATTATTCCATAGTATAGCTATATATACTAGAAATAGCTATTGCAATCATAAATGCAATTTCTATAAACATGAATGCAACTATCCGATGAATGCAACATCTAAGCATGAATGCAATTTCTTTAAACCATGGATAATAAAATCACGGATAATAAAGTCTTTTAAGTTTTAACTATCCATGTTTAAACTATGACAAAACCATTTTTTGGAACAGACTTTAATCAAGCATCTGCTTGGTTTCCAACTTTTCCCACGCTTTTTTCGCTGTTTTCCCGTTTTGTTGCTCTTCGTTATGTAGCGTTTGTTTTATCAATTTGCTAATAAAAGCTGTATTAAAACTTTTGTACGCAAAATACAGAGAACCTCATGCGAAAATATTTCGATATTTTGCTGTCGTCACTCGTCATTATAGGATGATTTTTACTCAGAGACAGAGTAGACCTAAATTCGCCGAGGTTATTAACAATTTGATTGGCTTATATCATTTACTATAGTGTGAAGCAAGTTTTAAAATTTGATATAATTATATAACGTCTTTCTTTATGACCAAAGGCAAAGCTTACAAGCCAGGCGCCCATGCATGATAATTAAAAAATTGGCTCATATATTGCACACATTTTTTCGGGCAGAAAATTCAAGTAAAGCTGGGCGGAATCCCGAGGCACTACAGCCGACCCGTTACCTCAGAACTAAAGCCTGTTTTCTACTTAATTGTGCATGACGTAGAATTTATTACTTTGAAACAACGGAACACGCTACATTTCGCTACGACACGGTCGAGATGGAAAACAGGCCTAACATATAATTGAGTTGGCTGAATTGCTATATTATAATATATTTCCCAGTTTAGCTGCTTAACTTCCATTTCCTTCCGGCAGTAGACTATCGCCTGTATTCTAAAAGCTCACTCGCACTCAAACTCATTAGGTGGGCGATCTTAATCTTCTCATAAAGTTTCCATGGCGGTATTTCCAGTCGAATAGGGGCTTGATTTAGCTTTATTAGAGACGGAAAGCTTCAGTTATTAATTTTTAATCTTTTTTCACGAAATGCCAGAGTCAAAGATTGCAGAATCTGGAACTGATGAGATGAAAACAACAACGACGTCAACTTCGAAATTGATCCCAAAACAAAAACGTTTTTCAGAAGATGTACGTATATACTATGGTTAATTTGCAGTATTTAAGGGGATACCAATGATGCATGCAAAACCTCCAAAAGTGGGAACGAGATTTTGGTAAAAGTTCCGGCAAAAATCCCATAGTATAATCCTATTCTTCAATTTTTTCAATTTCTATATGGTTCGGATTATCAAAAATGTTTTGACAGTGATGTGCAATGTCAAATTCGTCAAGTGAACGAGGTTATTGGAGACTAGTGACGATACACCCCTAAAAAAACCTAGTTGCCAATTGCCATTTAGTAATGTCGGCTAATCGATGACCGCGCACTCTATTTTGCGCTCTATTATAATAAATCAATGCATGGTCTGTTCAGAGTATCCAGTCTTGTTGGATCCAATTCACGTCTGACGTATGGAATGTATTATGTCTGTTATTGATAAAGCAGTCTTCGTGATATGCAAATGCAAGTCAACAGACTATCGTCCATCAGAAGTGAATTGGATCTAATAAAATTGAATTGCGCAAACAGACTTTAAAATCAAGTGTTGCTTGCCTTGCAACATTAACGTACGCCTAAATTTGCTGTTAAACCACATACTTGGCATGGAAAGGGAGTTATTTTCAAATCAATTTATCGATCTTGACCGTAAATAACTCCCACTACTGATATAGCTTATCCGTTCAGTACAGAGTATACTATGTGGAATATAGTAGTAACAAACGAACACCGTTTTGATGTGTCCACCAACATGCCTATTCATGTGCATGGGAGTTCGAATCGCGCAAGAGATATAAAACTGCAGAGTTCGAATCGCGCAATACTGCCAATAGATATAAAACTGCATCCAGTTGAACACAAGGGAATTTTCTGATTGGCCAGTTATAAATTCGCAGCCAGCAAATTTCCATACAAATAAGCATCAGGTTTATTGTCACCAAGCTAATATTTTAAAAGCCTGAATAATTGGGCGTCGTATTCGTATTTAAGACAGTAGATAAAATGATATGTTAACGAGGCTTATAATCCTGCAAACATAATATCTGCAAACCCCTAGGTCACACTGGCACGCTCGTAAGACGTAATATTCGCGAAGGTAACGTTCAGTGGGACTGGGTGTCGACGACGAATACTTAAATACTTCCCTGATAAAATAACCAAACCCTTTAAAACTGATAAATTGCATATGGATTTCATTCAGTTTTATAATTTTCTCTTCTTAGAAAAGTCAAGATTATCGAGAAGTAGCTATAGAAACCCAATCAAAAGCACAAGCGAGAAAAATAACAGAAACACAAGCTGCAACAATTATTCAAGCTTATTTTCGTGGTTATAATGTTCGACAGAATCGGTGGAGGAGACGTTACTTGAAAATATCATTAAACTATAATGATCACTTGAGTGTGAGACGTGATTTAATTTCACCAAGAGGAAGTTTCTCGCTTTGTTGGCCTGAGGCTGAAAATATATTAGCAATAGCTGCTAACTATGATAGCGAGGAGAGCGTTGATCTCGATAGTTAAATATAGATTATCGTAAATATATAAACATATTCTAAATACTTTAAATAAATGTTTGTATAAAGAATGGAAAAAGAGAAATTGGCTTACCCTGGTATGAGGATGATGAAAAATGATGATGCATGGATGAGTGGATGATGAAAGAGCTTTGAAGAGGGAATTGGGAACGAACGGTCATTCGTAAAAAGAAAAGTGTTTGTAAACAACGCAAAGAATGTAGACAAGAAAATAAACGACGCAGGTTGAAAATATAATACTAATATTAAGAATATAATTTCATGTAGTACTTCAAGTTCTGTGTTCATCCTTCGTTTCTGAGTACATAATTATTCATTCCAGTGGTTTAATATGGTTTGTCCTTTAATATAAACAGTACTAAGTGTATAACATTCAAGATACATATAAACATCACAGCACATTTATCTTGTGGGAGAAATAATATTTGCGTTGTTCTTGTAAGTATGTCTACTGCGTATTGAGTTTGGCTTAAGAAAAACATATTGATTAATCCTATATTATGGTTGATCGATTAAGTCGGTATAAAATGTCCATACAATATTTCCTTGCCAGGCTTGTCTTGTTTGAATGTCATGTTGTTTATACCTATTCCCTGTGAATTGCTGTTTTGTAAATTCCTTAAGATATTGAATTGGCAGAGTGGCCAAATGTGAGTCAACTGTATATCTTGTGATTTTTAGGAGAAAATGTTGATATTTATTTTTAGGTGTATGAAGTCACAACAAAATCTGAAAGATGGAAGCCTTCCAGTTTTTGTTTTTCCAGAATCACTCACATTTATTGCTGATGACCAAACTACATTTAAGCAAATATTGACTGTTTACAATCCCTACAAATTTTCTGTTCAATTCAAAGGTTTAGTATATGTTCTAATTTGTCATCAATCTGCAGTTGGATCTGCTCCTAATGCATATAGTGATTAATGTTTTGTATGTTTGTGTTAACACACCAAGGCTTTGCACATGAACAACAGAGCGAGCAGGGGGTACCAAGGGCCTCCACTTTTTCCTTGGACAAAAAATTATTCGATAAAATTTTCCATAGAGTGCCCCCCCCACACACTAAAAACAGGCACCAAGGCTTCTGTTACATTTAACATTAACTGATTTAGTGTTTGGAACTGCACCACGTTGTTACAAAGTAACAGAAGCTGAAGGAATAATAAAACCTCGATGCTATGTAGATGTGTGGGTATTATGTTTTCACATTTTATTTTCCTCATGTTGCTTCAAATGTTAGGGCCGATTCATGTTGAAATCTTTATAGTAATTCGAATACTCTTTATAGTGTAATACGCTGTGTTGAAATATCTAATTTGACTGAAAGAACAGACAAATTTCGTCTTTGCTTGTTTGAGTATGGAGTGCGGAAACATATTGGAGAAAAAGAGATAACTGCTTTAGTGCTAAAAACCAGATCAAACGCTGAGGTGAGAGTAATTGTATAAGTATACATTTGCCAATAGTGCACTATAGGATGTGCCAAAGCTATGATATTAATGTGAAGACTAAGAATGAAGATTAACTAAGAATGGAGTACCCAATTTGTTTTAGCATTTTTTTTGTGTTCTTTTTTGTGGTTTAGAAACAATCTAAAAGTAAAATAACAGAGAAATCGTTTAGAAGGCAACATCTTAAAGGTTGGTTTAACTGCGTTTATATCCAGTTAGAGAGTAAAAGATGAAGTAATCTTGTGGTTGTAACCTTTATTTATTTTAGTTCTTACAGAAGATGTAAAAAGTGGTCCTGGGGTAATGGTGATAAGTCTTTGTTGTGTATGTCTTATTGCCCTCATGTTACCAACTGTTGGTGAGACCACATCCATACCACCATATTTACATTTGACAGTTAATCAAAAACTGATTGCTGCCTATATTTTAGGTAATGATAATCTTTGATATTTTATTATTCAAGCTAACAGTATGTGAATTGATTCAATTTTGCACCCTCTTTATTTATCTGTTAACATAAACTATAAGGGGTAACATTGAAAAGTTGCGAGGAACTAAAGGGGTAGCCACTATGAATTACAGAAAGCAAAAAATGACCTTCATTATGCTCATTTCAACTGGAATATATTATATCCTCACAACTGATGGACCATTTTTAAATGATATTTTATGAATGAAACTATTTTTTATAATTTCAGGATTAGCAACAATGGCAATTCTTAAAACAAGCTAAAAGGGTGTATATAAATGAGGTCCAAATGTCTAGAAAATTATGATATAGATCATTGTAGATAGTAAATTTATGGGTATTTTAAGTTTTTTTTAACAAATTTTTACCACTGAAGTTGTGTTCATAGTTCAGTGAAATACTTATACCAGGAGACTCCAAACTAAACCCTGTTAATCTAGATAGATATTTAATGTGTAATAAAAATCATTTAAATAAAATTAGGTGAATTTTTTTGAACCTAGAGCTGCTGTTTGAAGACTTTTGGGGAATGAAGTGTGATGTAAAGCCTGCTTGTGTGTTTAACCCTCTAACTATCGCCTCTGTTTTTTAACTTGACCAGAATTTTTGTGCACATAAACTTCAAAGTTAATATAACCTAAATTATTCTTATTTCGTCAATTACGAGCAGGACTCTAATCATCCGTTTGAGCAAGTTTGACCAAAATGCATGTATAGTTGATTTAGTTGAACTAAACTTTATTTTTTTCTATTGCCGACAGTGAACACTATACAAAAACTTCATAATAAAAAAATAAAACCCTATACTACACTGGAAATATATTATTACAAATAAAGAATATCAAAGAATAACCCCTCATTATATAGTCCTAACGGTGTTCAATACGGCGCAGAGCAAGTAGCGAACACGACTGAAAGTCTGAAACTGGAAGAAAACCTGTGCCAATACAGACAGAATGGTGGATCTTTATATTTCTAGTTTCGTATGGACGTTTTCACGCTAGTATTTAATCATCCGACTTGACTGCAGTATCTTAGTTGTTCTGCACCAGTCCAGATGGTTCAGTTACGCTTGTGGGTATATGTATGCAGTATGCATATAAGATCCTATATACTAGATGCGATCTCTAACTTCATCCCGTTATTGGTATAATGTATTGCATATATATATATATATATATATATATGTATATATATATGAAAGCGCTATGATGTATTATATACACGATTTTATGTCTCTGTATGGACCATGGTCCTCCCGGTAGCAAAGAGAGGAGGATTAATGGTCACACTCTTGGTACAATCATCAGTTTTGAAAATACCCACAAGTCGATCTGCCAGTTCGAACATGTTGTTTCGTAAACTGATTATAATAAACTGCGCGTTCTTTGTTCGCTCCTAGACAACATGGAAATAACAATAACAATAGATCAACAATGTCGCAAAAACCCTTATGTATCCTATACTGTGTTAGGTACGTCACGAATACGTTTTTGGCCTTCAGATCTCACCCTCGATGGTGATTGACCCACAGCGCAGGGAAAATTGCTGAAAATGTTGTTTTTTAGTAATCCAAATGCATACCTTGATGTAATGAGCAACAATAGAGACGTTTCGAAAATCAAGAGCAGCGTCTATTTCATCCATAACATAGAGCGGTGTGGGTTTGAAATGATGAAGAGCAAACACCTATGACAGGAATATCTCAGTTATTATGCTTAATATTAATTTTTATCGTTGTCCAGGGCCTTTTCATGCAAGTGCTATTCTCTAGCTCTCGCACTGTGTTTCTGGTCGATACACTTCAAAACCGGCCCCAGGTGAATACATCTCAAAACCAGCAACATAACAACGTAACAAATACTTACAAGAGCCAATGAACTGAGTGTTTTCTCGCCTCCGGAGAGATTGGAAATATTTTTCCAGCTCTTCTTCGGGGGCCGTACACTAAACACGACTCCCTCTGTAAATGGATCTAAACTATCTACGAGTTCCAACTCTGCATCGCCCCCAAGTGTGATCATCTGGGAAGAAAATAATATTAGAGCCATTGGTTCAAAACATGTATATACGGAATAGATTCTGCTTTGGCCAAACACGCCATAAAGACGAGTAAAACTACATTGCTTAAAACATATACCTGGTACATTTCTTTGAGTTTCATTGTGATGATAGAAAAGCCTTCCATAAATTCATTCAGTCTTTTTGTTCTTAAAGCTTCATATTCTTTGCGTTTGTTGTCTCTGTCCTCTGTGATCTTATCCAATTCGTTTACTCGTTGTAAATATTGTTCTTCCTGTTTTAGAAAAAATAGAGCTACGGACGTGAAGTTCTAAATTTCATGGCGCGTTTTCTAAATTGAGCGTTTTCTTAAAGTAAAAAAGAGGCGTGGCTATATAGAAACGATTAACTGTATCTATGAGATCTCATTAATATAAAGGAACGAATATTTTTTATCATGATACAACATTGAAAGATGAATAAAAAGATCGATAAACTGTTTAACGTGATCAAGTTACAGAACGGGAGGGCATTCGTAAAACGTGGACTGGACTATAGATTGGAACGCCGATACTTGCTAAATATAGTGAATCAAGAATTATGTTTTCCAATTAATATAATACCTTTTTGCGATACTCTTCAATAGCTGCCATGTTCGGCTTCATTTCTCGTAATTTCTCTTCGAGCGTTTCAATTTCGTTCTATTGAACATTGAACAGTAATGCTTAGTAAATTTTTTTGACATTGGCCGTTTTCACACAAGGAAGGAAACATGCTGTATACCAAAACATTTATAATATAGGCAAAAAGGGATGGCAGTGTATCCTGGAATAGTACCAAAAACCATAAGATATATTTCGTATACCTTTATCGCTGTTTTATCAAGGGTTTGCAATTCTTCTTCATTTAATGTTTGTAATGCCATTTCCTCTTCACTGCTTAGGCCAGTTGACTGTAGTTCCAGTTTACTTATCTGAATGCGAAAAAAACTGAACTTGCAAAAAAGGTAAAACTTGAAAAACTAAATAAAATGGTATTACACCTTGTTTGCACGTGCACAATTGTTCTTCCGTTATTTTAGTTGGCAAATGTTGAAGAGATGTAAGCAATGATATATCCTTCTAACCTCTCTTCTCCAAAATTTGATCTTGGCTTCATTTTCCTTCACTTGTGTATTACATTTTTCCAAATCGTTCTTTACATCCACTTCCTCGCTTTTCATTTTGTTAAATTCTTCTTCTCGTTGTTGATATTCCTCTCGAACTGCTGACAGAGCCTCTTCACATTCTTTCATTTTAGCCTGTTGTCGATCAAAGCACTTACTTACACTTACAAGTTACTTATAACAATAGACCTTTTTCATAATGACGTCAAACGCGGAAAGTCTGATGTTAGACGAAGTTTGATTGGCTCGATAGTTTTGTGTAGCCAATCAAATTTCGTGTAACATCATACTTTTCACGTTTGACGTCATTATAAGAAAGTTCTATTGTTAACACAGACGTAACTGATCTAAATTTCCGATTTTTCTTCCAGTAATTGCAACATGATGGATACCCCACCTGGGCGTCGTTATAACTTGCAAATACTTTAGCTGCATTTTCATCAAGTTCGTTGAATTCTTTCTATAAAGTGGAGAAAAGAACTATTCAAAATCAAATGATTGGAAATCGGCAGCAATTGACCATTGCAAAGGTTGCTCATGCATGAGCTCACGTTTAGGAACAAGGACAGATTAAATCCTCCTCTATATCAAGTCTATAATGAGTATAATCGATGAAATAACCCTAGAAATTCTTAACCTCGTACCCAGGGCATTTTGCTTCCACATTGGGGCAAAATGCCCTGGGTCTCGTTGAAAATTCTTAAAACATCCTACACATACAGCGTCGCAAAGGCGTAGGTTCAATTCCTGACCGAGGGACGGTAGTTGACACATCTCAGCTTTTCCTACATGGCTTGAATTTGATGTGCGTGATTTCCACGAGAAATGAAGACTCAAACTGACCTTACACTAGTAACTCATGTATGCCTCACCTGCAGTGTTTCCAATGATTCTTTATTTTCTTCAATTTCCTTTTCCAACGATTTTATTTTTTCTTCTGACTTTGTTATATTTCTGAACAACAATAGTAAACAGACATAGTATATACGACATCGTCACTGTATCGTCAGTGATGATAAATACATGCAATCAAACAATTTTAATTAGTAAGGCACAGACTTATTTGAGCAATACGTCAAATCTTTTTTGCGTGGACGAATATTTTAAAGAGAATCTATGTGATATTGTGCCAACACAGCAGATCGTAATGTTATGACACAATATAACAATTCTCTAGAGAGAATCTAACCTTGAGGACGACTTCAGCGCTACGTTTGTCTTTGTTATTTCCCGAGTGATTTCGTCAATGCCTTTATTAAAAATGTCAACCTTGGCCTAAATATAGAACACGTTATTGATGTGAAGACAACTGTAATGTAATGTTCTATATATTGAAATAGAAAATCACAGATAACTAGTAACCGCTCTAATGCTGAATATAAGTGGGGGGGGGGTTTGCTCAGGGTTTATCGGTTTCCTAGAATTCCGAAGAGGATTGGTCCACCTTCGATTGTTCGAACGTATTTGTGTCTCTTAGAATAAGCTACCTGTTGTGCCTTTAGTTTTGATCCGCCAATATCCATGATTTGTTTGTGAAGACTAAAAACATCATATTTAATAATTACTTTGACACGAAATACGAGAGTAATAGTCGCTGTATGTTACCAAGCGCCGTATCTCTACCTTTGGACTTCGGCTTCCACTTTGGCAGAGGCTGAAGACACCTTTTGCCATTCTAAGTGAGGAGAATACAGAATGCAAAAAAGTTTACCAATTACCAGTAAGTTCAAAAATTTGTTAGTTTTTCAACATTATTTTTAAATCTTGAAATATCTCCCATGCAAGCCGCTCATGCTAACGAAAAGATGAGGGGAAATGAGGAAACAGGTTTGGTATGTACGTTAATGTGACGGCTTGCGCAATCTACTAGGCCACGCACGTCACTTGTGCTCTAAAAAACAACTTCTGATCGAAGTTGATTTTACATAGGTAAACAGAGTTCAGAATAATGAATTTGGAAACCTTTTTCAAGTTCTTTCACTTTCTGTTCCAGCTGCTTCAAATGATTCTTGTCTGGAACGGTTTGTTGTAACTGAACTTGCAGACTTTTGATTTGTTCAGTTAGATCTTTTTCTTGTTGAATTAATGCCTGAAATAGATATTGAAGACATATTTCAAAGTAATACATACGCGGTAAAGAGCTACAACCGGCACAACTTTTCCGTTCGAATATATCAATATTCATTTCTGAAATGTACGTTTCCAATTCATGTGAGACAAGTTGGCGGACAAATGGAGGACAAACCATACTGCAAACGTTCGACAGAGAAAGAAGCAAGGGCATATCGGAATGTATATATACTTACCTGAACTTCCATCTCGTTCTTTTGAAGTTGATGTTCTTGAGATGAGACAGTTTTTGACAAATCATCCATTGATTCTTCCAACGTCTTTTTCAATCTTCGGCATTCCTAAATATTTTGCAACCACTCACCGTCAGAGAAGCACACCTAGCTCATACAAGTCACAATACCTTTGGCGCAGTTTAGTGAACAAACTTCTTTAAATTATTATATCTTAATATCCCACTTTACCAATACTCCCCCCCAAAACACTCTTCTGGGACAAATATTTCGGAAAGCAGAACTTGAAACAGTTTACAGACAACCAACATATTACACGCCTATCGGAAAAATACCTCTAAACGATTAGTCTGTTCTTCTAACTTTCTCTCTAATTTCTGCAGCTGTTGTGGAGTGATATCATGAACAATACTGGATCCCATGCGTCCTTTGACGACTCTTGAACCACCACCAGTCATTGCACCTGCACGTCGATCATAGTGAATAGCAATTAACCAGTGTTGCCTGACTCATTTTCTGACAAACAGAATACTGATCACGATATCTGCATGCACAGGAATCCATTTACTGTAGTATATCTTATATAAAGAGTTTATAGCATAAATATTTTATGTGCAAACTAGTCATAAAAGTCTGGCAAAGTGTATAATCATACCTGACATCTCCACTAGTTGCCCTTGTACGGTCACAACCCGCCATCTTTTACCATCCTATTTAGTATAAATGATCTAATAATAAACGTAGTTTTGTCTTTCCTGTTCTCTAATAACGAAGTGAGCTATTTTCGTATTAGAGAAATTTGTTGCAGATGGTTGCACTTTGCTGGACCTCGGAAACGAACGCAAAATGTCGCTTCGCGCAAAAAAATATCGACACTGTAAAACCGGCTAAAGCTTTTCGGGACCAATAGCTTTGAATAGGATGCTAGAAATTTACCTAAGCAAACCTTAACGAACGGCAGAAAGAAAACACATGCAAGAATCGCATACCTTATCTGAGATACGAGTAGCTTGTTCCAGATCCTTCCCAACCAGAGTGTCTCGTAATGCAAAATAGAATGCCGTCTTTACTTTTTCGTTATTTACTTTCACCAAATCAAACAGCCTTGGTACATTCTCTGGCCTATATAATTTGAAATGAACGAGTTACCATGAACACTCCTAGACCCACACAATGATACTGGATTTTCGGACTAGCTTCAATTGAATAGATTTCAGGCTTTTTGTCGCATGCTATGGAGATAGGAGCAGAGCACCCTCCTTCAATGGATGAATAAAAAATTTCATTGCATAAGTGAAGCTCATGAAGGAGGGGTTCATGACCCAGATTTCAGTGCACGTAGGCTGGATAACCCATGCACTCTGTCATATAGTATTCTAAGTAATTTAATATCTCCTTCTCCGCGCCCAAACTCGCTACAAAATTGTTTCAGTGACTTACGTTTTAATTGTACTTGTCGAATGCTTTCTCCAATTCTCCACCTAATGTAAAATGCATATTTTAATATACAACAGTAAGAAATTATCTGCGAATATAACGCAATAATTATTCCAGCACATCGCAGCGACCATCTTTATCTGAGAAGATAATTTCATGCTATATCATAAACTGTAGACAGTAAGATAGAATGTAGTATAGGGATGGAGGGTAGAAGTTTAGGGTACATAGGGTTTCATTGGTAACAATGAAGCAAACCTTTTAGAAATCTTTCCAATAATACGAAAATGTGCAGGCGTTTAGCCAGAAATACCTTATCCAAAGCAATAAATGTGGCGGATCCAATATTATTTCTTTTTAAGAAGTTGACACATTTCTGCGCAGTTTCAATTGTATCGCAAACAATGTTATCCAACGGCCCACAAGCAGTGCTAATAGCAACATCGTATTTGTCATCAATCGCACCAAGATCTCCCTAAAATAACAAATGGAAAACAATCGTGTGATCTTCATAGGAAACTGGATGACTCATGATATACAGGCAAATGAGTCTATCCAAGAAGTTTCCTCTTGATAGTCCACGACTTTCCATAAAGAACAGAACTTTGTTTGAGTGAAGAATTCAAAAGATGTATACTCTAACCCTTACCAATCTTCCATATATTCCCTTCAAATTTCCAGACTGTTTTTCTTTCAACAAAGCTTCCAGAACTTTACCTCTAAAATATTACAGAAATATGATACATAAAATTAATATTGATAGTACGATGGGTTACCCAACGTAAATTTGGAAATCGTTATCTAGTATTTTAATCCAGTCACGAATGAAATAGGTTCGGCAATGGTGGATATTGACTTCTCAAGATTCATGACGACGTAAAAAGCCGGAAAACTAATGTTGAGCCAATAAAGACAATGTTTAGCCAACCAATCATATGCATCGTGTAACGTTACGCGTCTTTACGCATGACCCACGCCTATTTACGCGTGGAGCATCATACCCAAACTAAATTAACACTCATGCGATATACATCCAGTATAGAATTACCGTGTACTGACTGCTTGTAAAGCACTTCTCGCTTCTTCGGCCTTTGATCGTGATATTCGTAGCTGCGAATAAATTAAGTTGATAATAGTTGATAAAGGTGGTCATTGTGGGAAAAATAATAATTGAGAGGAAAGCACGGGAAGCATGGGACGAAGACAGAGTTTGATTTGAAACAATATTTGAAACATGTTCTATTTTAGACTTAATCTCAATCCTACTTCTTGCGATTTAGGAGTCAATAAATAGAAATCAAAAGAAGTTTTGAACATCCCGCACAAAAGTGGCACAAACCTCACAAGAAAGCGTTTTTAGATATTGTCGTGCAAAGGTTTTGCCTCGCTTAGTGCATGTTTGTTCGCACAGTAGCTATATGTTTACCTCCTCGCAGAGTTTCTTCTCCTCAGCCTCAGTTTTTTCTAAATCAACCTTTGCTTTTTCCAGTTGCTTTTTATTGTCAGGAAGTTCGCTGTTTATTGTTTCCGTATCACTGAAATCACAAAATGACGAACCTTGAGTTGGTCAAATTTAAAAAAAAGGTGATTTACCACAACATGGTTAAAATTTTTTGAAAAAATTCTTAAAAAATACCATTTTAAATCTTTGAGTTTTTCTTTCCCATTTTCTAAATTTTCCTTGGCTTCTTTTTGTTGATTTTTTAAACCGTCTTGTTGAGTACTATAAATCTCTAGTTCACTTTTCGCCACATCCAACTAAAAAAAGAAGACATAGCCTGTCATAACACCTGATGAAAATTGCCGGCTTTACATGACGAGCTGCAGAATTAACCCCGCGATTTCCTTACCCTGAAATACCATCCTATACTTTATTTTCACAAATCATCGGCGATTCAGGCATTTTAAAATATATATTATATAATATCTCGCTATAGTCAAAAGCAAGTTTTACCGAAATCAAGAACGAAATTTAAAACTTCAAAACAGATCGGATTGACCATTTTTTGCTTGAAGAACCGACTTGACTAAATAAATTACCTTTGATTTAGCTTCGTTTACTGATTTGCTCATCTCCAAAAGGTGTCCTTCTTTAGCCTGAAACACAAGGAAAAACATCAAGAAAACATCATCCATCAGTTGTGTTTGGAAGAATATACCCGAGACTTGTTATTTTAAGGTGACTTGGTCGAAATCATGTTTCCCAAGCAGGTAATAATTTTCAAAAAATATTCATGAACCAAATAACATATTCAATTATATGACTGCGATATCTTTTACAAGAATCCCTTCCAAATCAAAAACCGAAAAGCCTTTAAAATGCAATAAATAGTGACCTCTTTTTCCGCTTGTAAACCCTCTGTCTCCTCTTTTAAGCCTAACAATAAAATTATGCATAATTAATAAATTGAAATTAACTATAACAGCATGAACACAATCTAGGTGAAGTTTCGAGATGATGCAGTATATTCATGTACCTGACATGATTTCATTCAGTTTGGAGTCTTCAACTTTCTTCTTTTCCTATACAAGCAATTGAAACATTATAATTTCAGACGTTAAAAACAGGTTTTCACCTCTCCTACATTTAAAATTTCTCATTAACGCGAATTAAGCCCAATTTACACTACACTCAATTGGCACGGCACAGCTAAAATACGTGTCCGTGCCCATTTCATCCGCGCCCGGTATTTGCATTGGTTGGCCTGAGCATTGTAGCTATAGTGTAAACAGGGTCTTAAAAACACAAATATATTATCAGAACAGTTTCCGTATAATAACGAAATCTTCACCTCAACCGCTGCTTTCTTCTCCTCAAGTTCTTCTAGTTTCTTTTCATTTTTTTCAGGTTCAGCTTTTAAATCCACAAGCTAACCATAAAGATATAGATTACAGAAGTGGTGACAATCAGTTATGCTGGTAGTAAAACTTTTTTCCCCTCATATTCAAGGACTCGAGTATATAAATATAGCAATATATTAAGCACTTCAATCAGTGCATAAAGGAAGAGAATTAAGTGCGACTGTTCAACATTGCCGCCATTAGCTTCAATTCTATTCAAAGAAGATGCGAGATGCGATATATGTAACACTGAGTTTTAATGAAAATCAATATTCGTAAAATCAAAATCTTTTTGCCATTTCCGGTATTAAATATGAAATTCAGTCTAAGTTCTAAAACGCTGATTATGTGCCAAGCTAACCTTTTTCTTTTCCTTGGTCAAGTTTGTGTCAAGCTTTTTGCCCTCTTGTTTCCTGTGTTTCAAATCCTAGCAAAATAACATATTTTGTTCTATACTCAATGGCTGTACTGAGCTTCTAAAGTAAGGCACAGTTACTAGGGTATTTCAACGGAAATAATGCAGTTATAGTGAAGTAATGCTCGATTACTAGAGAATTGCAGTCACTAGTGTTACACAAAAGCACCTCTCTCAATTTTAGATCGTTTCTTTCAAACGCATTGAAATTCGCTTTGGTTTCTTCAGATGTTTTAGCCAACTGTTCCTGCATTCTATAAGAACGAGGTAAAAAAAAATTACGATTTCCATCATTCTTCAGTGTTGCTTTTCCAGCTTATTATCGTGAAACACAAAATCCAGTCCAGCTACTGAGGTCCGAGGCTCAAATACAATATATATATATATATACTTGGTGAGTTTCTTTATGTCTTTCGCTTTGTTCTTTTTCCTTTCTAAAAAAATTATACACAAGGATGCTACTGGACAGAAGTATACCTATAAATATAGCTAAAGCCTGACTTACATAGCTAATATGTAAGCCTGTGCAACATACCAGGAAAAATTATTCATTCAAAGTAATGGTAATTTATTGTTTATTGAATGCTGTGTCAAATGTTGTGGCTATGCTCCTTCTACAAAGATTTTCAACAGAGTGGGCCCCCTCCAACAAGACATGAGGCATACAACTGTTGACAGTGGCATTCTCACTAACCTAGCTCTAACCTAATATTGCATCCTTTGTGATCAGGAAGCAATATTAGGTTGGAGGCTAGTGAGGGTGCCATTAGGTACAAGTATGACTAGCATGCTCCCTTCTGCCATCAACCCCTTTATATTAATCTTAACCAGATAAAACTAATAGTTATATGTACCTGAGCATTCCTCCATTTTTTTCTTCAGATCTGTATACAGTTCATTGACTTTATCCCTTTCTTGCTTGGCATGATTATCATTACCAAGACAATCATATCTTGTGGGAAAAATTAAATGGATATAATTTATTATTGTATTGAAGCTACTATCTCTACTATCTTTATTTGATCATATTTATCCTGATACTAACCATAACCTTAGGTTAAGTTGTAATAAAATTACCTAGGTTCTATACTAATAGTCTCACAATAGGACTTTAAACTAAGAATTTAGAAGAAGAACTTTAAACCTACATGTTTTTTTGGTACAACTTGTTCCGCTCCTTACACACACCATTTTGTATATTTAGGTATTCAACTGCTTCATTTTTCACTCCTTCTAATTCATCTTTTTCTTTCTCCACAGCTTTGACACGATTCAGCTAATTATGGTAGAATATGCGTAAGATAAAATGTAAATACATGTATATAATTGACTTGCTGGGGCCATGTGAAATTTATGCTGGAAACTTTCCATCCATTTGAACCCTCATATATTATTACCAGGTTTTCCATTATCCAAGTTTTATTAGCCTGCAATACACCAGCAATGTATTAAAGAGGGACTTAATATATATCACCTTTTCCCCTCTGGCTTCATTGAGTTCTTCAACAGATTTTGCACACTCTTCAATGGGTTGTTTATAACAACTTGATCCAATAATATCTTCCAAATACTCCAACATACCCTCCTCGTGTTCAGTCTGAGCCTTGGGTTTCATCATAGAAATCTGCTCTACTTCACCCTTAAATAGCCGTGGACTATAATCAGGGCCAGGTTGAATGAAGTTTGGAAAACACTACATACATGTAATTCACAAGCACTAGTATATTGCTGTCTGCTCACATTTATATAGTACCCCAGGTAAAGTACTAATTTGCATGCACAGCTGTTTATTTAAACAGTGGAAAACTGTTTTTAGAATTACTTTTCTTTAATTACCTGTAAAATTAGGAAGCGATTATGGTCAAGATCAATGCCACATTTTCTCAAAAGCATGGCAACTTCTTTGAAAGGTGTTTTTTTCCCATTGACATAATAATCAGAACTGTTGTCTTTTCGGGCTGTTCTTGATACAATAAATTCACTTTCAGGTACAACCTCATATTCATCCCCTGGCTAAAAAAAGTGTGGCATAAAATAAACACAACACCATTGTGTATACTTCTGATATCATATACTCTCCCAGAGCAAGTAAGAATAGCTGCATAATAGATGCAAATATAACAAGGATTACATGTTATCAATAATATTTTACTTACCATATCTATAATTTTCTGAAAATAAACTGAAACTGTACAGCTTTGTACATTACGATGATTACCAGAGTTATGAATCAGCTGTGATATTTTTTTTGATCGAATCTTATTTGAACGATAACCAAACACAAATAACATAGCATCTATGACGTTTGATTTTCCACTCCCATTTGGACCAACAATTGATGAAAAATTCTATAAACAAAATAGTTCACTTTTTTATTATGTGTTATAATGTGTATGATAGGGAAGTCTGTGTATAAGAATTATGGTAAAAACAATAGACCAAACATTTGGGCAAGACAGACTGACTGTACATTGTCTTGACAAAGGCAACATCATGAAACATCTTTAACCATTTCTATCCCAGAATTCAAATAATTGAGGATATGATAAAGCTATTTTAACCAGTCTAGAATGTATATTTTTGTTAAACTGTCAAGAATAATTTAGTAAATTTACCTTGTGAAATGGACCAAGTTCTTGTGTCCCAGCATATGATTTGAAATTCTCATTTACCATTTTATGTATCATTAACCTTTCAGTCCTTGTTTCAGCTTCAACAGCTTCAGCTTGATTCATTTCACAGTCGTTTGTGGCTGTATTTTCTGGGACCAACGTCTCATTATTTTCCTCCATCTTTTTAATTTTGGCGCGAAGAATATCACATACAGGTGACCCACAACGTTTTACCAATAATGTAACAAAAACATAACTACTGTATAAAAAATAAGCGGTGTGAGGCAGTCCCTTAAAATTTCTAAATAATTGAATTGTTCCTTCACCAGCCAAAAATATTTACAAGAAAATAGTCGACAAAATTTCTTCGAACGTTCCGCGTATTTTTTGAGCTCTAGTAGGTGGCAATTTGAACCAATTCTACAATTTGAACAAAAATATAACATGAAGTTTTTACCCTTACGCATCATTTTTGGGAAATCAATAAAGACAAAGATTAAACTCATCGACGTTTTACTCAATTTGGCAGCAGTATTTGGTAGGGATTTACTTAAATTGATACCTAGTATAAATGAAGAGTACTGTGAGTCTGTGAAGACTGTGATTGTGAAATTATGTAGTTGCCCATGGCTAGGTTTTGTGGGACAATGTGACAGGAGCCAGGAGGGTGGGACTTCGCTCATGAAACTATAAAAGACCTTTTAAAATGAATGTTGGAATTTTCTAAATATTAATACAATCTATTAATTTAGTCTGACTAAAGATGGAACTGCAAGATATGACGTATAGCAAAGATGAATATATTGAAACAGCATCTGGGAACAAAGTTAGTCGTCAGTCAGTCTTGTGTGGTAGTCAGAATATTGTACTTAATGGCAAAACCATAATTATGTCTGATTGCATAATTCGTGGTGACCTTGCAAATGTAAGGATTGGTAGAAACTGTGTGATAAGTAAAAGATCAGTGATCAGACCACCATTTAAAAAGTTCAGTAAAGGAGTTGCTTTCTTTCCACTTCACATTGGTGATAATGTACTAATTGAAGAAGATTGTGTTGTCAATGCAGCACAAGTTGGATCCTATGTCCATATTGGTAAAAATTGTGTTATTGGACGTCGTTCTATTCTTAAAGATTGTTGTGCCATTGCTGATAACACAGTATTACCTCCAGAAACTGTTGTACCACCATTTACTCTATATGGTGGTTCTCCTGGTACATACACCAGCATGTTACCTGAATCTATGCAAGATATTATGAGTGATATCACCAAAAGTTACTACCAACATTTTGTTCCAGTTAAACCTAATTAAGAATTAGAAGCACTGTAATGTTGTAAAATGTAACTCTAATTAGAAAAAATGTATCTGGCAGTAATAATAATTTCTAAATTGTTGAAAATAATAAATTTAGCTATTTATTGAATTTTTTCAGAAAGGTAGTCATCCTTTCTAGTTGTTAGTCATCTTTTCTAGTTGTTAATTAGTTTTTTTAGTTGTTAGCCATCTTTTCATTAGCATCAAGCAGATAGATTGAAGTATCTGATGATATATATTGCTTCTGCGATAGCTTGAGTTCAGTTTCTTGAGTTTAACTTCATCCAGCCCTTAGGAGAAACCCTAAAGAATGTTTGGAGAATGCTGTACCTGTACGTAGTTTTTTGAATTTTAGTGGAAGGTCGTTCCAGCCCCGGCCTTAACCAGCGTACAGCGTACTTAAAGACACAGATATACTTGTAATCGTGCAAGTCGTAGGCCTAGATCAAACGTCGCTCTTCTCATGCGCCGAACCTAATGCAAATGAATTAAAGTCTGTTTGAGCTCATTTGCATTGGGTTCGGCCATAGGGTTCGGCGCATGAGAAGGGCGACGTTTTACCTAGGGCTAGGCTGTACTGCCATAGTTTCTCAAAAGATAGTTCCGACGATTCAGAGACTTTCTCACAAACTTTTAACTGCTCAGTGGCGTAGCCAGGGTAGAAAATTTGGGGGGGAAATTATCTAACAATAGATCTTTTCAAGTTTCAATTGTTTTCGGGGCTTATTTTACGGGAATTTTATAATACCTGTGCAGAAAATATAAAATCCACTGATCTATGGTCATACGACACTGTATGCGCAAAATTATTGCGAAGGAAGATTGAAGAAGCTCGCCTTGCTGGCCGTGGGCCGGATATAATTAACAAATAGATTACAATGAACCGACAGAACCGTAGCCTGCGCCGCAGACCCATGCCCGAATGTGATAAGATATGTGATAAGAACAAAAAAGTGACCACGAGCCGCCGGGGCGAGTAATGTAGGAGCGGAGCATTGTAATCTATTTGTTTTATATAATAAAACTGAAAAAAATCCAAAATTAAACCGGTAAAAAGAAAATTGCTGTGACGTCATTCCGTGCGTCTGTCCTCTTATAGATCATGGCCTACTCTTTGTCATGGCTCTCGACCAATGAAATTGCTTGAATTCTTTACGTTATTATATAATGATATATCGAAAACGAAAGCAATGGAGCTAGTTATTGGTGTATGTGGAGGCGACAAAGCTGGAAAAAGCTCTATTATTAAATCATTTTTTGGCGAAGATTATAAGCCTAATCAAGCTGTTCAGTACAAATGTATTGGTTCTAATGATTTGGTGCATATTTATGTAGAAAAGTTTAGATCATCTTTATCAAATCCAGATGGATGCATTTTTGTGTATGATATAACATCATTGGATACATTCACCACCATGTGTGCTAAATATACTGGAGTTGGTAGGATGTTCAGACGAAACACAGTTTTTGGAAATAAAACCGATCTTAATCACAAACGAGCTGTAAACCATGTAGAAGTTGATGATTGGACTCGACAGAGAGGACTTAAACATTTTGTGGGGAATTCCTCCAATCCCTCCACCATCAATGAAGTTTTTTATCAACTTATTCAAGATATATTAGATACAGCAGATGTACACCTTGCGGACAGGTTCAAAAACTTCTTATTGAGTCAATAAATTACACTCACCAGGCTAATTAGTACCTGCCACCTAGAGTGAATTAAATTAATTAAGCTTTAATTACATGAGTAATTTAAATTGAAACATGAAACCAGGGCTGTTGCTAAGTGGTTTAGGTAAGGGGGGTGCGAGTATCGAATTTGCCAACAAAATAGGCATGATCAATGGGTGTGGTTTTTCTAAATTGACTAACATAATTAATTTTTTTGATATTCAACATCTTTACTTTACATGTATATTGATGAAAATGCAGGTATTCAATAATAAATGTTGGATCCACCGCATGGAAAAACTGAACAGTAAATAAAGTCCTGCGAGGGTTAAAAATCGTTCATTTGCCGACAACTAGTTTTCGGCAAATAGGTGTCATGCTCCCCACCTAGCGACGGCCCTGCATGAAACAATATTAAAAACTGGATCATTGTATTATCCAAAATATTAACATCATCAAAAATTGGCCAAAATATTAACTGTTAACATATATTTAACAAACAAAATATACTTCAGGACAAATTCTTAGAAAATATCATTAGTGTTTTACACCCTTGTTAGTAATGGTGATGAAAGGGTAATGCAAGAAGTTATAGGTTAACTAACCAATTCTAAATAGATTAATAATTGGAAAATTAATTGAATTTGTCATTCATGTGTTATGTGGAATCGACAATAAAGGTGGTGAACAGTTTGTAATATAAACAAAGAACTATCACAATATTTGACACGCTTTTAGTTCGCTATATTTCTAAACGTATATAAGAGAGAAGAGTTTATGGTCAGAGACAAAATTTGAGCAATTTTGAAACAATAGTTACAATACGTTGTTTTTTAATCAGAACTGATGCGTAGAAGCGAAAAATTATTAAAAAATAATTAGGAAAATATGTGTACATAGCAATAAATAAATAAATAGAACATCGCCCGACCTTTTTTAAAACCGCATTTGGCCTTGGGGCAGCCTGCGAACAGGCTGTATTCTGAGACCAACGGAAATGGTGGGTGAGTATTTAGAATTTTCTACTGGATTTTCACTGATTTTTACATAGAAAAACATAACTATATCTTGTCTTTAATACTACTAAGGTGAAGATAACAACCTTATTTTTATCAAATACCCAAATATTGCTGATTATTGACAAAATAATTCTTAAAATATTACTTAAAAGTTAAAATGGTAGCCATGACAAGCTCAAAGCCAAGGGCAAGCTATGTTTTTGTTTATTATGAGTAAACACATGGTTTGAGGGATATTGTAAAATATGCATGTCTTTAATTTTATGTGCAATTAATTTTTTTTGCACATTTATGTTGAATGCTATTTTTCTATATTTGCTGTGCATTGCTAAGGTAATCAGTAAATCTGCACAACAGTATTGCTAAATGGCCTTATGGAAATTATTTGATGTGACTATTTTTCTTATGTTTTTCCCTTCTATTTAACAGGTCTGTGATGAATTTTTAGTCAAATTTGATGTACACTATCTGTACTCTGATGAATCTTGACCGAAAGCGATTTTTCTTTGTCATTTTGTGTTTTTTTTTTGTGTTTTGAATTGTTGTCTTCTTCAGTATGTCAGTTTGTAATTGTTTATTAGTTCTGTGTTTTGATTATTGTCATGTTTGAAAAACTTTGTTGTAAAGTTGTCTTGTGATGTTTTGTACTGTGTCTTTTTAACTTTTGTATAACAATGTTGAGTAATGATGAAATGACTAATCTGACTTACATTCATTTGGCAGTTTCAGTACAATAACTGAAGTCTTTATGTTTGTCTGAACTCAACATTGTGTTATATATTGTCATAAGTGAAGATAAGCAGCCATAATCAATATAATAATGCAGTTTGTGTCAAAGTTCAAAGTGAAAATTAACAACTATAACAAAAAAAACAGTAACTAAAAACAAAACTACATATTACACCCTGGAGCAAGTGTATTTTTCATGTGTGCTTGTGAAATAATTTTAGTTGTAATGAAAGTTGATTATTCACAATAATGTCAGTGATCAACTTGTCAATGAAAAAATGTTAAACTTGGTGCTCTATATAACTATATAATCAGTGCTGAACTGTTTTCTTAAAATGCTTTCACATCTATTTACATGTGCATATTGTTGTTACTCTTCGTTGTTGTCCTTGTCATTGATTTCTTCATTTTCTTGTTCACTTCCGTCCATCTGCTTTTCTTCATTCTCTACGGTCTCGTTTTCATCCAGTTCAAGACATTGGACCTCATTTTCATCGTCACTCAGAATCTGACTCTCCTCACTTTCCCTCGCTTCATCCGATTCATCATAGTAATTTTCCTCTTCACTGACGCCAGGTTCCTGATCTCCATCGTCACTCACTTCATCAACTAACCCGACTTCAACTGCTTCACTATAGTTTTTGTCCAAATCTTCAACTTCAACATGGTCGTCACCATTTCCTGTGTCTTTTAACTCGTCATTTTCAGGTTGTTCATTTTCGTCTACTGGAGTTTCAACTTGGCCATTAGTTATTCCATCATCGCAATTTTCATTCTCTGAAATCCCATTTCCGTTTTCATCGTTAACACCATTGACGTTTTCAGCGTCGACTTCACTATTTTCTCCTTGAGTACTTTCCGCCTTCTCTTTCACCCTGTCTCCAGAGTTTGTATCATATTCTACATTCTTGCTGTCACATCCAGAAAAAAGGTTTTCTGCAGACTTTGCTTTCTTTTTATAAATGAGTTGTTTTTTCCACGCAGGCATTGCTTCAAAACGTTGTCTTTCCTCTTCCGCTTTTCTTCTTTCAGCTTCAATTTTTTCTGATTGTTCAGACTTACGTCGCTGGTGCAGTTTTTTTAACGGCTTCATCCATTCAGGTGTTTGACTTTCCTCGTATAACCTTGCCATTTCTGCTTTGTGTTTTTCCTAGTGAAAACAAAAACATCCACGCTATGTTTAGACCGGGCCAGGTTGAAGGGCAATTTTTTTAGGATTGTTCCAAATCCGCCCAGTCCCGTGTATAAGGAGTCTTAGTTTCGTGTTTACCTTGACAATTATACTGCATGCAATATAAAGTTTTTCGTGCAGACCTACCATCTTCTCATTTCTTTTCTTTCTTAGCAAATCTTGTTTCCATTGTGGTAAATCGCTGGGTATATCAGCGACAGGTGATTTGTCTGTGAAGGATACATTAGAAAGCACAGCGCTTATAAGATTGTTCAATCATTTATTTTAGGCTGCTGCATGTATAGTGAATGGAACACAAAATTAAGGCATGCAACTACAATCTACATATATAAAATTCATCCGTATCATTCATCCGTAATTACATTCTGGATCCGGTATTTTCCAAACTGACAAAAACCAAATGTAGTGTACTAATCATTTCAATGACAAAGTTTGTATTATTACATGGAGTCTTTTTATGGACAGGAAGCTTTTAAATGCATGTGCTACGGCGACTATATAATTTATATCATTACGTTCGTTTAAAAGCGGCACATGCTGTTTCATTTTCACTTACCTGAGCGATAAGTTTCTAATCCTTCAATATGACACACCAACGACTCTTGATCATTATTATCACCGTTCTTACTCATGTTCAATAAATATCAACAAACAAATTATTTTAACTACTTTAGTGCAGCTCCTCGTACTCGCTAAAAATTGAGAGCTGTTAGTTGCATTCAAGTTTGGAGGCAATATACAGGCATCGTGTGGGAGTATGGTTTGTGCAGAGTGAATTTAATGTAGGCGTTTGGGGTTTGTGGTCTCAATCTTGGCATTCTTCCTTCAAGTAACCAAGGTGTTTTCATTGAAAACAAATCCGACAATTTTCACTCGGAATGAAGTATTATAAATGTATTTTTGTTGGCAAAAGATGAAATTGATTCCCAACTTGTCATCATTTTTATAAATCAAGTTGTAATTGCCCTTTCCTATGGGATATTTGTAGCATGACTGTGAAACAGATGTTGAGTTTTTTTGTGGTTGGATTGCCTTCGGTTACCTGTAATAATTTGATATTTAGAGCGTGAGGTTTATGAACCTGTGCATGGACCGGGGATAAGGGGAATACCGAATATAAGTGGTACCGGCAACCTCGTCCCTAGTTCAAGGCGTCCTGTGCGCCCCTATTAGGTGTGATTTAAACAGGCTGGCCCTGGAGCACTGTGTCCGAAGTGTGGGAACTGGTGGGAACACTATTAAGTCTATCATAACATCTTTAATCACAGTTATCACACAGTCATACAAACATCTATATGCTATCAATTTGTTGAATTGAATCTCACTTCCATTTTTTTCCGATTACCTCTTGAGTCCGGTGCCAAATATTGTATAGGCGAGTATTGACCTAGGATTCTTGAGTGAATTTGAAAATACCAACCCTCGTACAGTGCGTCAAACTGTGGCTCAAAATCAGCTCCAACTCTTTGAAAAATACTTTCTGGTTGAGGTAATTATTATAACTGCGTCAACTTGTACGGCGTGCAACCTGCATTTAACCTGTTTATATCAGTTCCTGAAATAGTTACTGTTTCTCTTGAACAAAATAGTTAATCCATATAGAATACAGCAATAATAGTTCAGCATTCAAAACAACAGTAAATGAATATATTAGCCGTAGAAGAAGAAATTATTTTCTGTAGTGTAAATATTTTTATTAGTGAATTCAGATAACACTGGAATTATTGTAAATGTATTAATTTAATATATTGAAACATACTTAGTGAAATAATTCGTTCGTAAGTTCCCCATGATCACCTGAATTTTCAGTGTATATCGTTTTTCAGACGCGTCACTGGCTTCAAAAAACTCTTTGGCTATCGAAGAACCACTGATACCCTTGTTCCTTCTCCTCCGCAGAGATCCATTTCTTAAGCAATGCGATTTCCGTTTTTCTTGCCGCTACGACGGACGGAGGATCTTTAGGGTTTGAAGATCGTAGGTCGAGATGATGAGCAGCTCCGTCAATCAATAATGCAACAAGGGTATCAGAGAGTGATTCAGGAACACCACCCTTTTTCCATGGATCAAGTGCACCATTTGAGAAGATGATGTTTGAAGCAGAGCTAATTGAATCCCCCCATAGCGATGTGGCAAACCAGTCTGGTCTTTGGGTAACTCCCCATGTCTTCAGGCAGTACGCTTCTCTCATTTCCAAGGTCCACGGTAAAGGTGCGAACATATCCGTGACATTGTTGGTGCCGCTTGCTAAATACAGTTCAGTGCAAGCTTGATAATCCCAGGCTAAACTGTTAGGACCAAGACCACAACCAGTTGGGTCTGCACAGGAAATGTACTCAGTAAAAGGATCGAAGCATGACAAAGTATTATTACTGGTGCCATTGTAAAACAACCCAGTGCCAAGAACAAGTCCTTCCAGAGCGTCATCGGCACTCATAATCATGTCTGCTGCGACATTCACAGGATTGGCAGGAAGTTTACCAAAGAATTTGGAAGCATAAGGATAATCTCCCATGCACATCATTGCAAAGGCATTACGGATCCAACCAATAAGATGATCAACTTGTTCATCAGTTTGTAGTGTTTTACAAAGCCTAAATTTCTTTGATATTTCCAGCAATCCGGCAGCTCCTGAATCTCGGAGGTTTTGCAGTTCAATGAAAGCACTTCTAACACGTGCAGGGCATTCCTTGTTAGCGGACTCAAAGTCATCGGTCACGATTTCCCAAAATGAATGATTATTCGCTAAACCTGCTGCGAGATAAATTGGTGCGCTTGCTGCTAGAGCCGCGTCGACAACGTTGGGATATTTGAAACGAAAGTAGGCGCTCAGCATTCCTCCGTAACTTCCGCCTAAAGCAATCACTGGATTATCAGTGGCTCCGAGCTTTGTTTTCATATGTTGTATAACCAGGGCATAATCAGCAATTGCTTGTTCTACTGATAAAAATGCGATTTTATCATGATCAAAAGAATCACTACCGAATGGCAATGACTTCCCATAATAGCGATGCTCTATGAATAGGATATAACCATTTAGCTCTTTGGCAATTTCAAATGCAAACCCTGCGCTACTCCAGTAGCCTTCCACGTCACCCTCATTACCAGTGTAAACCACAAATGGACCATCATTATTCCAATAAACATCTGAAAAAAGGTAGCGCTGTTCAAAAGTGAAATTTATATTCCAGTTGAAGTGGTCCACAATTTGCGTGTATGTTCCGACGTCGTAATCTAATGAATTGCAACATGTAAATAGCATAATTAGGACTGAGAAAGTAGAAACAGCAAAGCAACGCATTTTTGCTTTTGCTGAAGGTTCAGTGAGAATCTTGAATCTTCAGGACGTCAAAAATAATAAGAACGATTGCCGTATATATTATCTATTTTTATAAAAACTCCTTAGCCAAACACAAGATGTTAGCTCTGAATGGCTCACATGACTCGTTGACAATATATCAGGAAGTTTCAAATATATTTGATTTTGACGTCAAAGCCACGGCCGCCACTTGCGGGAAAATTCTACATAACGAGACGTTTCGCTGTTATAATATGTAAGAAAATATACACGGGTCCTGACTCCTGATCGATGCCTGTTCGTCGTGGATTATTATTAGCCATTCAGCAGCAATGAACAGGGACCGCGGAGCAGTTTTTGGATTGGGGGGGCTAGCGAAGCCGTGTGAACCCTCTGGGGGTCCATACTTATCTATTTATATTTTTCTTGTAAACACTTCAATGAAAACATTGTTCACCGACACGGAGAGTGAACACATAATTATGATTACACAACTTACTATAAGGAGTTTTTACTCGTATTATTATGGCCATATAAAAATCGCTATAAAGGAGCCCCCAGCCCCCCCCCCCCCCCCCGCGGTCCCTGATGAAATTTACTAAAGACGCGCGTCTGGAGGTAAAATTTGACTCTAGACAAGTTCACATAGGGTAGCTTTCTGGTTATAATAAATTCAATGGTTCGTATTCCATTTTGATTCCTCACTAAAATTTGTGAATTTTTGAAGATCTGGCCTAAATTTTATACGGAGCAAGGTATACATAAGCGTACGGACCTAAAAAAGTTTGGAAAAATTATCCGAGTCACGAGTACGGCTTACCCGACTAACTGATTTCAGCACAAAATTGCCCGAATTTTGGTAGAGTTCGATAGAAATTTGCCAACTTTTCTAGATTTAAAATTTTGAATGGTTCTGAGCTGCCCCCGCCTCGTACGCTTATGTAAGTATAGCCATAGGACTAGGGGAAAGGCCTAGACCTCAGGTAACTAGACTGAGACTGTGAACGCGTTTTTTGGGGACATTTTTTGTTTTCATTTCTTAATTAACTCAAAAGTAGAGTTGTTTTTCTTACAGCATACTGAATGTAATGTGCTCGTTTTGCAACTTTTTCAGTAGTTTATTTTAGTTTGATCTCTTTATACTGATTACTGAGCTTTTTACTGCGCAGGTCTCAGTTTGACGGCTAGACTGCCTAGATATCGCTGTTGGCTAGTCAAAAGTAATCGTGTAAATAACGGTCGCTTATTTTTTTAGAAATTTAATTTCACTGAAAGTGAATTGAATTTTACCAAATTATATCGAAACGTGCTACCTACTGTTTGGTGCTACCGTGGGTCACTTTGGGATCACTGTGGAATTTACGGAAACACGAGGGTCTGTGAGGGAATGTGAGGGTCTCACACAAATATCGAGAATATTTCATGACATGCGCAGTAGGAAAACAAAACCAAACTCCAAAGCTGGTTTAGCAAAAGTTTAGCTCTACTGCATCTTCTTCTTGGCATAAAATAGAAGCTTTCGCTATGGTTGTGAAACGATTTTAAACTTCTGACCAAGTAGAACGGTGAAGACCTTCATGTTGAGGTAAATTTAATGCATACATTTAACCTGATCGGCAATCTAACTGCGTCGACTTTAGGCTGCAACCTGTACTAAGTTTCTTCCAAATTTTGGCATAGTTGCTGCTTTTGGTCTAAAATTGAGTAGTTAAATAGATATTTTATATCATCCCATACGTGATAGTTAACTAGTCGTGTTTTTATCACAGCACTGAAAAACGTTTGTGTTCATAATCTTGTTTTCAAAATATCACATATTTTGTGTAGGAAATGTGTATGTGTTACTGTTGAGGGGAATTTCAGCTTTAGAGGAAGTTGGTTTATCAACTTTGTTCCCCTCATTTTGTGCCACCATGGTTAGATTCTTATACACAAAATAGAGAGTAAAAACTTTAAAAAATAACAAAATGGACAATCATCTAGTGTTGTACAATGTACATGTACATGTACTCATTTATCTGTGACATAAAGCCTGCATTATATGAATTGTTATTAAAACATTTGATATAAAATAAAAAATGAAACATGAAATAAACACTGGACAGTTAAAATTTTATCAACTTTATTTGCATTTTTTTGTGGTCTCATACAAAAGCATCAACAAAATTTTTAACTTCAACCTTGTGTCATTGATCTAGATTGCCTAATCTTTAAATCTTTACTTAAAATTCTGGCAGTGTAAGCTGAAACAAAATTTTTAAGTAGACCATTTTGCTCATAATGTTTTATGACATAATACTCATTTATACATAGTACTTATTGTTATAAAATGCTCTTTTGTCATAGCTTGGATATCAAGGTGGAATTAAATATTGTCCCCCAGATGTCTATATTGGAAATTGAAAGGTGAAAATATTTATGACCAAGATAAAATAGGATTATACTGAGACAAAATGACTGTGTCTGTACGAGGTGGAGTTCCACTTGATCAAACTCCACCAACTGATGGTACGAACCAGGAGGGAGAACAACAGGCAGGTGAGGGTGAAAGTTCAGAGGCAACACAAGAAATAGCTGAAGAGGAAAATGAAGAAAGTGAAGTTTTGGTGGATGAAAATGGGGATGTTGTATTTCCTGCGGAAGAACTTGCTAAGTTGGATGAAATGATTACACGTCAAAAATGGGTTGTACCTGTATTACCAAAATGTGAACTAGAAGTGTTATTAAGAGCATCCATAAAACTTTGTCGAGCAGGTGGGTAGGAGAAACATACCTGCATGTAATGTCTATATAGTGTTGTCTGTATAATGTCTATATGTAATATCTATATATTTATTATTTTTAAAAATGCCCTGTAGATTTTAGAAAATTGAATTTAAAAGTCATACCTAGAAAACCAGTTGTCTGGTGGCTACTTTATCTCATAAATCAACCTCCTCTTTCTACCTGATATATTGTATAGACAAAATAACTAATAACCCTCAAAGAAGCAGAAAAAATATCCAATGCAAAAACAAACATCCTATCAATTTGTACTGTATAAAAATGTTATCTTTAATCCGTAATTGTTTCATTCTGGATTAATAGAAAGACATATGATTACTTTAAATAACCGACTACCTAAGAATATATATTGTGATATATCAATAATTTTATTTAGGTCTTGATACAAAAAGTGAGCCTTGCCAAAGATTTTTCAGAGAAGGCTTGAATATGTCCTTCCAGAAAATTTTAAATGATGATGCCGTTCACAGTTGGAAATATGAAATTCAGGTACAAAAATACGTTAATTGTCAATGGACTTTCTCTTTATATATATATATATGTATATGTATAAATTTGAATTTTTTTTTAATATAGAAATGTATATATGATTCAACAAAACTACTAATAGAACTTTGTGTAACAAAACTTACTCAAGATTGGTTTGTTTTATTGGATATGTTAGCTCTGGCACTAAATCCTCATTGTCGGTAGGTGTGGTAAACATGAATAACTGAGGTGCCAGTATATGCTTTATTTGAAATTGATGATTTTTGTTTAGGTTTCATATCTATAATGCAGGGAGGGGAGCTTCAAATTATGGCCAAGGGGCACAGGTATTTTCTGAATGTGGCATCATGACCATTTAGGCTTAACTAATTATCATGCAATTTAGTTAATTATCATGCCTCAAGAAGTTTGATCTAAGAAAGAAAAACAGTACCCAATGCCACAGGCAAAAAAGACGATCCTAAAACTGAGAATGATAATGTAATTAAATGTCAAACTGTCAAAGTACAACACAAAAAGGGAGGGGCACACCTCCAAAATAAAAAGTGGGGGGATGCCTCTGATACAAACTTGCTGCATTTTTAACTAAATGAACTGATTCAAATAATGTGTTATTTTATTTAGAGTGAAGTTGAAATATTTGCAGCTCCAAGAACATCAAAGGTATAATTTCCATAATACAGTGGGTTTAATAATGCACACAAATGTTTTTATTGAGCTGTTGTACTCTAAATTGTACCTTGGCCTCTACCTGTCGTCTCTTACCACACATGTCCCAACTATATTTCTATCTTAGAGATCATCTATGCTGTTTGTTTGCAATTTTATTAACTAGGGATGGCTCATTGATTTTGTAAATCACTTTGGTATGTTGGGAGGTTTCAAGTTGCTGCAAGAACGTATTTGTGAAGGTGGATCGTTATCTGTCTCACTGCTTGCTGCCCTGATTAGGTATGGTTTTCTTACTGTCTCATTCACCAGTGTACATAGATATTTTTAAATCCTAAAATATCATATTCTAAATTTCACTCTTGCCGGCTCACTTTCAGTTATTTGTATTCTATAATTTATTTTTTTTTATGAATCTGATAGGCCTTTTGGTCAATGTGCTCAAGTTCTTTGCCCTGGAACAGTAAAGAAGTATTTTCTACCTGTCATTGTGAGTTGAGTAAATCTTGCACACAATAAATAAACCCACCAGGGAATGTTTCTTTCGTGATTGAGGTTCAGATCTTCAAATAGGATATATTTATAGCAGAATAATTTTGTTCTTATCTATGTTGCTAAGTTCCTTGTAAACAGCATTTACACTAAGGATCACATAAAGGTGAATCGCATCCTGGCTATTGCTTCGAGATACTAGGAAGCTGTTGAGTTTACCTTGTTTGATCCCAAAGACATCTCTGGCTTTGTTCTCTGAGTATAGTTCATTGCCCTTTATATAAAGGTTTTCAAATTGCTTGATCGCTTTTTAAAATCTTTTCAACGTTTTAGGAATGTGTACAAAAGTTCCTGGATAATTTAACGAATGAGGAACTGAAAAAGGAAACGAAGAATGAGTCAAAAAGCGATTCACTATCGTCAATCATCAAGGTACAGAACCCACACTGTTGAAATTCAAACGGACGAAATGACTGCTAAAATTGTAATCCTAATGAATTCAGAATGACTTGAAAATGATTTTCTTTCTAGGCATTAAAGTCATTAGCCGCGAAACTTCCAAAAGAAGAAGACGTGGGAAAAGATTTAGAAACGTTTAGATTGAAAATGATTTTTAGGTAATTTATTGCCAGGGCTTGAAGGGACGTTTCGTCTTACCCCTGCTAAGACCGTTTAATAATCGGATAGCATAAAATAGACTAAAGCTTTTGGACAGAACGAAATCGGAAAATCCATCACAACATGTTGAAAGAATTTAAACATATGAATGGTACAAACGAAATAAGCTGCTATCATGACGTATTTCTTTCTATCCCTTTGTGAATTTCTAAAACTTCGTGTGCCAAAAGCAATGAAATATTAATCAATTTCCCATGCTTTTTATATTCCCATGCTTTTTTTATTTTCGATTACGGTAACCCATTTTATCAACGTGAACTACTATAATTGTGTATCAGAAAAAAAAGCACTGTTTCAACTCAATTTAACGTTTTAGCGAGTTGCTTACATCATTCAAACGTATTTGTCACATCTTTAGATTATTACAAGTATCTTCTTTCAATGGAAAAATGAATGCTCTAAATGAGGTTAGTTTTGTATATAGCTAGTACCGCTTTAATCAGGCTGAATAAAAGGAAAACTCGAAATATCCTTGAGCCATTTCTAAAAATACAATACTGTGACATTTTTATTGCGTATGTAATTGTAAATAATGTTAATTGGTCATGTGATTTTGACGTTGCTGCCAGCACTGAAAAAGAAATCACATGCAGTTTTGTTGAAAAAACAGCGCGCTGGAGCTCCGGTGATGATTTAATAGATTGTCTTTGCTATTTTAAGATAAATAAAGTCATATCGAGCGTATCATACTATTCTCAGCGACATATGGATGATGAAGAATGGCTTACAGCTGACAAAATGGCCGTGAGTACTGAATATATATCCGGCATGAGAAAATTGATCAGTGGCGTAGCCAGCATTGATAATTGTGGGGCTCATATTCATATATTTATGAAAACAGGCTGTAAAGACAATCGATTTCAAAAGAAATTGATCCTGCGTATCACGAATATATGAATACGATGCCTCCCCCCCATTATCGTTCTGGCTACGCCACTGAAATTGATCCTTGAAAACACAAAATTTGGCATACTTTTGCTTCCATTATCTTATCTGCATGCAGGTTTGAAGTGTTTTTTTCTTATTAAAACAGCTGACACTTTTTGACCTATCGAGGATTCGCAGGGAAAAAAATTTGTTCAAAACAAATTTATACTTTTATCTGCCTCTAACATTCTAAAATAAGGCTATTGTGCATAAAATGGGAATAATCTGTGGTATTATCTGTTCTTATCAATAATCTGCGAATGATCTGTTCTTATTTTAGGAGTGGATACATGAAAACGACGTACTTTCAATAGTACTAAAAGATAATCTTCATCAGCCTCAAGTAAGTTTTATTGAAAAATATTCAGCTTTTTGCCTTTGAAATTTGGAAATGTTTATAAAAAGCTAGCGCCAAGCGATTTTACAGTATCAACAGTTATATACTATTCACTATGACAAGTGTGTTCGTCTATATAATACATGCGAAGATATGCATTAAATGTCTAATTTGTGATTGACACATAGAGAACGCTAGTATAGCTGTATGTCTTCTTTTTATCCTTTAGTATGTTGAAAAACTTGAAAAAATTATCAGATTTGTGATCAAGGAAAAAGCTTTAACACTGAAAGACCTCGACAACATCTGGAGTGCTCAGGTTTGTGTATAAACTTTTTAAAAAAGGAATGCAGTCATGAAAATGTATCTTTTGTAAAGAACTCGAGACTCAAACTGTTTTTATACCTTTTTCTTCATTGGCAATTAGGCTGGTAAACATGATGTTATCGTAAAGAATATCCATGACCTGCTTGCGAAATTAGCCTGGGATTTTTCTGCTGAACAGTTAGATCATTTGTTTGAGTGCTTTCAGGTTGGTGTTTCTCTGAATGGGACATTTGATCTTCTATCCACTCATCCTAAATTTCTTCTAATGTGATCATATATATACGTACATTCAGGAAAGTTGGACAAACGCAAGCAAAAAACAGCGGGAAAAATTGCTCGAACTGATTCGAAGATTAGCTGAAGATGACAAAGAAGGTGTAATGGCACATAAGGTAAGATTGCCTCGACAATTGCCCGTCAAACTTGTCGTTATTGCATAGATGTTATGGAGTCATGCATTTACTTACAAGCCTGAGTCAGTGCTTCAAATTGTTCATATATTTTGTGCTTCAATATTTTTCATATTAAGGTTCTTGGTTTGTTGTGGAATTTGGCTCACAAGGATGATGTCCCAACAGATATAATGGACCAAGCTTTAAACGCACACATCAAAATTCTTGACTATAGTTGTTCTCAGGTACAGTACAAGTCACAGTGCAAATGAGAATGTTTAGTAAAGCGGGTTTATATAAGATAAGCCACCTAAAAAATACACAGCCTTCATCGTAAATCAGTGAAATACAGCTGTAACTAGGAAACATTGAACCTTTCCGAATATTTCTCAGTATGGTCTCGCATCATATGTTGAGAAACCTATGGACGTGATAATTTGGTAAGATATTGATTGATGTGTTCATTGGTTCATATTTAGGATCGAGACTCGCAGAAGACACAGTGGATTAACAAATGTGTTGAAGAGCTGCGTAATGATACCTGGGTGTTACCTGCTATCAAACAAATTCGAGAAATATGCTGTCTGTTTTATGAGGTGAAGTTTCTAGTTATAAGTATAAGATTATTGGTTGAATTTGGTGGAATTTAACTCCCAACAGAGCATTCAATGAATATGGCACGATGACATTTTAAACCGAAGCTGCAATGATTGTATAATACTAAGAACACCATCATCTCATCATCTCTCAGACGTTGCTATATTTCCATGAAGTGCATAGACATGTTTAATTCTTGTTTTTCATTTCAATATTTGCCGCAGGCTCCTCAGAATTATTCACATACTCAAAAGAATCCACATGTGTTTTATCGTCATGAAGTACTGAACGATTTACAAACCCAACACCGGTTAATATCAGTAATGGCAGAAAATTTAAAGAGTTACATGTCCAAAGTCAGAAATCTTGAACTGGGTTTGTAAAGTATTAATTTTTACAGTCGTGTTTAAAGCAAAATCAACGGCGATTAAGATTATTTTGCACTTAACAATCACATATGACCACTATGTTTAATGCTAGTGGGAACTTTAGCTGCAATCGCTCATGAAGGTCAAAATTGGCAGCCTTTATTTCTGTCTTTACTATTTCTGTTTTTGATGATTTGGAAACATCTCTGGTATTCTCTGGGTCACCACCTTTCTTTACACCACTTTATTAAGACCACCACTACGGTTGCACAAGTCTTCACAAAGATGTTTTCATAGAACACTGTGACGTTCAGCATCTCCTTCATTGTGACGAAGATGTCTTGCTGATCTCTTCCGTACCGCAGTAAACGTCAATGCAAATTCTAAACAATATCATTCTTTTTAACTAGATAAAACATCAGATCCCAATGATTTGTCACTAGATGGCAGATATTCTCATGTGCAACAAGTACAGAAACGCCTTAGTTTTCTTAGGTAATTACGTTTTTTTGATAATTGACGAGGATGAAGTAATCAACAATCAATAAAAGGTTCATCCAGCATTTAGATGTTACTTTTGTGTTCAGGTTTATCCTTAAAGACGGACAGCTTTGGTTGTGCGCGCCAGAAGCTAAAATTGTAAGTTGTGAAGCGTGATGATCATAATCCAGTACGAATTATTTGATAATTTGGTCAACTATTCTAGATTTGGGAAGCCTTAGCTGAGAGTTCTGTCTTTCCCAGTGACAGAGAAGCTTGTTTTAAATGGTTTTCAAAGGTAATATTTTATGAAGTACATTAAGATTTCATTAAACTGGAGGGTCGACCCCATGGCATCACCTAATGTAAAATCGCATCAGCTGCACAGTTGATGTTTTTTATTGCCCTAGCACTCCTGATACCAGAGTCGCTTCTTGTGTGAGAGATCACTGCGGGTAAAATATATATTTTAATGATGATAGGTTTCTTTAATTTGGTAATTTTGTCTTTTTTCAGCTTATGGGCGAAGAGCAAGATTTAAATCCAGAAATTAGTGGGATGTTTTTTCAAAGCAAGGTCTTGAAAATGGACCAAAGTTGCTTGACAGAAAATGGAATGGAGTAAGTTTGGTTAATGCTGTTACTTAAATGATAATGGCTGGCGCTACCTGAGCTGATAAAAAGCTTTATGTTTGGACTGCATGCGCCATTCCTATATTAGTAAAGAACTTTCGTCCAAAGATTTGCACTGATTTAGCAACGATCCACTCTCTTTTTAGATGTTTTGAACGATTTTTTCAAAAAGTGAATGTCAAGGAAGGAAAATTTGTTAGTAAACGTCGTATGTTAGTTATGGATGATCTTGATTTAATTGGAATTGACTATCTGTGGGAGATTGCCCTCAAGGGGTCGGAGAGGATTGTGGGAAGAGCTGTAAATTTATTGAAGCAAAGTTATACAAACCTTGGTCCGAGGCTACGAGCGAATCAGGTACACAAGAATTGGTTTCATGAATTTATTTATGTTTCAGATCTTTACCTGGAGTTTGATCGCCACTAAAATGCTGCATTTTTCTAAAAATGTTTTCATTCCCATCGGTATTAGTCTTACAATGTGTGCTTTATCTATCTAGGTGGATATTCACGAAAAGATAATTCAAAAATGTATGCATCACCTACAGCCGTCCTTTGAAGTTCTCCAACAAGAATCAGCAGATAAGAAAAACACTAAAAATAAAGCGAACGACTCCAAAATCCGTGAAGCGGCGTTGCGCATTGTCAGGTGTTTGACTGTTTTGAGAGAATATATCGCTGAATGTGATGATGATTATGGTGAAGAGAGGTTAATTTTACCACACGGTAGAGCATACTATGGAAAACATATTACATTGATTATACGAACTGTGGCACAAGGAAGACAAACAGAGGATTTTGAACAATGGTCACATCTTAATGAAACTATTGCAACCGTGCGTCGACATATCTTACAGAAGTAAGTTAGGATATAGGAGGATATTACAGGTTACAGATAGTTCATACTTCATGAACTCTTCCTTTATGAACTGTTCCCTTCGTTTCCAGCCAAGTGCAATAATGCGTCAAGTTGTTTTTAGTACAAAGGAAAGCAACCATTTGTTGTGTAGAATATTTGTCAACTGTCGATCTCGTTGTGAATGCTGTGCTTAACCGGACATTGTACATTTTTTCACCAGGATGCGAACAGTGTTTCCTCAGATTTCAAAGATTGATTTGTATGTTGGTGGGGAACTGCTCTCTCCAGTTGACGATAAAAGATTGATTGGAAAATGCAATTTCCCTGACCGTGTGGTATGTTTATTTTTTCCATTTTTTTTAAATATGTAAGTGACAATTCAAAGACGACGTGTGCGAGATGTTTCCTGAGTGACGGCAAAATTAGGGGGAAGACAAATTTCACGAGCCTAGGAAATGAATAAAAACTATGCGAAAGGATATATTCAATTTATTCCATTCACAATTTAATTTGAAATATTGTTTATTTTCGGTGTATAGATTGTATATTGTCGATAAATCATGTCGTTAAATAGAGTTTTTGTTTAGATAATCACCGTAAGAATCGGCCATACAAATTCGTCAATGCCTTCGTCCCCAGACTCGTCATCTGATTCTTCTGGCTCCCCACCAGCACCTTCTGATGGGCCAAATATCGAAACGGAGCGCTGTTTACCCGGTGTGGTAAGATATGTTTAACCACTGACATTTTGTAAGATTGCAGCAGTAATATTTTTCTGATACCTACCTACGTGTTATAACACAATTATCGTACAGTTATTTTGTGTCAAATTCAATTTTAGGATTGCTTAGACCTAGTCAGTTAACAAACAACTAAAGAATTGGCCTAAAATATGAATTTAGTATTCTCTGTGTAGTCTACTTTCACTATCCCTATGTTTACTACTTTCATCATCCCCATGTGTCCTAGAAATGATACGTTAATCTACTTTCATCATCCCCATGTGTCCTAGAAATGATACGTTAATCTACTTTCATCATCCCCATGTGTCCTAGAAATGATACGTTTATCTACTTTTATCATCCCCATGTGTTCTAGAAATGATGGACACTGCTTGAAAGTGCGGTTGCAATTAGAGAGACTGATGTTTAGCGTATGAAAGCAAAACAGATCTGGACTGCTTCAAAGTGATGAACATGACTTGAGCTTGTTCTTAAACTTAACTATTTTAGATCATTGCAACGAAAACAAGATACGTTGCGAACTTTTTGCGACTTGCTGAATTTGCTATTCAATTCAGCATACCCGAACTACGGGAAGAGGTCTGGTGCCTACTGGGAATTATCCCAACAGGTATGGCGAACCCTCAAAATTTAAACAGGCCAAAATGAAGAATTTAGATAGAGATTAACATTTTCCCTAACTTTTTAACATTTAGCGACCATACTTACCTGTAAAATATGACTGCGATGAAATATTCGTAGAATATATGATGCAATCAACAACGCACGTTTAAGTGTAGTAGAACGTGCTGAATTTCTAGCTTTCACTTCTTTATCTATAACTGTGGTGCTCATTGTTTTGACTGTACATCACGAGAGAGCAATGATGCAGTAACGAATTGTCCATGAGCAATTCTTTGAAATTCATTTTCTATGCAGATTCATCAATGATTGACAACATGAGAAAAGCATGTTCCTACAAAACTGAGAAGGACATTGCTCCTGACGCGCAGCTACTTCAAGCATGTTTTAACTCCACTTCGTCAGCCCAAACTGTTTATAATCTTGAGGTACAGTATATCTATAATTACAATAACTTAAAATAAAACAATTATTACATCTTAAAATTTATCTTCAATTTGTACCTAAACATTTACGGTATACCTTGTTCTAATCTAATCTAATAATGCTTTGCATATAGATTTTATACTCGCTTTTGATGCCAGCTGGACAACTATTTCGGGAAAAGGTTTTGGACTTTCAGGTTTGTCAAATTATTGAATTATGTATATGCCATTGGATGCTTGAAGGTCATACTCCCCATGCCAGACTCCCTGTCCAGACACCGGCACGAAGCACTTATAATATTCACGATTATTAATGCAGTTTTTTTTTCTCTATGCTACATTTTTAGGTGGCGTTTTTTAAAAGCGGGGGCGTAAAATGTGTTCTCAATCTCCTAACAAAAAGCAATTTCCTTGAACACGCTGACACCTGGACAAGAAGGTAATGATAAATTTATTTTTAATGATGAATTTCAAGTGCTCAAGGTGATAGATAGAAGTACTTGTATACTGTGGTTTGATCACCGGCTTCTAGATTTAATGAACTTCGATCACCCTGTCACGTTGCACTTAATTGCGGGGTCACAAGTTCGGCCAAACGCAATATTATGAAACTTAGGTTTTTATACCATCTCCATCCTTCCATAGGTCGGCGTATTTGACATTGATGAAGATTGTGAAATTTGCTTTGACTGCAGTTGCGTATGCTAAAGTATACATGGTTGCTGAGGCGTTGAGACCTGAGAATCATTCAGAGATTGCAACTGAAACACACAGTGCTGCAGTTGTATTACAAGCTGCATTACAATGCATTCCGCATTATATATTGGAATTTGTGTTGAGAAATTACGCCCTGTCTCTAAGTCACCATATTTCAGAAGAGGTAAGCCCCGGATATGAAAAACCTTTCATGAATCACAGATTTGTAATAGAGCTCCTAATTTCAAAACTGCACATTACCGCAGGTATAGCTGTCAAACCTGAGAAAGTTCTATTCGTACATGTACAGTAACACCTATTGTTAATGTAATTATTAACTAACTAGCTACAAAGGCTGCTTAGAAAGTCCAAAGGCTATGTTCCCATCATGTATTCGACTTGCAGATATCAGTTCTTGTTCCTGATATGAAAGTTGTCAAAGCAGTTCAAAAGATTTCTTGGACAGCCGCAGGTGGAATGATGCATTTACTGCATTGCACTAATGAAGAAATACACAAAGCTTTTGAAAAGGTATCTAAATATACTATACTGAAAGCTTACTGCATGTGAAAACGGAGAATGAGCGGTTTAGGGGAATTGAAGTTCCTAACCGTATATTTTATTATTTTAGATCGACGCAGCGAATAATTTCTTAGACTGTGATGACATTGAAACGTGTAAGGAAGCTGTTGAGGTAAGCATGCAATATACTGTCAAACGGGTTTCACTAATAGTAAGTTCAACACAGAAATGACAAGATTTAATTCTCTTAAGGTTTTGCTTTAGTTTCCTATCTTGTTATTTTGATAGGTATTAACGTTATGCCTCGCGATACATCCGAAACATCTGGAAACTTTGAGTAAAGACAGATCATGGCAAAGTTTTATCACAGATTTAGTACTACTTTGCAGTCATGGGTAGGTCGGGGAAAGACGTTGATTCTGCATAAAGCAAGTTTTTTAACTTACGTGCAATATAAGGATATGCATGGATTTGTATTATTGGCCATGGCCATGCATGCAGCCTTTATTTTGGCTTCTGGACTATTAGTTTATTAAGATGCTTCAATTTATTTAGCTCACTAAGGTGGTACGTCGTAGAACAATTCTTTCTTATGGCAACCAGGTGTTCAGCTGGACACAGACCCTTGATATTTCTTATTACTTTATTATTTTCTGTTTTAACGGTAAGTTACTTTGGATATCAAGGTTGTCTTGCATTTTTCGCACAATGCGACTATAGGTCAAAGAAACCACTACATAACGGTCTATACTACAAAGTTCCTTGTTATTTTGGATATTAGACCAGTCTTAAAAAAGTAATTACTTGCAGGAAAGGTCGAGATAGACTTTACAACTCCGTGGAAGCGAGTAATGTAGTTGTTACAATTTAAGGTTTTAATGCCTATTTCTGTATATTATTCATCTCTCTACAGACAATTGTGGAAGATAATCCTGGAACAAGTGGCGAATATTTCACTCTCCTTTCAAAGTGAGTCAAAATATTATTTTTCGTTCAATGGCAGTATATTACATTATCATCGAGTTAAATAGATTAATAGCTAATGCATTTTACATGCAAAGACTCCCAGGCTGCTAATTGCACATTAAGTCACATTCCCTACATGTGAAGGGTTTCCCTGTCAATTATCAAACCACGTGTTTTCAATCGTAAGTATAATGACGTCTGTCATCTGGTACCAATACTTTTGAAGTGAAAAGGGGGTCACTGGGGGCCGCCTGGTGAAAAGCGAATGTTTACTTGACCATTTCTATCAGCTGATCAGAGAGAGAATCATGAGCAATATCTCGAAGAAGGCCAATGTTATGTTATGTTCTTTTAAAGGTTGTTAAATTTTGCTCACACAATCAATGCCCCGTATTCAACAGCGGAGAAGTTACTAGCAAATGAGATCCAGTGGTTAAAGAAAGCAAAGGTTGGTTACTGTATATTAAGGAGGCTATCCTCCGTCTCGATCGATCTACTGCATATGGAGGTCTTTATAGTTTATACAACTTTACCAACTATAGGTTTTAACGTTGAAGGGACTGTCCTCCATAAATGCATGTGCTGGATATATATTGCTCTCCCACAATCCTAATTTGTACCAGACACGCCAAAAAACTCAATTTTATCTCAATATTTTTAGGCTGTTAAAAACGGCCAGCCTTTTAAAAGCGGTCTTTTGTTTGCGACTGTGTAAGACAGCCTAAACAGGTGTTCAACTATAGCTGGCTACGACTCCACTTCTCTTCGGGCATCAAATACATCTTGATTTTAATATTCCCTGCAATGTAATAGGTGGAAAAGTGATAAAATATTCTGTGAAAATTCTACAGTGATATTTCTCATCTTATGTGTTCTTTGAGGTCGTGTTAACCTTTTGAATAAGTTATAACTCTCATGACATCGAGCTTTGAACAAACTATTCTGCATATTTAGGATCTGGTAAAATCAACTGGAAATAGCGAAGCTGTTGCAGGATGTTTACTCGAAGGACATCTACTTATTACAAGAGAACTGTTGTTGTTCTTAAGTCCTACAAAAAAACATCATGTTGGTTGTCACTCCGGTGGTCCTTGTCTAGTTAAGGTAGCTTAATGAATTAACGTAACGTGGATGATGCTTCTCAATTCTCTACGTTTAGATCCCAACTAGGAGAACCTTTTAACTAACGGCGAAATAGATCTAACACTTTATGACCACTTTTAAAACTACTTAGACCAAAATACTTCGCATTATTTACTTTTTTCTATTACATTTAAGGAACTGTTGGATGAGTTTATTTTCCCTGCATCTAAAATCGTTATTGAGTCAAGAAAATACGGAGGTAACGTTAATAATTTATTAGAAGCATGCAGTCAACGACGACAACATCGTCCAAACTATTAGACGAAATTGGACATTATTAGATGAGAGTTTTCAATACTAACATTAATGTGCCACGTAACTACGAACTTAGCATTTTTTTTCTCGGCTAAATATGTAATGTACGTAATTCAATATTATTGTACCGGGTTTAGATGTTTGGGATAAACCGGTCATCGCTGTATGTAATACCTCACCAACTCTGGTTGCGGCGTTTGAGTTACTGGTTTCATTGTGTGCTGGTTGTATCGAAAACATGCAGTATGTTTCTAATGCTCTCACAGAATTGTATTATTCAGGTAATAAATAAATATGCTTTTGTAATTTTTAGTATAGAACGTTCTGTGCAAGCACACCATATTAGCATATACATTACGAATGCATTTTTTATCACTCCTGACAGGAATTCTGGTTTTCAGTCTTTGATCCCTATATATTGAAACTTAAGTGCGATTCTTATTTTCCCCTACCTGTATGTAGTACAGTTCCTTATGCAGCGCATAGATTCATGCGCCCCTGTATCACATTGCATAGCAATTTAACCAACTGCGCTAGCTACATAATAACCATGATATCTTAAGCTTCAAATTCTAGTCGCTTAGAATAACTTTATGATTAATAACTTTTGTTATGTCCACAGGAAATGATATGCCACTCTTGGAATGGGAATATACTCCTCCTATTGGACCACGACCTATGAGAGGTTTTGTTGGATTGAAAAATGCAGGAGCGACATGCTACATGAATTCTGTCATTCAACAAGTATGTTAATGTACTAAACTAGGAAAGAAAATTACAAGTATATTGGTCTATTTCTAACCCTCTCAAACACCAGAAACACGTATCTAATTAGGGGCCTTTATACCAAACCAACTGCTTTGCACTCACTAATGCCAAAGCTGCTCATCCATGCTTGTTTATTAGTACTCCCAGACCCGGTAGGTTATTGTCAATGATTTATGTGTTGTCGTAAGTCTCGTGACGCTTAGTCCTACGCTTTTTGTACTGTAGATATTTATGATACCCAAAGTTCGAGAAGGTATCTTAAATGTGAAAGAAACATTAACACTTCAAGACGAGGAATGTTTGAATGAAGACGAGAAAGCTGAAAGTGAAAGTACCGCTGACACGGGATATCATTCTGAAGATTCTAAAGACAATAATGAGAAAGATGAGAACAGAGAGAAAGAAGCAAAACTTAACTTAAAATATCAAACATCGATATTGAAACAATTGCAGTTTATTTTCGGGCATCTCAGTGAAAGTCAGCTGCAATATTACGTTCCGCAAGGCTTGTGGAAAACATTCAAGTAAGTTTTGAATATAGTGAATGTCATGCAGGGGTAGTGGTTGACTGTAGTTTGATATCTATAGTGAGCTGTGTATGTACCTAGGAATCCTTCACTGTAGCAGATATTATATTATGTTTGTGCTAATATATTTGTGCTAATTCAATTAACTATAGTGGTCCGCTAAGAGCAGTATATATTTCACATCTTACTAATTGATTCCTACTAAGCGCTCTGAACAGAACAATGAACCTTCATTTTGGTCGCTGTAGTAGTTAATATCAACTGTAAGAAATATTTAAAAACGTCCATTTCTTTTCCTCTCCAGGTATCAAGGTGAACCAGTAAACCTCCGTGAACAACACGACGCTTTAGAATTTTTTAACAGTTTAATTGACATTTTGGATGAAGGATTGAAAGCAGTAGGTCACGAGCCTGTTCTTATCCGCGTACTTGGAGGAACATTCGCCGATCAAAAGATATGTAAAGGTTGCCCTCACAGGTTTGTACTTTGATAATACCACTGGCAGAATGTGTCGTTTTTCGCTCTTTATCGTTTTCTTCGTTAAATCAGCTTAATCGTTTTAATGATTGATCGTGTTGTCAAATTAGGTTGATATATACAGAAATATAGGTGCCAGTGATGGTCTTTTTATTCGAATATACCACGGCCCTAAATAGATGCGATGATAAATAGGGAAGGGGGTGCCTACTGCATAGTCACATATTCGTTCTGCATGAATAACTTATATGCGTTTAATTCAATATATTCAGTATACTGAATATATTGTTTTGCACCTTACTCGACATTAGTACGACGTTCAGGCGATGTCGGATTATTTGGGGTGTGTAAAAATTGTGCTACATTCGATCCAGTCTTAAGATGACGATGCGAAATTTAACATAATGTAGGGATAGTAATCATTTATATTCAAACTACAATTCAAACCTTTCCCCTAACGCTAAAACACCTTTTTTATAGATTTTCGAAATTGTCGCACCTGACGCACCAGGTGTAAAAGCCTATCCATGAATGATCTCCCAATTAGTTGTAGATCAATGACAATTAGGTACTATCCCTGATTTGTTATCGTTTAGATACTCCAAAGACGATCCATTTATTGCACTTACCATTGATATTCGTAATCATCAAAACCTCATCGAATCACTTGATCAGTTTGTTAAAGGAGACCTCCTCGAGGGTGCCAATGCTTATCATTGTGATAAGTGTAACAAAAAGGTGGGCAGAACTGTAGTTTTTTTCCAATTTTGATTAGATTTTCTCAAGATTGCGTGCATCCAATTATGTCTCCTTAATTGTATATGTGCTTACCAATTGTAGCATATCAATAGAATAGGAATCAAAGAGCTCAGAGAAATGACACAGCTCTCTATTCCTTGCTGAATTTGTACAACTTACCTGGAAGATTCTTCCCACTTGAATGTGTTTTGCTATTTACCCTGATTCAGAAAATATAGTTTATATGAATATAGTTCTGTTTATTCCCTTGTGATATTTATTTAAGGTTGACACTGTAAAGCGAATGTGTTTCAAAAAATTGCCTAAAGTATTAGCTATCCAGCTCAAGAGATTTGACTATGACTGGGAAAGGTAAAAATGATTTTATATAGTCGTACATAAGAAGCGACGCTTCGTAAAAAAAAGGAATAAGTCCAAAATAGACCGAGTGCGAAGCTCGTCTAAAACCTGTGTTTGTAGTTTCTCTAATGAGCGTAGCAAAACAGGAAGATTTTTCTGGCGTCCTTGTGAACTATACTGATTCATTCTGTAAAAACAGTCAATCTGGTCCTGAGACGATTGCTGGCAATTTGAGTGTTTTAAGATTACAGTGTCTAAATATACCTGCATATTGATATTTTAAATCGGCATATCACGGAGAAGGAAAATTTTGCTACCATCCTTAATGAAACATTGCCATTTGAGATCCAAAATAGGCACCGATCGTACCATCTAGTCGTTAAAATAAAACACTCTGTGTTTTACAGAGTCATCACTATCTTAGGAACACTAATGACAATTGTGTTTCGTAACTACATATTTAAACCAATGTTAAAATCATCATTAAGTCTGGTCCACACTTGTCATAGGAATATGGGATTTCCTTTGTTTGAGGTCACAAAAATCCTTTGTCTATTGGAAAGTAATACAGTGGAAGGCCTTAAGCTGACTCTTACGACAAATTTAGTTTTGCAAAGTGATCCTACTGTAGGCCGGTCTTTGCACCATCGGGAAGACGTCAGTCGTCAGGACAATGCAGAGTTCCCCAAGCGCCATTTAGAGATGATTCATCTTTTCGCTAAAATAGAATGGAATCTTCCCCTTTCCCCTCCCCTCCCCCTGTATTGGTTACGCAACTGGCTGTGAGGTCACATGTTCTCTTGAATGTTTTTCTTGTCAGGGATGTCGCTGTGAAATTTAATGACTACTTTGAATTTCCAAGAGAGTTTGACATGGAACCATATACCGTGGAAGGACTGGCAAGAATTGAAAGTATGTCTTTATTGTTTTTCTTCGTACGTAATGTCCGAAAAAAGTAAATCTCAAGAGTGGATATTTCATAAGTGTGTAATTTCTGAAACACATATGCACATCATGCACTATATAGCACTCGGTGTCGGGACCATTTTCATCCAATAAAGGTAATATACTCAAGATTATTTTGTTGATTGTTCAAAAAGTTGATCATTGTTCGACTTTATACAGGTGAAACCGCGGCAGAAGACGAGAACGATGTTGATACTGAGAACATTCCTGATGACAACGGCAGAGAGCATCCAAGTACAAAATATCGTTTAGTAGGAGTAGTCGTACATAGTGGACAAGCATCTGGAGGCCATTATTATTCATATATTAGGTATATGTATATATAGCTCAGTGGCTAGATGACTTGCTGATGTTATTAATAATAAGTTCATGTGCACATGATTGTCGTTCAATATTGACTATAACAAGGACAGCTAAATTACGATGATCTTTCACAGTTTATTACGATGTATAACAACCAGCCTTTACATATATTTAGAACTACGACTCATGGGTATACCAATTGGTTTAAATTTGATGACGGAGATGTTAGTGATTGTAAAATGGACGACGATGAGGTAATGAATTGTGCGCGCTTTTTACTTTGATACACTAAGTAAAGTCACCTTTCAGTAGGGAAGATAATTCTTCTCAGGATGGAGATCATGCCCACGCCCGTGAGCATAAGACCACACACTTTGCCAACTATGCATATTTTGTAAAGGAAATTTAATCTGTAATAATCTATATCCATCATTTCATTGGAATAATTTTTTGTACGTTACTGTATTGTAGGAAATGAAAACACAGTGTTTCGGAGGTGAATATATGGGCGAAGTATTCGATCACATGATGAAAAGGTTAGGTTTATTGAAGACACGTGAAAGAATTGTTCAAAACTGCCGTAATAACCATGCATGCAGTTCCTTGTTTTTACATGCATATTTGTTCATTAGATTAAATTAAATCTCTTTAAATACATAAAAATATTGTAGAATGTCATATCGACGTCAGAAAAGATGGTGGAATGCCTACATTTTGTTTTATGAAAGAATGGATGATCCAGATAACTACGGCAACGTCGCACTCACGAAAGGTGAACCTATTTTGGGCAAAACGAACATTTCAACAATCACACATCATCAAAATTATAAAAAAATGTTATCATTTATCTATATACAATTAATGTCCGATTTTATCATGCGTCCCCCATTTATAACGCGCTATTTAAATAGTTTAATTCATTTGCTGATTTATTTAAATTTAGATTTGAAAATTCCTCCTGTAATTGAACAAGAAGTTAGGAAACAAAATATGGAATTCTTACATAATAGAATACAGTTTTCAAATGAATATTTTGAATTCATTAGAAAACTAGTTACCGTAAACATTAACATTGACTCGGTAGGTGTATGAAAGTAAAATTATAATTGCGGCGCTTTGGAGCATTTTGATGACGAATGTAGGCTTGATCTAGATTTTTAACAATTGTAAATCCTTACAGCACTTGAGATTATTTGACATGTTATGATCTGTCGTTTATTAGGAGGATAGCGAAGATCTTGCTTTAATCAGCATAACATTATTATCAAAATTTCTTTTCACATGCGGATTACGTACAAAGAAAACGATAAGGTATGAACTATGATAGATGTTTTGGGTTTCTAAATTTGCAATTTTCCTCAACTTTAATTAAAAACATTATATTTGCATTTTGTTCACTTGAAGGAAGTCACGAACAATATATTCGCGCGCAAACGTGGGAATGATTGCTTCATATTCCTGTGTTAACCATATCATCTCCAAAACTTCACTGTAAATCACTAATATGAACTTTAATGACAAGTTAAGGTGCTTTTTACTTCGGACCAAAATATCTAAAAGGGTTTCAGAAGGAAGTCTCGATCCCCTTACACCTGGTTAGATGTTTCCGCCATGAAAATATTTAACGTGGTCTGGAATTCAGTTAAAAACGCTGTGTATCGATTCTTTGAGCTAAAAATGTAGTTAGAAAAGTAGTTAACTTTTAACTATAGTTGGTGAAAGAATATCGACCAGTCAGAATCGTGCATTTCTGAATTCTGAATTAAATACGATTTAACTACACAAAGGCTGTAGGTTGTACGATGCCTATCATGTAGAGTCACACATGCAGAGACTACCTTTTCTTTATTGTTTATTCTGTATTCCCATGATAGAGGTCCTGCAGGAGATTGGTATGAGGCATTAACTGGATTATTACGTCAGAGTAAAACTGTTCGTCTGTGGTTTGCTCAAAACGTTTTGTTTGCACATCCAGAAAGAATTTCAGAATATCTTTTAGAATCACCAACAGCTGAGGTAAGGGCAAAATATTTTATAAAGGAGACTGAGGTACAAATAGACCAGAACGAACGAGTGGGCTTTGAAAACTGTGTTTTAGAATGCCTATATTGTCAGCGAAAACAAATCATAATGTGTTTTATATAATCCACAGGTGCGTACGATGTTTTCAAAAATGCTGGTATTCTTATGTCGTGTGTCAAGAGCAGATGGAGAATGCGATCCTCCGTACGTTTTGGAGGAAAAACAACTTGATTTAGATAAAGGTATAGGTTTGTTTACGTATCATGACCGTGCTCCCGCTAGTTATTTGTATTTAGCAAGTTGTAAGGATTTTTAAATTGTCCATATCTGGCTGCAGGTTCTGTTAATGCATTTCATTGATCTATAGTGGAATTTCATAGATTGAGAATGCTTTCTCTTCCCTTCCTACCGAAATCAGAGCCTTCGATACTTGAGATTGCCCAGATTCACTGGAAATTTTTTTCAAAATTTGTACTATGGAAATTTGCTATACCTATACTGTTTCAACACTATATCCATAGTAGGAAATGGAAATCAGTATCGATTATAAATTCCATACTATTTCCATAATGTGGATTTTGAAAAAAATTTCCAGTGATTGAAAATGCCATTCAGTGATATTTTACTGACTCCGTGATATGCGCAATTAAGTGAGGGCGGCGATCCTGGTTACCATTTCATGCGTTAATGTGTTCTTAGGCATTTCAAGGACAATTCTTAGTGAATATCTACTGCGTGCTGTACTGAAACTACTACATAAAGAAGTGCCGGAAAATGGACGAAATTTACATCAATATTTTTCCTTCTTTTGGACGTATGCTAATCTTGGACTTGCCGAGGTATCTATAACCTATTCCTTCTGCATGTTTATTACCTTTTATAGCAAACGATCACTGTTTAGTAGGAACAAGTGCAGAGTCTATACAGTGCTCTTTTCGTAACCCATTTATTTATTATGTCATACTGTTGTATTTAGGCTTTAATTCATAGAGCTAGATATATAGTTTACTGCCACTACATACCTCGTAGGATTTTTACCTGTGTATCCTATATCGCCCATAATCTATCGAAATTGCGCATAGTCGCACTGTTTGTGATTAAGGCCCCATTTTCACTATACCGGATTGCTTCCGGAGTGGGTCAAATTTTCTAGCTATTAAAAGGCAGCAAAAAATTTTACTGTCAGAGATCGCAATCAATAGACCAAATCTATCAAACTAATAAGCATTTGCTTCTAACCATTGCCCTTAAAGGCAAACGAAGATATCGTGATAGGTGAATCCGGTAGAGTGTAAACGGGGCCTAAGTGGTTTGGTTGTATATTCTTTCACTCTCAAAAATCGCTGTGGTCAAGAATATAGAATATCAATGTTTCATTTGTCTTGCAGAAAAAACAGTTGTTAGATCTGAATGTACCAGCGTTATTTATTCAAGTGGCTCTGGATGAAGGTCCAGGATTATCGATTCGATATCAGTATCCTGAACTGGGAAAACTTTATGCAGTTGTTTCCGTTTTAATTCGATCATGTGATGTTTCCAGTAGATGGCAATCCTCCAAGGTATAATTTACTTACTCAAAAATAAACACTTTTGTGGCATGTTACGAGTTACATAAAAACGAGGCATGCGAGGATTCTTATTTTTGTCAGAACGGCCGAATAAAAATAAATATAAAATGTAACTAGCCTCGTATAAACTCGGGACAGTCCTCGATGTGGTATGTGACGGAGAAGAAATCCCTCTTTTTTTTTGGTAATATGCACTATCAACCGAAAGATTCCTCAGTTTTCACGTTCGGTTCATATCTGCTATTTAGGAGAACGGAGAACCCATTGTCATGAAGGACATGGAAATTATTATGAAGATCCAAGAAAATGTTGATGAGCAAATTTTTGAAAGATCTAAGTACGAATATTATATGTTCATTTTCGCAATCATCCGTACTTCTGAATTTTTAGGATTTTAGCTACCGTGTTATAAATAGCCGTGCCTAAACCAAGTCCCAGCTCATCTTTGCTCTTTCTTAGCTATGTGAAGAAGTTAATTGAAAATCACACCGAGGCTGAAGAAACTGTGCAGCTGTTGAAGGTCAGTTTACCAAAAAATACATGCGCAATGACTTTCGCGCTTTTATGCTCATGAATGGCTGTTGTTACCGGACTGTTGTATACCCGTCCCAAACTCTGTAAAGACAATTTTTCACAGTCCGTTACGCTAAAAATATATAGATCTTTAGGAGACGTAGTCTAGATATTTAATATCGATATGCAATTTTTTTATATTTTATCGTTATCCTTTTACACTTAGCATTGTTGCTGGGAAAATCCCCATTTCTCGTGGTTAGTTTTAAAGGAAATCTTATTCCAGGTATTTGAATAATTTCTTGAAAAGTTTCTTGTGCACAGCACTCGTAGTGTCGTCTGTCGTACTGTCTGAGAAGTATGCAAATGTTAGCCATTATTTTGGATCTGCGCAACTCAATTGCAATTTGCAAACGCGACGCGAATTTTAGTTTTTATGGAGAGAGTAAATTTGATCCTGAAAGGATATTTTGGAACACAGACGAGCCAAAATGTTCTATCAAATGATTTGCGGAAGAATCACGCCAAACATTTCTATCATTCATGAACTTAATAGACATGTCAGAACAAGTATGAATATAAAACCACAAAATTAGAATCAAGAAAACGACTTGATGATAACTATTCAATACCAAAACCACAAGTCACATCTGATTTATTAATAGTGTTTTTTTCCGCAGCTATCTTGCTCCTACACGTATGAAATGAGACCTTTCGTTGATCTATTATTGGAAATGACACTTCTAAACGATTCGTGGCAAAAACATCGTGTCGTCAACATTTTAAAAGGTTTGTAGTGTAGACGTGTGGGCTCCATATGCATTGCACTGTTTGCATCATAATTGCCAGATCTAGAGTTGTTAATCCAGTGTATTCCCCCGCCTAACTCAGGCTAATCTCCCAGAACTATTTAACACTTCGGGCACTCATGCATAACAGATAGAATTAAACCTCAGGGAAGTATAAAGCCAATCAAAAATAGGTGTAGGCCCCGATGATGGAGGATAATGTGACCAAAAAACAAGTACCGTGAAATTGGATAAATTTGATTCTTAGGACTGAAAAGTGGATCTAATTTTAACCTGATTCTAAATCCAAATCTCTCCTCAATAATGGATTTCTAGAAAATGTGTTTATGTTAAAAATCTCAGATGTTTCTCGTTAACCATTTTATATCAATTAGGAAATCTCGCATCATGTATTAATTGAGAAAAATGTGTTAACATATTGCAGGAAGTGATGGAAAAGAAGGTTTATTTGATACAATTCAGCGATCAAAAAGCCATTATCATAAACGTGTTTACCAATGCATCAAATTTTTAGTGTCATTATTTAGCCAGTAAGTCAATTATCATAATCATATAACCGTATTTATGGATTTATATGCAGGATAAGTCAATTATGATGAACAGGCAAGTTGTTGAGCACTGTCTTTCATCTTTCAGTTGCCAGATGGCTTACCAAATTGTGATTGATTCACCTGATTTTAAGCCAAAATGGACTGCTGCTGTTGAATGGCTTAATGATGAACTTGAACGGGTAATTGTGGACCATAACGTCTTGTTTTAATGTTAAGTTAGATGCTGTTGCTTGTGTCATTGATAAAACTTTTATTCTACCCACCATGTTCTAGCTTCCGATCACAATTCTATTTAATATTTTCTTCTCTGATTTTTAATTTTAGAGACCTTTCGGTGCATCGAACGCCTACCCGTACAACAATTGGTCACCGCCAGCACAATCGAATGAAAGTTCGAATGGGTGAGTATCATATTCGGTGTTTGAAGGTAAACATTTTGGAACAGCTGTCATGTTGATATTATTTAATAATTCATATTTCATACCTCTGAGGTATATGAGAGAACTCGCTACTTGTAACTAGTTGTCTCGCGATAGCTCATTGGCAAAGCGGTGGCTGGTATATACTTTTTATTCCATATATCTGTGGATGGTTTTTAAATGATAAGATAATTGAATTTTTCTTACGTATTTCTAGGCGAAATTATTTCTCTTTTTTAAATTAAATTTGTATAAGATCTCGCAGATTCTAAGTTTTTGTACTTTAGGCATTTTTGGCCTGACGCATCACATTATAAGCCCGTAGGTAATCCGGATTAGAAATATTTCTCATATTAATTGTCACGCAAAAGGATTTGGTGCAGTATCCTTCACAATAACCGTCCATTTAATCAAAGTAATGACTTGATGATTTTTATTTAGGGTTTTTCTTGAACGCTCTCAAAGTGCAAGATTAACTTTACAAAAAGCGTTTGAATTTGTTCCGGAGGAGGTAATACAAACATTTGCGTATGCTTTATCACAAACTCGGTTAGGTCATTTATCCTGGTTTCGAATTTCAGTTGCGTCTTTTCCAAAGACTTCGTCTTTTTTGTAGGAACAAGAAGAAACTGAAGTGGAAGAGGTGACAGAAAGTGAAGTAACTGAAGAGGAAACATCACCGGAACGACAATCTAACGTTGCTGCGAACCAATCAATATCCAGTGTTTCTGGCCAATCAAGTTCAACATATCCTCTGAGTACGGATCAGTCATTGGATGATGATGATCCAAGTTTAGATGATACAGATAAACCAGATAATGAGGTAAACCAAGAAAAATCCGATTAAATTATTGATATGATCAAACATAGTGTTCAGAACCTGCTTCTCAACCTTCGGATATGAGTGGGTTGTAATAATACATCGAGAAAGCTAATTTCTCGTTGGATCCAAATCCAGACTGCACTCCGGCGCTGTAATTCTTCGTACACAATAGATCTCTCTCGAGAGTGCATATGAGACAATAGTAATAGCTCGAAGAGCGTCATTTTGCTTTCCAAATTCAAGCTGTAGTTTTGTATGTATGTTTCGAGGTGTCTATTATTTTAAGAATTTCATTGTGTTACTAAAACTTGATATGTGAGGCCTTTCTTTTGTTGTGATATGCCTTCAATTCACAAAATGCCCACAAGAGATTAAATAGAGGATAAACAACTTTGTTTTTGAACAACCGTCAAATATCGTCCACATTATAGTTTGCATTATATTTTAAATGTGTCTGTTTATACAATAGAAATAAAATGATCATTTTATATGTTCGATCGTTGTTCGATCATGTTGTTAGTATACATTGAATGTCTCATAATGTTCATAATTTTTTAATTCCATCCATCTGTCGTTTCTCGCTTAACATATATTTATACTTTCTGAGACCGGGAAATGCAACTCATCATTCCTATTTCTATGACGTTTCTCTCGCTGATTTTCTAACGGGTTTTTTAGTATTTTGTTATTACATGTTACCATTGATTGAGAAGGAAGGTATCCATGCTCAGTAGGACAGTTGTTTTTCCATCACACTCAATAAATGTATGCGTAGGTCTTATGTCTATGTCGGAGATGCATGTCATGATCTCAAAATGTTCAATTCCTGCTTAAATTATATTTCTGCTGCTGTCGTATGAAAGAATGAAAAAATTAAGGGCAGGTCCAAAATGAAACTTCCCACCCCAAAGCTCACTCGTATTTTTTACACCAGAAAGGAGGTAAATCTACTATAGACAACAACGTATATAATTTGAATCTTAAATGAAGCCACCTGGGGCTGATAGTCGACGAAGACACTATAGTAAATTGAGCCTTAAATATCCGTCTCCTCATATATAGTTTCAGTTTCTGTTGGACATGTTTATATTAAAAATGTCTAATTTAGAAGATAAAGTACTAATTGCCATTTCTTATCACTAATGTCATTGGTAATTTGTTAAACTATTTTTTTTATCACATTGAATTAATTTAAATTCCTTATTAAATCATATTTCTTGTTGTTTGTCGTAGGAGTGTTTCAAATTTGCATTTTTTTCACGTGTGATTGCAAATGCTGTCTTTATTTCTGGTATTTGTCTAATGACATCGCGTCCTTCTAACACAATAGATTGATTCTCTTTATATCTTTAGCCAAACTCACTCTGACAGGTCGTATATAAGCACCTTTTTATGATCGCAAAAAGCACCTCGTAGTAACGAAAAAAGAAATAATAAGTATATATTGGTTTCACAAGATACTCATCCTATGGATCATATAGTGTATTAGATTCCCATTGTTATCGGGTCATTTTTTCGGCGTTATAATGTAGTTTACAAAAAAACAGGGAAAAAACAGATCGTATATTTATTGGCGGAATGGCCAATTTACGGTAATGTCAATTCGGGAATTGTCTGTTTAATTAAGCAAGTTTCCTGCCAGGGCCAAGAAACGTTTGAGTTTCTTCGCGTGTGTCCCTTCGTTAGTTTCTCATCAGGGTCTCCCAGATGTAAATCATTTATGACTATGTAAGGTATTTGTAAAATTTGAAATCGATATGAATTCTTTGGTATGCATGGGACTGTAGACATCTTAAGTACATGCAAATCGGATTTTATTCCAAAGCAATTTCACTAATGACATAAACAAAGTTTCGAAAGAACATAACCCGATTAAGGCCTTTGGTAATTACTCGAGGCAACAAAGCCCTACAAAAGATGCAGGTAATCCATTATAGGCCTAATAAAACGTCAAAAATAAGCAGGTCCACGGTTGAACATTAGCGTGAAGACTTATTTCTTTACTTTATTTCAAAATATATGACCAACCTCTTGGTTTATTTGAAACCGGAAGACGTTTTAAATAGATTTATATAATTATAGCATTAGCTATTTGAAAAGGACTGTTAACAATTGAATAGACCACATCAAGTGGTTCCACCGCATGTGTTCTAATGTTACCTGTTAAAGCACGCTTTTATCTGCCACTAAATCTTTCTAAGTCATGTATGAACGCCCTTTCTTTTAAAGATATTCCTATCAAATTGAAAGCACGTGTTGTATGAAATATCGAAGAATAGAATATGTTTCTAATTTTAATAGTTTGCTAATGGCTTTTAAGATAAACCAATTTGACAGACATAACTTGGCTAATTAGCTACATTCACGGTACCAGAACAACATGTTAATTACACAGCATTCCGCTTATTGTTTTAACACTTGTTTGAAACGCATAGAAGTTAGTACTGTTTTACTTTAACACTGCGAAAGCGTTACAGGAGATCTACAAAGAAACGAGAACTATACAAAGCCTTCAGTTCAGGTAAGATTTAGATTCCGTCTCAATTTATTTTGTCATTAAACTCCTGCATGAGAGCAAATTTGCAACATTTTATTTTGAATTATTTTGATTAGCATTATCCTTCAAATATATAAACAACGTAATAAAGACAATCATAACAAATTCTCTTGTAATTTTAGTTTTGTCTTTAAAACGCGAACAGAATGAAAATGAATGAAATATTTCAAGGAATAAAACACAAAGCACGATTGTTTGACAAATTCTCGTCTTATCGGCAGTAATAAATTTCATTAAAGGTACTAAAGTCAATATTACATGCAATTATATCATGCAAGTAATGAATTTGGCGTTGCACAAATACGACACTGTCTGCCGAGAGCCACAATTCCACTCTACTCGACGACCCATGTAAGATTTGCTCTCCGTCTGTGGAACATCAAAATTTGTTCGATTAAAACGGCACCTTACAGGAAATGCATTTTAACAACGTAGCCGTTCATTGCAAAAAAATGACCGTTGTATTTGCTATAGCCAGGTTAAATTTTGGCCTGATTCCTATACGGATTGAATTACTTTAAATCCCAAAGCAATGCTCGGTATTGTACTTCAAGTTTTCCTGTTGCACTTACTTTCCTTAGAACGATATTATATCTATACTTCCTAACAAGTTTTGACAAAGTATTTTGTCGGCAAACAATTCACTTTTTATTAAACTCTGTATATGAGAAGTATCGCCTTTTATTAAATGATTGTAAAATAATGATCTGTCTGACAGCTTTATTATTGAGGATGTATTAGGAAATATGGATTTCTGAAAATCGCACTGTAAAATTGCTTTGGGCTGAGACTGCCATTTATATAGCCATAGGTCAAGACAAGAAAGAGTAGTACCTGTCTTTTAAATTCGTTTGAACCAGTAAGGCTTTATTCAGTGTCTGTCTCGCCCTCGACGTAGTTATAGATAAAAGCACTAATGAGCTCAAAGTTCTAAAAAGAGCTAATTGAAGCTTTAGGTTGTGTTGTCTTCTCGATTTTGCTTTTGAGTTAGGTACAGCCATGGGAGCATTGTCTATCGTACGTCTATGACATTAATTTTTTTGTGTATCAAAGAAATTTAGTAACTATGTTGTAACTAAGGTTAATTCGCTCTTATACCATGAGTGTCACTGTATAGCTTTCACTATTATTTTGCGAAATATACAGCTATTTCCAGATGATTCTAGTATAGTATTGACGACTTCACTCACTATTTTTACACCTAATAATAATCCCACAATGCCGTACGTTGCTTCGAGCATATTCGGAAACTTCGAGATTCAAATCGCTAAATCGCTATGGGTTCGATTGAGTGGTTGACATATGCCGCTAAAAACATCTATTGGCCTTGGACCATATAGGTACGGGGTTTGGTGCAACTATCCGTTGATGATGAAAGCCTATCAATAAAATTTTTCAAAAAATCCCTTCGTTTTAATAATAGCCAAAATAAGGGTCAGTTACCTAAAAGCAGGGTGTGATATTATTCGGTAAACGCAAATTTTTTACGTATACTGATCTTCTTATTCCAAAATTTCCTTAAAAAACGGGGTTTCATGCAATATGCAGTTTTATTACTGTGTTACACTGTCTTCAGACTGTCAACAACGAGGAAAGTCTTTATCTCGACTCGAGCGGGTTTTAAACTCGCATCTTCGGTAGTGCTGAAGTAGGATTGCATTTCATTTCATGACAAGGATTAAGTCATCACGAAAATATTTCGTGCAATTAATTTGGATCAAACTGGTTTCTAATCCAGAGAACATTGTAACAATCGCGTGCCTGAAAAAAATATCTTAAGCAGGTTTCCACTAGCGATATTTTTTGCGCGAAGCGACTTTATTCCTTCGTATTTACGAAAATTATCGCTAGTGGAAAACCGGCTTTAGTCTTGACTATATTTGCATGGCAAAATATCATTTTTGTCTAGAGAGATATATTACAGACTATAGCTGTGACTATATAACATATTTATTAGCTATAAATACGATTAGCTAACATATTGATTATAATAAGTTCTAAGAATGCAGGGCTCAATACGATTTTTCAATTTCTGAAAACCACCCTCTTGCATATAGGTACAAGCAGAGGTTGAAAAATGTCGACAGATCTTTGCTATAAATTGCGGAGTTGATTGTGATGTAAATAGTTACACGGAAACCTCTGTTTAGAATTAACATTTTCATTAACAACTTTGTCCATATGTCTGCATTTATTCCATATGCATGAAATTTCACAAGCAACCATGCATTGATCCACTTATGGCTTGCCATGGGGTAATATTTACCAGTTTTTCATGCATCGATTTACATATATATTCATTAAAATATACGCATAAGGTCGACAAACTAGACATAAGGCCGTTATAGTTTCTTGTCCTATAAAAAGCAAAGGCTCTAGTATGCAGGCCTGTACATTCTTCTGGGAAAATAAGATTGAAAAAACTCATAAATCATAGTTGACACAAAGCATTTTCAAAAACCTAATAAATTTGTGAATGAAATGAAACCCTGATGACATACTTCGTAACCCTAAGACTAATTTAATACTAAATGCTATTTATTTATGAACTGTCTTCTGTCCGTAGGATACAGTAACAACTGTTCCTGGGCGCAGCATATACCTAAGAGCACTTACAACACTGAAAACTTGGAGATAATTAGGTAAGTAGATCAGATTTTAAAAAATATATATGTATAAGAATATTACAATGCGAAAGATAACATGTCTTTTGTAGCCAGGGATGGCTGTTTGGGTGCTGCCTAAAAACGCTTGCATGCATGCTTGAAATATTTTCATTTATATTTCATTATAAATCATGCTAAACCCACTATTATATTTATTCAAAGCACATTATTACTCACACCAAAAATACTGTAAAACATTGCATTATTCTAGACAAGGTCTATATTAACAAGCGCTTGTTAATTGACCAGCAGCAAGAAGTTTGTGAATCAGGGGCCGGTCAGTTGTATCGCTTAAACGGTGGTTAAGTTCAAAATAGAAAGCAAGTCTATCGTTTACTCAACAAGCAAACTAAATGTTTTTATCCTTAATACAACGATAATGTTTACAACTAGAAATTCAGTGCATGATATTCAACTTGACTCGTTCAAGAGAGATGTAAGAGTGTTATTTAAATTTGACTTAACCAGTATCCACCGTTTAAGCTAAACCGGCTTGGTACAACCTGCCCCAGTACTATCGAAGTTCTTGCGCTTTGGGGCACTACTTTATAAAGTTTGATAGTGCCGTCGGTTTAAATACGTTTGCTTCGTTTCTCTTAATGTCGACGATGTTAAACCATAAAAGTGTTCCTGGGTTTTGTGTATAGAATGCGTTGTCGGCGTTGTAATTATTTCCATGCCAAATTAATCATACGACCTGAGTCTGAGAAATTTTAGGTTTTGGCACTCCGGAGTTCACTGCTCGTGCACTGATGCAGTGTTTTGAGTATTGTTATGCCAGAGATATATTTATGAACTGAAGAAATCAGCACATTCTGTCAGGCTTGATTATAGGCCTAGTTTATACGTCTGGTTTTGGTCAATTCGAACAATAGATAATGAGATGAAAATGAAGCTAAATGAGGTTTATCGTCTTATTATCTATTGTTTGAATTGCATACCACGCGACGATAATGCGACATACAGGGTGTCCCAAAAAAACTCAAAACCATTGAAATCACTCATAATAATGTATAGCTGGAGTTTGAATGCCTAAGCACCCTGTTGGGACCCACAAGTGTATAAATGTTTGACATAAGCATTTTTATGCATGATGACAGTAAAATTTGTTAGTATTGTTTATACCCAAATGATTTTGATATAACAATTAATATTTTCATTTATTTTTTACTCTACAAATGTGGACAACAATATTTAAAATTTACAACTCAAGCACCATGACCTTCGACATGTCCTTCTTGTCTAGCAAATTTTAAATCTTAATAATATAAGTTATTCAAGTCATTCAAATTTTTACAATGGGTGATTTCAATAGTTTTGGAGTTTTTTGACACCCTGTATAAACTAGACCTTAGTTGAACACTTTTGTTTGCATTAGGCTTTCACACTAGCCCTTTGTTCTTTGTCTCGTGTTTTTTTCGTTTTTTTTTGACGACACTAATACAATTTGGATGGCCTAATTAATATAATATCTATACCAATCCTGCTTTCTGCATGTCGTATTAAAAAAGCTTTTATAGTTAAATGTGTCTTCTCAACTTTTAAACTCGCCCATGAAATGATGCAACATTGCCTTCGATCAAAGAAAGCAATAATAAAAAATATATATCGTAAACTGCATGATATCATACTCCGTGGTATTATTAAACAGCTATATAATCGCGAATTCCTCATGTATACATATCTCCTCCTCTCCTATCATGTCTCCGCCATGCCGAAATTCACTCGTTAAAATAAAAGGATCGTTATTCATATTCGTAAATATCCCAGTAACACTTCTAATCCCTGTTGAAATGACATCATGATCCCCTTGTTTTTTTTATTGTTTTCAACGAGATACTAAATTTTGTATTTCATCAAGTCGTGTTATTAGTCTATTTATTTTATTGTGAGCCTAATGTGATTTGGTTTAGCTTCATGAATGCATGTTAATTCATAAGCAGTTTAAGACATTTATAAATGGTAATCAAATACATTATCCTAACGTGTCGAGTCTAAATGACTTGATTTCAATAATTTTAGTAATTTCACCAACGAATATCGACAACCAAACTTCGGTTGCGTGTCCGTGTTTGAAAACGACCATGAGAAATATGTCTTTCGTCGCAGATCACCAACCATGCAGATACTCTGGGTCTTAGGCCTGTTTTTCACTTCAAGCGCTATCTTATCCCCTCTAGCCCTTATTCCTTTGTCTTAAAATCAATAGACCTACCCGAGTGAGGTAGGTTTAGAAAAAATAAAGATAAATAATTGCAATTAAATTAAAGTTATACACCCAAAACGCTCTAGCTTATGATCCCAGTGATCTTGCAGTTTACGTTTACGCTTTGACATGTATTGTGCAGGTGGCCCCCCTTTGCATGTCTTTTCAGTGAGATCTAATTTACCTGCAATGCCAGATTAGATGCACGCATATACATGCGGTGTGTATGAAAAAATACGATGTATCGAATGAAGTATGCAGTTCTCAATCCTGCCATTTTCCGTGACCAATGAAGTGGAAATAATTTCTCCAACGGCAGAGCAATTTAGGAATGCTGACCACCGCCGAACACAAACTTCTTGAGAACCAGGCTTGAAGGCGGTTCTCAAAGAAACGAAAATCATTCGTTCGTTTTAAAGAAAATGCGAAGAAATGACTGAGAAACATCCTGAGTTCATAGAATTTTCTTGGCATATGAACTACCATTGTCTTTCAACATCGAGGTAATTTTTGCCGAAAAACATTGCGCTATATCCCACCTTCTCATTTTACCGGGTGTAAAAAATGCCCGCAAAAATTTAGCTCTAATTAATTGCAGGATGCATAATATTGTTAGAATATTCCCATTTCCCAACTGAACATGTGAGTATTCTCATAAGAAGGAAGTCAACAACAAAGTATTTAAAGCTTTAATTTTTGCACAGGCATTGAAATGCTACTTGCAGTTCCTATACTTTTGCAGATTTAAAAAATGTCTGCAGTTTTTATACCCCCTGCATAAACCATGAGTCTTGAAGTATACAAGTTCAATGACATTGCCACTAAAGACTAAAATCTGGTTTATAAAGCGAGGTGCAAGACTACCAATTACAGAACCAGCCCACGGTCGACGTCGTCTGGAGTGAACCAAATCACCCTTAATCTGATACTTCATATAAGCCCCTCACCACTGCAAAACCGAGCCTAATCGGCTAGTCAGAGAAAAATTGAAAAGAAATCGTTGACCTGTGCAGGAAATTTCAAAGTCAAAGGTCAAGCATTTCTTCGAAATTTCGTGATTCCTGATTTGAAATTCCTGATTACCCAGGATGCTCTGTGTTGTGGAAAGGACTATTTCTGCAGCCAACTATATGATCGAACTAGTAGCAAAATAATCCATTCGTACGCTCACAGCTCATAGTTTGATCCAGGGCTTGCTAAATCCTGTATATATTTGACTATTTGATATGTACCAAGCAAAAGGCAGCTAAATACTGAGCTATCGGTGCTGTCGATCCACGCTTCTTGGCAGAATTGATATATTTAGGACAGGATGGTAAAATTCGTAAAACTCGTGCCAAATATCCCTAATCTTCTAACAGCAATTTTGGAAATTCGTTATTATATGGCGTAAACGAGTACTAGACTCTCAATTCCATAACCATTATCATATCTGTCAGAGCAACAGGTTGGAAGTTTTGTATCATTATGCAAAACATGACATTTATAAGGAGCGCTGTCACCTTAATGAAACTGCCTGCTATCGTATTAGAGCATAATTTACTTGCAAAGGCCCAGCCTGCAGCAAAATTTGAAGATGGCTTAGTTTGTTAGTTTGTGTGTTGCTCTATCTTTGCTAAATTTAATTATTAGGACCGGGACGAAAGTTAAACTGACAATATTTTGTGAAAAGTGTTTAGAACTGTCTATTTTGCTATCTATTTTCCAAGAGTGCGATCACCTCAGTTAGGCTAGCCGCTAGCTGGAGAGGTGAGCGTCTTCTCTTAGTCTTTACAAAGTGTGGGTATAATTGAGGTAAGTTCTCATGCATGAAGAACGTTATACAATCCTACACGTTCTCATGCGAATTCTTGATGCAGCCAAAGCATCAACCTATAAACCAGATAACACCAGCGACGTGCCACCTTAAATTTCGTTGGTTATGTATATTTATTAAAAAATACTTAAATTTGGCTGCTTCAGTGGTACATAAAACCTGCACTGAGAAATGTAATTTTAACTCTTTAGCTACCAAAAGGGTCGTTAACGACCCTGCTGGGATTTATGTGGATATTTTACCCATATTTGAGGACAAAAAGGGATTGAAAGGGTCTCTGCACTATAGTTAACATATATTGTAGCTAACATGAAGTTCTTCACGTTTTATTTCGAAATTCTTAGTATTTTCAATAAATCTTGTTATTTTTCCTTCGCCATGTTGGATTTACAAAATGGTGGCAAGTTCTCGTTGGCAATTAGACGAAATTTTAAGCGAAATATTAGTTTCTGATCGGGAATTTTACAGAGAAAATGAATCTTTTGCATTTGAAGACTATAAGGAAGCATTAGACATAGGAATGAGTGCAGTTACAACTCACTAACGACGACAATGTTTTACTCTTGAGAGAAGCACCAAGTCGTCATCCTAAGTGTGGAAGATGTGCATCTTGGAGGTACAAGAAAGTCGAAAATTAAACATTTAAGCACACAAAAACTTTAAACTATTGCATAAAGTGTGATAGGTTTCTCTGCAAAGTTGTTTTGAGTTCTTTCATATAAAAAATATGTGTAAGGTAGATTTATTATAGAACAATGTAAAATAATTCCAATTTGGGAAGAATGTGATGACACATTATTCAGCAATAACTGGCCGCTCGTTAACTTATGTATACAGATAACCCATTTTAATTATTCCGGTAGGGATAGGACATTGATATTTTGATGCATTTGTAGGGATATTGTGCATCATTAATTATTTATAGGGAAAGTAATTTAAATTTTTAGTTTTTCTAGCATAAAATTTTATTATTTGTAAATAAGCACATGACTTGTGACATCATACCTTGTTAATTAGCATAAAAGTGAATGCATATAATTAAAGACCTTGTTCTGCAGATTCTAAATATATATAGTTTTGTATATCTAACTGCACTAAAATACCCATTATAAGTAACTCTATGTAACTTCCCAAAAATTTCAAAAATCGGAAAAAATTATCTTGGTAGCTAAAGAGTTAAATGCATCAATCACTAATCGTTTGTAGGAGTGTCTGTGAACTTCTCAGAAACAAAACTTTCTGAACATATAATTATTACTCGGATTACATGCATTATTATATTACATGCATTATTACCATTTAACAATCAATCATTAATATCCAGTTTAACAAGCGTTAACAGATAGCAGCCAAGGCAAAGCCAACGAAAGTTTGTTATTAGAATTTAGATCGACAAACCAGTGCATATTTTATGTATATTTTATTCTCTTAACGTCGAGCATCTTTGGCGTGTAACAAGTCAGATGTTTTTCCGACGACCTGTACACTTTTAACTTTTGCTAAGATACATGCGATGAGCTGTGGACACAGCGAGTAAAGGAAATCACTGCAGTTATGAAAGATAATCCCTTGATTGGCCACATACAAAGGAGGAAAATTAAGATGAATTAATCTTTATTGAATGATTAGTTAAATCCTCAAAGAAAGGTGTATCCGACTCAAGCAAACAGGATTAAACCTATTAAGCTATATTATTCACAGTCGTAATGCCCTCTTAAAATAATCTTACATATAATTGGATATGATTTATGTCTGGCCCATACCGAATCATGCTACAGCAGCCAGAAGGCAGGAGTGGTATCAAATCATCCATCCTGCCATAATTGTTGTGATAGAATTTCTAATATTTCAACACGGTTGAACACTCGAATAATTAGATACTGAGTGAACAATTATACCAGTAGAGGTGATCAAGAGAAAATTTAAGGTATGTGGGGAATAGCCGTACGCATGTATGTTTATCAGCTTACTATGAAGAGGCATGAAACTATTTAGCTCGTAATTATAGTTTAGATATTTATTACCTTTAAAACTACCGTAAATCCTCTTTTTGTTGTCATTTAAATAACCGGCTTTTATCGATCTTAATTAATTATTGATTATTCTCGAGATATAGCCTGCACCGGTCGTTTGATGAAGTTATCGGTCCGTGCACATTTAGGACTGATGTATAATTACACTGATGTATATAATTGACAAGGGGTCGAAGGCGCTATCAACGGTTACGAAGATATATGTTGTTGTTTTCTCTTCAATTGCAGATTTAGTATAATCCGCTAAAACTTGCAGAGATATACAATAGTAATTATAAGACTATTTACTTTGAAATCAAATTATAGATAAGACGGCGAGATTTTCATCGAAAATTAATTTAATACTATCTTCGCTACCGATCTGGGCCGCGACTTAGTTTTTGTTATCGTAATCAGCTTGACCACTTATCTAGTTTGCTTCAAACTGGTCAATGCGTATTTAATAACATGTCAAGGTCATCAAAGAGAGACAAATAGTGTTTATGCATACTTTCCTTTAGAGCCTGGAGCCCAAGCTTGTTAGACTTTCAATTTTTCTTGTGTATATATTAATATATGTTTCCATACTTCACACTTTATCTTGAAGAATGTTAGTTTGTGGCGACAATCAAAACAGAAAATAAAAAATTCTTTACAGCCAATCAATAAAGTGTTTTGTTTTCTATGCAAACATGTTTAGGCATATTTAATATTTTCAAAGATCGGTCGAGAGAATCATTTTATTTTAAAACAAAATATAATACCAAACCTTTCTCGTTCTTAACGGCCCGATCGTAAAATACTTAAATCCTTTATTATTATAACTGGACTTCAATGAACGTCTGAACTCTGAACAAAAATGAATGAACAAACCTATCTAAACTATATTAATTGTTTTCACTATAAAATCATCTCGCGTGTAAGCTAGCGAAAGCAGTCGATCTTTTGACGAAGTTTCACTTTTATTAATATCTACTATAGACTAAAATAAAAGTGCTATGCTTTTGGCTGTACGTTTTATGTCGTTGACGGTTGTCGGTGGATGGGTAAAGGCGGTTGGCCGCAAATGAGTTTTATGTATAGCTTTGCTTTTTGTCGAGACATTCATATAGCTGCCACAGATTTTCACGCTCTTTATTTGTCTATAAATATATCTAAACGTAATTATACTGTTGATCAGTGCTGTTGACATTCAATACGCAGATGTCACATTTGTCATATTGAAGAATTACGTACAATAGAAACCTTTCTTACCTACTGAAAGGCTTTGCTGTCGACAATATGTTTTGAAAGTAAGAGAAATAGTTGTTCTATTGAAACACAAGAAGAAGGAAATTAAGCTGAATTGACCGTTTAAGGAAACTCATAGCCAAGGGGTGTATGGCTAGAGGTCTACACCCCCTGCTCGTTGCCTCATCAGGGACATTTTTTGCACACTGGATTATTATGCATCCATGGATTATACATATGACGATTATAATATATATGACATTCCACATTGTTTGTGTATTGTAGTCTAAAAGAAGACTAGCCTGAAAACATGTGAGTAATAAATAGTTTGTTCATTGACGATGTGATTTAGTCAAATAATCAGCCTTCCTTCACAAGGTATGTTCCAATATAATATATCTGTATATCACAAGAGCAGCGTGGCAGCACAGCGAACGACTTCTCATCAAATCAAATGTGGTCAGCAAATGTCTAACATAGCCGAGAAATAACGTTAATTGTTGGGACGTCCTTCCAAAAAGTATCTTCAAGATTAACGCTTTTGTTTGAAATTGCTTCAGATTTGTCAAAAACAATTGAGAGAAGTTTTTAATATTAGCTTTCAAAAGGAAAATTGATATCCAATATCCGTATATGAATATTGCACGCATGAAAAGATTACTCAAATGAAAATAAAAGCTGAAAGACATCAAGAAACGTATTTTATTATGATATTTTAATCTCTTTATGGTTATTACTTTCCATTAAGATTTATGGTATCTATTAGCATGCGCAGAGTAAACGAAGTTCTTGCTTGCTGGCATGCATAACTGTGGTCAGACCGAGGTGAACTGCGTTTGACAAATATGCTTAATCATTTAAATGATTCAAAGAAATATATCACTGTTTGTCAGTCTGTTCAAATGCTGTGAAAAGCAATATTCTCAAGTCTGTCATACTGTGCGGCTGTAGTTGTAGGGATCAGCACTGTATTTGTGCTATCTATAATCTCAAGGAATGTTTTGATCCAGAGGAAAATTTGTATCCAAATTTTCTCTGATCTTTTCACGAAATAAGTCTATAGTTTACATGCATTCTATATAATTTCTATTTAATATCAACAAGGGTAGCTGATAACATTAGTTTTATTATCAGGGTTGGATATAAGTGTTGCCAACTGCAGCTTACTTATTTATTAATGAGATTAGCATTCAATGGCACTTAAGATGACTTGATTTGATTAGCTGCATATTATCGCTGTATGCTTATTCTCGATTACCTTGCCCGCGCATTTGCAATGCATATTCAATATTTGTGGTATTGTTTTGAAATCAGTGTTTATGTCTGCGCGCAAAATATTTCTAATTGTGGACGAAAAATTTCTAATTGTTTTCAGTGCCTTTCTGACCAGGCAATGTAAGTATTTCATTAAGGAGACTCGTTGCTCTGAAAATCTAAAATATTTCATCGAATGAGGTCAAAAAGCCATACGATAATTACCTTAGATTCTTTTTGACGCGCCTCACGTTTTAAAAACAATTTCCTTGTCAACACATTATTCTTGCTTTATAATTTTTAAACTAAATATCCGTTTGCGGTTGGATTTGTTAATATAGGAGCGAAATACTCGAATGATTCGTTTATGGATTTGATAATGCATTGTGATTGGTCGGTGAGCCGAAGTGGCTTCACTTCAAATAAACGTAATTAATTAAATAATTAACGAAACAAATGATTATCAATTACTCTAATCAAGTCGTTGAAATGAGTTAGCTTTGCAATATCAAACATTTGCCGACATTTCTTTGTTTTGTCAAACAGCTGCAGGTCCAGTAATCAGCTAGTGTTGAATAATCTACGCTCCTGCATGTGTAGAATGTGGCTTTAATTTCAGATTATTGGCCTTACTGTTTATTCATTCACGCCTGCAAAGATTCGCTGAAAATTAAATACAACTAGATTATTGCCATATGTGTTTGGACAAGATCAAAACATCTGACGCTCGCAGAAACTACACGAATTTCTAGAAAGATTTAGCGTACAATAGACGTTTAAAAATCATTCAACAAATAGCTTACAAGCTATTTCATTCTTCATTTTGGAACTGTGATATTTTGCGTGTTATAGTTTGAAAGGTAAAAAGGTGTGCGATCCTTTATATGGAAATATTATGCATGTAGCTATATCGAGTTATCACGGTGAATATACAAAGATATTTGTCAGTTGAATGAGAATATCGGCTACAATTTTGAAAAGTTTTTATCTCGCCATGTGTTGTTTATACAACCTTATAAGCCTCAGGGTTAACAGTTTGATCAGTCAACGTAATTTCAAAGAATTTATTGTTGACATATGCCAATATTGAACTTTGTTTGAATTATTTTTCATTAGACTTTTTTTCCTTTGATTTTCTTAATTTCTAGATTCTTTTCGAAGAGGGTCAACAACAACACAAGCCAACTTGATATTTTCGTGGCTGGATATTTTAGCGGTAAAAATGAGTAATGATCGATCAGTGATCCACAAGGTGCCAGTTTATTCAATTGAAGGACTACTAGGTCTTAAGGATGAAAGTCCCTCGACGCAAGATAAGTTATCTGAAACAGTAATCCAAAAGACTGCTTTAACTGAAATGAAAGACGCTCCATCTGCAGTATCATCAGGAGAATCGGAAAAATTACGAAAGGGTAAGAAACAAAATAATAAATATACCATCCATAATAGGATGTTGTAAACTATTCATTATCATTATTGTACAGTGAGAAAATAATATATGCAAGGCGGAGTAATGAATCCAGATAAAACCGTATTGTCTGTTTATATTCTGGTAGACCCTAAACTGTACATAACCAGCTCTGTTTTCTATACTTCGAGTTAACTAGTTTATAATGCAATTATGGAGTGTGCCTCATCCAACAAGAAGCGGTTACTTTCTAGTTCATGCGCTAGTCAATGTGCCGAATACACATTCCTTTTTTACTCGTTGGCTAGGGCGTTTTCCGATAACACGGCCTGACCGTCGAAACAGTAAAGTCTTAAATAATGAAACCCAGAAGAGCTTGAGTTTTGTGGCAAAATCTTTACTTATCGCTGAGAGCAATTTATAATCCCAGTCTGGCCAATGACATTGAATCAAATGGAGAGAATTCTCTTTGAACCTTGGAGGCCGAGTCAAAGAGACGAATAAAGCAAAATTTCGATAAAAATAATTATATATATAATATCGTGAATTGATGTCATTGTCATCATTGACTATATAGCCTAAGATATTCAAGTAAAAGGAAAGTTTTGATTCGTAAGGGGGATAAGTTATGGGGGATGGGAGTTCCATGTGATGATATGACGGTATTTCCGGTCTCCTCTCTAGGAATTTGTGTTTAAATTTGTCGGGAAACATATTAAAGTGAGTACTACTGCATGGGATGACAAAATTTAGGTTATTTTCTGTTGGTTTCCAAAATGTGATTAAGCCTTCCCATTCCACTTCAGATAATCGAGTGTTTTTCCAATTCCTCGACAAATTCACTTTCAACTTAAAGCGGCTATTTCCGTTCAGCCGTCTTTCGCGCGATTCTTAAGTCCCAGACATTTGCTAGAGAATCGGATGTAAGAATTCGAAAATGTTTTGTGCATGGTTATACCGTGACGTCGACACTACAATCTCTTTGCCTTGCTTCGGCTTCACTTTATATGATTCTATAATTTTAAAAATATATATAACTGAAATTTTACTTACTGGCCGCTAACGATTTTTAGCCTTGTTTTACTGAACGCATGAGCTATATACGTTGCCAAATTTAACTACAAAGGCCCGCAAAAAATAAGAGTGAAAAAGTAGGATTATTGAACCATTTATTACATAGTTTTAGCGGATATCATGCAGTTTTATATGTGTAATATTTTTAGCGTTTCATTTTTCCAACAAGAATTGAAAACATTTAGATAATCCAATAAATAGACTGTGCGAACTACTCAATCGTGACAGATGGTAAAAATTACCGAGTATAAATCTTTAATTGCATTATATCGTAAGTGACTTAATATAAGTTCGTTAAATACTTTTAGAAATAGAAATTAAAATCCTTCTGATAAAAGAAAATGGCGTGAATAACTTAATTAAAATAATCTCCCTCTGCGTCTATAGTTGCTTACCTTAGCAGGAAGAGATTACTTTACTCTCTTAAAATTTTATTACATAATTATATTAACCACTTAAATTAGTGGTATTGAGAGTCCCGACAATCAAACTAAACAAAATTCAATTACCTTCGGCTTCAATTTTTTATTTTAACGTGCAATGCCGTGCTCTGATCTATATACAGGACAACCTCATCCCCGGACCCATGCAGTTATTGCGTGTTGGAAATTGTAGAGAATATATAGTAATTGGTAGTGGTAGTTTGTGGTAAATTATATGTGCATATTTTCGGGTAAATTTAGTTTTTCATAAATTACGCACTTTTTATTTACTGAGTCTGAGACACAGTATGATCAGAAAATTTATATGATTTATTCCTTAATTGCTTTAAGCCTCGTTTTGGTTATATATAGCATAATATAGAATATAGGCATAACTCCATAGGCCTTTCAGATTAAACATTCCGACCTAAACAAATACAAAAAAGAATTGTCTGTCTTATAACTTATGCTTGAAGTCTTGTGCTTAGGTCGATGCTTGTGTCACACGTTTTATTGCATTTCGACCATTGTTTGCTTTTTGTCTTTCCTTAATTACGCTTATGTTTATGTCACAAGTGAGAACCAGGCTTTAACTCTATCGATTGCCAGACTCGTGTAAAATTTTGAAGCAGATCAAACAGAAAATGTATATCTTTTTTCGTGAACTTTTCTATATCGATATAAAAATGTATCAACGTGCATGCTAGGTAATTAAAGTGGCGACATATATATCTATACTTAGAACTCAGTCGTCGACTTATAATTGAATGTCCTGTCGGCTAGCCATTCCGTATTTCTGTTCACAGAAATTATTATAGGCACTACAGGGTTTGATAAAGTTATAGTACTATAAATAGGTGTAATGTAAAACCTGGTAAAATCAATGTCTTCTCTTTCTGATGTGAAGTTATGTCGGATATCTTTTCTGACATACCGCTTTCAGTGATTCAAGTGGCATAAAAAATCAATTATTGTATATAGCATGTTAATTGGATAAATAAAATTAATTTTAACTAATTGCCCTAACAGAATAATTTCCAAGGGCCAGTATCATTAGTCATTCCAGTTTTTTTAAATTGCGAAAGCCTTACAGGATTTGTGTCAAGCTCACAGCATGCTTTATGTTATCTGTCATATCCATACATCATCCTTAAATCATCTTTAGCCGCCTTTTACAATTCATCTTAATTCAGTAATTCAACAAACAAGGGTTGTTACGTGCAATCCGCTGTTATTTTGCACGGCAATTGAAACAAATACGCCACTGGTATAACCACGAGAGTAATACAATAAAACTCAAAACCAAGACCTTGCACCTATAGCATTACATGCATCTGTCTAATATTGAAGATATGGCCGAGTTCATCTCATTATACCCAGGTGGGATGAGTTTAAATACAGCGGATCGCAAGCGTCTTTGAAATTTCAGAGTCTTCGAATATTAAATTTTGGAGATTGACATCACAAAAAAGTATAATAAATCATTGGCAGTAACAGTCGCTTTTTTTTGACAGGCTGCACGGACGAGAAATTAATAAAAGAGAAGCAAAGTGTAAATAATATCAATGAAAGTGTAGTGAAGAGACATTTTAGTGACGAGCAAGACAGCAGTGGTATCAGCCAGAGAAAACAACGAAGATATCGAACAACGTTCACAAGTTATCAATTAGAAGAATTAGAACGGGCTTTTGCTAAAACTCATTATCCAGATGTTTTCACACGTGAGGCATTGGCCATGAAAATTGATCTTACCGAAGCACGCGTACAGGTAATGAAATATGTGAAATTTTATTTTTAATTTAATTTCATCTGTTATAAACGTGACAATAGTTAACATGGGCTATAGTTTTATTTCCTCTGATTCTATATAATAATGATATTATCTTGTAACAATCAGTAGAAAACACTATATATATATAGTTCATAATTGTCTTTCTCGGGCGTAATCCATTTCATCTTTTATTCTAGGTGTGGTTCCAAAATAGACGTGCAAAATGGCGAAAAAGAGAAAAATCTCAAGGATTGCGAGCCCATGCTTCCATGAGTAACTTGGGATCAAAAGAAATAATATCTCGCAATACCACTTTAGATATCCCTACGGCAACACCAGAGGAAACATTTCCTAAATGGCTCAGATTCTCACATCAACCTATACATCCAGCATTGACCATACCTTATCCTGTTACCCCAGTTATACCTCAGTACCACCACACACTTTATTATAACCACCTAGATTACCTCGCATCACCCTGCCCATCCTCATCACCTCCACATATATCACCTGCTATACCGATACAACAAGACTGTCGCACTGACAGTATTGCAACACTAAGGAGAAGAGCACAGGAACAAAAATTATGAGCCAATTATATATTGGGGATTGTTGACAAACTTTAATGACGGATGTTAGGGAGAGTTATATAGAAATGGGTGATTCACCGGTGATGCTCACCGAAATATTATACACTTAATGTATGCTCCGGAGGGAAATAATGAGTTTTGTTTCCCTAAGAGTCTGAATGTTTCCCAGGACGAAGTCGAGGGACGAGACTCGAGGGAAAACAAAACTCGATCACTATTTCCCGAGGTAGTGTATATTAAGTGCTTTGTTATATAGGAACAAAAACATACATGGTACAACAAATTCATTTAAGAAAAAACACTTTACTTTGTTATGACAAGAAGCGGGCAACAATTATTCACTTAAAACATTGCATTTATAGCCACGGGACTACGAATGAACCAATCACATTTAAAATACACAGCACCTATATAACAATGACACTTAATTAAAGGTATGCTCCTAGGATCTTATGGTCATGTTTAGTACTGCATTACCAGCAGTCTGAATTACTGAATAGGTATGTAATACTTGTGTTTTGATAAAAGCATGTTCGACGTCTGTATTACAGCACCGGAACAATTACAGAAGTGAACCTTTTGTGCCATTGATTATCAGATAGGTTTATTTAAAATACCAAGTATTAACATGACGTTATCTGACGGACCTCAGTGTTTGTACAATCATATCCAGGCATCTCAACAATGTCTGCGAGCAAGAAGAATGTTAAATTACATTTCTTGAGTCCTATTTATTCTTTAAAAACTCAATTTCATTTTTCAGTGATACAAATCATTTTCATGCGATATCGTAATTCCTTGCATTTCCTTTGTAATTTGTTGTAACTTGTCAGAATTTACATAACATGAATTACGACATACGAACTGAAGGAATCACAGAATTCTGACTCTTTGTTGCACTTTCGTGAGCCCAGCTTTCCAGTTTTCACTCATCAGAGACGGAAATTTCGGTAGCGCCCAGGCGATAAAAAATTGGGGTTCACTCTCGGTCACTTTTAAAATTTGCCGGAAGTTTGGTTTGTCCCCTACCTCCTGAACTAAATTTTCGCCACTGTTGAACACGATTTATCATAAGAATAACTAACATATTTCATTGTATGGTCTCAAATGTAAAGTATCACGATTTTTTTAGTCAATGTAATTAAACTAATTACATAGGGGTATATAAAATAAATGCACTTAATTGTAATATATATAAACACGTCAGAGAACTAAAATGAAATTTTCTCCTAAAGTATATGAAAAATAAATTATGTTGGTCTTACATTATTCAGCGTTATTGGTGTTATTTCATTAAAGACATTTTTGCGGGCAGCCGCTCATGCGCAGCGAAAATCGAAGCTAAAACGACTCTATCTTCACTGGTTGTTTCAAAAACCCCTCGTTCCCACTTTTAGAGTAAAGACCATGTAACGAAGCATCCCACCGTGAACTGAAACATTCTCACTGTACCATACCACAGTACCATCCTCGTCCCCAGGTTTTTCGCGCAGTACGCGAAAAACCTGGGAACGAGGATGGTACAGTGGAATGGTAACCACATCATGGTAACGAAGTTAGTCAAGTTACATGCTGAAAGTCAACGTTTCGTACTAGAATATCATTTATATTCTGACCATAAAGACCATAAGAACCAGCGGTGCAAATGCAAAGCGTGCTCGTTTCTTTATCAAAAAATATGTAGGAAAATGGCTAGAAGGCGGAGCATCCACCTTCATGATCATGTCAAAACGCTCCAGAATCCAAGTCACCAAGTGCACTCGACGGACGTCAGCACGTGGCTGCAACAAAAGTGAGAGTTTCTGTTTGTGCAAAGGTGAGTTAATTTATATAACTTTAACTTAGATAGCTTATTTGTGATATTCAATGATTTCAATCCCTCACTTGCTTACTGTGATATACTGAATAATTCAATTAAAATCAGACTTTTCGTCGAAGAGCTTTTTTTAATGTTCAGAATAAACAAGTTCTGCAATCTTTTTAACATAAGATATGCAAACATGTAGTTTAAACAGGTAGTGCAAACATGAGATATGCAAACATGTTCTTTTAAAGATTTTCAAATATCAAAAGTGCCACATACACATAAGTGACATGACTTTTCAGCAATCCTTAGGTGCTGGTAACAAACAAGGTGTTTAAAGAAAAGATGCCTTAGAGATATCTTCAAAATGCAAGAGACAATTGCATGACCATTAGTATGGTTTTTTAGGCTGAAAGAAAAGTAATTACTAAGCAAATATATATTGCAACAGAAGCTGCACTTGCTAATTAGTTATTTATAATCTCCACTACATTATATTGCAGAGCTATACCTAGAACTTTAATTAGGGAAAGGCGGTGCATACTCATATATTCCTCTTATATATATGAATGATATATAAATATAACATTCAGCTGGCTACTGTCCTATAATATTGTAATAATGTTTGCAGCCTTAATATTTGTTTATGCTAGCTGGGATGTGCAGTGATAATATCACTAGTTTTGTATAACCTAATAATTGTGTTCTATTGAACAAAATGAAGCATAATTTGGTCAATGAATGGCACCTATTAAATAGTTGTTCCTCATACCCCCATACCTCCATTATATCCTCATACCCCCTAATTACATGTTGCTATGAAAATTGTAAAGAAATTAGTCAGAAACAAATTATAGATTAATTGTTTTAGGCTGGCATTCAAACTAGGTTAGAGAATGTGCTAAATGTATAGAAAAATTACTCATAATTTTGGAAATTGATACTTGTTTAAACTAACAGATTTCATATTTTTATGACTGAATAAATCACCTACAATGCTCTAGCAGTTTTTGACTTTCTATTTGTACGCAAACGTACCTATTTTTCTTATTTATTTATTTTACACAGTGTAATAGAAGTAAATAGTGAGTCACTTGAAGAACTTAGAGCATGATGTCTCTTCAGAGGTTTTAGGCCACGATTTTTGAAACGATTTTAGGCGGACAAAGTACGTAAGATTGACAAGTTCAAACTATTATTAATTTATGAAAACAGATTTACATTCTTTTTGAGAATCCAACTTTACTTTTTTTTCCGACTTAGAAAGGCGTGAATCGGGTCTAAACAATATGTCAAATAAAAGAGAAATAGTAGAAGTGTCTTTCAAAATTATGCAAAATAGCGAAGGTTATTTGATTTTTGTTCTTATGCCTAAATAAAGTATAAATAACGCGTAGGTGTGACCCTGTGACATGAAACGAGCTTGCTACAAATGAGAAACTATCAATTATTTGCTTCGAGCAATTTTAAAAGCCGGCACTTGAACTTTGGTGAGTTTGATACTGGGCGGGACACTTTCGATGAGTACTTTTTTTATTAGCAATTCTTTTTGTACTTTTGTGAAGTAGTTCTTTCGACGCTTCCCTGGAAATTGGGGTGACGAGAAACTTGTTTATGCATTTATTTATATGTAGTATAGGTGACACTAACTCACGGAACACCAAATTCTATTGTTTAGTCTTAGGACCGTTTACACAACGCCACGCGCATGTCACAATAATGCAATATGCACACACGCACACAAATCTTTGATAGTTGTTCACTTTACGTACTGAATGAAAGCTGCAAACAACGGGAATAAGACGTTAGAAAAGCTTTATAAACCGCAGTTCATATAAGTCGACATTTTGTTTGTCAACAACCCCCAACGGTCGGATGTGAGAATTAGCGAAAGCCGAAAAGGTTGTCAAATATGCACTGGGGGACCTTGCATCGTACAGACCATCATCAGATTTATGGGCCATTTTAACATTGTATACCTTCTTCAGTTATGCAACACGTGTGTAGCCTTCCTGTTGTACTCGTTTCAAAGATTTTCATCCATTTTCCAAAGGCATAGCTAATTAAAATTCGGTCTGAAAACATGCCAGGAGGCTACCTTATAATAGACACAAATATGCTCACCCTAAGCCAAATCTGACCTCAGACAGCTTGAGCATTCTCTGGGTGCGTTGGCGCATACGCGTAGTGAACGCAAATCCCGTCAAATTAGATACAAAATAAGGAAAATACGAAGAGGTATTTTCTCAATCAGCGAAGAAAAAGAGTATCTCTAGGTGCAGAAAGTAGGGGGACGCACATACATTAGAAAATTGGCAGTTGGGACCGTCATTTTATCAAACTCGTACCCCAGGATGATTTCGTTATATTTGTTAGGAAAAGGCAAGTCTTATAAGGCGTACATTAAGGCGTTTTACAAGCATACGAACCTAAATGTTTTAGTGAAGAGAATTACAAGATAGAGGGTGTCACGCTGCCGGATAGCAAATTGTAAAGAAATTAGTCGGAAACAAATTATAGATTAATTTTTTTATGCTGGCCTTCAAACTAGGTTTGAGAACGTGCTAAATGCATAGAAAAAACACTCATAAACTTGGAAATTGATGCTTGTTTCAACTAACAGATTTCATATTTTTATCACAGAATAAATAACCTGCAATGCTCCAGCAGTTTTCGACTTTCTTTTTGTACGCAATGCGTACCTAACTTTTATTTAAATTTTTAATGTGTACAACATAATGACTTAGAGCATGATGATGTCTCTCCAGAGATTTTAACGATTTTAGTTGGACAAGGTTTAAAATTGACAAATTTGTGCAATGATAATATGCAGAGAAGAGAATTTAGTAGGTTTGGTGGTTTGCGCACTATTTTAAATATTCCATGGTATCAAAACACAAGATTGGAAAAAAACTCACACCAAAGCTATACATGAATATTATTGAATATTGTTAGTATTGAACCAATGTATTCAATGTACTTTCAACTTTATGAAGCGAGTCATGGTTATTTGCTCCTTAGTATATTATGAGTCAAAAACTAAACGAACAAGGTTGAATTAATTTGGAGTTATTAAGCCATGTATTGCAAACATATTTGTCTTATTTTAGCATATCTTTACTTACATTAAGTGCACTGCTTTAAAATATACAATTTCAGTGAAAAACTATATACAATACCAGGGGAGGTTATAATAAAAAGCAAATGTTAAGATGAGTCAATGTTGAATTTATATGCTTCCATTGATGACATCCGCGTAAAACCGATCAAGAACCACTATAGCGGGGCAGGGCGTGGCAACATCTTACGGAGAAATCATATTCTTAGTCTTACGTCCATGATTTTTCCGTTTCTTAACAAGCATCCATGAACTAAGGGGACTACTTAATTTCATATCATCTTGTTGATACTGCATTGACGGGGAAATTGCGCGCATGCTGTAGCGACGCAGATGGCGGGCAGATATCTTGATCTATCAGCAGCAACGATCCTTTTTTTAGGTTCCCAATTCTATTACGATTCTTGAAGCACTCTAAAATTTGAAGCCTTCTTCAGGAACATTATCGCGCGCATTAAACTGCAAGCCGCCATCAACTTCTTGTGGTTGAATTTCTTGTTCGTCGTTATCACCCTTAAAACAATTTAAAGAGCAATTAGACAAATGCTGTAGAAGGGACGGTGCATGTTCCATCCAGCTCCGATAAAGATCGACTTCAATACAAATTCGTCAAATCTTGACCGAGGAGTTGAGAGTTCCAATTTTTTTTGTTTTGCTTCCGAACAACAGTTCTATACGCTTGGAAATACAGCACTTAGCTTACGTATAGCGCCCTGAATCTAATAGTACATTTTGTATACGTGATGCTACAGTTAGTCTAACCTACCTCGTTAGAGAAGAATCTATCGATGATTTTATACGTGAGTTTATATATTTCCTCATTTTCGTGTTGTTGTAGCTTTTCTATTCTGTCCAACCCTAAAGAAAAGTTGGTAAATTCATCAGTACGTGCTAAACCACCAAGTAAACAAAGCTTATTTCAATGCACAAGTTGGTAGTCACGAACAAAGGACACCACCAGCATTGCTAAGAGGAAAGTTCAGTAACCTGGTAAGTGGAAACACAGAGAAACACTAACACTAATTATCAATTACCTTTATGTGACTATAATATATAATATCTCAATGCATTAGGTAAACGCATCGTAATAATGTATCGTGTGAATATCACACGAACGTGGTTTTTCTCTAAATACCTACAGTTTGTTTGAGAAGCCACTGGTTTACCGTGCACAATAAAAAGATTTTTCTCATGTTTGTTCTCATAAATTTCACAAACCTCCAGCCTCTTCGATCATTCTTGCAATTTCATCGCTCTCATCTCCTGCCATCTGCAAGAACATGTACACTGAATTAATATTAAATGACATGCGTTTATATAAGTATAGATTTCTAGTGAACTCTAAAGAACATGTCCTTAGGTTAGTGAAGTCGTAGATAAAATAATATGGATTGTTATTTCACAATCGAACGAATGTTAAGTCGACCGCAGAGAAATAAATAATAACTCCACCTTCAACATATTATGTAAGCCATCCAACACAACCTGAACAACCTAAAGAGACAAACGTGGTTCTTTATCTTAAATGGAATGTTAAATATTGACCAGCAACATCCAGTAGAATTTGTAGAAAATAATGGGAGTCATAGTTATTGCCAAAATAATCAGATCCAAATATTATAAGAGTTAATCGTAATAATTCGAACAAATCACAAACAAGACATGGTGAAAATATAACCGTCAATGCTAGCGTATAGAATCAAACGCAAACAAACTAAGAAGCCGTAAAACAACTGATGTCGTGACCACGTGAACGCCGCGTGTATTGTGTAAACAGGGTCTAAGAATAAGACAGTCTATGTACCTGTGGATCCTTGACCTCTAATAGTTTACAAAAAGAGGGAATTGCATTTGCTTGAATCAGAACTGAAACCTTGGGGAAACAGAAATAGATTATAACGTTTTTTTCCCGACAAATAGTGAATTTTGTTATGGTAAATTACGAAAATGCGAGCATGCTAGCCATATGTTTCTACCTGCTCCGGACTGCCACTAATTGTTAAATTGCTCACTGCCCATGCAGCTTCTTTCTGTGTTTGGAATTCTCCCTAAAGAAAAACAGATGCTCTAGATCTAATTTAGGTTTTTTAAGCACATAAAATGTCTAAGTCTGTCACGCACAAAAAAAAAACAGGAAACTTCTCAGAAGGGGTAAATTTGGTCTTAAACGACATCAAAATAATGCTTCTACTCTTCTTCATACCGTTTCTAAAGCCTCGATAATGAGAGGAATGAGATTGGCGTCAATAACTTCCTAGAAGTACAATAATGAAAATAAATAAATAAATGTTGTAGATGCGTATATTAATTTATTAATGATAGGAATTTGTGATGTGATAAAGGCCGTGAAATTCCAGCCTACAGCGTTTTTTAAAACACCGGGCAACGCAGTCCAATTTTAAAGCATTGTGCCATAAGTTCAAGTATGTTGCATTTTTATACATTATAAAAATTATATCTTATTATACATTCATTACGTCGACACAACTTAACCGTCAACATTAATATCAGTCGAGCAAGACGTGAAAAATGTATTTATATAATCTATCATCTAAAACAATCCTAACAAACAGCATTGTCTGTTATCATCGCGCATATATACGTATACAACGTTGAAACAAGGACACATTTCCTGGTACCTGAACTTGGATGCGATTACCCGCTGTTATATTTGATAAAAACCACACAGCTTCCTGTATAAAAATACGAAGTTATATATCAATCAGTCTTACACTAATTCCCCATGTCTGTGCTATTTCATTGCTGGTTTGATAATGAAGAAATGAACAAGATAATCCCACCTTTTTTATTTTCTCTTTGCTGTGTGTCAGTAGCGCAGAGAAATGTTGAAGTGCACCACATGATAAGACAACCTGCAATATGATTAAATGAAATGCATAAAAAATGCAAAACTAGAATGCATGGTATAAATAAGAATGCTTAAAAAGCTATTCTCGGGAATCGGAAAATGTCGATTTGTCGACGAAATCAGGCGAATCCACAAAACTGAAAAACAGCGACTCCCCGGATACGTTTACGACCCCGGAATGTTTCGCCATAGTGTAAACCTCTATGGTGTAGTAAACAAGGTGCTTCTTCGCATGACACGTTTTTATTTAGTAGTTTTGTCTGGATGTAATTGTCGTTATGCACGTTCTAAATATTCAGTTACCTGAGTTTGTTCGTCTGTCCCTGTTACGATATTGCCAACAGCTCTTAATGCTGCCGTCTGTAGTTTAATCTCGCTATGACTTAATAAAGGAACCAGAAATGGAACAACACCGGATTCAATAACCACCTAAAATATGTTAAGAATACATTAATATCGAGCGCGCGTGCATATAAACTACACACAAGAAATCTATTGCAAATCCCCCAAAAAACACATAGGTAGGAATCTGGAATCGAGTGCGTTGTTCACACTTGTATATTCAAATTTTAATTCAATGTCTTTTCACAGAATATTTTATGGTGATTTAGACATTTTAAATAGCTAATAAACATTAAATTTAACAATTAAAATTAAGAATACCTGAATTTGTTCATTTCCACCATCAGTCAGGTACGACAGCGCCCATACTGTGTCTACTAAAATCTAAACAAGATAAAGCAAAGAGAAAGCAAATTAATATTTGTATCCATTTAATAGTGAATGTACAACCTCGTACCCAGGGTCTTTTCTCCTGGGTGAATGTATTGAATCATTACCGCATATTATGTACTTACGTCTAGATCTGTGTGTCTGATCAATAAGGCCAAGGCTGGTAAAACCTAAAAATGAAAGGAAAAGGGTGGTAAATATGCGTACAAATATGAAATTGATCTCTAGGACACTGTCGTATAATTAACTCAAAGATATGTTAGATATGGTAAATACTTTTGTAAAGACACGAAGGAACAGAACATACGATCATTATAGTGGTATCACGTTATATTGCAATCGCTTTCAGTAAAGATAATCAGTAGTGACAACAGTGACATACCTCTTGAATTGTTTTCATTGGTGGTGCCGGATTTTTATTTCGACAAAGATTTACAATAACCCACGTTACGTTTCTTAAAAATGTCAGCTAAATAAACCAAAATAGTGAATATAACAAAAATTCGATATTGGAATGATTGCTTCGGGAGATTTGGTGCACCTGCACCAAAATTGTGATATTTCCGATAAAGAGCGGGAACCATAAATGGGAACTTACTGGGACTGACGGATTAACAAATTGTAAAAGAGGCGCAACAACACCATGTTGAATAACAAAATCACGCAGCTGAGGACCATCGCCTGTAGAGAACAAGAAGTGAACCATAAAATACGGTCGCGCGTGGGCATCAGTCCAGTTTTGCAGATCAGCTGTAGCCATAGCCGTAGTCGTTAAAGCATGCAACGCAACATCTTATTTTCCAAACCAGCGTTAATAAAAACACCATTACAGAGATAAAATTGACATATATCTTACCAATTATGTTGCCTAAGGCCCATACAGCTTGTTCACAAACATTTTGATGCGGTGAATATAAAAGTTTCATAAAATACGGAACGGCCCCTAAAAATATTTGGAAAAGTAAAGAATAGTGCGATGTACGTAATGTATGTACATGAAAGACCTAGATGAAGTGTTCAGAAGGCACACACAGGCCTCTTGGTATTCCAAATTCAATATTTTGATAAATGTGTTAAATGGGCTAAATGTGCAATTATAGTTCATGATAATAAAAGCGTTTACATGAAGTAAGCGCAGTCATTTTTGTTACACTTTAACCAGTATGGGGGGGTGAAGGCCTACACAAAAATCATTGATATTATGAACCAAGTTTTCCTAATTTGTGGCATCACTGGATTTGTGATCTGGGTTTTTCACATCCATACAGTAGAACTACGTAGTGGTGAAAGCAACACCTCTGCCTGTGACTGGGCAAAGGTTTGTACAGAATATTTTCTGTCAACTACAGTTGACTTTATGTTTCTGTTAGCAATCAAATCTATATTTTTCATGACTAGTCAGAATATAATGCAGATCTAATGCATCAAAGGGTGCCATCACAGTTACTGAGCATTAGTTCTATTCATTCTACCTGCATGAACAACAGCTTGTGTTTGCCTTGAAGTACCAGATGCAATGTTAGTTAATGCCCAAGCAGCTTCAAATTGCAAAGATGATCTGTGAAAATTGTGAAATAAAGGGTGAACAATTCATTCTCGTATTCAAGTAGATTTACTCACCAGCAATACATACTGGTCTAGATTCAAAATAGTTAAGAGAAAACAATGCTAAATAATTACTGTTCTTCTTTACTCAGACATCCAACTAAAATGGGCAAGATTCCTGATCTAAAAACAAAAATTTACAAAAAATTAGAGATTAACAAAGACCTCCCCAACAGACCTTCAAATCTTACTTTATTACTTTTCTATAAGGTCCAATTAAAAAAAAATTTAAAAAAAAATTAAAAATTACTCAATAAGCTCATCAATTGGAGGATTTCTGTCTCTTGACAACAATTTTCTACAAAGGATAAAAATATTTTCAAATGTATGGTCAAATATTTCATTGTTTTGGTGAAATATCTATTTTTTACCAACTTTTGTCTTTCCTTATGTTAAACATACCTGGCTGCCTGAACAGCCTGTAATTGTATTTTTGGATCATCACTGCCAGCATTCTGAGGGTAAATGGAAAATAATTATGGTTACCATTAATTAACCAGGAATATTTTTAGCACATACAATACAACTAAAAATATATAAGCATGTGAATAAAATATATGTGCCATCATAATGGAATTACTCACATCAACAATGGCAAGAAGGTCAGATGGCTAAAATGTATGAAAAAAAATCATATAACTTATGCAGTTTTAGCTGTTATTGCATTTCAACGAACATGTTAAACCAGGGTCATGGTTATAAACAATAACAAGTGCTACAAATATTAGTAAGTGTTCTATAATAGATCTTAACCAGTTAATAGACCTTAACCAATAGTTTAATTCTAGATAACTGTGGCTTTGGAAAGAAACAAACCTGTGATTTTTCTTCCTTTTCATCAGATCCTCCAATGGGAACATTTCTTCGTTTCTGCATATGATCATCCTTTCTAGCCTATCAAAAAAATTTATAACTGACTTTCACAACAGGAATTTGTATCACATTTTAAAATAAAAAATAATAGGTAATGAGGTGAAACCGATTACAATTCAATCAATACAAATACAAATGCAAATGTTACCTTTCTCAATTCAACTGTAACTTCATTTCGTCTCTGTCTTGATGACTAAAAACAGGTTTAGGTAAATATGGATTATAAGGAAGTTACAACAACCAGCTTATAGAATTTTTAAAACAAGTCTTTCCGATAAGGATGGGAAGATAAAATCTTAAATAATTAAGGTAAAATCTCAAGTCATTAAGGGAGATTTCGGTAATATGGCTCAGAATACTAGACATTTTGATTTACAAAATGGGGAAGTGATGAAAAGTGTATGGTTAACATAATTAGGTAAAATTGTGGATATTGATTAACTAACTACAACTTTGGTTTTCCCATTGATGATCTCCCAGAATATTTACAGCACAACAAATCCTTTGCTGTATGAAAACATTGACTTTTACACCCTTTGTTAGATGTTTACATATTTTGTCAAAATACATTTGTATAACACTCACATAACACTTAGCCTAAGCAGTGGATAAATCTAATTTTACATTTTGCAAATAACTGAAAATGTTTTAGCTGTATTGTTTAATGAATGTATAAACTTGATCAATATTTTCAATTTATACATAACCCTTTCAACAGCTTGCTCTAAACCACCAGTAAAGTGTGGTTAGTTGAAAATATGTACATTTACCATGCACTAAACTGATGTTACACAGAATTTTAATGACATTTCCTGATGAAAAACTGAGAAAATGGCCTCTGAACCACTTACAATAGGAATTAAAGAGATATGCTATTAATTGTTACATACAAAATCTATGACAAGGAGGTTTGTTTATATACATGGCAGACTGAAAGTATTTTACGCATTAAAAGATGAATTCTATTGACAAATCACATTTGGGGATTGCAACAGACTAGAGTGAACAGACTAGAGGGTGGTTAAAATTTTGTAGCTGAAATAGGTATTTGATAGTTTTGTAGAATCTGGGCAAGTCCAACAAAGATGAGTATGTGTTCTTCAACATGAAACAAAAAATAGGAAGTATGGCAATTTAGCAAAATTAAAACAATAAAAAATATTGAAAACAAAGTGGACCTTAACATTGTGCTTTCAAAGATTGCTTGTAATATATTATTGACATTTTAAAATGAATTTTTTTTTAACCATGAAAATTTCAGCTGGGGTTGTTCAAGATACAAAACCTTTTGATTATATAAACAACTCAATTCATAATTTCACAGGAAATATTTTTAACAGTTACTGAGAATTTTTTTCTTTAAAGAAGTCAAAATTTTATCACAACTATGCAACATTAATCAATATTGAAAACACTACTTTGCAATGTATACACTGGTAATATCTAAAATTATAGATCAAAATTATTCAGTCATCAATGACAATTACATATAAAATGTTGAGGTGTTTTCAAGAATCAAGATACTGTTGACTGATTTTTAAAATCCACTTTATACTTTATAGTTGCACTTGAATCACCAGAGCCCTTATAATACGAGGAATTTGACTGTCGTGGGCCAGGCAGTTTAGTGCGAGTATAAAGATCAAACTGTGTATATCTAATAGACATTCCGACAGATTAGATAGCAAATTCAGACTCTCCCAAAGGGGCTATTATAAAAGCTAGACTCAAAGTGAGTTTGGGAAGAGTTACTATAAACATCTGTCAGAAATTAAGTCTATACACCGTATTTTACTCACTGCTTGATCTCGATCATTGTATTTATAGCTTCGCAATCTTGATTCAATGCCCTTCGTTGCCATTTTTATTAGAAAAAGATATTGAGTGAACACAACAAAATTTATTTGCTCGTTGACTGCCCACTATACATGTTGAGTTAAAATGCGCATGAGCAATGTACACACGCTGCCCAGTTGAAACGCGGGAGACATTTGCAATTGGTTGAATTTTTTTATCCATGTTTATCCCTCCTATTGAGCTTTATGGTTTATTTGGTTTATCCAAAATTTAAATTTAAAGGCTAATTTAAAGGTTTGAGATTTAAAGGCTACAATCTACATTTACAGCAAAGTCTGTGTGTATTAGAATAAACCAGTGTCAGTGAAAATTAGGTGAGTATTCATTATAATGTCTTGTCAGTTGTCACTGATTTTTTTATGTAAATTGCAATAGGGATGCACCAAAAGGGCTGAGGGTGAGATAGGGGCAAACCCCTAATTAATATGTCTGCAACTAGCTAGTCCAAAAGGTTGGTACTATATGGTGGGTGATGACTGTCACCCAACAAGTGCTGCCAATCCACTAAATTTTACATTTGATTATTTGAATCCAATAAACTGAAAAAAAAATTCATCAGTTATATAGATATACAATATATAGACCCTGGTTTCATGTTAAAATTAAGTGTGTAAATTTCGTACTTGTGCCTATAGTGCTTGTAATTTCTAAATATATCAATTTTACTAATTTTAGACGCAATTCCTTGCAGTATGCTATCATAAATTGTTCCATTTGCCCTGCAACTATTTGTAAATGACTAAATATGGGCTTTTGGTCAAGCTACAAGAAACTCACTCAAAAACAGAAAATTCTTATTGGCCTTAGTTGGATAGCAACAGGTCTACTTGGTCCACATATCTTACTATATTTTGTTCCAAGTCAGAAACAAAGAATTCAGGAAAGAAACAAAATCACAACTGAAAATAAGAATGTGTAGTTCAATTTCAATGATGCATCATGATGAAATATTATGTTGTAATAAGGAGCATCACTTGCTTGTACGAGTATGTTATTGTAAATTCACACAATAAAGAATTAGAAATATTTACACTGTTGCTACATTTCCTGATAACTGCATGTGAAAATACACTTGTTAACGTAGTACCTCACATTCATAAAGTGACTGAGTGCAAAGTCAAATTATACATTAATTGGTAGTTTGCATTTGTCTTGTTGACTTACCTGTCCATTTTTACCACATTTTGTACATGAGTATGAGGTCCAAACTCCAAAGTATCCCAGGAGAGAAAGATCATGTTTCACGCACTTCCGTTCTGCTTGTGTTCAAGAAAATTTATACTAAAACAGTGTTTTTGTCCAGGGCTTGTGTGTTCATCTGTCCAAATATTGTATGTATAGAAATTGTAAAAGATGGCTAAAGCATCGGAAATCACTGTGTCTCCTGTTATGCAAGTTATCCGTGTCAGTTTGATCTTGTTTAACATCATGTTTTGGGTAAGACAATGCTCGTTTGTATAATTTGCGCTAACACAGTCGGTTGCTAAAATTGCGCGTGACTTTGTTTTATGTTTTTTTTAAATGTGGATGTTTACTGACTGTAACTAACTGCAAGTAATTAAAAAAAGCTATAAACGTATCGTATGTGGTTCACAAGCAAAGAAAGTAAAGAAATAGACGTAGTCTATTCATTCACTTTATGTGAAAACGCTGACGATATTATTGTCATCGATATCGTGATTGGGGCCTTCGGGGGGTGGATTTCCACGACGATATTCAATACCGGTACCTTAAACCATAGCTTAAACATTGTCGTGGACGTCAAAATTAAGTAACTTTCTTACAACGCATCTCGTCATTGGGCGAGGAATTGTTTATATTATACGCATTCAATACATGTAGCTGTAAATCTGAATAATCGTTTTAAATTGTCTGAACTCAGTCTAATCTTCCTCTTGGTTATAACCGTCGACAAATAGATTTAGTGTCGCTTCAGCCTTCAAGTTACCTAACTTCGTGTAATATTATAAAGTTTAGCACCATTCAATAGTCTTATGAATTTTCGCTATATATGTATAGTCTTGTGTGTTTGGTTGTTTGTACTGACGTAATTGAAAGGTTGCACACTTTCAGTTGACGGGTAGGTGCAACCACTGCAACGAAGAAGAATATTGTGATGTTTTGATGGAGTGTAGTGACTTAGTTTTAGAGCTAAAATGTATGGATTGCTGCACAGTATCGCTATTTATCTATTTCATCCATCTATGGATTCTTCAGGACAGTTTCGATTGGTGGTAATTTGTATTGCAAAGAACCGGATGGCGGATGCTTATACTAGTTGGCTTTATTTACTTCTTATGTTTCCTATACTTTTCCTTTTTGCATCAAGATAGTTGCCTTCTCTAACGATTTGAACCAATACTTTTCTTTCACCGCAAGGTAGAAAATGGATCTGTAATCTTTGCTCCCGAGTATGGGAACCATTTCACCTCACCTTACTATTTAGGTTTATGTCTTTAAATATCTTAAAACACTATATATATACTATGATTGGTTACAGTGTAGTCCTCTTAATATATACTGCATTGTACTGCATCATCAATGATGTAGGCCAGTAAAAAGTGAGCTGCTACTTATACCAAACATAATAAACTTTATGCATAATGACGTGTCAAGCTGTCACGCCTGCAGGGAATTCTGGTTATAGTAGTCACGGCGAAAAATACAAACTTCAAAATTTCCCGCCGTGACTATTAAGACCAGAATTCGTCATTATGCACAAGGTCTATATTGGTTAAAATGACGAACCTGTAAACTACTTTACTTATTACCTCTTTTAGATAACTGGATTTTGTTTGTTTGTTATCGGTATATGGGCTACTGTGGAACTGAATAAATATGAAGAGTTCCCTCGTCCAAACGACTTTGATGCTGTTTCCATTGTTCTTATTATAATTGGTCTTGTAATAGCATGCATTGGTATATGTGGTTGTTATGGAGCTATGAAGAAGAATACTTTTGTACTCAAGATGGTAAAGATTGCAATTTTTAGTATAAAAATGTTACTAGTATTGATTTTAGTTGGTGATGCATCACCTGTTATTTACTTTCACTGAATTGAAACACGCGGTGTTTGAAACTGCTATTTCTGCATGTATGTAACTATACTAAGTGTGACTGATGCATGAGACGGGTTAACTTGCAGTGGCCGTAACTATGGTTAAAAATCAGAGGTCTGGGAGCTACCAAATCCAATCGACTAGTCAATGGTCAAAATTGTAGTAAATATGAAGACATTCATCTGTATGTTTCAGTTTGCTTTCTTTCTTGGTGTGATTATTGTGTGTGAAATCTCTGTGGCCATTGCAGGATATGCCTATCGTACGAAGGTTAGTAAATTTGGTGAAGCGTGTTTTTTGTTTTCTGAGAACTGGAATAAAACTATAGGCGGTTTTATAGGCGGTGCTGTTTTCAAGCTTGCCCTGCACGGGAAGAGCAGTTTATTCCCCTTATGTTAGTTTATTCCCCTAATGTTAAATTAGAACTAATAGAGGAATTGGAATTAGGCAGGAAACGATAACAACGGATTGACTTGGTTTACATATAGTTTGATTTAATGGTCTCTATTTATGGAGCTATGAAGCGTGACATGAAATATCACAATAAGGCTTACAGTATCGATTCAAATAATCCTAGCTGCATGGGATTAAAAACTTTCTTTTTACTCGTAGATAAAAAGCGCATTGTCTCGTGGTTTAAATCATACAATGAAAGCTTACAAAGGAAATAGCATTGTTAGAGCCGCCTGGAACAAAATGCAACGAGAAGTAAGTGAGAAGTTTACTCTAGTCTCTATAATATAACATTTGATTGTCTAATATATATACTGCAGGTCACGTATAATATTCAATATAGTTGAACATATGAAGAATTATCAAGCCGTAGTGAAGCCCTACTGAAGCCGAAAGCCATAAGGTTGACAACGACAAACTAAGTGTTATCATTTCAATTCAATATTGTTTTATTATATTTATTGAAAAGAATGAACATTATCATTTCGTTCGCTACCTATTGTGTTGACTCACACTCCGCTACTTGGGGACGTTGGCGCGTGGTGACGTCATAACGTAGGATACGACTTTTTATCCCACGTTGGAAGTTATTCAATGACGTATATCTTGCAAAAATCAACCCACGTTATGACATCGCTCGTTTTGCATGACGATTTCACACATGGCTATCAGCTGATTAGAATTTAGATGCTGTGAATTGTTTTAAATAAAGAATGATATATGGGTATTGAAAAAAAACCTGAATTTTTTTAGGGAATTTTATTTAAGTTTAGAAAAAACGGTAGCAAGGTAGCACTATTTCATGATATACCTATTTTCACGAGTGAACCTCGTAGAAATAACCATGTTTACTAAGTTTGTCTTATATAGTTTGAATGCAATGCATTGGCTCGTGCAAGTTTATTTTCCTATTGTCAATGATTACCGCTCCGCTATATACATAACCGTTTAGTCTATTATCTTCAAGATGTTTGCTCAACCTCGTTCCCAGGGCATTTCCCTTTTTGTCATTGGGGAGGTTGATGTTTGCTTCGTTTCTTTTAGTTTGATTGTTGTGGAGACGCAAACTACACTGACTGGTTCAAAATCGAATTGCAGCCATCACCAGATAACTTCTCATCCGTACCAGAAAGTTGCTGTAAACATGAGGCAAAAAATTGCGGTGGTCACGAAAACGTCAGAAATGCAACTGAAGCTAAAAATTATATCTATACAGAGGTTTGTATATACAGTATATGCAGTTGAATTATACTGAGTGACTGAACAAGAGCGAAACCGCAAAGAAAGGTCGTGTATATGGAAATAGAGAGTCCTGAGTTATATTATTGTTCGTATGAATTTTGCCTTTCCCACACATGCATACATATAAATACTTGCGTAGAAAATGTACAACGTTCTTTGCATTGCCATTGGAGTAGCTCTAAACATTTACCAACCTGCGAGCCAGGCTTTTGAACATTTACCCCTTTTTCAGTGTTTACTAACCACCTATATTATGTTCGACAATAAAATTCTTAAAATCTTTTGTAGGGATGCTATGACCATATCACTGACTATTTCCGAAAGAGATTTTCTGTTTTGGCTTCTGGTGCCCTGTCTATAGCTATAATTCAGGTAAAGCGGAAAAAATATGACTTTTGCAAAGGAATAATCCATGACTTCCCTCCAAAGTTATAGCATACATACTGGAAGGAAATAATATACGGCCTTTTTTGCGCTTAAAAGATGAAAACTGCGGCAAAATTTTTCCAAGCTACCATCCTATATGACGGCCTCGAACGAGAATATATTGATTACTTTCATGACGATTTTGCTGCCATTTCAAACCTAACTTTTGTGAAAGTTTTTGCATGCGTCCATGCCCATGGTGAGAATAAAAAATACCACTATAATTTGCAAATTATTTAACAAAGTTCGGAGGTTCGCACGTAGAAAACCTGGGCTTCTTCAGAATTCAGAGACTGGAATAATGCGCTGAGTTTCTGTCTGATCGAATCAAGAAATCTCTTGCAAAAATTGCCGCCCGGCTTTAAAAATCCTAGCACTTATCCTAAAATAGCAAAATTTGGAACAAAAATTTGATTATATGTGGGAAAAATCCAATTTTGGACATGTCTCAGTATAAAGGTCTACGCTCTGAAATACCTACCTCCTTTTTTCATTATTAATGTGACCTACAATGCGCACTTAATCCTGCGCACTTTTCATAAACAAAGTCTTTTTATGAAATGTAAAGTGCAAGTGTACAGTCTTTCCTGTGCTTTTTGTGTTACAGTTCTTTTCCATCGCCTGCGCTGGATGTTTCTGGAACCACGTTCAAAATAAATCGAAATATGAACTTGTATGAGAAAGAATGCTTCCAGTATTGGACTGTAGGTTCAAACGGTTATTGTTTACAGGATAAGTGATTGTAAATCTTATATTTTATTTGTAGGATAGCGCTGCTATGAAAGTAAATAAGACTTTATATACGAAAATGGGAATTTGCTTATTTTGCTCAAATTACTGAACTGATCCCCAACTAATAGCTTCACGCGACCGCGCCCAATATGCATATAGTTTTTAGAAGACTTTACAAATCCTTGTAAGTTTGTAAAATGCGAAATGTATCGATTTTTTGCACTCATTATGCAAACTTTATATCATATTTCATAGCAATAAATGACGTTCATACTGTGATTACCGTCCACCGCTGACGTTGTTAAATATCAATACAAATAGGACTTAACATGGTTTCGCTGCCCACATAAATTGTTAAACCCGAATCTGAATAATTATGATAAACCCGAATCGGAATAATGACGATAAACCCGAATCTGAATAAAGAATATTAAACCAAGAACCATAATGTGTGGTTCACAGCTGTGGACAAAGGGACACCAAAGCCAGCGAAACAGTCACATTTATGGAAGGAAAGGAAAGCGAAGGAACCAAGTAACTATTGCCGGTATACGTCATCGCTTGACCTCCAAGTAATTACCGGAATGGTGTATTGGGCGTGGGGTAAATTTTCTACCCTCACAAGAAGGCTTTGCCGGAAACCTCGAGTTTCTATTTCCGTCGTTATTTGAATATACTAGAGAGAAAACGAGAATGCGAACGTAATGTTGAATTTTCTTTTTTTCAATGAAGATGTTTACCTTTTTTGTATTTTTCAACTGATTTTTGAAACGATAATTTCAAACGTTTCCAGGAATGATGTCGATATCCGAGACTTCAGTTTCATCGCTAACCAATCACGTTCTTGGGGCAGCCTCGTACCCATGCGCTTTTATAGTAAAGTATATGGTGTTGACAAAAACCACCCCAAGTACCCCCGCACGCTCGCTTTTCTGACCAACCTCTATACCATAACTGGATGCAACGTTATACATTTTACCATTAAAGCGCCTGGTGGGTACGAGGCTGTTCTTCGGGTGAAAAAATCGAACAGACGCAATTCGGTAACTTTACGCTTAAGGAAAGTCTAATGAAAGCCTGAAAGGTCACCCCGCCTCAGGTCCCTCGGGCCGGAGTTTTCGAAATGTGAGAAGAATTTAGTCATGCAGTTTATGAAGATACGCTTGGGAGGGGGTCTTTTTATTGTACCCACTTAATAATCCGATGATACATTCGTCTTTTACACAAACACAAAATCTGTTAGCGAAGGATGTGTTACTGAATGGTATCATGATTGAAATATTGTAATCCAGACAACTACAAGAATGATTCTTACCATACACAACGATTTTCTGTAGCAATTCGTGAGACGGTGAGAGTATCAGAGTATGCTTCAAACGAAACACCCAACTTTCTCATTTTCTGATTTTTAGCCTAGTATAGAATGACTAGTAACGACAAAAAACCTGAGTGATAAATACCACACATTGTATTCAAATGATTTTCATTTGTGTTTTTTATAACACTTTATTATTAAAAAGTTAATGTTTATTATTAGAGCTAATTAAATTTTTTATGTTACTAACTTATTCAAAGTATCAATTTTTTATAGACAGAAAGATGATTTGTATTAGTTGTTCAATTCATAAGTGAAAAGCTAAGAGAAATCACTCCTATTGGTTGGTCATTTTTATACAATCCAATGCAAACCTACTGAACAAGCTTTGGTGTCCTGCATAAAGGTATACTTACTGTTGTGAAGGTTTTGTGTTCAGGCATTTCTACATGTAAGCCAATAAAGTTACAGTCTCCTGCCCACTACAACTTTATTGGCTAATGCAAAACAATGACAAAGTACATAATCATACCTTTGTGTGTGACAATAGGGCTCACTAGTACGTATGTGCAGAAGGTTAATCAGATGGATACGACACCTGAAATTAATGCTTTTTCCTAGTATATATCAATCCAATGATTCTACAAAACAATGTGTAACCTATGATGCAACATCATGATAAATAGCCAATTCATTTTGCGGTAAGAGTGAAGTTTTTTTAGTCTGCTCATATAATCTCACTTGCCCCAACCTGTTCTTCCACTGTTAAAGGGAGGAAGGCAGACATATGTGCAGACTAAAGTTTTTTCCTATGTTTTCCTAATTCTTCAAACCCAGTTTCAGCCTCTCTATTGTTTGTCTCAACATACATTAAATTAAAATATTAAAGTCAAATTCTGAAAAATTACCAACCTATAATATCAATATACTGCTTTTTGCAGTTTTCCCTGATTGTATATTAACCATGTTAGAATTAATGAAATATAAGTTATAGATAATGTTATTTAAAGCGCTGAATGTCCTGTTCAAACAAGTCATGAAATAATTGCTACACCTCTAACCTTTAGGCACTCAAGCAGGCCATCAATATTGCAGGAATTGCAAGCTGTAGTGTATGTAAGATTTTATCAGGTTTGAGTTTAATACTTGATAGGAACAACATGTTTATAGAATAGTGCAACATTTATCTCCGGAAGATGATCTATTTTGTGCTGTTTTCATTCGTCGAACCACCTCTGCGAATATCTCGTCGACATTTTGTTTAGTTTTGGCAGAAGACTCGTAGAAAGGGCAACCCCATTCAGCAGCTAAATCCTTTCCTTCAATTGTATTAACTTCACGTTCGTCAAAAATATCACATTTATTACCAACAAGAATCATTGGCACAGTGTCTGTGTTTTTAACCCTCAGTATTTGCTCTCTCATTGCCCTTAAATCCTGGAATGTTTGCTGGTTTATTATGGAGAATACTAGCAAGAAGCCTTGACCGTTTTTGATGTATAAATCTCTCATTGAGGCAAACTGTTCAGTCCCTGCTGTGTCGAGAATTTCCAACACCGAGGGAATATTATCAACTTCAATTTCTTTCCTGTAGAAATCCTCAATTGTTGGATCATATTTTTCTACAAACTTTCCCGTGACAAATTGTACTGTTAAAGCACTTTTCCCTACCCCGCCTGAGCCAAGAACAACGACTTTATATTCTCTCATTCGCCCGGCTGACATCTTCAAATATGTATTATTATAACAATATAATAAGAAAGAAACAGCAGAAGGTATTTATTGTTTGATATATTCACAACAAGTCGATATCCTCCCGTTTATTTTACGATCACATCCTCTGAAATATCTTATGATACAAATATATATAAAACACCAAGGCGCGGCATCCGGGGTTTTTAACCTTAGATAACATTCGAACACTCGTCTGTCTCCGGTCACTGAGCTCAATGAAAACCTGGAATGAAAATTGAAACAGCACTTACAGCAGAAGAAAAGAAGAGTAAGAAGACATCAAGAAAGACTTCTTTCTGGCTTTGCTTTAAGAAAACATCGAAGTCAAGATGTCTATAATATTGTTAACGGTATCTTTTTAGTTAAAAGTATATGAAGTCGGCAAAGAGCGGAAGTAAAGAAGGTCAGAGACAGAGGGGCGGCGACTGAACGTCTACTTTTGCAAAGCTGAGAGACAAGATGCAGTCTCTAGCAATAGCCAACACTTACAGTCAACAGACTTGCTAAACTGAATTGCTGTTGAAAATAGCACTATCACATCTTAAATTGACTTTCATAATCAACTACCATCACGCCTCACGCATTGCGCGCCTGAAGGGTTTATAAACTGAGGTACAATGCAAAAAAGAATCAATTGCAGGGATCTCTATAGCGAAATTGTGTTTTTTTGGCAACATCTTTAGCGAAATTGCGTGTTTTTTGGCAGTGAATATTTTATCCATTGGTCGTAGTTGTCGTATGAAGATCTCCCTGATTTGCTTAATCCAGTCATGTTTTCTTATCACGTTTTCTGGTTCCCCCATTTTTTTCAAAAAATAAACCAGTAATTGCATTAGCAGGTCCGTCCTGGCACTTCTAGCCTTGAAGTGTTGGCTGAGACAAAACTTCAAACCGAGTTTTGCGTTCATGACTCTATTCTCTCATCAAGACGAAAACCGAGATACCTGAGGAACTACCCATCGACTAACTACCCATCGTCGCGGGTGTTCATATTATGAATCAGAAATTTTAACCATAATACAAAGAAATGGGACCTTTTGAAGTGGGATATATTCACCCATTATTTGTTCACATTCTCTTCTAGAAAATGATTTAATCCAGATTGCGGAAACATTTTTAAATTGATATACACTCTGTAGATTCGGGTACTCAACTCTCAAGGCATCCCAAAATTTACGTGGGATGTTACATAGGATGGGCTGGACGAATTACATGGTAATGGTAAAAAGGTTTTCTCTCTGTGCCTATGGTTGGGGTTTGTGGTTTTACAAATGTCGCATCTTTGGTCGCATCTGGGTAAATCAAAGTATATTTTATAAACGTGTGTACATGAATTAGAGAAATGTACACAATCACAACCACATGTTGCCATGGCAAAAAGAAAACATATGTTGTGATTGGTGTGTGGATTAAATCTCACTAATTTGGTAAGCTATCTGATTGGCTAGAAGTGGTAAACATAGCCATGGCATCAATAACATGCGTAGTCCACAGTAAGCCACAGAAGGCTTTCAACCTCTTTAGCGAAATTGCGTTTTTTTGGCAGTGAATATTTTATACAAAATAATGTATTTAGCACTCTTATTATCTGGTATTTTGTGCTTCAGCGTTACGGCTGTCCACAGTAATCCGTGTGCCTCGCGACCCTGTCTTAACGCGGGGATTTGTACGAGTTCCAATGGAATCACATTCGAGTGTAAATGTAACAAACTCTTCTTTGGTGATCGGTGTGAGAAATTAAACGATGCCTGTAACAATCACGCTTGTAAAAACAATGCGGCGTGTCGGGCAGACGAACATGGAGATTATCATTGTGTTTGTCCCGCGGGATACCATGGAGAATTTTGTGAAATTGACTATGATGATTGTTTGCCGTCGCCATGCCAAAATTCAGCTTCATGCGAGGATAAGGTAGATGACTACGAATGTATATGTCGTGAACCAGGAACGTTTGGAAAACACTGTGAAATTCGTGAAAGCGATCTTACAAAGTGTACCAATATGTGTCCAGATGGTAGCATTTGCTGGAGAAATTATACCACAACCCTGACTATCCCGTGGGGGTATGGTGAAAATATTTGCAACACTCAGCATTCTTGCTTTGGCAAGCAAAATAAAAGTCATTTGGATCACCATGATTACTTTATAGATGTACAATTGCATCCAGTGCAGATGCAGTTAGGGGACTCGTTGAACTTTACATCTGATGACAGTTTTTCAGCTGCTGAAAATGGTCTAATGCCTAGACTTATACCAGTTGATGTTTACAATGATTCTATGTCATTTGTTAATTGTAACACTACTAATGGAACACAATTAGCCACTACACCACAACATCATATTATTATAAATGACACTGACTTACTTCATGTTGGTATGCATTATTTTATAATGAATATTGATTTCACATATCGTTGTGATTTCGGCTTGCGGTTAAATATAAGTGTAAAGGAACATGACTGTCAAAATCCATTATCAGATAACAGAGAAATGTGTAGCAATAGAGGAACATGCCATACAAATTTTAACATGGCCCAATACAAATGTCAGTGCTGTGGTGGATTTCGGGGAAAGTATTGTGAAAAGAGAGACTATTGTTTCAGCAATCCATGTAAAAATCATGCTGAATGTGTGAATGTTGAAAATGAACTTGGTGAGGACAAATATAAATGCCGATGCCAACCTGGGTATGAAGGTAAACATTGCTCCATAGTCAAGAACATGTGTCTTAGTCATCCATGCAGAAATGATGCAACATGCTTTCCTCTGGTGAACTCTTACCGATGTCAATGCAGGCCAGGTTTTTCTGGTCCAAATTGCCAGGTCAACATTGACGAATGTTCAACTCTACAGCCTTGTGAGAATAATGCAACATGTGTTGATAAGATTGCTGACTTTTCTTGTGTTTGCCCAAGTGGATTCACAGGTATTTTTAATTGTCTATTTAATACCAGACTTTGTTGTCATAATTTTCAATAATAATTGATTGCATGGTAACAGGTTCAAAATGGCAGGCTAAAACCTTAAATTTTATATCATTGGAATATTTATAGGTAGCCATTGTGAAGTTAATATCAATGAATGTGCATCCAATCCATGTGCAAGAGGAGTTTGTGTTGACCAAATCAATTCCTACTACTGCTCCTGCCCAGCTCAGTACACTGGAGTGGATTGCAGTATTCGTCTTAATGAGTGTGCGTCCAAGCCCTGTTTACATGGTGGTGCTTGTGTTGACAAGGTTACAGACTTTGAGTGTCAATGTGGTTTAGGCTACGAAGGGAAAATCTGTGAAAAAGATATTGATCTTTGTAGCAAACCAGACATTTGCAGTAATTTTCACTCATGCATTGACCAAGGCAGTCATGTAGTTTGCACATGCAAGGCAGGTTTCACAGGTAGGCAATCAATAATCATTTCATTTAAGCAATGGGGCGCCATATTATTGATCATTCAGTAAAATATTAATTGCAAAATTAACAACAACATACAGCTATTCCAAAGTGCTTTAAGCATGCATAGCTAGCTGGTATTTCTCTGGTGTACCTATATTGGAATATTATCTGAAATTCCTCTAAAATATCAATTACATTCCATTTTTGTGTAGGAGCCAACTGTGGAGTAAATATTAATGACTGTGCATCACAGCCATGTAAATTTGGAGGTAAATGTCAAGATAGAGAAGGTGGATTTACCTGCTTCTGTTTGCCAGGATATGAAGGAGAAGTTTGTGATCAAGGTATGTTAATTAATTAAGGAAGTAGAAATTTTGTAATGAATTACAGCACCTGAAATACAGCACCTGAAATACCGCACCTGAATTGAGTGCTGACCATCTATTCTGATTGCCAAGTGTCAAGAGTTCTCCTTGAGTCAAAAGCATTTATATATAGCGTTGTATAGGTGATGTAATTCCCAGGCCCAAAAGTAAAAAATAAAAAAAGGGCGTGGTCTCGTTAAGAATAAGGCACAAATTACATAGGCACATGCGGATACATAAGACGTTGTGACGCCTCTGTTTATTTAACTAATTTAAATTTCACATCGCAACTAAAACTCTCTCCATAAAGTCCAATTTTCTTATTCTGTGATAACAGGGTTGTGATAACATGGCCGCTAAACCTATCTCGTACACTCTCACACGCGGCTTTTCGCAGGCATATTCCAATGCAGATTAGCGTGACACGTTACCGCAGACAAAAAAAGAAATGGAGTGAAACGCATTTAATAAATTAGTTGCTCCATTTTATATTCATATAGTCAATGATACTTTCCACGACACATCAAGGTTACATTTGAATTTTGTGACTCAAGATTGCTACAGCTTACAGGTATCAATCTGTTCATAATCATATATGATATTCTTCTGTATGAGAATCAATTAGTACGATATATCAACATATTTTCCTATACTTAGTCTAGGTATATTTCATGATTTTATGTAATAATGCTTTTAATATTTTCTGTAGGGAAATCCTGGCATTCTCTCAGAGTTCCAGAGCAAAATTGCTGCCAGCGTCAGTTCTTCATGTAAATGTCCTTTCACTGAGAATCACATTCTTAATCACAGCATAAGCTTGAAATGTCATGACAAAATCACCGGATCTCTTTATTTGCGAATCACAAATGTCGGAAAATATAGGGCTGAGGATTTAATATGCATCCATCAACTTTATTTGACGAACAAAAAGAATGTAGCTAATTTAGGTAAGTTAGTTTCTTGAATTCGTTTTATTGTGCCTGCACACAGCTAGATCGAGCAGGGGACGCCCAGGGTCTCACTCCGCTAACAATTAGTAGGAGTTATAATTTTTTGGTGATTTTTTCTCTATATTGTATCAATTCAGTGTAAAAATTGATTAAACTCTAAATGGTGATCTTTCATTGCTGTTCCGAGATTCTAATAGTAATAGTCTCAAGACTCGTAATCTTCGGTGATCAAAACATTCACATAACCCTAACGTTTCTTTAATATCTAAAACTTATTTAGATAACCTGACTCGTGAAGTTGGCGTTGTGTATAATCAGCGTAGATGTTCTGAAATAAATGAAATGTTGAATAAAACATCCGAAGGCAGTAACGGTGGTACAATTGCATTGACTATTGGTCTTGTATTGTCTCTTCTTGGGTTGTTTACTGCATCAGTTGTTGTGTTCCTAAAATGGAGGAAAAAATCTAGGCCAGCAAAGAAGGAAAAGAGGTAAAGAATTCTTGTATTTTGTACAACGGGGGTCTGATGATGATTTTTTTATGGTATCCATTTTGCACAATAACTGAACTTTAAGAGTCGTTGTTTACCAGCAAACAAAACTTAAAATTATTAGACTCTAACCAAAATATTTTTCCTTTATTATTTTATAGTGACGACAAAAAACTAGTGGAATCAATAAATCTTGACTTGCTTTCAGCCGTTGCACCTACACCGAAGTCTTTGTACAGAACTAGTGGAGGAGCTCATAAAAATTATGGATACACAAGTCACAACTTTGATCCTGTTGATATCAAGTCCAAACGTGTTTAGGATTTTTCTGTAAACATAGGCATTAAATGCAAATGTAAAGCATTTTCCATTAGTCATTAATTACATCAGGCGGCTCCTTTTCACTCTTTACCAGGCATTATTTAGTTGAATCCACTGACGAAGTCTGTCAAAAGAATACCGATCAGTGTGATAGTCGCTCTTATAATCTATAGCCCATGCAAACGATATTCCAGTATACGTAACCACTTCTGATATCTTATACTATAATCAACAAAACTAAAAAGGTAGCATTGTGATATAGTGCGGAGGTTAATGTGTTAAAAAAAATATACTGTATAAATAGATAATTTATGAATTTAACTTAACATTTGTATAATATTCATAATAAAATGTGAAGCTTAGGCTTAGCCTTCCTTATGGCTTCTATCATATCCTATCCTATCATAAATGATTGGTTGAATTCCGGACCAGCCCAGAAAGACACCTGTTTCTCTCCTTTTTTCGAGCAATTCGTCCGGGTCTGGGTGAACGGGGATTTTATTAAGTAAATTATTTTAATTGTTTTCTGAACTAATACAGTGTACGAGTGTCCCCCAAAACACTACTCAATACTGATGATAGTCTTCCTATCTTTGAACTTCAACTGAAGCCATATTGCATTGTTTTGTAACGTACGTATGTCAACACGTCAACGCATTTTTAGAACAATATGGTATTTTAAAGTTTTATATCATTACTCGCCGAACTCTCCCTTTTTTCGTATTGAAATTTTGAAGATTTGCATGTATAACACATTTCAAATGTCGTTCATTCTTGTTGGAGTTTTTTCTTTGAAGGCACAACAATAATTGTTTCATCTATTTGACATAAATCTCTCCGACGAGGATTTCGCAAGGAAACTATTTACTAGCTAAGGTATAAAGTTGTGTAGTCGGCGTGCTAAGTAATTGTAACGATAATTGAGGAGGGGGGGGGCAGATATTCATCTATATTGCATGAATAAAAAGATTGTGTGTTGAAACATGATTGTAGTCGGTTATGAAAGAATACTCCAAAAGTTTTGTATAGTTCTCTGATTACAAAAGTCTAATTTTACTTCGTATGTAGGTATATTGTAAATATCATATAATTGAAACACTCGGTAACTAAACCGGTTTCACATGATAATAGATAGACTTCATTTTACATAATTAGAATTCTGTAAAATACAATACTTACAGTAATACCATTATAGCTATTCAAGCAATACTCTACATACACAATACGACTAACTAAATTCAATTTACCCGATATATGATTACACAGATTCGAATACACAATCTCCATCTAATACACGCTGCACTGTCACACCCATGTAACAATCCAGTCATACTCTTGATACTACCGGATATTATAATTCTAGATTACATTAATTAAAAAGCTCAGAATATAGCTAACAGAGAACACACTGAATTAGCGACACACTGAATTAGCGACACTATTATTATACTGTACAATTAAAAAAGTTCATTCGACATTTGCATTCACCCGTATATCCTCCTCTTTTTATCCGACGATAAAAAATGATTAAAAGCTCTACACACAACACTCAGGTTTGAAGCCCATTTATACTCAGTTGATGATGATATGTGGTATCCATTTGATTAACAAGAGCATTCAGTTCTGCTGCGGAATAACCAAGTAAACTCTTGAGATCACATACAAACTTGTACACAAATCTCTTCCCATGTACTTTATGGATCATATCGCCATCGTAATAATATCTCAGGGCCCTACTTAGCTTCTCATAATTCATAGCGGGTTTGTTTTTTCTTTTTCCCCATTCTTGTGCAACCTGTTCTGGTAGGTTTAACTTGAATTCACCTTGATCACCAACCCACGTGATTAAATGCTTGCTGTCTTTGTCGGTCAGAAGCTGTAGCAAGAATTGCCATAATTGAATTTGGCCATTGTTGCCTGCTGCAAAAACAAATTATGATGACTTTTGTGAAATTACAATAAATGCTGTTCTTTCTATTAGTTGTAAACTCTTTATACGGATTTCTGAACTTACCACTTCGGCTTCCAGTCAGTGTTCGCCCTTCTGGTGTTTGTCCTTCCGGTGTTAACTGACCATCAGAATCTAGAAATAACAGTTACTCATATTGACTGGAAACACATTGATTGGACATAAGCTATCTGTCACTGTATTACCTCAAGATATCTAATTAAAACGAACCAACAATAATATAATTCATCATATGACTTTTCTCAAAATTCTCTAATCTGATTGTTTGACAAGCGTCCGTAAAACCTGGACCGTGGTCCGTATATTCCGTATGCAGTTCAGCAATATAATAAACTGATTATTGACCCTGCTTTTTCGGTCTGTACCGTGAAATATCAGACCGACGTTTTTTTGTATACTAAAAAGCCTCGGTCTGATATTTCACAGTGCAGACCGAACAAGCGAGGTCAATAATCCGTTAGTATAAGCACATAGGTGAGGGTAAATGAATTTAGATCTTGTGTCACTTCACTCGCTGCCTCTAATGATGTTAATCACATTTAGAGATCATTTTGATAATAAACCCTTAAAAAATATGCAGAACTCACAAGTTGGAGATGTGATAAGACCATCACCAATGGATTTGATAATTGACATTACTGGAGTAACAGGGGTGGACGGTGTTTTAATATTTGCTGAAATTGAAAAAGATTTAAAATAAATGTATCATATGATAATGCATGATAAATCATAAATATAGCACTACCAAGCCAAAAATATTAATTCAAGCATATAGAAGTTAACTATAGTAGTTGGCATTTGTAGATAGATTGATAAAAAAGTAGGGTGTAGCCTCATTAGTTCAAAGTAACATAATTACAATAACAAGCATTTTCAACTTACATTTCCCACTCGATGACTTTCTTTTTCGTTTGGCTGGAGTGGGACCAGGAGTCTTGCTTGTCTTACCCTGGTCTTTATTGGTATCATTCAGGTTAAAAACTGTTTAAATTAAGATAATTTTAGCTTATTGAGAGAGATGCCACAGCTTGTATAAACATTACTAGTAAACACAACAATTACTGACCTGGATTGTTATTCTCAGACACAGTCTCTGCTAAATGAATGTTAACAATATCCATTCTCTTTGTAGTCTCACCATTCTCTGAAACTATCATAAAATATGAATATATATTTCAAGAACAGAAAAAATTAAATTGCATTCCATCACAGTCCTGATCATACCATTCTTAATCTGAATGTTCAGTGTAACTGTTCCATCCAAACTACCACAATGAGTTCCAATTGACAAGGAATCATCCATCTTTAATAACAAAAGAAAAGTTTGAAGATGACATGCATAGCATAATAAGGTAACCCTCAGGCATAATATATAGTTTAGAAATGGCCGGGCTGTCAGCTACCTTATTATTAAATCAAATTGTATTTTACAAAGTACAAAGGAATTTATCTAGGCAACATCTATATATATATTTTTTAACCACAAGGCACTTCACAAACCTGATGGTCTCTGTAAAATACAGTAGATGTCTCAACAGGTACATGAATAGAATCAGAAATTAACTTTCTGATCAATCCAACTGGTTCTGATGCTTTCACTCGTACAATTACATATTGCAAGTTTTCGGCAATGCCACATTGGGATTCTTCATATGCAGGGATTGTTTTCTCAATGGATTTTGTAGAAAATGTCTGTGTTCCAAGTTCCTTGTCATTTGCAGTTAATATTGTAGTTAACGTCTGCTCATCTGGTAAGGTAGTCACAGATTGCACTTGTAATTTTTCCTCTGGTTCCCCAACTGGTACTTCAATCTGAGTTCCATCTTGTTCGGTTGGTGGCAATGTGTCAACCTCACTTGAATCTTTGTCAACAGCTATTGTGAGCACTTGTGAAACTGGAGTAAGAACACCAGTGGCAGATAGCAGGAGGTTAGCAGAATCAGATAACTGGGTGGGATCCATGAATGGATTGAATATTTACCTCTGTAAAAAATATGAAGTAATTTTGTTCATTCATTCTTGAAATGTATTACCAATAATTTTGACCCTAAAAACTGATAGTGACTTTTATATCGCACTAGATTGTCATTTTTTGCAAAAGAACTACATCCTATTATGGGCAGTCTCTTGATCTCTAGACCACTGATTAGAAACCAAAATTATGAGCTAAAATAAGATGGTCTTTTTGCAACGAAATCAAAATATCCTTGTCTTAATTGTACATGCTTTAGTCCATATTTTGGGTTTCGATATGAAAATCTTTAGATTATGCCTTATACTATATATCTTAAAATTATTATTTTTGGGTATTTGCTGATAGGAATTATGGGGACAGATTTTTTGTTGTTCATATACTGAAAAAGAGCCATAAATTATATAAACCAGCACATTCCATAACACAGTGTTTTGCTTTATGACTATTTATCGCAATTATGAAACTAAATTAGTTTAGTTTTGTTTCATGTATATTGTTACAGTGTTCTCTGAAATCATCTCAATAATAGTACACTTCACTGTGCTGACCATTGATAATATCATCTCTAGAGAAATAAAGCAGCATCATCTCATGGGGTGACACTGTTTAATTAATCTTACTTTCATAGGTTCAAATATCTTTGAGATTAATAGCATGGTCAGACAACGGTGTTTACTATATAGATGGCAACAGTGTTGCCATATCTACATTAGTGCAATGTAGTCTGGGGAAAATGAAACAGAACCAGTTCATTTATAGAGATCCTTGGTATTAAACAGTTCGCGCGCGATGATAAATTTACTACCGTGATCATTCAATGGTATGATAGTTGCGCCGTTGTGTGGTTGTATGCTTTGCACGATCGGCATGGGCCTTGCCAAGAATTGCCAACAACCAAAATTTTAACTAAACCGAAGAAATATTTTACTTTTTGAACAGATTCACGAACCAAGGGGGGGTTGATACAAACATGGAATTCCGTGCCATATTAAACAATTTGGCAGCATGATCGCAGATTCAGCGAACCACCGCCAACACAAGCTGGCGTAGCTTCCTGTATACAACTTCCTTTAAAAAATTTAACTTGTAGCGCACGAAACAGATTGATACAAAGAGAAGTCATACTAACAACTAGGAAAAATAAAAGAATATATTTTAAAACAGAGATCTTACCTAAGCGTATTGAAAGGCTTGTACAAGTGAAACGTTGTCGTTCAGAAGATATTTTCAAGATGAACGCGTAATATCCGCCCAATATCAAAGCACTTCCCTTCGCAGAAACAACAACACGCGTTCGTTCGTCGAAGCGCCGAGCGGAAATCACTATATTGTTTGGGCGTTTCGACCGAAGTTTTTCGTAACCTTATTTATACCGAAATGGAGAACGAATGTCTTTAGGAATTTTCATTCACAGTTACAGTAAAACTTCACAACCCATGCATATCGTGATTATCGAATTCACTATTCATATACGTTCCATTTTGCCGAATTTTTCCGAACCAAAATTAGCATCCGAATGTTTCCGAACGTCAAGCGACATGGTCCGAATTTGGCTAGAACCATATAGAGCTCAGTGGGTTAAACATTCAAACACAGAATAACGGAACGAGGCAGAAAGGTCACTAACTCAAGCACTGCTCTATTAGTGCTGCTCAGTGGTGCTGCTCTCATCAAATAACTGCTCCATCAGTTAGGATGGTCGTCAAAGGCACAATTTCCTTTGTTTTTTGTGGGTTGCCGCTGCGCATGCGCGGCCATCTTTAAAATAGGGAACCAGGAGCTGGGGAACGGGGAATGGGAGAACCGGGGAATAGGGCACAGGGGGAACAGGGGGAACGGGGAAACCGGTGAGCAGGGGAATGAAGGAGCTGGAGAGCGGGAGAACTGGATGTGAATAGACAGTTTATTAAATGATTACATTGCAGCTAGGAGATGAATTGCGTAATTAAATTTACAAAATAAGGTTAATAAGAAACAATTGAAATTACAAGAAAAAAGTTAAAATCTACCTACAATTGTACATGGGTAAAAGTACTAAGATTGAAAAATTATGTTGTATCTTCAGAGTTCAGATTACACACCGTTGGAATAAATGTGCGTTTAAAACGTTCCGTACGGACATTTCGAATATTAAAAACTAATTTCTAATGTTATAAATCTCCTGGTAAGAGGCTGCGTAACCTATGAGTCTCCGAACCCACAATGGACAAAAACCACCTGTCGCATAGTTGATAACCTGCATGCATAGTTGAGAGCGTCTTTCTTTAAGGGAGGCCAAGTTAAAAAGATAACAAGCTAACCCAGCACTTGGCGAAAGGACAGCTGCTATCGGAAGAACTCCCCCCATCGCTCACCATATAACAGCATAGAGAGGAGAGATGCACTACAGCCCTCAGACCATGATGTATGTACGACTTAACCACAAACCCCAGTGCGTGCATAGACGCATCGGCTACGGTTGGCCAAGATTATCGCTGCGTATTGGATCTCAAGAACAGTCTAAAAAGTTCGTTGTCAATAAGGCCCTGTTACACGGTGCAATTTTTCTTGCAACTTGCAATGCAATTCTACTTTTGAGAAATGTGTATTTGGGAACAACGAAACTTGTGTTTATTACACTTCCTGTATCAGTTTACTTCTGCAAGGCTTTTCACTGATTTACATTTTTTAGAAATATAATTGCATTGCAAGTTGCAAGAAAAATTACATCGTGTAACATGGCCTTAACGTTAGTCCAAGTTTCCTCAGATGATTTTTAGGATCATTTGCCTGCCATGCTCGGCAAACACAAAAGAAAGCTAAAAGCACTGCCCGCAGTGCCACTAGCTAAGGGGTATGTCCTCGCCAAAAGCGACGTCTATTCTTTTAAACCCAACAGCTTTCCTTGCTGAGAAACTTGACGTGAAGAAGAACTACGCTCTTCCATCGTAGTTTTCTGTTTACTGAGAAAGATAGCCCTTGCTTTGTTTCATTTCAGACGGTCTGTGCGCACTGTCCATTCGTTGGTGAAAATAAATTGGCTCACTCTTGACTTCCTGTCAGTAATTATACCATAAGTTAACACAACTATATAAGAAAATCATTTAAAAAAATCACTCGATAGATGATAAGACCACTCGCATTTTTATCACAATGCATTTCTGACACTCTGTATCAACACTCCATACTCCGGGGTCCGACACTCCGCATAATCATTTAACGGCGCCAAGATTCCGGCAGCTGATCTTCATATTCAAATTACAATCTGATTCGGCGGGTCAACCGGTTATAACCGTCTGTGCGCAGTTAAGAAAAGGTAAGGTAAAAACTAAAAAGAGGCTTTAGAGGGTAAAATGGAAAGGTAGTAATATATAATTTAGTCATTAGTTCCTAAAATTCAGACTATACATGTACATAAATGATCAATCCTGTTGAAATAAATTTACCGTTACTGTCTGTCTGTCATCATTATAAACCTTTGCATTTTTACATGACGTAATGTTGCACATTTGTAATGGCGTAAATACTAAATACTAAATGAGTATATTTTGATTTTTCTAAAATCTTTATTAAACCGATGGGTTAGAATATGGCTAAATATGATCGAGTTTTAAGAGCTCTTCTATTTACACAAACTATATTTCTTGTGTAGTAAATGATAGGTTATAGGTCAAGATAGCGTATTTGCCAAGGGTGTGTAATTCAAGTAGACCCTTAGGTGTACGCTGAACGGCTAAAGGTGGAACTGGGGTCGTATGATGTTTGCCAAAAAAGGTCAATTTGTGTGCTGGTCCTGATCAATGCAGTATTATAGCTTGTCATCAAAAGCATGTGACTAGCAAAATGACTGGAAAATGCTTGCTCAAGGTGAAGGTGGCAACATCTATTTGACACATTCAACAATAACTCCAACTTTATCTAATTAACAATTAGCTGCGGAACAAAATTTCACAAAAAATTATAACCACTTCAAATTTCTTATTTTAAAAAAGCATGAAAAAGCTATAGTCTGACTGACCAGTGACTATCACTTCAGAGTTCGGAGACAGCTAGTGAACCTTGACCATCAGAATGCATGAAAATCAATTGTCACTTCAATATTTATACTAATAGAAAATAGACCACATATTTATCAGTTCTGCTCATAATAAATGTATGCAGATGTACAGCACATTGTATTTCAAAAAGTATAGATTTTTAAAACAGTGATGTCAGGTCTGGGAAAGTCTAATATACCTAAAAGTATATAAGTAAATTTAATAGCTTGTAGGTACACCATGTAAGTATTTAATACTGCAAAGCTTTCAGTTCGTTAGCCTTAATTTCAGTGCAATATGATCATATGTTATAATTTTTAATTGATCATAATCATCATATATTACTATTTTTAGTGCAGTCAAGGGGAAAAAAGATATGAAAGCCATTCCAAAGAAAGCTCCAACACATGTTGTTGCCCTGTACAATTACCTGCCAACAGAAGATGACATATTTAATGAAAGTGAACCTAGTTATATTGCTCCAGATGCCAATGTTCAGTTAACCATAAGGAAAGGGGACATATTTGAGTTGACTGGAGAGCTTGGTTGGTGGCTATTTGTTGAGTCTTCAGATCACGGCCATGGTTATGTTCCTAGTTATCTCATGGTGCCAGTTAAATATGATGTACTCACAGCTGATGAGTAAGTCAAAGTGTTAATTATATGACTCCAAATAGAAATTGAGGAACTTTTCAGCAACCCCCGATTTTGTCATTGGTGGAGTGACACAGATATGGAGGCTGTGAGAGATGAACACCAGTCATTTTGCAGAATTGACAGATGGAAATTCATGGGAAGATCACTACCCATTATCGGACAGATTATAATAGAAAAAATTGTATTTTATTTATTCTTCAGTCTCAAGGTTTTATCTCATGGTGGAGATGTGCCTCCATCTGCAATTGACACTGAAGTGGATTTGGCATATTTTCCGGATGCTCTTAGTGACGAAAAGGACATTGGAGTTCATAGGGTAAGCACATATGTCAGTAAATACTGATTACTGAGATATATTTACACTATTGAGATTCATTAATAATGGAGTAGGTAATCAATCTCTTATAGATCCAGGTAGTAATAGGTAGGCAATCAATCTCTTATAGATCCACTGTAAGCTACTATCTGCATCTTTTAAAGCACTCTAAATTCATTTTCTTACAATTATAATTCCAGGAAATTTGCCCAGAAGAAAATGCCAATATATTTTCACGTATGACTATATGGTGGTTAACAAGGTAATCTTAATTAGAATTTTTAATGTATCATATTGATTTCTGAAATACACTGGATTAAAGCACTGTTTACAATACACTTACTTTGTTTTGGTACAGCGTAGTTAAATTGCGCAGCGTAAAATATATACCAAGCGAAATATATTTTCAGCACAGGAGTAAAATGAATTTTTTAGTGCACATTGCGATAATATTCTTTGTTGTCTTCTCATATGACATCCATATTATGACAGGCGATCAAACATGATTCTCTTACACGTGTTTCTCTTACTTTCATGATACGATAAACTGCACCACAATTCATATATTTAGCTTTGAAACCGTCTCTACATTGGACCAAAACTCTACAATGCTCTTTTTTCTTGCGCTTGCACGTCAACTGAAACCTTCACGTAATTATATTGAAGTGAAAACAACCATCAGACGGTTCTGTTAAGCGTCCAGACAACTAGTGAATCGTGTTTTTTCCTGTTTTTATAGCTTGATTTATCGGGGATACAAAAATCCTTTGACTGACAAAGACCTATGGGCCTTAAGTGACTATAATAGTTCCAAGGAAATTGTCCCAAAATTTCTAGAAGCGTGGTCCAGGGAAGAAGAAAAAATTGCTGCACTTAAGTGAGTAATAAAACAAGAAATATCAAGAAATGAATTATAATAAAACTATAGCAGTCTTCTTTTATCCCACAGAACTAAGTCTGAAAAGAAATCCAAAAACTACGAAGGAGTTGAAACTGATGACGTCACAATAATCGACAAGGATAAGAAAAAGAAAGAACCCCGGCCCAGCCTTCTGAAAACAATAGGCCGTGTTTTTGGAAAAATATTCTTTATTTCATTTTTGTTAAAGCTTGTGCAAGATGTTTGTGTTTTTACTCAACCTCAGTTGTTAAAGTAAGTTGTGAAAAACGTATAAATCAGACTGTGTGGAGTGTTTTTATGTGTGATTTATATCTATAATCAAAAAGATTTTCTGTTTCTTTTATATATGCCAATCTTTTTATATTTAATATCATAATATGCAAAATGATAACCCAAATTTCCGTGTAGGCTCTTTATACCCTTTAAAAAGTTTATATAGTAAAAAAATAAGCGCTCTTGAAAAGTACTTGAATATAAAAAAAAAACGTTAAAGTATGCTTGAATAAAGTATGCTTGAAAATGCTTGAAATAATGAAAATATAGTACGATGAACGGAGAATATCGAATCGGCGGATATATTCTAGCAGCATTTTTTAATAGGAGCAAGAGCATTGCACCGGCATCGCAAAAGCGTATAGGTTCGACTCCTGCCGGAGGACCGATAGTTGACTCACTTTTCCATGCATTAACTTTTCCTGGCTTGAATTTGAAGTGTGTATAATTCCTCTCGAAATTAAGACCCTTTAAACCTCTAGAATTTACCTACATCGAGTGAAGTGCCAAAAATCATAATCGCATTTTTAATGCTTCACTATTAATGTATTATTCTATATTTTGATTATGTTTTATTGTTTTTAAGATAAAAAAGTCGTTTGCGCTCGTTATATAGGTTAATATTTTGATTGGCATATGCCATTTGATTGGTTTATGCCCCCTTAAACTTCGTTCTTTATCTTGTTAACTGCTAGTATACACTCGAAGTTTTTTTAGGGCCATCTTTACAATCATCACTGCTCCTTTATTAAGACATCATCTATGAATATTCTTTCTTGATTAGGTTGATAATCGAATATGTTGAAGACAAGGACAATAAAATGGAGAGTTGGTCAGGATACGTTCTAGCGTTGGCTATGCTCGTGGTTGCTATGATACAGACAATCTGTCTTCAAAATAACTTCTATTTAACATTTACTGCAGGCATGAGAATAAGAACGGCGATTATTGGTGCAGTGTATAGAAAGGTATAGATATATTTAAAACACATGCTTTCTCTGGAAGACAGAATGATCCTTAATTGAAATAATCTATCCTTGTTCTTCACAGGCGTTAGTCTTGAGTAATGCATCGCGTAATTTGTCTACCGCCGGTGAACTGGTCAATCTTATGTCTGTTGATTGCCAAAAAATACTGGAAATTACATCAAATTTTGCGATAATTTGGTCAACACCATTACAGATAATTTTTGGTTTAGTATTTCTGTTTCGTACGCTTGGTGTTTCTGTTCTCAGTGGTCTCGCTATGATGATTCTACTTATGCCAGTGAATATGTGTTCTGGAAAACTAGCGCAAAAATACCAGGTAAAATAGCATGCAATAGAACGCAATCCTTGGTCATGCATATATGGTTCAGCCAATTATTCATGTGTATCTATGGCAGGGGTGATGAACTAGTTCATAGATCACCAGGTAGAGATGACCGCTAAGAGATAGACCCCAGATGTGTCCCGGATTTAGGAAAAATCAGTCATAATTTAGGCTCAGAATTTTGATGCTGTTAACCTTTTTATTTTGAAAAAAAACATTTCGGCGATTTAAAGTGTTTTAAATGTGCGTATTTTTAGAAAAAACAAATGCTTTATAAAGATTCAAGAGCAAAAACTATGAACGAAATTCTAAATGGCATTAAGGTTGGTATTTTCGCATTTTTGTTGACTGTCAGTGCGCTCCCATTTCGTGATTGAGGGCTGTTTACATGAGCCCGGTTAAGCGATATTCAACGAAGCCTGAGATGATTTTGAGGTATTGAAGTAAGTGTATCAGTGAAATATGTATCAGTGATGTAATCATCCCGACAATAGCATGCCATTTATACTGCAGTTAATTTATTAGCACCCAAGGCTATAAAGTTGGTGGCCGTGCCCAATTTTATTCGTGCTCAGGCTACCAAAATACAAAAGCCGAGCATATAATGGTCACGAGTACACATTTTAGCCCTATCGTGCTAATAAATCGAGTGTAGTGTAAACGGACCTATTTATTTTAATGGTGAGCGGGCTCATATAAACAGCCCCTTAGATTACGAAAAGTTGTTATCATGGCGCCTCTATAGTGTTGATCTATAACACACTTTAGCATGACGCCTTAATGAAGAACTTGTCAAATACTCTCCTTCAGTAAACTAGGGCCTCATCCTAGCATGGTATATAGGCGAATAAAGTGCCGTATTGTTTATATCAACGTTATGAATGTTATATATTTATAGGTGTTAAAGTTATATGCCTGGGAAAAATCTTTTATTGAAAAAGTATTGGGTATTCGTAAACTTGAACTCCACCAACTCAAGCTTGGGAAATTTGTATGGTCTGCGCTTTCGTTCACCTATCTCTGTGCTCCATTTGCAGTAAGTTTTATCATAAATGTCCGGAGAAGCGAAAAGCTCTGGATACCCAGCATGTTACTAAGACGAATATATACTTTTATTCACATGCAGTCACTGATTTTGCTTCTCTGCAAAAGTGCAGTTATTTGTCTCACAAAAAATCACGACTTATTCTTCAATAAGATTTCTTAGTTAAGTTCAGTTAGGTAGGTTCAGTTAACGAGCTCAAGCAGGAGGACTATAAAAAATTCTATTAGAGTTAATAAACCCTTGCTCCGTTTCTGTGTGTTTTCCCCCTTTCCTAAATTGTGTCAAACTGTCTTCTAACAATTCTACTGGGAGAAATATTACTAGCTGGATTTCTTACCGATACAAATATTTTATTAGGTTTCAGTGGTGACGTTTGGTACCTATGTTTTACTGGGCAATACACTGACAGCATCAAAAGCATTTGTAGCATTAGCATTGTTCAATATTTTACGTTTTCCATTGACGGCCTTGCCATGGATGCTTATGAATCTTATACAGGTACGGGTCCTGAGAAAATGTTTGTATTATAGAGAGGTGTCTGTGTAAGAAAAATGTTCATGTAGAGAGGTGTACTGTGTACATATATAGAAGAGAGTGATGTGGGTAATGGCGGGCTGCGTTCGGATTTCTTGCAAGGAGTCGTATCAGACAGAAAAAAGGTTTTCATTGAATGGGTTTCCGAACTAGGAATTTCGGAAATGAAAACTAGAGGGATGCATGTCCGTGTCGCTTTTACAGATGCATGCTCTTGTTGTGTTGAATTAAGGAGATTACTTGTGTATTCTCAGGGTCTTGTGTCAGCGAGGCGGATAGCAACATTTCTCTCTTTGCCTGAGTTGGACAGTGAATGTATTAAGAAAACATCTGAGACTGGTGAGTTGCATTTTCTATGAGGGAAATAAGTATATACCTGTTTTCCCGAGACCTCGCTTTTCTAGGGCGACTGTCGTCATGCAGTCTAAGAGACTGCATGCTTTTGTTCTTTTTATTTGTATCTTTCTTCTCAGTCCAAACATCACTAAGGCGTCCTGGACTGTACGTTTAGATATATTATCCATGTTTTTTGCACATCAGATGATGTCATTAGTATTGTTGATGGAACATTTTCATGGGGTGAAAACCAATCACCTGTTCTCAAGAAGTGAGTACAATTGACCTCCTAAGCAGGCTAAGCTTATGTGTTAATGAGCCCCATTGCAATTAAATCATATGATCGTGAAGTGATGGAAATTTTGAGGAATAATGAACAATGGTAACAATTATCCTTTCTTTTTATAAGTATAAAGCATTTTATTTTATACCGAATTCCTTTTTTTAGTATTAACATTCATGTGAAAAAAGGATCTTTAGTCGCTGTTGTTGGTCAAGTCGGTTGTGGAAAATCATCTTTACTTTCTGGTCTACTTGGAGAAATGGAGAAATCTAATGGGGAGGTCATCAAAAACGTACGGTGAAGTAGGAATTTGTTTTTTTTTGCCCGTGGAATAGGCAGGATCCGAGATCGAATGATGCATGTCACCATTTTGCAATGGTCTCAGAAGAATTCTTCTTGGATTTTGTTTCTCCTGGTAAATTAAGCAGCGATTAGAAACTAGTAAGTAGAATTGCAGTTAAACAGCGGTACATGATTCCTATGATTTAGGGATCAACAGCGTATGTTCCACAGCAAGCCTGGATTCAGAATGACACAGTGAGGGAAAATATTTTGTTTGGGAAATGCTTTGATCCTAAACGTTACCACAAAGTCATTGATAGCTGTGCTTTAACGCCAGATCTTGAGGTTTTAGCTGCTGGTGATAAAACACAAATAGGAGAACGGGTAAGTGTGACCACGATGGTAACCCTGCAGTTCCTTGCGATTCCTTTGAATACTTTTTATTCCTATTGACACCCTATATCCCTAACAATCCTCTAATCCCGACGTAACCAGGAAATTTGAAGTAATTTTCAAGGATTAATAATCGTGGTGTTGTAGTCCCAAATTTTCATGACCCAATGACCTCTTTTTGTGTAATATATTATGTTTTGTGCACAAAATAGTATTTACAACAGTACTACTCTACTTATGCCTGACTTCAATACTAATAATTAAGTTATGAGATAATTAAACAGCGAATTGAAAGTGATTGTGATCGTCCGCTTTTCAAGGGTGTAAATCTAAGTGGTGGTCAAAAGCAACGTATCAATTTAGCAAGAGCTGTGTATTTCAACGCAGATATTTATTTACTGGATGATCCACTCAGTGCTGTGGATGCCCATGTTGGTAAACATATCTTTGATCATGTGATTGGACCCAAAGGATGTCTCAAAAAGAAAGTAAGTCCTTAATTTTAACAGTCCTTCATCAGTACCAGGACCAGTAGGAACACTATGCTGATATCTTCGCTCTTATTAGCCTGAAAAAACACACAATTGTCTCACACACAGTAGTTATTTGATATCGATCGGAGGTCGTGCTTTTCGTAATATATAGACAAGGGTCCAGTTTCTATATCAGTCCTTTCAGTCCTGTACTTGTTATGCAGTCGTTCAGCATCAAATTTTATACTTCAAATATTACTATGAAACACATGGTAAAGCTAACTTAGTTGCTTTGCTAAATACATCAGCAATGGTCTATTGGTTTCTCATATCACCGCTGAAAATTATCAGTCAGAATTTTTCGATCAAACTCAGTTTTACCCTCAATTTACTTTAGTGGTCACACAGTTCAAAGGAAAATTAGATCTATCGAAAAAATTCCGCGTAGTGGAAAACCGCCTTATGAAAATTTTTAAAAGGCAACCATCCATGCGAAATGTATTCACAACCGAACTAGCTACATAGCTACATTTATTGACTATATTAGTACGCGACATTCATTTACTTGTCGTAGAATCAGCTTTTTAAACTGAAGTTATTTCGAAACGCGAAATACAAGGGAACGACATAATGTCTGATACTGATTTAAAGAATTGTGATTTACTCGAATTTTCAAGGTTATTTTCCTCTGAGTACAAAATGCCTGAGTTTAGCGATCGCGTCTTGGTGTTTGATGTCATGCCAGACAACTGGGATGTGTCAAATTTAGTGAATGTGTTAGATGGGATACAATCCAACAAGACCTCTGGCGGTAAAAGAAGTTTGGAAACAGTTGATAACGGTCCGCAACAGAAGAGAATTAAGAATGTGGAGTCAAAGAATGAAATACTAAGCGAATCGTTGGTAGCAGATCCCGGAAGTAAAACAGCAGCAGAATGCGAACAAGCAGTATCTGTATCTGTGATGAGGAGTGAAAGCGAAAGGGAGAATGCAAAATCCCCATCAAGTAAAGAACCGTCCTCTGATCAGGGGATAATAACATCATCATCACATGTTTTCACAAGCAACTCACCTCAAATTAAGACTGTGATATCAAATGATCCACTACGGCAGCCCAAGATCTGTGTACACAGCGTCTGGCTTTCCGTACAGTCTCCTTATTTTCGGTCACTTTTTCACTCCAGTGGTATGAAAGAAACCCAGGATACAGAGGTTCACATAAAGATCACACAATCACAGGAAAAAGCGCATCTGATTCTTATCGAGGCCATGTACCGCAGTGATGTCTTGAATGATAAAACAGTGGACGTACTGCTTGCTATTTTAGAGTTGGCTGACAAATATGATGTGAAGTTTGTTTTTAAGAAATGCAAATATGTACTCCAAAAGATTGCCACCACGTTCGAATTAAGCACACAAATTATGCATGTTATTAAAGTTAAACATGACATGGACGATGTTGAAGATTTAGCTGCAACTTTACAGTCAGTTCTTGCTGAGGAGTTTAGTCCATTAGATGAAAAATGGGAAGATAAAAAATTTGTGGATCTCTCTGAACCATCTCTGAAATATTTACTAAGCAGCGATGACTTGATTGTTCAATCGGAAAACACCGTATTTCATGCTTTGATGTACTGGATGGAGGAAAATGAAGTAGATCCTGCTGGTATGCAAGAGACTAATGATCTTCTCGCCGTTGTACGGTTCAAATTGGTTACTATTGACTATCTCTATAATGTGATTAACAACCATCCAATCGCGTCAAAAATGCCAAGTTTTACTGAGCTGTACCTCAGTGGTATGACTTACCATGCAATTCCTGCAGAGCAGAAGAAACGACTGGAAAAGCAGCCTGGGTTTCGGAAGAAATCGACAAGAGCCATTATTCAGTACGCTTATAATGTCAGGAAAAATGATTTTGAATCAGGAACCGGATTAAACTCAGATCATTTTTGGGCATGCGGATACAAGATGAGTTTAAAAGTATCTGGTAGTACATGGTCGTCGTGGTTACCTTTGTGTATTCACAATTTAAAAAAGGAAAGTTTAGTTCCCCTTAGATTTTCAATAAGAAAAAAAGGGGCTAGAAGTAGAAGTATGCAGGAAAGGACTTTCAGTTTAGATTCATGCGAATCGAGGGATGACCATGCAGATAATATTAATTCCTATAACGATTTTGAGAATGAAGCTGAAACATGTACCTTGTTTGTTGTCGTAGAACCATTGACATAATAGTAATTTCATTTTCAAAAACATTGACAATTCTTGTACTTTCAATATACTTGTCAAAAGTCAATTTTTACGGATCAGAAGCAACAGCGCGATTGGTTTATTGTACTATAAATTAATGGTGCCGACATAATGACAGTATTACAAAACGTATATCACGCAGTGTACATAGTTAGAGAATATTGTTGTAACATGCATACATTATTAAAACTGACGCGTACATTAGTATTTAAAACAAATTCGACGAAACTTTTTGGATTTAGTTTGCATTTACTTTGAGATCGCATCTTCTCACCCATGCCTGTTACAGTTTGTCAAAACTTGGTTGCTGCACAGCCTGCACTGTCGCCATTGAGTTCCATCATCGAGTGGGCTTTGCGATCAAAGTGAATGTGGCGTTAGTTTTTTGTACTGTAACCTTATCCTAACAGCAGTTATGACTTTTTTGCGACAAATTATTTCCTTTCGTGGAGATTAAAGAAAACAGAATTTTGGATATATAGCTAGTCATATTTAGGTTTCTTCAGTATATATTAAATGCATGGATAACACCGATGAATTATACGACTGTTTCATGCAATATCTTTCCATTAAGATTATTACATGTTTGGCATGTTCCCGAGTTTTAAAGAAAATAGACAACATTGATGATTTTATACTCTCAGTGCATGACAGTGTTATTTTTTCAGCAGCAGCCGAATTCAATTTTTTGTGATCATAAACCAGTTTAATCTTTATTATTAGACGAGGATTCTTGTCACACATCACACACGAGTTCTACCTGAAGTGGATCAGATTATTGTTCTCAAGGATGGTATTATTACGGAGGTACTGGAAATCGTATTGCTTTTTATGTATATGCCGCTCAGGATGCCTTTTTTAAATATTTATCGATCTTCGATAAGGGAATTCGACCAAATATTAATCCAAAGAAGTGATTTTGCATTGAATTCCCCGAACGAAAGTTGTGGTTAGGTTTTTAACGCTGGCTGGGTACACGATCTCCATCCAGTGTAAAGAATATACGCCTTAAAGCGTGCTATTTGATCTTATACGATGGTGGGCGGAAAACGTTTAAAAATAATATACTAAATACTAATATATCGCAGAGTTAGACAATTTTAATTCGCAATTCGTCCAAGATCACTTCGCCGATGGCGTCCCGCGCCGAAAGGGGTCGATTCAAATGATTCAAATGGTGATTTTACACCTCCCACAAGCAATGTTTTCCGTTGCTTAGAACTCTGCTGTGGAATCGCAGAGATGTGATGGCTTAGACATCAATTTGAATTTATACCTAACATTTCTTTTTCTTTTCACTAAGCGTGGAACCTATTCGGAATTGGTTTGCAACGAAGGAGCTTTTTCTGACTTTCTTAAAACATACGCAGCTGAGGTGGAAAGCGATGAGGGTAATGTGTGTGTGTTCAGTTTTGCTTAATATGTGCTTAATGAAAGCTGTGTACCTTGTAAGCTAGGTCGTAAACTTGGTCGCTGCCGAAAAAAGTTTTAGTCCTACATCCACTTCGAGCCTTAAAAGGCTTTAGATTTGCGGACGTGGAATTTGAAAATTAGCGGCTTGTAGTACTAATATACTGTCCCACTACTTATACTGCTGCCATTCAGGGTACATGAACCATTCAAATGTGATCAGATTAACCAATCATGAGCCCGATAAGAAAAGGTAGCGGTAGCTGAAGTCAATTCTCGAACTTGCTAGTACAGAGTGATAAAGAAGGCTTGCCTAAGAAGAAAAGAAGAGAATGATTTCATTTACGCAAAAGCATTTTCTCTTTAGTGATCACCGACAATGAAACTCGCTTTCTTAGATGTTCAGTTCCTGATTGCATGGAAACCAGGATTAAACAGTGTGATATGGTGTCTTCGATGACGTTTAACAATGTTATCAAATACACATCATCTCAGATGTTTCATACCTCTTGCATGCATGGATTTATTAAAGCTAGTTCTGGTCTTTGTAACAGTTGTTATATATTTTGATATTCATCATATTATTAGGTATGTCTTCGACTGATGGTATGTTAATGGATGAACATGGCTCACCTGTTGAGTTCAAACGGATGGTCAGCGTTATAACACAACAGAGTGAAGTAACCAGTGAACAGGATAACCCTGGCCAAAAACAAGAGCCTGAAAATAAAATAATCGAAGATGAAACTATGGAATTAGGACGTGTAGGTTTTTACGCAATTCAATTACATTTTATTTTATTAGGACTATGCATTGGTATAAATATTGCAATAATCTATATCTACAGATTTTTGTACAATACGAGATGAACTATACCATATGATAGTGTTTTTATTTCAAGTCAGTCTAATTTGGACAAAGAATATTGATATTGAAATGCTCTATATGACAGAAGCCATATCTTATTTTTTGCAGGTCAAATTCTCAGTGCTTCTATCGTATTTTGTTGCCATGGGTATCATCTTTACTGTGCTTATCTTTCTATCTCTAATCCTATCCACGACCTGTCTCGTCTCATCGCAGATATGGTTAGCACGTTGGAGCACATCAAACATAACAGCTTCTTCAGAAAACACTCGATACCTTGGAATCTACGCTGGTATTGGTATTGGTCAAGCAATATTTGTAACTTCAAGCTCGTTTTTAATGGCATATGCCTCATTCAAGGCTTCAACTGCGCTACACGAGAAATTACTGGTCAATATTATGCATTTAGCCTTGGCCTTCTTCGAAGTTACCCCTACCGGACGTATATTAAACAGATTTTCAAAAGATGTGGATATGGTTGACAGTGTGATACCTACTGTTCTTCAACAGTTCCTAGGCTCGTCGTTTAACGTTTTGGGTGTTGTATTTATCATATCTTTCGCAACACCATTATTTCTGACAATTTTATTTCCACTAACCCTACTGTATTTTATAACTCAGGTATGCCGTGCTAGTTGCAACTAGTTGCCTGCTCAAGTTGGAACAGATGTGTTCTTCCATTGAACGAGGCATATAGAGAGAGGGTAAAATTTTTGATATTTCACGGCATTCATATTTTGTTTTTTTAGAGATTCTATATTCCCTCGTCAAGGCAATTAAAACGTTTGGAATCTGTGAGTAATTCGCCAATATACAGCCACTTTCTGGAGACATTAGGTGGAGTTAGTACTGTACGAGCATATGGACAGGAAAAACGGTTTATTCTGGAGAGCGACAACCTGGTTGATCACAATCAAATGTCTTATTTTCCAAGTGTAACTTCAAACAGGTAAGATGCGTGTTATGCAACAGCACACATTAGTACCATGGGATACATCTTGGCAGCAAGGCCTTGTTTATATTATTATTTCAAGAATGTGGCGATACTCACAGTAGATTTGTGCAACATCGTCTGTATTGGATCAACACGCAAACACAATGAATGAGAGGCATGTATAGGTGTTTTTGGACAGAAACACTCTTATACAAGAAGTATATAATCATGCATGCAAGAGTGCGGCAAATAGTTTTGTTATACATTTTCGGAGAACCCTCGTTCTTTGTCATACCTTAGAGTAACTGCATATTATTATGTATCGAGAAAACAAAACTTGTCGCTATGCCATGACTAGCTTATGAGTGCAGATATTCTTCTTGGTTTAAAATCGGTCATACTTAGTTTGTTTAATTTTTCTCGTGAAATTTCTGTTTTCTCTTAATGTTTTAAGGTGGTTAGCTATTCGTCTTGAGTCCATTGGGAATTTCCTGATATTTTTTACGGCGTTGTTCGGTGTGATAGGGCGTGATGGGGTTGATAGTGGTCTCATAGGATTGTCAATTACCGTGGCCTTAGAGGTATAGGAGAAGCTTGTAATTGATGAAATACTTGTACAAAAATTCTGCATTGGAACCAACAAAGAGCAGTTACAAGAAAACTGAGCTATTACAGTACCCAGTTGTTAATTAGAACGAAATTTGAATTGGGAAGCTGCAGTCTGGGTCCACGGCTATATTCGAAAGAACGTACGTGGCCACAGCTTGCAGCGTATCCCCTCTCCTCCACTAATTGAATTTAGTTTGACCCTTATGCCTTACAATGCAAAACATAATTTCTTGTATTGCAAGTTCAAAGGTTTTCTATTGCCAATTGGATTTTGCGCCGTATTCGTAAAAACACACAAACTAGCACAGTATGCACAAACTATGGCACACAATTTTTTATACGCACTTATATACAACCTATTGTTGTATCCTAAAAGGTAACTCAAAGTCTTAACTGGTCAGTGCGCATGTCTAGTGAGTTGGAAGCTCAAATTGTTGCTGTCGAACGGATCAATGAATACTCCAGAGTTGAACGAGAGGTAACAGGGATGTACATATTGCGTGCATGCAGTGCCAATAAATTGAGTGTCGTCTAAACGGGGCTCATGAGATGTTCTTACTGACACTAATGTGATCAGTCGGCAGTGGTTATTAATGCTCGAGTCATATTTCCTAGGCGGATTGGATCAACGAAGAGTGTCGTCCACCAGAAGACTGGCCTAATAAGGGTGTAATTGAATTTGAAAGATTTGATTTAAGATACAGAGCTAATCTTGATCTTGCTCTTCGTGGGATAGATTGTGACATTAAACAAGGAGAAAAGGTAAAAACACAGTTAGAATGTTATACTAGATTATGCTAATTGATTGCTGTCATTAGCAGCATGCAAAAAAGATCAAACAAATTTCTTTCGTTTGTTCTTCTTTGTGGCATTTTTCAAAGAACATTTTTTCTCTTTATCTTTAACCTCCATCATTTTGGCGTCCTTGAATCTGGAGACCGGGTAAATCTTTCCCCCTGTCCTCAGACCGGCCCTGGGCAATCCACACAACAACTAACTTGTACAGCATCAAAGTATACAGTAGCTATATCTGTTATGATTTTTAGGTTGGTATAGTGGGGCGCACAGGTGCAGGAAAATCCACAATGACAATGGCATTATTTCGAGTGGTTGAATCTGCTGGTGGAAGAATTGTTATCGATGGTATTCCTGTATCACAACTTGGACTACATGATCTACGTTCTCGACTCACCATAATACCTCAGGTAGATTTTCTTGACAAGAAAAACATTCATTATCATTTCATAAACAACTAAGTTCGTGTAGTTGACCCTATTGCTGTTTGTGATTGGTTTGTTCGAGCCAACTTCAACTAATTTCTCGGACCCTAGGATCCTGTGGTGTTTACAGGCACATTGCGTTTCAATCTGGATCCATTTGATCAATACGGTGATGAAATGTTGTGGAAAGCGTTAGATGTTACTCATTTAAAGAGTTATGTGTCGAATCTTGAAAATGGTCTTGAACACGAAGTCAGTGAAGGAGGAGCAAACCTCAGGTTTGTTTTGAGCCTAAAAATGCATTTCCTGAAACTAATACTTTCATGATTTTATCCTAGCAGCAAATTTTTATAATCATTCTAGTGTTGGCCAACGTCAACTAGTTTGTCTAGCTCGCGCTTTGCTACGAAGAACAAAAATTTTGATCCTTGATGAAGCAACAGCTGCTGTGGATTTAGAAACTGATGAACTTATTCAACAAACAATTCGAAAAGAATTTGCTGACTGTACTGTTATTACTATCGCACATCGTCTAAACACGATCATGGATTATACCAGGTATGAATTTAATAGAATATATCTTTTTTCAAGTCCCTTCATCCGTGAATCCTAACCCAAACCTTAAAACTGCTCTCTGCAGTGCTGAGGCAATAACAAAACAACATTATTATAACTTGGATTCTGATGTGAGCATCCATATTTTATATTGATAATGTTGTATTATTTTCAGAATAATGGTCTTATCATGCGGACACATCATTGAATTTGACTCGCCAAAAAGTTTACTCGAAAAACAGGGCGCGTTCTACGGCATGGCAAAAGATGCAAAACTGGTGTAAGCAACAAACCACCATTCTTCATCACAGACAGTGATTTTTAAAATTTTTTTTATTTTTCCAATATATATATATTTCTGTTCCATGATATACATAATTATACATATTAGATAGATATGGTGACAGTCATCCGTAACATAACGAAAGAGGATTGTATACTGTACGAGTGAAATAGATCGAAAATATTAGCATTTTTTTCGGCACTCTGTTCGTTAAATTGAACTTAAGAAGCAAAGAAATTTAGAAATTCGCTTCAAATTCGCCTTACAAAGGAGCCAAATGCCAGAAAAAAACGGCCAAAAATAAACTTGAAAGCAAAACAGCTGGATCATTAGGCAGTTACTGCCTCTGATAATGTTAATCTATGATTCCGTCATGATTGATGATTCTCAAAGACCACCACCCTAATTTTGTTGGGTGGTTCTTGCATGCGGGACATTTTCAGCTACGTGGCTGATTTACCCAGCATTCATCGCCGAGTATCTGATTCTGTTGTCTGTTTTACTTTCTCTAAATGAGGGATAAATTCGTAAAAAGATGAAGATTATGGAGCCATTAAAAGTTTATTATACCTGGACGTTTTACTTGTTGTTTTTACATACAACATATTGTTTCTACCTACCTGGTTTAGCTCCAGTTTCCTACTGTAAAAAGCAAGATTCGAATGTCGAAATGAAGTGCAAGGTGGGTATTAAACTGATGCAGGTGGATATAATATATAAAAGTTATAAAAGCTGTATGTATATAACTTATAAAATTAAGTACTTACCAGAAACGTAAGCATTATCACTTCAATGTTATGAAGTAGTTCTATAGTATTTTGTTTGTTGGAAGCTGAAGTCATTTTCCAGGAATCCCAGTGTTCGAATTCATGAGTTGTTTAAATTAAGATCATAGTATACGTTGTTCCATATTGTCAGATCTAGTATCATTAGTTTTGTTTGGTTAATGGGTGATACCACTAGTGAATGCAACTAGTGACAGTTAATTATGATATAGTCTTGAGGAATCGTAAGCAATGAATGTTATGAACTAGTTCTATAGTCCTAGTATTTTGTGTCTTAATTTGGAAGCTAAAGTCATTCCCCAGCGTTCAGATTGATGTGTTGTTTGAAATTAATAGACTACCCAAAAGCATAGTATAGGTTGTCCTATAATGGATGATACCACAATTTTGCTAAGTGAATGCAATTAGTGACAGCTAATTATTGTCTTGGGGCAATAACAATAATATTTGGCCTCTTATGTGATAACCTGGGGCCGGTGTTCAAAAGCCGATTAATGCTAACCCAGGGTGAAAAATGCCTAACCCAGGGTTAAAATTTTAAACCTTGGTTGATTAGCCTGCTTAGTGTTAACCCTGGGTTAAAATTAATAAAAAAATTAACCTTGCTAGGTTGAACTTCTTCTATCTTGGGTTAACTTGATTCAAAATGGGTGAATAAGAAGTGGAAACATGTAAACACATATAATTCTTCACAAATTAAAGACTTGAAAGGTTTTACGAACAGTTTCGGCCTTTCGGACAGCAAAGAATTATTTAGGTTTGACTAAATTCTGTTCCAGCTGATGTATTGATTTATTTATCTTCATCTCAATGCAATATGTGATGAATAAATAAAATTGAAAGATGTATCTTAGGCTTAGCTGATCATTGTATTTCGAAATCTTGATTAACTTGATTGGTAGTGGAAAGACTACATTTGTTCCTGTATTCAATAATCAAATACTGCCTGAAATTCTAAAATCAATTGTTTATAATTTGCCTAATTTTATTTCACATTGTTTATGATACAAAAAGGCCTTTCATTTTGAAACTTTCTAAAATTCTATGCACGTTTCATTACAACATTACTGCCCTCACAGGAGTCACAGCAAATAATTTTCAACTGACAATATATCCTTATCAGGTAAAGTTTTGACCCAGGTTTAGCACTAACCCAGGGTTAAATTTAACCTGCTTTTGAACAACGGCCCCTGGTTCAACCCCACAATTGATAACCAACATTAGTGCTTATTACATAATTTTTTTTAGAGTCATATACCTCTATTTGTCAACCGGCTAGATTCTGTGGAGACCATCATCCCATATGAATACAGCAGGTCTGTACAAGTTGTTGTTTTTTAATGGAAATATGTTTATTAGTTCTAGGGAAATTCACAATAATCGATCATGCATTAAAACAGTTCTATAGACTATTTACAAAAACAACTTAACTAGACTACTTGCTAATGTTAAATAAGATGCCCTAAACCTTGCAAACAGCTATACATCTTTCACCTTCATCTGTTATATATGTTTTAAAGAGATATGTAAACATAGTTTTCTAATTGTGATTTTGCTTTCTTTTACCCAGATTTGATTTTTGTTCTGCTAATAAGAAAGATTATGCCCCATCTGAAAATCTTGGTCAGGTACAAAAGAAGTTGAATTGTATTAGTAATTAAGGATGAAATCATTGCTGTTTCCATGCAGTAATGTGGTTTTAAACTTATATTCTCATGTTAATCGTTCATTAGCGTACATCTGAACCTGTGTATGAATTGGTTTCTGTTGTAGACTACTTTTATTTTAATGCCTTCTGTGTGTTGATTCGTCCAATCCAATATGGTCCTTAGTATCATGTGTACCCTTATAACTAATTTTGTTTTCTCACATCGCAGGTTGTCTTTGGTGAACGAATTGAACCATCAGGATATAATGTATGTATGTATGGTATTTTGCAGTGTTAGATTGTGTTTGGTCGATTTCTGTTCAGTTCATTTTCCCTTCCAGCCAACGATAGCTTGGGTAGAAGTATTTAAGGCCAATGATAGCCTGGGTAGAAATATTAGATCATATTGCTAGTAATTGACATTATATAGTCATGATTGCAATTTACAATTTACAATGCAATAATTGATGATAAACTGATAACCAGGGTCACCTATTCTTCCAGTGCTGTATATGCAGTAAAAATATTTCGTGGAAAAGCTGTGTTGTGTGAAATGTTAATGTTTTATATTTATAATCCTTATAATACAGTTAACTTTCCAAGAGAGGAGCTGTAAAGTACTATGTACAAAGAATTATAAAAAAGATGAGGTCAACGGTGAAAAGCTGAGCTTCATAAAAAACGCAATACGATTGAATTACCAACATCACTGGTAAGAAAGCAAGCGGCTTTTGTCTGTATGTAATAGTTATCCTTTACTTTTTATGTTTTACTTTTCTGTTTTCTGCATGATGATACATGATGAAACTTAGATTGTTAAATATGCATTTTATCTGTAAAAGACTGTAGTTTATTTTTCGTACGTAATTTACAGTTTATTCTTTTAATCGTTTGAATATTGTATGAAAAACAAAGTGTTGTTTTGGCTGGCCATCTTTATGAAAAGAAAATCAATAATTGATGAAAATTTAGTTTTCTAAATTTTTTCTAAAATATCACTAAATAAATTATTGAGCATATGTTTAAGTCGGGAGGGGTGTATTTTCATATATTCGTCTTATGCCTAACTGATTTCATTTGTACGCTATTGTTCCAACGTTATATAAACATGAATTTATGAATATACACCCCCCTCTCTTGTTCAAGAATCAAGATATGCAGGAACATTTTCTTGGATTCTCTTAATTTAGGATAATCGATAACATGCCTGTGACATGGTGTTATCAAGTGAGTACCAGTGACTCACAAAAGGTTTACTGTTCAACTGGATTTCCTATTGGTTGTTATGTGGATAGCCAAGGAACTCAAAAAGATGCATGTGTTATTGAGGTGAGGTGATGTTGGAGATCAGGTATTGGCACATGCTATACTAAGCTCTATATACTCTGCATTGTACAAAAACAGAGCAAAACATCCACTTTATATGATATGTAATTTCTGTTTCTTATTACATATCATATGAAGTGTATCATAAATTATCTATTATGCCTGCCTACGTTGACATTTCATCCTATTTGTTTTGGGTGTTTATTGGCAATGGTATATCTCGCAACAGTTTAGTATTATATATTATGTTACTATACAATACAGTCTGAAATCAGACATGCACAATATACTTTATATTTTTTGTAGCCAAAGATTTATAATGAAAAGGACACCTACTATTTATTCAATCATATAAAAATAACAATAGAATATCATAGTGGTAGCGGTGAAGACTGGGACGGGGCGCGTTTGATATCTGCTAAAGTTTGGCCGAGCAGGTAAAGTAATTTACAACAACGACGAATTTCTCAAGGTTATACATATCCTCATATGAGTTGTTTACTGCATTCGACCTTGCGCAATGACGGTCGATAGAATCCATTAGCTTTGGATTGTTTTTCAGTTGTAAAGATGGATGCGGGCCGAAACCCTGCAAGGCTCCATTGAGTATTAAATCAACAGAGTCTGGTGACCGCAGTATACCTTATACTTACGAAGTAGAATTTACGGTGAGTTCGTCACAATGACGCGTAAAGTTCTAACATTAATAATTAATAGCCTGGTATAACAGTACAGCAGCTATGTATGTAGTGCAGGCTGATGGAACTACAAAAGCTTGCAACTTCTGGATGTTTGAAAGCGTCATGTAACGCCGTGTATTAGTGGTATTTATTAGCGTGTTTTTTATTAAGATGAACAACAAGATTAAGTGGGCATCACGTTGGGATTACATTTTGGCGTCCATCCCTCATACCAGCATTCAATGGTTCAGGTTCGTGATGAGAACAATATTTATAATTATTGTATTATATTATTGAACGCTAATATCTACTATCAACAAGAGTCGTTGAATCTTGAGATTAATTTGGATCAGCCGATTTTTATATGCCGTCGTCTGTCTGTCACCAAATGTTGTGTGTAGTCACTTAATTCACATCATCCCAGCTACACATGAAGATACAAAGGGTTTTGCTAAACACAGAGAAATATTTACTCCAGTGCCACAATATTCCACTGACATAAATTGTTGTAAGTGAAACTACCTTTTCATCTTCCGTTTTCTAGCATTATGAATTCATTGGTGATTGTCCTCTTCCTATCTGGTATGGTGGCAATGATTATGTTGAGAACTTTACACAAAGATATCGCTCGATATAATCAACTAGAAACCTCGGTAAGTGGCACATTCCATATACCATGCTTTCCATTGCACGATGTATTTAACGAACGTCACCAGTACGAGGCGGCATACTGTGTAGTTGCTCAATTGTTTAATAATTGTCTAATCAGTTGTTCTAATATCATTCAGTAATATGCTGTTAGACACTATATATGATTTCGAACTGATTTGCGCTTATATACATTAGGATATTGTATCTTTTGATATTTGGTTTAATTTAACAATTGGATAAAAACATCGTCAGAAGTGAATTGTATCTGACAAAATTAGATGGTGTGATCAGTCCTTGATTTGATGAAAGGTGTCTTGTTAAATCTTCAAATCTTTGAACTACCAGAGAACCAAACTGGTTAACGTACTTCAGCATTGAATCTAAATTCTGCTGGCATTAAATTTTAGGACGATGCACAGGAAGAGTTTGGCTGGAAACTTGTTCACGGTGATGTGTTCCGTCCACCTGGAAAAGGCATGTTACTCTCTGTGATGTTAGGTACTGGCACACAGGTTGTCACGATGACTTCAATAACACTCGGTAAGATATGAACTTTCAAATAAATTATTTATATATGTATGTAGATTATGACAGGCATGCACCACTATGTCCCGGGTTTTCCTTTTGCCAAATTAGAAATAATTTATTGCAGTGGTAAACGTTTAGTTCCAGCAGGTGGAATAAATTGAATATTATGACATTGTATCGGGAATAAAACTTAAATGTTAAAAGATAAAACATTTCAAGGAAAATAATCATGCAGAAGTGAATTTCCAGTTACTTTTCGTCCACCAACGTGAAGTGTATTCTCTTGAACTTACTCCTCTCTTTATTATCACTTTGCAGTGTTTGCATGTCTTGGATTTCTGTCACCGGCAAACCGTGGGGCTCTCATGACCACCGTATTGGTATGGCTTCTTTGTCCTTTCAAAAACCACAGACAGGGGTGGAAAATAGGCGAGCACGCGAGCAGTTCTTGCAGCAATGTTTTCTACATTCCGTCGTAGGAAAAGTACAATCTTCAAACTGTGCTCGCAGGAAGAACATTTTCTCCACACCTACCTAGTGCCTGCAGTATATAGGATTAAATATACTTGGGGGTTTTTTCTTGTATTCACTTTTCAGTCCATATAAACGGTATATTTTTACACAACGCGTAGGTCTTGTTTGTTTGTCTTGGTGGACCTGCTGGATATGTTGCAGCAAGAATCTATAAATGTAAGTCAATATCGGAACTGAATGCTTGTATATATAGTATGTGCCCGAATGTATACGAAATTCCTTTTTTTCTGTAGTATTTGGTGGTGAACGATGGAAAACGAACGTCCTTATGACTTGCTTCTTGTTTCCAGGGTATGTTTAGTGCGAGTATAAAGCAACTTCGGGAACTGCCCTGTACTCTTCCTTTTTTAAATTGCTTAAATTTTCCTTCATGCAATTCACTGTTTATATAATTATCTCAACAGAATCATCTTTGGAATTTTCTTTGTATTGAATTTGGTTTTGTGGGCTAAACAATCTTCTGCTGCTATTCCATTTGGAACATTAGTTGCGTTACTAGCCTTGTGGTTTGGAATCTCTGTACCCTTGGTATTTGTTGGAGCTTACTTTGGTTTCAGAAAGCCAGTAAGTTAAAAATATCGTTCACCTTTTTACAGGATACGTCTGGCTGATGCTATATAGACAAATATTAATTAATGTTTTCACATTATACATACACATGCAACCCTATACGATTTTCACCCTTTTTTCATCGAGTTTTAAATGAAACTCTTGCTCTTGATGTTAGAAGAGAATGTTTAATTATTTTTTTCATTAAAATATTCAAAATTATCTTTTCAGGTGATCGAACTGCCAGTGCGTACTAACCAAATCCCTCGTCAAATTCCGGAACAGGTAGAATATTATACTACAATAGATTTACCACAGAAGAAAGATTTACAGAAGAAGTAGTACTATACACATTATGAAAACGCATTTATGATAGAAACGTGCAATTACCAACAGTAACTGTAACTGTAACTATAGACATTCGTTTTTGTATCTTCTTTTGACAGAGTTTCTACAGTCGCGCAGTTCCTGGGATTATTATGGGAGGTGTTTTACCATTCGGATGCATCTTCATTCAACTTTTCTTTGTCCTCAATAGCATCTGGTAAGCATTTGTGAACATAAACGTATTCGAGAATAACAAAGTTAATTATTTGTTCCCTGTCGTTGAAAATCGAAGAGAACAATATTAATTGTACGGCACCCCTCCGACGTGATTGGCCTGATATTAGATCAGAACTGACTGTTACTTGAAAAATGTCCCACTCATTTTCTGCAGGTCCCATCAGATATATTACATGTTTGGATTTCTATTGGTTGTTTCTGCGATTTTGATTGTCACAGTTTCAGAAACTTGTATCTTACTCTGCTATTTCCATTTGTGTGCCGAGGTAAGCTGTATTTTAAAATGATAAGGTCGACCGTTGTATTATCACTGAGCGGAGTATGAAGGGTAAGTTTATGAAGTAATTGTGATTTTTTGTGTTTTCTGTAAGTCAACTAACACAATGAAACAACATTCTGCATGTGTTGTTAAACTCATCTCGTAAAGATGATTGTAAGAAACTTAAATGGAATAATATTATTGACCTTGTATTATTTTCATAGGATTATCATTGGTGGTGGAGGTCGTATCTTACTGGTGCATGTACAGCAATATATCTCTTCATGTATTCAATTTATTATTTCCATAAATTGACTATTGTTGGAACTACAAGCTCTGTTTTATACTTTGGTTATACTTCCATTATGGTCATACTTTTCTTCCTCTATACAGGTATGGAACTTGGTACTTTGGGCTCGATTTCGTTTTATTATTTCCATCAAATATCTATAGCTACTGCTTAAGCTCTGCTTATACTATGGTTATACAGTCTCCGTTTTCATAGTTTACGTGTTATATCTAGTTAATGTTCATACTTTGTTAAAAAAAGTAATTCACCGTTTTGGAGCGATTTTATATATATGTTGTATAATAACGAAATAACTATATATACAGATATAAAGTTCTCTACAACACGCCTAAAGATATCGACTGTACATGTCACGATCTCATTAGTGACTCAAGTATTGGAAAGTCAAAAATATAGACACATGGGAAAGCACATGCACAGAAATGTTTTGCACGTTCATGCACGTTAAATAAGAGCAAGGGATAGAATTGATATACATTTTGACATACAATTTAGGTTTTCCATTCTGTAAATAACATAATTCTTATTTTTCAGGAACCATCGGATTCTTTGCCTGCTTTTTCTTTGTCCGCAAGATCTACAGTGCTGTTAAAGTCGATTAGAAGTGATTAATAATACATCGTTGATTGGAACTAATTAATCATTATACTGTGGATTGTTTAGTTATATACTGTATGTATATATACCCAATTTTTGAGAACAATTGTTTTCGGACTTGTCAAATTTTTAGCTCAACTCAAAGCGCAGTACTATAGCGGATTAAGACCGCTTGCTGCGCTAAATTGGATTGAAAGAAGTTGCGTTAAATGATTCTGAGAAATCTTGTCAATTAATACAAGAAAGAAAATAATCTTCAGAAGCGGCAATAGTTCAATATTCTCATCAAAATTCGAAGAGCATGTTCAGACATCGCAGATATCTTCTCATCATATATTCTGCCTTATACATGCATAAAAGAGAATCCTATAGAATTATATTCTGGTAAGCGAAATCATGCATGTGAACACCGCCGACAATAATTTCAAACCTGAGCCCGTTCATTCAATGGATGGGAGTGACAAGAGGATTTTTTATGCTTCGATATAATTTATCCAAAGAAGAGAATTATTTTACGCGCCTTCTCAGACTGTCATAGCTCATAGCTGCATGAGATTTTATTGGGGCAAACGGAGTGTAGTTTAGATCATTGTATGGAACATAATTCAGTTAAATTTTAGTGCGCCCATATAAGTATACTCAGCTAAAGCGGTTTTTTGTTATCTATATTTATTTTGTTAGCTAAAATAAACTTAAAAGTCCAAGAACTGAATTCTGGTGACTTCATATCTGTTCTTTAGAAAGGCATGTGGGATACGAGCTCTGCATCATGAGAGTAAATAATAAGTAAATAAAGTCGTTTCAAAAAAACAGCAGCTGTGAAGCCATAATATGTACGAAAATGGGTTTAGGTCATACAGTTTTCCTTCAACGCGGTTATTCTTTTACGACTGGTCGATAGCATTGTTTGTGTAAACATGCAAATCCATCCCATTCTCCGGGTGTGCTCTCATGTCGTCCATTGTCTCCTTTGTTGCTGCACCTTTCGTCTCTGGCAGGAATAATCCAAGTATCGCCGCTTGGATGCAAATCGCGCCAAATATACTGTACGGTAGTGCTACATGGATACGAATCTGGAAAAAAAATATATCCTGTGTTTTGTCGAATAACGGAATTTCCGTAAGCTCCGTTCAAAGTATAGAAATGTGCTTAATATTCCTAAGGTTCACACTCATTTCGTGGATCGATCATTACCAGCATCTGCGTTAAATAGAGTAGGATGTGCTTTTTCTGTCGGAAAATAATACAATGAATCCACGATTTCTGGACGAGTGAGAACCAGGTTTTACAGTGGACGATTCCGGTGATTTCATCAATGGTGCATAATGGTCATGAAAGATGAATATAAAGCATGTCTGGCTAGTATCAGATTAGTGCAGACTCCAATTATCAATATAGATCAATAGAGAACGACTAAGTATTTAAGTATTCATGAGTAGGTGGTCTCGTAATAATACTGAAGTCGGGACTGTAAAATTCGGAAGCTATTAAAATTTCATTTGAGCACTATGTGATGTTATATCATGTTGCGAAAGTTCTCTAAATATCACGATGAAGTATATAGCATTAATTGATTTAATTCAGTTGGTCATTCTAAAAATACCGTTGAAAACTTAAAACAGCGAAATTGGCAGGCATTACAGGCTGTTTCTAGGGTGACTTTTTATTAACCTCGTTAGCATGCAATTTCTTTCGCAACTTCGCAATGGCGCGTGCGCAGTCATTGGAAAGGATATGCGCGTTAAAAGTAAGTTACTTACAAGCCAGATAATGTAGCTGGCGGCAAATGAACCAACTCTAGCTGACCCAGAAGACGTGGACATCGCAGTCGCTCTGTAAATAAAGCACAACACGTAAAAATTGATTACAAAACTAGTAACACACAAAATTTTTGCATAAAAAGCCAAATCCTACCTTTTTTAAAAAAAAATTTATAGTATATAATAATCAGGTGTAACCGGGAAAATGTTTATAGGGTTTATTCCGTTCTACCTTATAACTGTTGGATACAACTCGCTGGTCCATACATAACAGCCGTTGAAAGAAAAGCCAATAAAAAATCTTGCAATGATTGCCGCAGTGACACGACCACCAATATTCGCTGAAAGAGAGTACCGAGTTGACGGATGTATTTGTCGACAAATATAGCCACAAATTTGTTTGCTGAACAAGAGCACTTATGTACGTACTAACCGGGATTCTTATTTGCTGGTATCGAGACTAAAACGGCAGACGCCAGGAAAGTGATTATTAAACCAAATATGATGCACACTTTACGGCCAAATCTACGAAATATTTCAGGATGTTATAAGTACGAGGTGTATGCTGTGGTTAAAGGACTGGATTATGGACGTAACCCTATGATGAAATCAACAGAAAGTTTGAAACAAAAAAAAATTGAATTTTCTAACCTGTTAACGGCCCACATACAAAAAAAATTTGCGGGAGCTGCCACAAGACTAAGCAAGAAAAAGTTTAGATATCTGTTTCCACCAAGATCAACAGAACCATAAGATACACCATACAGTACAAGTGCATGGGTGAACCTGGATAATGGCGAAATGCAAAAATAATAATGTGATAAAATGTGTTATGGAAGGCATAAAAATGCATAAACTGAACTGAAAGTGCATTTAGTAACTTAGATATTTTGCCGGCTAGGGCTTCTTCAGCGAATTATTAATCGATAGTCGTGTGACTCGAAAGATGGCCTCATTAGGGCCAAGGGGGGGGGGTGTTAAAAAGAAAGTTTGAGTGCATGGGAGCCCCCACAATGGTGGGACGGTACAGTAGGTGGGGATTGGAAAATACTGTGCCAAATAGGAAGAGGACTCCGAAGTTTTATTTCTGTCGTGGATGCATAAAGGCATGCTATTAATATGGAACCAACCGGAAAATCAGAAAAACATACCATAAATTCCAGCTAATTAACGTTATTTTTGCCACCTTTCGCGTTGAAAACAGGAGTTTTAAGCTAGCTTGTGGTTTTGAAATAACTGGCTTTACAAATTCATCGTCAGGTAATGTTCTCTTGTTCATTTTAGCGACCTTCAAAAGTTGATTTCTTGCTTCCTTCTCTTTCTGGTTTAACAATAACCATCGTGGTGATTCAGGTATCAGCCTGGGCAAAAAAAGTTACCATGCAATACCAATAATTGTAACGCTAATTAATTTTAATAAAAATATATATATCTTAGTTTGTAACGATCGATTAGACAAAGAGGATTTGTATGCAGGAAAAAATTACACCACGCAAATGATTGGCTTACTATAAAACACCTGTTGGCTGTTGAACAGACAATGTAATACCTATAACCTCTATATACTCTCCAATAACCCCTATATACTCTCCAATAACTGCGATATACTCTCCAATAACCCCTATATATATTCTCCAATAACTGCGATATACTCTCCAATAACTCCAATACACTCTCCAATAACCCCTATATACTCTCCAGTATCAAATGATCGTCTCCGCCGCCTGGCACGAGCGTAAATTGCATATAATTACAGGATAAATCCCTCTTAAAAGGCCTCGATTCGATTCAAAGATTTCTTAAAGTGTTTAATGTTTACAGCTAAAGCACGCGTGTGTGTAAAGTTCAATATAATCTAAACATAATCACTTATCCACAAGATCCGTAAAGAATAAAAATGGATTTCTATTCAGTCAAGAACCCCATGTGACCGCTGATTAGCTAAAATATGAGCGCGAGATCACCTGGTATGTGATGAATGTCGGGGATGTTTGTGTGTTCAGAAAATAGATAATTCGATAACCTTTGCCTGAGTCAGTCATGGACAATAACGTTGTATTCGTGCTTCTTAATCACGTGGTCAAATTCAATAATACATTGCTCAGATACATGTTTAAAACGTACCCGGCCATATTAAATAACATAAAGCATTAACCGCACCCAGGAACTTACCAGACTAGCAACAAAACAGGTGCAGCAAACAAAGCAGTTATGAGTAAGAAAGTTCTCCACGCTGGTGCTAAGAATCCTATCAGAGGTAATATCATTAAACCTAACGCGTAAAACGTGAAATATCCAATGCCGAGCCACGAATGATATTTATCGGTCGTGAACTCCGTCAGTAAAGAGAATGCTGAGGAGTTTATAAAACCTGAAAAAAATAACAAGCCAAATTATAATCAACTGTGTGACAAGGGTGATAGTAACGCGAATGAAAGATTGCAACATTATGAAACGCATAATAATAACATCGAGAATTGTCTCATACAAAAGTCAAAATACAACAAAAAAGTACTTAACCTGAACCCAGTCCAAAGATTAGCCGACAAACGATGAAAACAACGAAATTCTTCGGGAAAACGACAACGATGGCTGCAGTTGTACTGATGATAAAGCCCGCACTGATAATTTTTCTCCTTCCATATTTATCTGATAAACTTCCAGCAAACAATAGACCAACCAGCATTCCAAACCACCACGACGATTGAGCAAAGGACAAAAGTATTGAATCACCACAAACCAGATCATACTGCGAACAGAAATTACGCACAATTCAGTTGCTATTTTAAAATAGGGCATATATACAGTATACTATCCTAATCCTGGCCTGCCTATATACGGCTCTTATTCGTTCATCGCACGGCACACTGGCTGCGGGTGTTTTCATCTAAACAAAATGAAATCTACTGAAAATGTGGCGAGGGTTGTGCAGTACTGGTTCTAAAACATTTTAAACAGGAAAACTGTCGAGTGAGTGGTCTTGTTGATAGCCATGTACTGATGCGGATTCGGTCGCCTTGGTATATAGTGTCAGCCAGGCTATTTTGCCGTGTGTACTCATTAATTTGCAAAAATTGCGTGCATTTTTATTCAGTAGTTCTGCTGGTTCATTGTAAATGAAAAACAGGCTTTTTGCCGAATCGCTAGAGACTGTTGGCAATTGCTCTTCGTGGAACTCATAAATCAACAGGCCCTTGCATCATGCTGCTGCCTTTATTGCATGCATATAGTGTTTTAAAACTTTGTCCAAATTTTGAAATTCATTCATGTGAAATATTTAAATAATGTATATAATTTCTTTGGTTGTATTGTTATGCTATTGGTATTTTCTAATTGAAATTTTAAAAATCATTTATCAACACTATAAGCATAAGTAAAAAAAAAAGAAACTGATTATGTAACCACGTGTTTACCAGGCGCGCATAAAATCTTGCATGTACTTAACAACAATGAAGTTTTTTTTATAGGAAAATTTTTTACACCCTGCGGTTGTTAGTAATTAGATATATGCATGTCAAATATTAGAAAAGGTCAAGAGAATTTATGTTAATGTTACGTTAAAAGCAGGGTCAACTTTAGATATTGCCTCGTTATCAATGTTTTTGAACGCTCCAAAGGTGTTGTGATGAACTAAACCTTGGTAACAAAAAATGTATTTTTTGGATGTCTTGTATGAGGATTATAATGCTGGTCTTTATATTCATTTCTGATTGATTATCATGTCAACGTTAATAGTCTCAAGCTATCAAGATCCCAACATGAGAGCATGCTCGATTCATTCTCGTGTCAACGGTATACGCCTTGTTCAAACCAAAAAAGGCAACATATTTTTACTAAAACGGGGAGGAGTTAATTTCCTCTACGGCAAAAACATTCCATTAGTTCCGAAAACAACAACAGAAGAATCATTCCTGTCAGTAATAATCAAGTAATTGGATTTCTAACATACTTTGCTTAAAAAATTTAAATATAACACTAACTAATTTTTTCTTTCACAGTTGGAAGTTTTGACCTCTGACAAAAGTACATTACAAACAATCAAATGTGAAGTTATCGAGATAGCCCAACATGATCTTAATCTATAATATCTGACAAATTCAAACTGTTGATGTTGCGATACACCAAGAGAATTAAGCAAAAAGATTCCAGAAAACTCAAAGAACGTCATTATCAAAATTTCCCACGAGCCAGAGCGTTAGGCGAGTTTATCTTGTAAATATTTTTCGTTCCCAAGGATCATAAGCTGTGATCTTATAAGGTACGACTTATCTCAATAAACATGTCAAATCAACGCATTTTAAAACGGGCTTAGACTCCATTAACATCTCCTTATCGCTCATGACAAAAGAATGTTGGCTAACACCCCTTGATCTTGAGGATATGAGCATACTGTTGGTGCACGAGCAATGCCTGGGTGGCGCCAGAAAGTCAGTGGGATGCTCAAATCATGAAAAAAAGTGACTGAGTTTATAGAAACTATGTATAATTCTACAACTATAAAGCTACATAAAGTAACTGTTTGCATTCCCTATTTTGGCATTTTTAAATATGACGTGACTGAACACTCAGGGTGCTAGACTTTAGACCATTGATCAGATATTTTTGATATGATACATACCGAATGCGATTTAACGCTGATTATTTTAATTTTCGAAGCCAAGAATTTTTTCCTGCATGTGCAGTGACGTAACGTGGGACCTAAATTTTGTTCGTCGATACATTATTAAAGGGGTTTGGTGTATGACTACGTGGAAATTCCTATATACTCCCGTAAATTCCCGCGCTTCAAGGCTGCTTTCCACTTATGCGTTCTTTATACGCACGTACCCATAGGGAAAATTTCAAATGTTTTTAAATTCTTATTATTTAACATCTACGTCAACTAATGCATAGTAAAATATGCAGAAAACTAAGTTCTTTCGATTTACTTACTTAGTTTTTTCAAAGGTAACATGTATAAGGATTTAGACTTTCACGTGCGTGTACGTGCGTATGAAAAACGCGTAAGTGGGAAACAGCCTTTAAGAGTAAAAACTCTTAAAACTTTGAATATCATATATGTATGTATATATATGAGCACAGCACAGTGAATTTTTAACTACAGTACAATACGAGCAATTGTGTTCTTTTTGCAATTGTGTTCAGTGAAGAAATCGCCTCCGCTGCCTTTCTAGTTACGTCGCAGATTGAAAGACGTTCCTCGACGCCCGTGCATGAGGAGTGAATCAGATGAGTTAAAATTTAAAAACGTGTTATCGCTATGCTGAGTAATTTAATATTTTAACAATATACTTATACAAAGTGCTATATAGCTACATTCTTTGCTTATAATTCCTGATATGAATCCTTAAAGGGGATAACAGAAGAAAAAAAATAGCTGCGTGAAAGCTGCCAAAATTTGGTGAACTTGATCAAACAGAGTCTGGTACGGATAAAATTTGAAAAAGAAGTGTGTGTGATTTATGTAGTAATACAGTTTCTTTGGTATCTTCAAGGCGAATACAAAGTTGCGCGTAACACGCTCATATTTAATAAACAGAACTGGAGCATTTTATAATCGCCTTATTGCTTGGTATTTACTTATCTATGGCCATGCTTAAGGGAAAATCTGAATTTTTTTTCAATGACAGTCGATCGTAAAATTTTGACTTACATAAAAACTGTCTCGTCGATGTAGTGACACAGAGCTCCCGAACATGCATAATGCAGCTTTCTCGCTTCCCCGATAACTGAACTAAACGTTTATGATCATTTTAATACATTTGCTTGCAGTCTTGCACAAGACACTGCCACGGAACCTGATTAACGTTTTTTAGATTTGTGTTGACTTTTTTGCCTTGGACGAAGGATTTAAAACATCATATTCTGACAATCTTAATGGTTACCCGAATTCTGCCTCCCCAAACTACCAGGAAAATTGCAACCACCTCCCCCCCTCTCTCTCTCCTCGTATACATTTACCCACAGGCTGAAATTAGGGATTATTTCCGTCCCCAATCATTTGGATAGACCGCCTTTAAAAACAACACTATTCTTCCCGACCGCGAAGCTGCAGCTGTTGTGTTTTTAAAATTAGGCGGCCATAATCTGGAGAATTGTGAGAGGATGCGTTTGGAGCGCTTATTCACAAGTATATATTTATATGACATTTCATTTCGGTCGAGGGTAGGTCTGTAGGTGTATATTGTGCTGTAGAGGTACTGCTCCATTCTAGTTTATTTTTCTCTTATTTATACAACCCGAAACATGAACCTCGACAAAACCATATGGTTGTGTCCAGGGGTTAAAAAATTAACCCTAACAATACATTTGGAAGTTCCGGGATGATGTGGTTCATACATCAAACAACCCGAAAAAGATAAAAACAATCGGTATATATCTATACACGTGTGTCCCCATGATGCTTTGCGCGCTTACTGTAAGTGTTGCAGGACTTTGCTTTCTTCACATCTTTTTTTGTGTTGGTTTTATTCACGCTTCGTCCAATAACATTAGTGTACCTGATTACATGCGACGATAGTACGTTGCCACGTCAAGACATCTGTGCAATTTATGGACGCCATAGCATGCAACAACATGACTAATCAAAATTCTTATTCACCAATTACTCGCTAAAACAGATCTTTTTAAATTAAACGCTACGCACATATAAAAGGCAACCACATTTACTCTCACAATAACCTGGTGTATAGTCCATGCATGCACGTTTGCTTTGTTTTTAACGGCAGCCGCCCAAAATTCCAGAAATTCCTTTAACATCTGAAACAACTATTGTGAGGTATTGCTAATTTAAGCACCGCAATAGTCATGAAAAAGTAATACATCACGGCTGGCAATTAAAATGTGCAGATAGTTGAGTGGGAAATCTATTGAAATTCGAGTTCATCTGAAGTAGCCATTAAAAATTTTCTCCTCAACACACCTTGGAAGGAGAAATCCTCCCTGAAGTAACGTTCGAAGTAACGTACTGTGGTATGACGTTTTCTAATGATATTACAGATGAAACATTATCGTGTTTAATTAATTGTTTCTGTCAGTAACTGACGTAGTTTAATCACAATTTGCTTAGCAAAGCAACGACCTTCGTGAAAGCTATTTCGTTCCGTGCGAGGAATTGACATGCAGAACTGAGAAGTGAATGAAATGACATCTTGCGTTCATCATATTCGTATTATCTGTCAATTGAGCTATGCTGTAATCAGCATAATAGGAGCGTAACATAGAAGGGGAGGTATGTTAATATCCCGTGGACATACATTCTAAAGGTAGGTAATGAACTATATTAGCATCGAGCGCTCAACGCCTTTAATAAGATAAACTGCAATAATATTATTATAATAATATAATTGATCAACAAAATTATCAAGTTTGGTACATGCGATAGACAAAAATAACAGTTTTTATTTAGCTTCACAAGAAACAATGTGCTGTGCACGAGTCTGGCGTGTGTGCATAAGGTATAAGCGTATATATGACATGTTAGAGCTTTTCAGCATATCGGCAGTAACGAAAGTAATACTTCGTCGCAATTTAGAAATATATGTAAAAAATTTTTAATATACAGCGATTTTAAAAGTTTCTTGGTCAACTTCTCGATCATATTTCTGATTCTCGATCAATTGCTAGATTTCGATTTAAAAAAATTATGCCTGAAGCCCCTCCCCCGCCCTTTTGGCAATAGTGATTCAGCACTATTCCAAGCATACTAGCAATATATGTGCATTAGACTTTTGAGGATTAGACGAAATTTAGCAGGGCAAACTATACTGTGGGCAGACATATGGCTGATTCTTTGCGCCCTCTCTCTATTTTGTAAAAACGTCGTGTAAGACCAATAAAAATGCTCAAAACCGCAACCTAGCGGTCCTAACCTACATATGCGTCGGTCGCGCATGCATGTGGTGTGTCATGACTATAAGGGGCTAGTATGCATGTACGTATGGTTTTATTACTAATGCATAACTAACCACTTTAATAACTATACGATCCATCTTAAATCGACTATCTCACCTCAGTAACAATGGATGTAAAGTCATCTACGAACGTCCAAGCTTCTCTCGGCATTTTACATCTGGCTTTGTAATCATCACTGGTTAACGTTATTGAGTTGTTAAATCTACACACGGTATTATTTTTGTATCCTTCAACACATTTCCAGTCAGGTTCGGCTGCAATAAAGGCCACTATCATGCCATTGAAAGCTGCCACAGTCAAAATGCAATACCCCATCAATGTCAAAATATACCATTGATATTGGCGAAATTCGCCGATCTTTTTAAATGATTCATCGATCGTTATAGCCATTATAAAGCTGAAATATTCCAAGGATGAAAACATTTATATTTGATGTTCAATCTATAAATGCAGCCTGCTAGATATTAGGGAAACCTTTTTAAAAGCAAGGAATGGAATTAATTTAAGTTAATCGCGTTTGGTCCAACTACTGCACAAAATAAAAATTGATGTTACCTTTTTACTTTCCCAGAAGCTTCCAACACTAGTTCAGTTCGCCAGACTGCAGGTGCGTGTATGTCCCTCCACTGAACATGAACTGTGTGTTGGCCAACCTAGTTTGTGATAAGAAGTGTTTATGACGAACTGCGCACAATTGTTTATATGGTGCGATTTTTGCGCGTCTTGTATTACACCATATCTCGTTTTATCAAGTGGCGTGATTGAGTGTTAGTTTTGGAAGCTGTGTTTACTGTCTACACACTAAGCCAGTCCTGGGCCTGGCTTAAGGCTAAAATTTCGCAGTGAAAAGGCGCTTCGTAACTGAGCCCATCACAACAGATTTCCATAAATATTCACCTGCTGACATCAGACTTGCTTCCAGATGATATACAAGAGTCCAGACTAACGCGAACGGTTAAAGCCTGGTTTCCACTTTCCATATGGCGCCGGCGGTTGACGAACTCATTGTCGATGATTACTGATGAATAATGATGGTTATACAGAACGATGCTTTTGAAGATAATTCAGTTCCTCAAAAAAGAGAGTGTAGAATACAATATTCTATGCGTCTTCTCCCATGGTTACCGGCGCTAAATAGGTTGCGGATTTGCATTCATTCAAATATAAAACAGGCTTTCCATTATTCGTGTATCAGGATGAATCTCGATATTCTAGAGATTCAATTCGCCGCAAATATCGCAATCTGCTTTAAAGTCGAGGAAATGCAATATTCGGGTAGAAACAAACTCGAGCATTTCGGACAGTAGGAAGAAATTATGGTGAATAAGTATCTAAATCGTGTAATCATTACTGCCAGCTGTGATCTATTACCCGACCGCAAGTTTGCCTAAATCCGGTCGACTAGCCACTACGGATATTGGTCTTTATTTCGCGACGACGCCACATTTAAATAAGGAGCTGGACTGCTGGAGTTTTAGTGGGAGCGCTGTGACATCCCCATACAACTGCCAGTTATTCGTAGGCATATTGTGAAACGTGGACTGTGTGGATTTGTGGAACCCGGACTTTATAAAATGAAAAATTCGGAGCCAAATAACATTACCTGAAAAAGCGCAAAATAAAGACAATGCATGCTGCCGGCGATTCTCTTCTTCTTTTGCGTTTGACGTTCTCATCTTCTTGTTGTAGCGAACTGCGAAGCCTGCGTTTACATCATCGTTATAAAAAAACGGTAAAAATGGCGATCGATGGACTCTTCTTAAAGAAGAAGAGCACATGGTAAAAATACTTATTTAAGGAATTTCTGTTACCAGTTGACCTTTCCAAAATAGCGATGCCTGGTGGTACATCAAGCGTATGGTACGTCACCGTCGGTTAGTATATGGCGTCAGAGAAAATTTTTTATAGATATATAGATATTGACCCAACAATGTTATAGTAACTCGCGGCGTTGCTATTTTTATCGTCTTTTCTACTATAGAAGATTATATTTGATAGAAAAAGCCTAGTATTATAAGGTGTAGATTTTACAAGCACAGGTTTGTACGAACCTACAATTTTAGTGGAGATCCGAATCAGACCACACGACCGTCACGACGAGTGGTCGGAGCTGCAAGAATTTTTGAAATTTAATCCTTCGCGGGAAACCTAATTCTAGACTGCAATAATTTATACGGAGCGGTCTATTAGGCCAAAAATTGCTCGTTTTGCGAAACCAATGAAAGCACAGCGTTGCTCTAGATCCTCGTCTATGAGCATTTCAGAGCCATTTTCTTGAAAATTTTCAACGCAGACGAGTGTGTTATAACTAAAAACTATTTTTAATTTAAGGGGGTACACCACAAAAAGGTCATTCGCATATTTATAAAATGGAAAATATGGAAATGTCTTAATATACTTAATGAGTCTAGTTCATAGCACAGATCTGCATCCGTGAGTGTGCCTGGTAGAAGAGAGCGAGAATTTTTGCCGCAATATACCCAAATTAACTTCGGTACCATTGCGCAAAAAATTATTTCATTTCGGACGTGTATCTAAACTCCAAACGACTGCTGAAACGAACTTAGCACGGGAATGTCTGTGCTGTGAACTAGAGTCAGAACAATCATACATTTCTACTTCAACACATTTCAATATTTCTAATTTTATAAAATATGCCATACGCAAGGACCGTTAGAAATTCATCTATTGCACATTTTCTGATGTTTTGAAGTCAGGAGTATGTCATCCACAAGTTTCATCATAAGTTACCCGAAAATGTGTTTTTTCATGGCATTAATCCACAATTAGCATTTTGATCCATTATCCATTGCATGAAGTAGCGCACGCATCAAAATGCTAATTGTGCATGGAATAATGCCATGAAAAAACACATTTTCGGGTAACCTATGGTTTCATTATTCAAGCCAAAAGTTCGGCACAAAAGCTATAACAGCTATATTTTACTTCCATGCAGGCTAGAGTGCCGCTTCGTTTTCATAAGCATTGTTATTGACGCATGGAACTCTCGTGTCATTCATTGTTTCCATGTCATTCATTGTTTCCTTTGTTGGAGTTCCCTTGGTTTCTGGTAGGAATAAACCAAGCAATGCTGCTTGAAGACAAATTATTCCCATGATGCTGTATGGCAGAGCGGCGTGAATACGAATCTGAGAACGATAACGATATAGCTACGTATTCACAGATAACGTATGAAATGAAGGCAAATATACATTCGTTTTTTTATCATACTTTTGAGTTTTCTCAATTGCACATTGTAATACCATGAAACATTTTCAGAAGAAAGAAAAAATCAAGGTGAGATACTTACAAGCCATGCGATGTAAGTAGAAAAAAATGCACCAATGCTTCCGACAGACGAAGCCGTGGAGAGTGCAGTTGACCTGCATAACAAACTGGATTAATCACTTCGAACAGAGGCTTAAAAAATTTGTAGCAAGTAGTTCATTTGTTTAAATGTATCAGCAACATTCAAATAAAGACCTCTCAGTTTCCGTTCTTAGTAATTAATGACTACGCAACTTGTACTATTAAGCCCAACCTACATGCATGTATATTATAAGTTTGCCTGTAATTTATGACACTTCCCACCATTAAAAAGCGTAAATCCTATAAACCGCCAGACCATTTACGTCTCCTCCCGAGATTGCGCCAAAATTTGTATCACAACTGTGACACCTGGTGACTATAAATTAGAGTAATACCTTATAACAGTTGGATACAGCTCAACACACCACAAATAAATGCCAGAGAAGGAAATATTAATAAAAAACTTCGCAGTGATAGCTGCTGTGACACGACCAACAATACTTCCTGCAAAACATATGTATACGTGTACTAGAATTCGTTTCTTTCACAATATCTCTGGCTTCTAGACTTGCGCTAAATCAGGGACCGCATTGCAGAGCACTTTTGGGACGAAACAAGTTCTTCCTAGAAGAATTAAGGGGATCAGGGAAACCCCTAAAGAAAAATTCGAAACCTATCTGCTCCGCAATGGCACAATATGACGTTGCCCAATATTGAAAATAAACGGGCTATACATGCTTACCAGAACTTTGATTTACAGGGATAGACACTGAGATTGCGGATGCAATGAATGCCAGAACCATTGTTACGAGGACACATTTTTTACGTCCAAATCTAAAGTGACAATTTATGACGCTCTTTATTATTTGCAAATTGGCTGAAGAAAATTCATTACTAGCTTCAAGATTAAAAGCATAGGAATACGGGATTTCGAGAATCAAGAAGTTCGGGCAACGTTCAGCCGAGAATTCGGGAAAACGAGTTACATAGCCAGAATTTTTGAAACCAAATTTTGTAATATATATCACATATGTGTATTCTATTTTGTTGCACTTTCTTGAAAGCACATCCAGCGCTTTGCCACGGAATCAGTTTTCTTGCCAAAGGTCACTACATTCTTTCTGGTAATCGTTGTTAAACCAAAGAAAATGAAGATTATTGTTACAAATCCGGTTAAATTAAAAATACGGGTACATTGTATAATAATTAACAAATTCGGGCGATTTTTTTGCCCCCCCCCCCAAACGAAGTTGCGCCCGTACGCCTATGATTAAAAGTGCATTTAAGTTCTCAAAACAGTCCTAGCTACATAATATTAATAATTTTGTCATTCTTATGTTACAGTCAGTCACTTATTTTTACTAAGTTTTCTACTGATTTAGAAATTAGAATTAAACTCTATTTTCTACTTACCTATCAGCGGACCAAAGAAAAATAAAATTTGATGGTATTTCGATAACACTGACCAGGAAAAAATTAAGATATCTGTTCCCACCAAGATCAACAGAATTATAAAATACACCATAATACACAAGAGCGTTGGCAAACCTGTGTGTAATAAAAAATTAGTTACGATTAGCAATATATCCGCTATTATAACAAACTATAGCTTCATTTTCACATAACTATAAAAAATTGTGTGAAGGAAGTGGTCTAGTGGAAGAACTAATGGCCCTGTTACACGGTGCAATTTTTCTTGCAACTTGCAATGCAATTCTACTTTTTAGAGATGTAAATTAGTGAAGAGTGAATTCGGTTGTTGCCAAATAACCCCAAATTTACATCTCTCAAAAGAAGAATTGCATTGCAAATTGCAAGAATTACACCGTGTAACATGGCCGCAACCATACCATATAAATAGACATACACTATATTCCAAAAAATTAATGTTTTTTTAGAGGTTTTTGAGCTGCTAAAAAGTTGCCTGAAACTCATTCGTGTTTCAGTTGTTAAAGGTTTTTCCAAAACAACGTCTGGTAGTTGTCGTTTATTCATCCTCGCCATTTTAGCAAGAACTTTTTTGGCCTCTTCTTCTTTACCATTTAGTAACAACCATCGAGGAGATTCTGGTACTAACCTAACAAAAAAATTCAATACAATTCCTTTTTTGTGGTGTCCATTAGAGGGCGGGGTTTTGCTATGAATTTATTTAACTAATATATTGTTTCAGATAAGAGTTCATATTAAATTTCATTAGCTTGCATGTAACATTATTGTGAAAAAGCCATCTTATTCCTAGCAAGTACAGAATAAACGCGCAATTAACTTTAGCATCTTCGTTGCTGTGCTTCTAAAAATTATTTCATGCATCATGATTTCGTTACTTACCAAGACAAAAACAGTGCGGGGATTGCAAAAATAGCTGTGACAAGCAGGAACATTCTCCATTCTGGGACTAAGAACCCAATCAGGGGCAGTATTGATATTCCCACTCCCCAAAACACGTAGGAACCAGCTCCCATCCACGAACGATATCTCTCAGTTGTAAACTCGACAAGCAAGGGGAAAAAAGTGCAATTAACAAACCCTGTGAAATATAGGATAAAGACTATCGAATTTGCGTATAATGCATGTGCCGGTGTAAAATAAGTTCAAAAACTCTCATACTGCCTATACAAGAAGACCCCTTAGTGTTCAGTTAACGCACGGGATATCGTCAGGAGTATCACAGACTCGCAGTTTGAACCATTTACTCCAATCAGTGCTTGTACTCACCTAAACCTATGCCAATGAAAACTCGGCAAACTATGAAGACCAAAAATGCGTTTGGAAAGATCATAATCCAAGTGGTAACAACCACAAGAGCACAACCACCATACCAAACTAATCTTCTGCCGAATTTATCTGATAGAAAACCACCAATCAAAAAGGAGACCAACATTCCAATCCAGAAACACGATTGAGCGATGGATAAAAGAATGGAATCATCACAAACTAAGTCGTACTGTAGCAAAGTTAAATGATTTGAAGCTTTAAATTTTCAATAAGCTTTAAACAAACTTTGGGATACATGACAAACTTATCTTTGTATAAATACCCATGGAACAAGAAAGATGATTCACAACAGAAAATCTACTTGCTCCAAAGGCAATTATCTGTCTATCAATTATCTCGCTTCAAGTATTTTGTCAACCACGTTGGCTATCCGATATCACATATTACCTACGGAGGCGCCGGAAGCAGTTTAGGGAGGCGGGGGCAGAGTTTAAGAAAAGGGCACATTCATTTACCTTCAACCACACGAAGAGGAAACTCAAATTTACAAGTACATGCGAACTTGCAAATCCACAGGAGAACGCATTGTCAATAATGTTACCAGTTAGTCTTTATGCGAAAAGTGGGCATCATGATTAAATGTTAAATTTATGATACTTTTATATGGTAGCAAAGGGCACAGGGCTGCCCCCGTTCGCCCCCATGAGCAAAAGGAAGGGGGGGCAGCTTCCCCGCTGCCACCGTGTTTCCGGCGCCCCTGATTACCTAGACTTGTCCTAGATCTGGTCCAGGCCAGATCTAGATCTCTAGTGTAAACGCAGCTTAAATCGATTTTCTCACCTCAGTAACAGCGGATGTGAAGTCATCTACAAACGTCCAAGCTTCTCTCGGCATTTTACATCTGGCTTCGTAATCATCACTGGTTAACGTTATTGTGTTGTTGAATCCACACACGGTATTATTCTTATAACCTTCAACACATTTCCAGTCAGGTTCGGCAGTGATAAACGACACTATCATGGAAGCAAAGGCAATAATCGAGAACATTGTATATCCTATCAGGCCCAAAATGTACCATTGATACTGGCGAAATTCGCCTATCTTCTTAATGACATCATCAATTGTATGAGCCATTGCGGCCTAAAATTGAGGGTATTGTTGATTAATCTATATTTTAATAGCCAGGACCACGATAATTGGGGGTGCATATAATCATGCATACAGAGTGTATCAAAAAAAGGAAACCACGTAATATTATATATTCACTTTGTGAGCTAGAATGTGGATTGGTGCCTGATAACAATATGAATATCAAGTGTTGCCTTTTTTGATACGCCTTGTATATTATAGTTCTGGCAGACGGATTTTCTTTGTACGTATATACGCGTTTTTAAAAGGAATTTGTTTTAAAAGAAAATGGAAAAGACTGAAGAAAAGGAGCGTATGAGCGAGACAATAGAATTACATTTTATTCTATGATTCCAAGTTATTTTGATTCCCACAAATTTTTTCCGTCACCAAGTTGGTGAAAAATGAGAGCCAGGCTTTATGGTAGGATATCACCTTACAGACCAAATGATGCACCAGTGACGCAACCGTACATCACGCGGCAGAAAGTTCGACATTCGACACGACCAAACAAATCTAGACAACCAAGCCGAAATTATGACCCGAGTTATTTATGACCTCCTTTCTATCGACCAGAGGTAATTACCGTTCATTGATCAAACGCACACCTTTATATTACACTCAGACCGTAGCTAGACCGCCTTAGAGGTGGGGTCGCATATATTCATGTTTACATACTGTAGGAACAATAGGGTTTTTATAAGACAGGTTTATACTTGACCTAAGAATTTAGAATTCCCTTTGTCCGGGTTCACTAGTGCGCAAAATTCTTTTTATATCAGAAAATGATACAATATATAGATCCGACAAAGACGGAAAAAAGCAAAACAATGAAACGCAATGGTCTGTGCGATACAAGCATCGACATCAGTATACGTAAAAACATAAGCACAAGACTTCAAGCATAAGACGAGACAAAGCAAGACAAGACAAGACAAGACAAGACAAAAGAAATTTAAGAAAGAAATAAATTTTTATTTCCTGCTTTGTCTTTTTTACAATACTTATATTTAAATCAGAATGCTCTATCTCTTACGCTTATATTATGCTACTGTAAAAACCAGGCCAAACGCAACAAGCAATGGCCAATGGGTACGGACTTTAATATTACGTTCCTGTTTCAAACGTACATGAGAAGCACGACGTTTGAAACAGGCCTTATTCTGTTGCAAGAGCAAAAAGAAGAACACAGCAACACAGCTGACTACGCAACGGCGACGTTACTTGTGGAGAATTCAGTGTTCAGACTGCAAAGGTCTGAAACATACGATACAAAAGCAAGGAATATATCACGAGGAATATATCCGATTATGATATGAATAGTAAAATACAGGAAATAAATGTTTCTTACTTTCACGTAACTCGATATGAATCAGATCCGTGGTCGCGGAAATTCCTTAATTCCTAATTTTTTACGAGAAATCGTGTCCTGAATTCACATAAAGCGACAGACCTTTACCTTAGAGAAGCAATAGAAGCAAACCAAGGTGAGATTTCATATGCCAGTGGAAAATTTAATGAGATTGACCCTCTTGATTATGTCACATCATCTGATGATGAGGACAATTATCCATTTGCCAGACTTTTATGGCTGGTTTCCATTCAGGAAAATTCTCCTTTGGATCGGACAGGACAGGAAGGTTTCCTTTGTATAAACGCCGCCTGACAAAGGAAATTTTCCTGTCCGTTCCAATCCAAAGGAGATTTTTTCTGAGTGGAAACTAGCCTTTAGGGCTATCTATATTTGACTAGATAAATTCAGTTAAATATGCACCGGTTAAATTTGGTTCTATTCTGGTGGTATTGTAAATCTGGATGACTCTTGCACGAATAAAGTTTTATCATGGGAGGTCATCTGTGATTATAGTTTTGTAGGTCATATCTTAAGCTGCAAAATGATAGACCCCAACAAATGTATATTTAATTAAAAGATTCAAAAATAGGTGTAATAAAAATACTAGTTGCAATAGTTTTAAAAAGTATCCTCGTGCAGACATTCAGGGTTGGTACGTACCTATATGAACAAGCTTTGCTATTGGTGGATGATAACAATAAAACACAATGAACTATGCAAATTGATTTCTAAAAGAGCGAATCATAAACACTGTTCACTATTGTTACAAAAAGCCAATCACGAAACTCGTTCATATTAGGTAGATACTTCCTGGACTTTCAAGATTCAGAAGGTTTGATTTCTGATGTCATTCGTTTCGGCCCAAGAGAAGAATTAATCATATTGTGTAAACTAATTAGATTGTCCAATCAGAAGCATTATTGAGCTGTCAAGCCCGTGTACTTAGCCAATAGCACGGCTTTATTTTCCAACGTACACGAGGAGAGGGTAATATGATTTAACTTTGAGGCATCATTCCGATTCATTCGGGTACTGGTTTTCGAAGCATAAAGAGAAGTAACTTTTGCGCCAACAATTTCGGCTAAAATAGCAATCAATCTTATTTGAATCACGTCTTATAGAAGTTTAGTATCTCGGCATGCCACCCTGTCGTTGGCGTAAGAACAGGTAATATGCCTTTCTCTTTACGATTATCTGCTCGCTTTATCGAGAGATTTGGGCGAATGTTTACGCTACATGGTCTGTGTTCGCCTTGAAAATTTTCGTGTAACATTGTCTTATTTAACGTTGTTTTTTATTATTTCATGCAGTATTGTGAAAGTCACCCTAACGCAAAGCTAGATGATAAAATTTGTGAACAAGGGATTGATGAATGGCTCAAGATAACTCGCCTTCGCAGAGAGAGCATGACTAGCTTTTTCTCGAAACTTATTGGGAAAATGATGAAGGTAATAATACGCTAAACCTTATGGTGAATTTTTGGAAGTTTGCATTGATGTCGCGAAATCTAGCCGCATCAATTTTAGCTGCATCTTGATCCTGGCCGCTGATCATCGCTTCAATTATATTTCAAGAAAATGATATTTTCGAAATGAGCTCCGAAGGATCTTAGAAGAAACTAACTTTGTCTTTTATTCTTTTCAGGGAGAGTTTGAGAGCTATTAAAACCAAACGAAAGAAGCAAATGTACATCAGTGCATGCACTGACACATAAATTGTATGCCATGAGCAAGAAATTCGCCACGTAAATTTACGATGTCGACAGCATGAAATTGTTGTCGGAGATGGCTCGCCCTGGAGAGAGCAAGTCCAAAGCTACTCTTCAATCTGCATTTGCTGCTGAAATGAACAGGTAAATTATGTTTATTTTGTGTCTATTTGAATCACCAGACGATGCGAGAACGGTTAAAACGCTTGTCAGGCTACGCCTACGTGCTCTTTTGGCTGAATAATCGCCTGTTTTCTCCTAATATATATCTTAGCTTGTTTTATCTAAGACAGCTTATTGAAATCACTGTCTGTAACAAGCATTAACTTTGTTTTATTTCAGGTAGAGATTTTAGCGAGGGGAAGCGATTTAAAACGACGAATAAACCTGTTCAAATTAAAATGTAAGTATAAAGAAATAGAGCGCGGATATTGTAGTGCATGTAGTCGAGCAAACAATAGGGAGCTTACGATTTAGGACGGAACGACGATGACTGACAATGCAATGAATACAAATATTCACACCAAGAGAAGGAGCAATTGAAATCCCGCAGCCTCAGGGGGTTTTATAGACGTCGTTTATGCGTACACAGCAACAAAGGCATGCATAATCGCAAATTTCGTTTGCAAAGCCAATGCATGCATATACATGGAGAGTAATATCTAACGTTGTCCTCACTATAAAATCAAACTTTTATCGTTAAACTTTACCGAGTGCATAGTATAAAGGCTTAGCACGTATATCACCAATTTTATTTCTAATGCTGTTTCTATAAGAGCAGTTTGCTTTGACGATATGCCTTGGCTCTAAAACGCTCAAAAATAGGGTACCTATATGATGTTCAACCGCGTAATTCAGCTTCCTGCGTCATACTATATACAACTTTATTCTTCAATTTTCCCAAATACATTTACAAATATAGTTTCTTATTTATATCTTTATTCTATTTCAGGTTGATGAAATATAAATCACCCGCCTCCGTGGAGCTTATACAATCGACGAGCAAAAACGACGCCAAAACGACACCAAACGACACAATTCGATTCACTGTCGAACAGCAGCGAATGTCGGCGATGTCCCCCGACATCGTTAAAGGTTAGAGTAGCCTGGTGGTAAAAAAATGTGCATGCTAGGGTTAGGATGTGATTTCGCACGAAAAATGGTCCACGAACAATTTTTCTGCAAAGCAGAAACTCGTTGTTCGTCGAATTATATAAGGGTCCCGATGTTTTTTAAACCATAATGCTATTCAGATGCATGCTTATAGGTTCTGGCCACCAGGAACATAGCTAATGCATGATGCATGTATAAATAAATTTGCATGTAGGTAAATAGATATTTTAACAATTCGGTTATAGGATTCGGCTTTGCGCTTAAGGGCTGCTCGCTGCGCTTAAAGGGCTTATTAGGTTGATAAGTTTCATGTTCAAACTAAGGGGTTATAGCTATATGATTGCAACTTCTAAACATGAATTTTCATATACGAAATGGCTTAAAATCCATAAACACGAACATAAATTACAGCCTCAAATGGCAAACATAATCCCATAGGCAAGATCTTACTCTGTTCCATCTCTCAGAACGTTATTAGGTAATTTGCAGCTCCGAATATAGATTAAAAATAAAACAAACGTACCAATTATAGCCTCAAATGGCAAGCATAATCCCATAGATATTAGATTGGTTCTTACCTTGTTACATCTCTCGCAACTAACGCTATTCTTTCGTAATTTGCGATTCCAAATATGGATTGCAGCTAATATAAATTATATAAAAACATACAAATTATAGCCTCGAAGCTCAAATGGCACACATGATCCCATAGGTTCTTTCTTGTTTCCTTCCCTCTTCCTTTTCTCTCTCTCTTGTGCTTTCGAAATAATCTGATCTGGCCACATGCAGCTTTTGGGAATATAGATCGTAAAATGATGAATTGTAAACATATTATATTATCTTGCATATGTCTTGTAAATAATTTTGTAAATATTATTTTTGTAATTGCATGATCACATTTTGTAAAATGAATGTAGACTAATATATAGCAGGTAAAACAAATTAATATACCTAGTTTACTGTGGTTACATAATTTGGGACACACATGAGCAAAACTTTAATACGAATTAACCATGCAAATCATGGCCTTTCATGGCAGACATAATCCAATATGCTTTCTATCTCTCTTATTACAACCGCATATACTATAAATCTGAAATGCATCCACCTATACAAACCTATACAATCTGATTAAGTTCTAACGCACACTTTATAACAAAAGAATATATACATAAAAAGTAAAACATGCTCTCAATCAATGTGAGTTTACTTGAAATTGAGGGGAAGAGGGGGGAGGTAGTGTCATGCTATCTCATAGCGGTATAGCTATATATGCGTCATTCATACACTAATCAGAAACAAATTAAGAGACAATATGGGCAGTGGCATTGCAACATTATTATTTTTCTAAGGTCTCTGTGAGACTTCCAATTATTTAGCATCGTCGAGCAGTGCTTATGAAAAGTAAGGCGCCACTTTTCGTTTGTACTGTTTGACCACGCTGAGTGGTTCGAAGTGTTAGCAGGTACCTTAGGATATCTAATAACGTTGCAGTGTTATTTTCATTGCTGTTTCTATAAGGGCAGCTTGCTTTGGCTATATGCCTTGGCTCCAAAAGTGTTCATAATCAGTTTTACAAAAGAAAGATTGGTACTCAGTGCTGTTTCTATAAGGGCAGCTTGCTTTGGCTATATGCCTTGGTTTTAAAAGGGTTTAATAAGTTTTGCAGGGGGAAAAAGATTTGTACTCGGTACTATTTCTGTAAGGGCAGCTTACTATATATGTCGTAACTCTAAAATCAGTTTAGGAGACGAAATCCTGCAGTTTCTATAATAGCAGTGTGCTCTGGCTTCATGCTTAAGCTTAATAAAATGTTTTTTAATAAAGGAAATCTTTTTATGCTGCTCAGTATTTTCATTAACGGGCAGCTTGCTTCAGTTATAGGCCGAATTTTAAAAAATGTTACTGAAGTATTTTATCCTAATTATTCCTAGAAATATAACTGCACAGTTCAACAACTGATAGATAAACTTAGGAACACTGCCTATGATTTGTCAGTAGAAAAATTTTAGTTTAGTACGAACAGGGCTTGCATAAAAATGTCCTGAATTTAATTTATTAAAATATTTTCTACCAGAGTAAGTAATTCTGATACTGGACTGGGTATAGATGGTCTTTTTAGAACAGCTAGGCCTAAAATATGCACGATCACTTGCATACACATACATGCATGCGTTCATTTTTAAAATGGGTCAATAATTTGAGTGAGTATTAGGAAACATATAGCATACTGTTAGACTTGCACACTTTGTATTAAAACATGACAAACAAATCTGCACTGTTTTTTTGTAAATTAAAATGTGTATAGAATGATATTAAGCACACTTGCTTTGTAACCGCCTTTGAAATAATGCTTTCAGTCAA